CTTGTGGCGCCTAAGGTTCCCCTAGTTCCTCTGGGCCTCCCCTGCAGACCAGCATCCTACTCCCCAGGCTGTGGGAGCTGTGAGCTCTCAGGTGGGCCCTGTGCCTCGGGAGCTACAACAGAGGGCCAGTGGCTACCTTCAAGAGTGGGTGAATGAAAGCATGGGAGAGGAGGACTGGACACCCTTTTTAAACCCTTTGAAGAACCCCTGATTCATGGCTCCAAGCTTGGTGTCACTGGGGACTTCACACAGCTCTGTGACACACCTGCCCTGCCAGGATTCCAAGCTTGGTGTCACTGGGGACTTCACACAGCTCTGTGACACACCTGCCCTGCCAGGATACAGCTGAGTCCTACGAGCTTTTGCTTGCTCAGGGCCATAGCGTGTAGCTGTGGGACACTTGGGTCGGGCTCGCAGGCTGGGATTTGCCAGGTGAAGAGAGGCGTGTGCCTGGGTCTGCTACCAGGCTTGCTTTCAGCTTGTTTGCTTGGGTCTGCCCAGGAGCCTTGTGCTGCTCCAGGCAGCCACCTAGACCGCCCTGCAGCTCCGCCTCCGAGAGGAGCCAGGACACGAGAGGGCGGGCGCGTTTGAGGCTTGCTGAATCTGTGTCTGCCTCACAGATGAACGCAGGTGTGGCCTGCTGCACCTTGCTGCCTTCCCAGCAGGGGCCTGGGGCAAAACAAAAACAGAATGCCTTTCCCTTCCTTGTGAAGTCTGAATCTTTCAGGGCGTTTTGTGTGGGTGTGGAGGCTGCATGATGATTGATGGCTAGTCTTTCCCAGTCGTTTTCTTATCTTTTAAAACACTTTCATTGGGCTGGAGAGATGGCTCAGCGGTTAAGAGCACTGGCTGTTCTTCCAAAGGTCCTGAGTTCAATTCCCGGCAACCACATGGTGGCCCACAACCACCTTGAACAAGCCCTGATGCCCTCTGCTGCTGGCATGCAGGCAGAAGATTGTATGCATAATAGATAAAGTATATAAAAAAATAAAACACTTTCATTGAACCTGGTGCTCCCCATTTTGCTAGACTGCTTGGCCAGCAAGCCTCAGGAGTCCTTGTGTGTCCCCTTGCCCAGCACTGGGGGCACAGGTGCACTGCCATGTCCAGCTTTTGTATGGGGGCTGGGGATTGAACCCCAGTCTTTATGCTTGTGTGACAGGCCTCTACAGCCTGAGCTGTCTGTGTCTGCTCTACCCCTTCCAGGGCATTTTATGTGTTATTTCACCCATGGGCTAGGATCCAGCCCATCCTGCACCTCAGCCCCACCAGTGCTGTGGGCTTGTGTGCTCCGCTGGTTCAGGGGAGCGCACTCACTCAGAACTTGGCTGCACCGACAAAACTCACCTCCTGCTGGCTGTGCTCCCAGCCCATGGCCCTCCTCGGGGCTCCCACAGTCCTTGGCTTTGCAAGCTGTCCTTACGTTTGTGTCTCTTGCTCTTTGACATCAGGAGTCAACCAGACTCTTCCTAATAGTCAGCCAGGTAGTAAATATTTTAGGCTTTTTGGATCACAGTGCAAACCAAAACATAGGTGACTAGGAGCATATAAAATGCGACCATTTGAGGGGACACCACGGTGTCGGTGTCAGTAGGAGGAATTGGGCTGGTCTAGCAAACCTTTTCCAGCCAGCACAGGTTAGGTCCACATCCTTGCCTCTTTCCCTGCCCTCTCTTGTGGGCTTTAGTTCCCTTGAGGGTTGCCTCCTTGCCTGCTCAGAATACTAAGGCTTCCTGGCTTCCAGGAAGTAGAGGCTGACCTCGTGACCACTGACGCCATTTTGCAGGGGTAAGGTGAGAAGAAAGCGGGCAGGCCTGCCCTGCCTCCCCTCCTTCCTGCAGGAAGTTGGCTGGAGCTGGGGATTGCGTCTCTTGCTTGAGCTCTGGGTGTCTTGTTTAAGTGAGAGCAGGGTCACACTTGGCAGCAGCCTTTGCAGGACAACCCTCTCCTTCCACCTCCTTGACCCCTGGCAGTGCCAGGAGCTCCTCTGTTTTCCCCTGAGGTACTTGTAATGGTAACTGTTTTATAGTCATCAGGAAAGGACACTTTCGTAGTTTTCTTTCTGGGAAAGATATTTGTGTGCTGAAAATGCTGTTTTAAGGCATACAGTTGGGTGAGTTGTTACATGCATCACTGCTGTCTAGTCCGGCACGTTTTCTTTCCCTGTCAGGAGGCCCATACCTGTTTTTCAGTCTCTTCCACTCCTGTCCCAGCACCACAGTCTCGAGGCTGCTGCTGCTCCTTGTGTTTTAAGTTTTCATTTTTCAAGACAGGGTTTCTCTGTGTAGCCCTGGCTGTTCTAGAACTCACTCTGTAGACCAGGCTGGCCTCAAACTCAAGAGATCGTCTGTCTCTGCCTCCTGAGTGCTGGGATTAAAGACGTGCACCACCTCCCAGCCTTAGTCTGCTTCTTGTCTGTGGACTTGTCTGGGACTCCGTACCCATGGAATCCTATGCCATGTGGCCTCTACTGAGTGACCTTGGGAGTTGATGAACATACAGTCTTACACTATGGCCGTGGACTCTGAGTGACCCTTGCGGATCCTTACACCCTGTACTCCTGGGCTTATTTGACCCTGAGTTTGGTGACTTGGGCAGTTGGCACACAAACCTATTCCCGGTGCCCTGGGCTTGACCTTGGGCATGGATCATACGCCTTGTGGCTTTGGGTGTAGTGACCTTTGGCATTTCATGCAACCCTGTGGCCCTGGGCTTGCTGGGCCCATGACCTTGGGAAGTCCATGAACATGCAGTAATAGGCTTAGGTCAGTTTCTTCCCATGGTGTTTGCCTTCTGTTCTGCAGAGGTCACGCACAGCACTGCGGGCCTGCTCACTCACGCTGTTGCACAGCTGCGCTCTCCTCTCTTGGGTGTATGCCAAGGGTGCAACTCTAGGGTTGCTCGGTAACTTGTTGCCATTTGAGAAATGGGTTGTTTTCCAAGTGACAGGTCCACCTGACATTTCCCCAGTGGACCCGCAAGTTCTCTTGGAGTTGTTTGTTTGCTTGTTTCACTGTGAGACAAGATCTCCTGTAGCCCAGGATGGCCTTGGATACATCACGTAGCCACGGCTGGCCTGGAACTTGGGAGCCTCCTCTCAGGGAGGAAATGCTGTTAAAACATGTGCACGACCACACCTCGCTTCCTTTCGGTGTTCCTGATGTGCCACCTGGGGCCTTGCAGTGTTGGGTCTTGTGTAGGGGAGACAGAACTTCGTCCCTCTTAGAGTTTCCCTTTATGTCCGAGGAATAAGCTGCCATGAGGCAGACAGAGTAAGCAGAAGATGCCTTCATCATGTAAAAGCAATGCCCTGGGGCTTCCGTGCTGGTGCCTGGAGTTAGTGCTTGTGGGATGGGGAGGGGAAGCTCGCTTGTGCAGAAGGCCCTTGGCCTTGGCTCCTGTCCTTGACAAGGTGGTTTACTCCTCCCCGCAACAGGGAGGGCCTGTCTCAAAGAGGAAGCTGTGCTCTGGCGCTCTGGAAGAAAAGGGAAGAGTCCCTGCTGTCTCCACAGGCCTTGGGTTGAAATCGTCCCCTACCCAGTGACTCGTTCAGTGGTTTCTGCCCTCACACCTGCCTGTTCCGTTGCATAGTCCTGAAGGTTGTCGGAGGAGGGGAAGGAAGAGAACAGAAGGGACTTGGACTCCCTTGTGTGAGCAGGAGGACTGTTGTTGTCATAGTCCTGTGTGACCCACGACGGCCTTCCTGACCTCCTCGCCCCCCCCCCCACGCCCACGCTCACTGTGCAACAGGTGTCTGCGGTTTGCTGGCGTTCTGCCCATCCATAGGCTCATGGGTCCTCCGGGTTTCCCAGTTTAAGCCTTGCGGTTCTTTCGAGAAGCATCTTCAGAGTTTTGGGTTTTCCTCTCCCAGTAGCGTCTGGAGAGGTCACCACCTGGGCTTCCTATAAGCATTTGTTCCCAGCTCATGGGCCACAACACGGCCACCTTGTGCTCATTCACGGAACTGTTCAGACCCGGCTCCAGCAGCCGGGGCCGCCTTGGGGCTTTTTGTGTGTCTGTGTGGTTCTCCCGCCTGTGCCAGGGCTGGGGCAGGGTCAGGTACTGGACCTCATTGAGTTTTGTCTTTGAAGCCTTTCCTTGGCCCAGTTTCCTTCACCTGTGTATCGATGCCGTTGTTCCCTGGGGCACTAGGGCTGCCCGGCACTGCTGTGTGGCTGGGGTTCCCGTGGGTAGTGCCAGTTTAGGAGTGGGCTGGGGACAGACTAACTTGGTATAACACGAAGGAGCACTAGTGTTGAGCAGGAGAAAGGCCAGGTGGGTAGAGGATGGGTAGACAGGTCTCCTAAGGAGGTGACTCTACTTCAGACATAGAGGTCACGGGAGTCATTGCTACATACAGACTCCCAGGAGCTGGGAGGAGCACAGCTGAGGGGTCCCGGCGGCTGCGCTGGTGGGGACCTGTGGTTGAGGGTGTCCTGAGGGCTGGCCCTGGCCCAGAAGCCCCACGTGTTAGTGTTGTCCTGTGGAGCGGGCTCGTCCAAACCGGCCTGCGGTTGCTCTGCTTGTAAATTTAGGCAGTCCCTCAGTCCACAGGAGGCACAGGCTTTCTGCCTCTGAAATTTCTTTATGTTGCTCTTAGTGAGTGAGGCAGATGTGACATCCTCCTGTCACTGTGCCCTCCTCCCAGTCACTGCCACGCCCTTTTACCAGGTGTCACATTCGCATGCTCATATAACCCCACATAACCTCTGTTCTCCATCTTGCCCAAGAGGAAACTCCATCATGGAGGTGGAGTTGCTCCTCTGGGGCAGGGGTCTGGGAAGATGGCCGCGGCCTGTGTAGCTAGCTAGCGGGGTGGGGTGGGGTGGGGGGGTGGGCTGAACTATCAGTCTTACCTCCTGAGTTAGGGATGCTGCGGCTTGAGGCCTTCCTGTCTCAGGCCAGGCTCCTGTCTGCTGGGTGACTGTGCCTGCCATGCAGAGTCCTCTCTCTGTTCCACACCTGTAATCGCTGTCTTCCTGTGTTGCCCCTTCCTGCAGGGACCCAGACATGGAGCTGCGGGAAGAAGCTTGGTCTCCGGGGCCGCTGGATTCTGAGGACCAGCAGATGGCTAGTCATGAGAACCCAGGTGAGGTGGCCTCAGTGGTTCCTCAGCCAACCCCACTGCCTTTCCACCAGGCCAGGAAACCATCCTTTGTGACTCTGGGGTGCCTGGACTCCTGTCCCTTTCCCTCCAAGAGTCCCACGCCCGCAGCTTAGAATGAGAGGCTGATGGTGTCCCGGTGCCCACGGGTCCTTTTAACAGGGCCCTCCAGATCCTCGGGGACCACGTTTCGTCTCACGTCTCCAGCTGGCTGTTGGGCACCCCCTTTTGTGCCCCGTCCCCTCTTGTGGTTCCAGGAGCATTGTGACTGCTTTCTTTACCCGTGCTCCTCCCATCAGGGGAATGAGTGAGGGAAGGCTTAGCAAGGGAATCTCTAGTCATGTGCTAAGATTTGCGAGGGGTGGGCTGCTTAACTGCGAAGTCATTCACCTAAGTGTTGGCAGCATGTGTTCTGTTTGTTTAATAAAGTGTTATTGAATGGAACAAAACACCCGTGGGTTACATGGTGCCTGGGTTTGTTGGCTAAGACCCCTCCTGGCCCATACCCATGCCAAGAGAGCTCGTGAGAAGGCCCAGGGAACGCTGTGTGTCCGCCTCCTGGGGTAGGTGCGGTAGCTCGCTCCATGTTAATAAATTGGTCTCACAACCCATTGCTTCAGTGTTGCTCAGACTTTTCTGGCCTGGCCCGAGGTTGCTGACTCGTCACCTCCACCTGTACACAGCCATGTGTCCTTTTGTGCGGGGTTACAATAAAGCTTGGCACAACCCTGACCACCTGAAGTATGTGCTGGCTGTCCTGGTGTCCTTTCTGTCGCTGTGAAGTTACTTAGGGGGGAGAGGGCTTATTTGAACTCTTAATTCCAGGTGACAGCCCATCATGCCGTGGAGTCCCAGGGGCAGGAGCTTGCAACAGCTAGTCACAGCACATCCGCAGTCCAGAGCAGAGAGAAATAGATGCGTGTTTGCGTGCCTGGGCCAGGTGGCTTCTTTCCACCCAAATCGGTTTAAGATTCCCTGATCAGTGATGCCCTCACAGTGGCTTGGCTTTTCCCTTATCAGTTAGCTGATGACAGTTCCCTACAGACGTGCCCACAGGACAACCCAGCTTATTCTGGCTTGATCAGGTTGACAGTTCAAGCTGCCAGCACGCTGACATTGCACTCCCTGGGCTCTGCCTTGCTCAGGTGCTGACGGGCCGGTGTATCTCACACTTGAGTAGCCTCTTTGGTGGTCCTCAGCAGTGCCCGGGCTCTGGACAGTGGAGCTGTGTTACCTGTTCTGCTGAGTAGTTGCTCAGAGTGTAAGGCATTCCAGAGAATTAGATTGTAGGGTTTCAGAATTTCCTTTTTCCTTTTTTCCTTTTTTGGAAGCCTGTCCAACCCAGAGAGGCTAGTGCTGTTGTAGTGTGTCTGGCCATCACTGCCAGCCTTCACGTGGGTCACCCCACTGCGCATGCACAGAGCCTTGGAAGGTCAGGCCGCCTGTTGGGCCATCCTGCTTTTGAAAGGATATGGGTGGGGGTTGGGGAGATGAAATTGGGATGTAAGCGGGGCAGCTTGCCTAGGGACGGGGTGCAGAGGTGACCTGGGGCTCCCTAGGGCTGGAGTAGTTTCACAGTCAGCTCTGCTTGCTCCAGCTGCTGTGTGAGATGGGAGGTGGCCATGACCACGGAGATCCTTCCAGGCTGTTTTGGTCCTTAGCTCAGCAATGGGATATCCAGAAAGAAAAGTAGAGTAGTCCCAGTAGAAAAGGACCTCCAGGTGGCGTGGTAGTCTCCCACTGGGCGGTGAGGAGGCTCTGTCCTCCCTGTGGAACATAGCACTGGTCCTGCCGTGCACCTCAGTCACCTGGGAGGGCTCACTTCAAAACTATAGAATGGCCCTTGAATCTTCCCAGGTCCCTGTGTAGGAATGCAGCAGCGCATAGCCAAACCCCAAGCCCTTAGACCGCACTGACAGACACCAACCTGAGCACGCTGCCGCTCTAGCAGACATTAGGTGGGATAAATCAGCCACCTCAGTCTGGGTGGCTAGGGGTGGCTTAGGGGGAAGGAAACAGGGGAGATGGCCTTTTGGTGTTCATTGTGACACCCTTGAGGACCCATAGCTATAAAATAGGTGTTTTGTGCAGAAATGTGTGGAACAGAGGCCTGGGGGGGGGGGGGGGCATTGAGGACCAGCCTGGGTTCCTGAACCAACTAGGTAGAGCCCTATAGGGCATGGCCTAGGGAGCGAGTTGTGAGAGAGGAGGGAGGGAGGAAAGAGAGAATGTTCTGATGGACATTCTGATGGAAATACAGGGTGGCAAGTGGCCATTTGTGTGACCACAGTATGAAAACAGTCGAGAATTCCATCCTGTTGCTTCGCAGGCCAGGACACCTGCCTGGGAAAGGAACTGTGGCCGTGTCCTAGATGGCTGTCTGTTACATTGAGAAGGAAACAGGGCAGCCTCTTCACAGACAGGTGACTGGGATGCCGCTCACCTCCCGGAAGTCCAGGTTCCTTGGGTGTGCTGAGAACACGGTGCACAGACAAACCACGTGATCACTGAACTAACTCTTAAAGGGGAAACTCGGCAAAGATGAGGAGTCAACCCAAACCATCTCATCGAAAAGACCACAAGGAACTCAAGTGAATAAGCTCACTGCTTCCGGAATATTAAAGGCGAAGGAGGGGCCAGAGAGATGACAGCAGTTAAGAACAGGTACTGGCCAGGCGTTGGTGGCGCACGCCTTTAGTTCCAGCACTCGGGAGGCAGAGGCAGGCGGATCTCTGTGAGTTCGAGGCCAGCCTGGTCTACAGAGCTAGTCCCAGGACAGCCTCCAAAGCCACCGAGAAACCCTGTCTCGAAAAACCAAAAAAAAAAAAGAACAGGTACTGTTCTCCCAGAGGAACCCCTGGAACTCCAGCTCCAGGGGGTCTGATAATTGGACCCCAGGCACCTGCACCCACAGACACAGCCCTCTCAATAACACATATAATTAAAATCATTTTAAAAAGCTGAAAGCAGGATAATTGTCAGGCGAAAATGAATTAATGTAGTTTTGTTTTTCAAGACGGGGTTTCTCTGTAGACCAGGCTGGCCTCAAACTCAGATCCGCCTGCCTCTGCCTCCCGAGCCCTGGGATTAAAGGCGAGTGCCACCATCTCCCAGCAAAAAGGAATTTTGTAAAAGATGAAATTGGAGTAAAAAGTACTGAAGTTAGGCAGAGAAAGTGACATGTGTTTAGACTGAATCTCTGACATAGCCAAAGCAAAGGAATGGATTATGTGGTAAAACTGTAATTCATGGGCTACAGAGATGGCTCAGTGGCTAAGAGCACTTGGTGCTCTTGCTGAGGACCCGGGCTCTGTTCCCGGAACCCACACGGCAGCTCATGGCTGCCTGTGACTCCAGCTTCAGGGGATCTAGTACCTTCTTCTGGCCTCTCCATTCTCCGTCCACTTGTGGTACTCATTTACACAGAGTACACGCACACACAGATGCAGATGCATCCTAAAAACCAATTCAAGTGAAACGCTCCCAAACTGAGAACAATTGAGAGCAACGATCAACAGCTGAGGGCCATGGACTAGAGAGATGGCTCAGCAGTTAACAGCACTGGCTAGTCTTACAGAGGACCCGGGTTCAATTCCAGCGCTCACGGGAGCTCACAACCGCCTGTAATTCTGAGATCTGACACTCGCACAGAGACATGCACGCAGGCAAAACACTAATGCACATAAGAAAATATTTAAAAAGCTGAGGGCCCGGAGGTAGTGCAGTGACAGCACACTCGTTTTGCATGCCTAGGGTTCTGTGTTTGATCCCGCCTGCTGCAAAACCAGAACCCAGCTTCCTGGCAGAAAGAACGAGCAGCTATAAGGAAAAGCAAAGGCAGCTTAGACTTCCTGAGTGACAGTTCTCCGGGAGAGGGGTGAGCCAAGGATTTGAGGGGCGCTGACAAAAACAAGAGCCCAGTTAAGCCTCGCCTCTCCTCGCACCACCTGTGTGCCTGTCCTGGAAAATGTGATGGTGATCGAGCTTTGGACCAACCCCAGCGACCAGAGAGGCACACTAAAGGTGACAGTGAGCAGGGGCTGGCTTCAAGCACGGGACCGGCTGGCCACCCAGACACCTGCCTGTGGAGACACTGTGGAAATGGAAAGGATCTCCTTAGGGCACGTAGTCCCCAGAAGGCAGCATGGGTTAAACCAGCAGGTGGCGCCTGTGTTGTGATTCTGTTGTCCCCCCACGGTGACGATGGGAGCTGTCTCAAGCGGGAGGTACTAAATAGTTTAAATAAAAACTTTTGAGTTGCTGAGAGTAAATATGGCAGTTGCCAGTGTGGATTTCCGAGTTTTTATTTGAAAACAAAACCCCAAGCAGGCACTTGCTGGTTTTGTTCCTGTGGTGGGTCTGGGGTAAGCAGCATATAAAACAAATGGGGTGCTCTTGAGGGCACCTGGACCCAGACGCCAAGGAGACTCAACACTCGCCAGAGATGGGCAGTTTCAGCCTGAGCGAATTTAACCTAGAGTTGGTTTTGCTGTGGTCCTGGGGAATCCAGCCTAGAGTCTTGGGACATTCTGGATAAGGTCCCTGCGGTAGAGTTACAGCCCCTGCCCTGCTGCTGTTTTTTATTTGGACACAAGATCTTCCTAAGTGGCCCAGATTGGCCTTGAACTCATAGCTCAGGCAAGCCGCAGCCTCCCAGGTAGCTAGCTGACCAGCCTATAGTCCTGGCATTTGGCATGATATTGGGAAGGGAGAGACTCATTTGGTCCCTTTGGGGAAGACTAGGGACTCGACCTACACTTGAAAACTGGGCAGATGTCCTGCCTCTAACCTCAAGTGCCAAGAGCTTGCCTCTGATTGGTTGTCTTGAGATCGTTAGAGCTGCTGTCCAACAAAGAGAATTGCTGCCCCTGCCATCTCCAGTTGGTCCATGATCTGAGCCTTGTCCCAAGGTAATACAGGGAGCCTGTCTTCCGGGAGAGGACACGGCATCTCGAGACTCTTTGGCAAGGCTGGACTACTGTCTGTCATTCCACGGGTTCAGAGGTAGCACGAGTGTGCTGTGTAGCCTGCAGAGTATATGGCTGCTTTCTTTTTTGGTTTTTCGAGACAGGGTTTCTCTGTATTGCTTTGGAGGCTGTCCTGGAACTCAACTCTGTAGACCAGGTTGGCCTGGAACTCACAGAGATCCGCCTGCCTCCGCCTCCCGAGGGCTGGGTTAAAGGTGTGCGCCACCACCCGGCTATGACTGCTTTCTATTATTTTTAAATTTGATTGTGTGTGTGTGTGTGTGTGTGTGTGTGTGTGTGTGTGTGTGTGTGTGTGTGTGTGTGTGTGTGCCTAAATGTCTGTATACCACATGCTTGCCTGGTGCCTGTGGAGGTACAGCCCCCGGACCTGGAGTCACAGATGGTCTTGAGGCACCATGTGGGTGCTAGGAATCGAACCTGAGCTCTCTGCAAGGGCAGAAAGTGACCTTAACAACTGAGCCAGCCCTGCTTTTCCTGAGACAGCGGGACTGAGAGAAGCTGACTTCCTAAGCCGACCCTTCAGGCCCCTGCTAAATGCTCACAGTAGCACTTCCAGACCACACTCAGAACCCAGTGTCCCTGTGGAGCCCAGGCATCCCGTAAACCAGAACTGCACCTTTAAGTAACTAGCTCCGAGTCCCTTAACAGTCTGCTTCTTTAGAAAGCTGGCACACTTAACCGAATGACCAGACCACTTAGAATAAGTGTGAGCCCAAGGAAGGAACACTAGCCCAGAGTTGTCCTTGCCCCTTACTGCCTTAGCCAGTTACTCTTCAGATTGTCATTGCGTCAGTGATGGCCCTGAGGGGTGCTGGCCTCCTCTTCCTCCCCGGCAGGCCTCTGTCCCGAGCTCTCAGACTTGCTGTATTCAGCATTCAGATTCCGTGTCATGACTATTAATGCTGTTCAGAGATGCACATACTCCGTACACTGGCACTCCAAGTCTGTAAGCTTCCTGCTTTAAATTGCATTTTGTGTGCGCATGGGAGGGCGGGCGTCGGGGCAAGCAGGCCACCATGCACACACAGATGGAGGCCCGAAGAAAGCCTGAGGAGCTGGCGTTCTCCTTCCACCGTGTGTAAGGATAGCTCCAGGCGGATCTGACACCCCAGCACTCGGGCAGAGGCAGGTGGATCTGCCTACGGGGGTGCCCACCCACTAGCATGCATAGTGTGTGTGTGTGTGTGAGTGTGTGCGCGCGTGTGCGTGTGTGTGTGCATACTTACGTCTGCCCACGGGGGTGCCCATCCACTAGCATGCATAGGCCAGAGGCAGATGTAGATTGTTCCCAGTGTATTGATCTTCACACAGACACTGAACCTGTATGCTGCGGCTAGGTTGCCTTGCCAGGGAATTCCTAGAATCCATTTGTCTCCACCAACCAGCCAATATTGCAGATTCAGGTCTACACTGCCATGCCTGGCTTTTATATGGGTTCTGGGGATTTGGACTTGGAACCTTTTGGCTTTCCCAGGCAGTGCTTTTACCCAATGAGCCACATACTACCCGGCCCCATACATATATTTACATTTAGCTTTTTTTTTTTTTTAAGATTTACTTATGTATGCAGTATTCTGCCTGCAGGCCAGAAGGCGGTGCCAGATCTCATTATAGATGGTTGTGAGCCACCATGTGGTTGCTGGGAATTGAACTCAGGCCCTCTAGAAGAGCAGTCATTGCTCTTAACCTCTGAGCCATCTCTCCAGCCCTACATGTAGCTTCTTAATATGAGGAAAAGTGATAGTTTTGGAAACTATCATTTTGTTTCATTTAATCTCCAGTTCCACTTATTTTCCTGTAAATTTCTTTCCTTATCATGGAATAAAATTTCATGGTATGTATGCATGGCATTTTCCTTGACCATTCTTCTGGGGAAGGGCTTCCAGGGGACTTTTTTTTTCTGAGATAGGGCTTCTCTTTGTAACAGCCCTGGTTGTCCTGGAACTTGCTCTGTAGACCAGGCTGGCTTCGAACTCACAGAGATCCACCTGCCTCTGCCTCCCTAGTGCTGGGACTAAAGGCGTGCGCCACCACCACCCAGCCTGGCTTCATTTCTTGATTACTGACATGAGTATCTCTGCTTTGCTCTGTGTTTGGATTTCTTCTCCACCCAGGTGATTCTAATAGTCATCCTTGAGCATGGAGAGCCGTCTGGCTGGGCTCGTGACAGTACAGCTGAAGTTGGGAATAAAATGAAACATGAAGGCCCTAGGGCTTAGGTGGGAGAGGCCCCTGGCTACTCTATATTGAAATCGTTACAGGTGTGTTGGGCCAGTGACCATGATGGACCAAATCTCCATCACAGATCTTGGCTTGGCCAATTTCTGGTTCCATCACCAGGAACTGATACTTCAGTCCCCAGTACCTGGACTAGGACCATTTCTTCCACAGGAACGGGTATAGCCCTGTCTATATTTACAGATACCTAAGGGGCCTTGACAGTTGGATTAGCGTTGGAGGGAGAGCTGTGAGCATGAGGGTCAGGGTGTTGGGGAAAGGAGAGAAGGGAGACAGAGTCACACTTGAGTAGAGGGTCTGCTCTTTTAAGTAGAGCTTGGGAGACAGGACGACCAGGGCCCAAGGCCTTGTTCCTTGTAGTTACTGAGGTGTGCACAGCCCCCTTCCTTCCCCGGTGGTCTAGGTGACAGAGCAGCTTCCATCCTTTGGACCCAGCAAGGAGGAAGGCTCGAACCTTTGTAGGATTTAACCCTTCGGTCACCTGAGAGTTGCTGTGTGTGTGCTCTGGACTCGGTGTCTAGAAGGTTCCACTTGTCTTTCAGCTTTGGGCCCGGGAGAATAGCCTCGTTTACTCTCACCTTTACCGGTTTCAAGCCTCTGACCACTGCTTCAGTTTAACCCCCATCAGCTGAGCCATGATCTGTGGTCTTTATCATCTGCTGAGTTAACCTTTGATCTGGCCCCTGAGGGCCAGCCCTCTGAACATGAGCTCTGGGCCGATTGCAGAGTTCTGGTCTTTCGAATCCCCCCCACATGCACGCTTACGCACACCCACCACACACACGTATCACACACAACCTCACACACACACTGCACTCACGCCATACACCACACCTACACACTACACACTCTACACACACACACTACACACACACCTATGAGGCCCAGCTGTAGAGGCCTGCAGGCAGCATCTTGGGTTTTATTTATTTATTTATTTATTTATTTATTTATTTATTTATTTATTATTTATTGTTTTTCAAGACAGGGTTTCTCTGTATTGTTTTGGAGGCCATCCGGAAACTTGCTCTGTAGACCAGGCTGACCTCGAACCCACAGAGATCCGCCTGCCTCTGCCTCCCGAGTGCTGGGGTCAAAGGCGTGCGCCACCGCCGCCTGGCGATATTTTTTCCCCTTAGTGTAGCAGTAGAAGGGACCTTGCCTTAAGTCCACTCTCGCCCAGTCCCGATGGGGAAGGGACTTGACACCCCTGTGGACTTTCACAAGGGACAGATGGACCACTCACCCATTTGTCTCAGGAAGCTGACCTTGACGGTCATGTGTCCCATTGCAAAGATCCCTTCCCACCTCCCGAGCTTCCCGTTAGGAAGCAGGTTGCTCTGCGGCTACCAGATGTGGGCTTGCCGGGTCTCAAGTGTGTCCTCCAGCCCAGGGGCCACAGTGACTCCTTTGCCAGCGATGCCTCAGAAGCCACACTTGAGCTGGCCAGAGGGCATGAGCTGCCAGTGGACCGCGGGAGCCTGGCTTTGAAAGCGGACTCCAGGGGGCCATCCTAGCTGGTTGGCAGGGTATCCTGTGAGGCCCTGGCATGGGATTCTGGGCTTTGGTTCCATTGTGAAGTGGGGAGACTGAGGGGGTTCGAGGGGTGGGTAGGCCCCTGGAGAACAGGAGAGTGGACCCTGGCCTCAGGAGCAGGACAGGTTGGGCCTGGACCTCAGGAGGCAGACTACAGGACAGGCCGGCTGCACACGTAGACTCTGGGCTACCCTGAGAGGTGGGTGTTGTCCAGAACAAGGCCTCTGCACTATCCTTGGATGCTAACTGTATGGGGACTGTATGCCCAGATAGGCTAGTGCGTCTCCCAAACTGGTGTCCCATCCCGTTTGTCCAAACCGTTCCATCTCTGTTGCCCACCTTGCAGCTGCGATTGCCCAAATGTGACATCATTACATCCTAGCCTGGAGTCCTTCCGAGACCTATGGTTCCAGCGGCCTCAGGTCTGGCCCTACCATCCCCATTGGTTTTCGGGTGCCGTTTGTGCTGGGCCGTCTCTTAACATCCCTACTCTTGACCCCTATAGCTTTGGTTGGTAGACCTTTATGGAGACCCCGGTAGCCTTAGGCATTGGTCATCCGGTCCACGGAAGGGCTAGCAGAGGGCAAGTCCTCTCTGAGGGAAGAACAGGTCTTAGGGACATGGGTTATGAAGACAGAGTACTTAGACACCTGGAGTGACCAGTGCCCCATGGGATAAGGGGTGCGGGCCGCGAGCTGGCACAACCCAGCCGTGCTTGAGTTGGGGGAACCCAGAAAGAACGAGCTGCCCCTGGCCGCTCGCTAAACTGGAACCCATCAGCAACCCGCACGCGGACAGTCGCTGTGGGCCGCCCGCCACCTCTGACTTGCCTCCTCCTTCCCTCTTGCCTTACAGTGGACATCCTCATCATGGATGACGACGACGTCCCCAGCTGGCCCCCGACCAAGCTGTCCCCACCCCAGTCCGCGCCTCCGCCTGGGCCGCCACCCCGGCCTCGGCCACCTGCCCCCTACATCTGCAACGAGTGTGGCAAGAGCTTCAGCCACTGGTCGAAGCTGACGCGGCACCAGCGCACGCACACAGGCGAGCGGCCCAACGCCTGCAGCGACTGCGGCAAGACCTTCTCGCAGAGCTCGCACCTGGTGCAGCACCGGCGCATCCACACGGGCGAGAAGCCGTACGCCTGCTCCGAGTGCGGCAAGCGCTTCAGCTGGAGCTCCAACCTCATGCAGCACCAGCGCATCCACACGGGCGAGAAGCCCTACACCTGCCCCGACTGTGGCCGCAGCTTCACACAGAGCAAGAGCCTGGCCAAGCACCGGCGCTCGCACAGCGGCCTCAAGCCCTTCGTGTGCCCGCGCTGCGGCCGCGGCTTCAGCCAGCCCAAGAGCCTGGCGCGCCACCTGCGGCTGCACCCAGAGCTGTCGGGGCCCGGCGTGGCGGCCAAGGTGCTGGCGGCCAGCGTGCGGCGCGCCAAGGCTCCCGAGGAGGCGGCGGCGGCGGACGGCGAGATCGCCATCCCAGTGGGCGATGGCGAGGGCATCATCGTGGTGGGCGCACCGGGGGACGGTGCCGCGGCAGCCGCAGCCCTGGCCGGGGCAGGCCAGCGGGCAACGGGGCCGCGGTCCCGGAGGGCGCCGGCGCCCAAGCCGTACGTGTGTATGGAGTGCGGGAAAGGCTTTGGGCACGGGGCCGGGCTGCTGGCCCACCAGCGCGCCCAGCACGGGGATGGGCTGGGGGCAGCCGGTGGCGAGGAGCCCGCACACATCTGCGTGGAGTGTGGCGAGGGCTTCGTGCAGGGAGCCGCGCTGCGGAGACACAAGAAGATCCACGCGGTTGGGGCGCCGTCGGTCTGCAGCAGCTGCGGACAGAGCTTCTATTGGGCCGGCGGAGAGGATGACGGCGAGGACCAGTCGGCCGGCACGCGGTGTGCCGAGTGTCGTGGTGGGGACGCCCGGTAGGGGCGGGGGTGCCCGAGGGGTGGGCAGGGCCCCTCGGGCTCAGTGGGGACTATCAGCAAGCAAGACCACGAGGCCCAGCGAGAACCGGACCGAGAAGAGCAGCGGCCGCTTCCCTCGGCCCACGCTGGCCCCCGTGTGAGGGGGACCCGCGGCCATCCGAGCAGGTTCTTAGGACTGCCCACGGCCTCTCTGCTGACCCGCGCCGGCCCTGTGTAGGTTCCCAGCCTGGGAGCCAGAGACAGTGTGTGAGAGACCTGTGTAGATCAGTCGGGACAAGACCCTCAGTGGAGAGGCCACCCCCACTGCAGGTGTGGGGTCTCGGTGTCTAAGGAATGAGGGAATCCTGGCCTTGAGCATCAAGAGGGTCTTCCTTTCCTTCTAGGATTTTCTTTTAATCATACGTTTTGATCCCTCCCATTCATTAATTTTTTTCTGCCCCCTGGGTTGTTGTCAATTTTCTAGCCCAAGTCGTTCCTCTCCCTCCTGGATTTGCAGTAGCAGAGGAGAGAAGAAGTAGCCTCCTGCTCCCAGCACTGTCCCATTGGGGACAGGGTCCTGTGTGTCCTGATGGTGGAAGGGATGTGGGGGCAATAAATGGCACTATTCAGTTGTCCCGGCACTGCCTTGTTCTTGGGTTTGGGATGGACAAGGGCAAGAGGTTAAATGGCGACCTCCTCACTTAGCTGAACACAAGTGACAAGTGCCACCACTAGGTGACCATGCTGGGCCCAGAGTTCTCACCCGGTTCCAGGAAAGAGGCCTGCTTGCCGAGCAGCTCCCTGCTGACCTGGTGCAGGGGCTCAGGAGGTCTGCTCTGCTGGGAAAGAGATTCAGGCGCTGACATTTCCACGGATGGGTGCAGTTCCCAGAGGCCCCTCTGCTGTGACTCGTCCAAGCGCTGGCCACTAGTTAGCCATCTAGCTGCGGAGCGGGCTGTATCTTGGTGGATGCTACTGTGCAGTGAAGGGTATCTTGGAGGAGGAAGATGAACTAGGAGTAGGCAGTGCCTCTGGACCTAGCACCGGAACGACGACAGGATGTTGGCAGTTACTGTGTTTTGTTCGGGTGCCGCTCAGTGCCAGGGCAATGCGTCCCCCCACAACACCGCAGCTGCAGAACCGGAAGGGATCTTCAGTGTTAGTGTAGCTTCTGGCTCCGCAATCCTCAGCTCGTTGTCACCTGCTGCTGGGCTTCGGAAGGCTGTCTTGTGGACCTCGCCAGGGAGGAATCGCAGGCTAGTCTGGGGAAGTGAGGGATGAACCGTAGGTGAGGCTGCTTCTTTATTTATTTTTGGTTTTTCGAGACAGGGTTTCTCTGTATTGTTTTGGAGGCTGTCCTGGAACTCGCTCTGTAGACCAGGCTGGCCTCGAACTCACAGAGATCTGCCTGCCTCTGCCTCCCGAGTGCTGGGATTAAAGGTGTGCGCCACCAATACCTAGCTGCCAGGCTGCTTCTTAATGGGGGTGTTGTGGAAGACGTTTGAGTCCTGAGTGTGCCCACCTGGGTCTGTCCTGTCCCACCTGAAGGATGAGAAGGTCAAGAGTGAAGGTCACGGTGAGCATCCTCTGGCTGAGGTTTCAGTAGTTGTAGGTCAGGAAAACACTCAGGTGGCGGCTGCCTGGCTTGGGTGAGTGTCACTAGAGTAGCTTATGTGGTACGTACCATCTCAAAGGAGAGGTGAAGTTGTGTGTGGGGTGGGCACAGGTTAGTAAAGATCTAAGAGATGTTGCTAAAAACCCTTCAGTTCCTTCTGCCAAATGCTGACCTGGGACATTGTTGGGGGCCAGAGATGGAAGGGAGATGCTCTGTGCTTGTAGAGATAAGCCCGAGCCTACAGCCAGGACACGAAGGAGCTGAAGATCAGTTTCCACTCTGCTTCTTACGGGCTGTGGTACTCTGGGCAGGTGAACCAACCTCTCCAGCCCTTGATTGGCTTTCTCCTCCATAGAAGTCCTGGCCTCTCATGAACTGTTGAAGGTGATCTGAGCCAGATGTGTGGTCCCGGGACTCTGCACCTCTCCGAAGCTGAATGCCATGGCGAGGAGCTAGCTAGCGCTTTTAATCCCAGCTCCGTGTTATCCATTTGGGCCTCAGGTACTTACTGCAACTCACTTAATTTCCTGAGCCAGAGTATCTATGAACTTGTACCAGGGGTGTCTCGTCCCCCCCCCAGACTCCCTTCCCCAGGCCAGACCAACCTCAAGTCTTGTGAGGCCCTCCATTGGGCAAAACAAGGAGATGTGTCTTCCCTTGGGAGTCACCACCTAGTCCTCAGCCTGAGGTGCAGCTGTCCCGGGGGACAGGTGGACAGATGTGAGGACCAACGAGATTGGACAGCCTTCTCAATTTTGGGAAGCGTCTCTCATTTGCCTTTTGTCCGAGCCATGCCACTTAGTAGCTCTGCATCCCGCCACACAGAGTCCCTGGGATTGACATCTGGCTGTGGCAGGCTCGGCAGCACGCATCTCCACCCACTGGGCCATCTGAGCTCCCAGCTCTACTCTGGAACGTCTGCCGCTGTCACATCCAGCCTGCACACAGTCTGACCCCAACTCCCGTGCAGAGCAGGACACCGCCCCCACCCCAATCCACAGCCGCAAATCTATGCTCTCCGGAGTCACGCCCCGCCTGCTTGTATTACAACGCATGTGCCATATGCGAGGGGCTCAGCTGCGTCCCAGGATCGCGGGTGGTGCCCTTGACAGCCACAGTCGGTGCCCTCGTGGGGCCTGTCCTCGGGGGTGAAGGGAGACACACCAGCAAGGTGTGATGCAGTTGCATAGAGAGGGGCCCGAGGGCGTGTAGAAAAGACACGGGAGAAAGGAGAGCGCCTCCCCGGCCTCCTTGCATCCGAGTGCAGTGTGCACCCGGGAACATTCCCAATGCTCACCCGCTTCCCTGTGCCCTGGAGAGTGGCTTCAGGGAGGGATACTGACGTGTGGAGAAAGCTGGGTTCTATGCTCAAGTAACCTGGGAACACGACACATGCCCTCTCCCCCATGCTTGCGCTTCCCGGAAGACTTGAAAAGGGCGCACCCCTTCCCTGGCCAGACCTGTCCCCCGCTAGTGGTGAAGCCACAGTCTCGGCAGAGCAGGCTGTAAGGGGTGGGTTGCTGCTGTGCAGTGATGAAGGGGACCACGGGAGGTAGAGGCATAGCAGGAGCAGGAAGAGCTTGGGATATAGTATCTAGTGTTCTCTGAACTTGTTTGGTCATGAAACCTTCCATTCATTCACAGAGCATCTTGGGGCTGGTACGATAAATCCCATCACTGTGTGATGCCTGAGCCTGCCTGTCAGCACCATGGACAGAGAACCCCGCCCTAGGTCTCTCCCAGTGGAGCCCCCAGGGCAGTTCACAGGCATCCTGGTCCCTTACCCACCATATGTCCCACTAAGGGAGCAGTGTCGCATTTTCCAGCAAAGGAAACAGAGGGCAGCAGAGGCCAAATGCTATGCGTAGGTTCTCCCAGGAGATGAACAGCAGAGACTAATCACTTAGACTCTAAGTCCACACACTGTACTTCACTGAAAGCAGCTCTCAGAGTGAATTGATTTTTCTATTGATTTGTTGTTTATGCTCATTCATTCACACATGGCAGCCGGAGGACCAACGGGAGCTGGGGTTCTAGCTCAGCGGCAGAGTGCTTGCTGTGTATGTATAAGACCCTTGGTTGGATCCCCAGTAATGGGGGAAGCATGGCACAGGAGTAAATGGGCAATACATGGTTCGTATATTGAGGACAGGTAATATGTTACAGTAAGTGAGGGCTGCTAGCAGAGGAAGGTAAGTAAATGAAGGATGGTGTGTAGGGCATGCTCACATCAGAAGGCATGTTATTCCTGTGTGTGCGTGTATAGCTGTGGGCATAGACACATGTGTAATGCCACAGCACATGCGCAGAGGTCAAAGGGCACCTTTCAGGAGTCGGTTTTCTCCTCCACCTTGTGAATCCCGGGGAGTAAAGTCAGGTTGCCAGGCTTGCACGGCAAGGACTTTCACCCACTGAGTTATCTCACTGGCCCTGAAAGGCCAATTCTTTAGACCCTCTAGTGTGCATCTTCCCAAGTGCAGAAACCAGAGGTGTTTCTGACTGTGTGGCGTCAAAGCAGAAGGAGGCTATTTATAGGACCACAGGAACTGACAGGAGAGGCGGGAGGAGAGGTAGGGGAAGGGGAAGGGCTGGATTTGAGCAAAGTACAAACACATTTGTCAGAGTGAGACCTTTTTAACGTTATGAGTATGCAGGTGTGCGCTGTGTGCATGTGAGTGTATGTGTGCTCCAGTGTGTGCACACATGAGTGCTGGTGCCTGCAGAGACCATGGTAGGGTATCAATCAGACACCCTGGAGCTGGAGTTACAAGCCATTGTGAGCTGCTTGCTGTGGGTGCTGGGCACTGAGCTCGGGTCCTCCTCAAGAGTGAGAAGGGATTTAAACACAGAGCCACCTCTCGCCCCAGATACTTTGTTTTTTAGCTGTGTGTGAAAAAAAATCATGGCTGCTTTTGTTCATCACAGAGCCGGCCCTGCCGGGAGAGGCCATCAATCCTCATGCAATGGAATATCCTGCCTAAATTCATGCGTCAGCTTTGCTAGGGACAGACAATCCCAAAGGCTGTTACGTCCCCGTGACAAAACCAGAAATGAGCAGACACCCTGTGACAGACTGTGTCTGAACCAGGACTTTGCAAGGGTAAAGGGAGAGCTGTTGGGTGCTACAGAAGATTTCCATGCATCATGTAGATCAGTGGCTCTCAGGCCCTGGTCAGGGAGATTGTGTATAGCAACATTTGGTGACAGTTCTGGTGGCTGCAGCGGGAGCAGGTGAGTGCCCCTGACACAAGGTGTGTTGAGGCCAGGCACACTTTTCAGCATCCTGCAGTGTGCAGGAAGCCCCTTCACACAGAAGTAGGTAGTCAGGTAACCTACCAGGAACCGGGGAGCAGCACCTTCCTCTCCTCCAGCTCCTCCCTCCTGAGACATGGTGCTCGACTGCCACCTGGTGAGCACTGAGAGATCACCAAGCGCTCAGGAAACAGGGATTAAAGGGAATCTGACCCATTACACGTCCTTGAATGGCACAGGAAACTTTTCGATGGCTTTAGCTGTGCTCACCACTTCACCAATCCGCAGGATGTGACAAGGCAGGCAGACATAAGAAAAAGTAACCTAAGCGGAGAGCTACAGCAAAATGCAAAGAATGTGGGCTGGAGAGAGTGCTCGCGGGTTAAGAACACAAACTGCCCTTACACAGGACCCCACATCCCAGCATCCACCCGGGTACCTCACAACCTCCTGGAACTCCAGCTCCAGGGGGTCAAACAGCTCTGGCCTCTGTGGGCATCTGCACTCGTGTACACAAATAAATTCTTTTAAGCAAGGCAAAGAATTGGCAACTCTCAGCCAGAGGCCGAGTTTGAATGTGTGTGTAGGGCCCAGGGGACCTCAGTTGTCATTCCTCAGGTGCTGCCCACCTTTCTATTTTATGAGACAGGGTGTCTCGTTGTCCTGGAATTCTCCAAGTGGACTAGGCTGGCAGCCAGTGAGCCCCAGGGATCCTCTGTCTCCTCCACACGATGATGGTATTATCAAGTCGACAGAACCTAAAGTTACCTGGGGTCCTGCATTTGGGGGACTGTGTTGATGATTCTCAGGTAGTGTGCTTGACACAAGCTAGGTCACCTGGAGGAGGACAAACTCAGCTGGGAAAGCGCCTCCATCAGATTGGCCTGTGGGACATTTTCTGGATTGGTGATAAACTAAGAAGTAGTCAAGCTACTCTGGGCAATGTCACCCATAGGTAGGGTGTCCTGGTTGTGTAACAAAACCAACTGAACCAGCCACAAGGAGCGACTGTAAAATCATTCCTCTGTGGCCTCTGCTCCAGTTCCTGCCCTGACTTTCCTCAGTCGTGGACCGAGACATGGATACATTAATCACGTAAACCTTTCCCTGTGCAAGTTGGGTCTGGTGTTTTATTACAGCAACAGAAAGCTAACTAGGACTCAGGGGGCACCGTGCCCTGATGGGACAAAGGGAAAAGGGATCTGCGCAGCAGTACACATTCATCCCTCACTTTTGAGTGTGGGGGTCATGTGACATCTTCCCTGCAATGATGGATGCCTCCTCTTGAACCATTAACCGAAAGTCAACTCAACTCCCTCCAGTTGGCTTTGTCAGAATCTTTTCATCTCTCAGTACCAGGATTACAAGCACGTGCCAGCGCACATGGGTTTTTAGCATCGGTTCTGTGTGTCCAGTTCAGGTCCTCACGCTGGCACGACAAGCCCTTTGCCAACTGAGCCACCTCCCCATCCCACCTCTGCCTTTCGTCACGTCCCCACTCATCAACATGACCACCTGATGCTTTTCCACGTGCTGAGTGTTTATTTCATTCCCGATACAACCTTGGAGGTGGGACAAATGTTTTCACAGGTACAGAGGTGCCAGGACCCGACGGGGAGGGAGGGGGACTCACATCTCACATCTTCAGTTTCTCCACCAGTTACGGTCATCTTCGTTGAAGGAATACCAGTCGTCATCAATCAGCACGTGGGACTTGGCGAGCTGTACTTTCTCCAGCTGCCTTCTCACCTCGGCATAGTACTGCTGCTTCCACAGGCTGGGAAGAAAGGGAAGTCGTGCTGGGACCTGCCTCTGATTGTTCCCCCCTCTTCAGACGGCCTGGAAGCCAAACCGTGGACTACCAATATTTCTGAGGACTCTCAATGAGATAGTGCATCTGCCATAGGTGAAAAGGGCTGGGGGAAGGGGCCCCCAAGGTCCCACCCCCAATGGAAGAGGGAAAATCACTGGTGGTTCCTCAACCCTCCCCCAGGATGACTCCACAGCAGATGGAGGAAGTTGGTTATTATTAACATCATTCATCATCATCATCATTTTGCTTTTTTGAGACAGGGTTTCGCTGTGTAGCCTTGGCTGGTTTGGAACTCACTCTAGACCAGGCTGGCCTTGAACCCATGTAAAAGTCTTAAATGCAAAGTAAAATCTACCCTGTGCTGGGTCTTGTCCCAGGTTTTAGGCACAGTGATGGACTTGGTCAAGGAAAAGTCCCACCGATCCCAACTGAGGAGAGGGTTATTCAACACATTTAAATATCTGCAGAGAAATCTCACTTAGCCCATGAAAGATCACCTGGTAGAAATCCAAGTCTGACTAGGTGGGCATGGCAGTGGTGTATGCGTGTGGATGTTTTCCATTGTGTGTGTGTGTGTGTGTGTGTGCCTTCATGAGTGCATGTGCGTACACATTGTGTGTTGTGTATGTGCTGTGTGTCTGCGTTTCTGTGTATTGTGTTGTATGTGTGCGTAGGTGTGTGAATATACTGTATTTTGTGTAGATGCGTGTGTGCATGTGTGTACTATGTTTGTTGTGTGCATGTGTGTGTGTATTGTATATGTGTTTTGTGTGTGCATGCATATTGTGTGTCATGTGTGTATGAGTGTATTGTTCTTTGTGTGTGTGTATGTGTGTGCACTGTGTGTTGTGACTGTGTTTATGTGTTGTGTGCTCACACACTCAAGCGTGCAGGTGGAGGACAGAGGTCAGCATCATTGTCCTTAGACTTTCTCCATCACTCTTCACTCAGACAATGTCCCGAAACCCAGAGCCTGCTGACTGGCTGGGCAATGAACTCCAGGGTCGTCAGGGCTCTGTCTCCCTAGCGCTAGGACTGCAGGTGTGTGCATCACCACATCTGGCTTTCACATGGGTTCTAGGGAACAGAACTCTCAAGCCTTCAAGCCTTGTGTGGGAAGCACTTTATAGACAGCCATGTCCCCAGACTGCACCAACTGCTAACGTCATGTTTATCACTGGGTCTTGTCAAAGACCGCTGTGCCTTGTGGCTCATTGATGTGATTGGCTTTTTAATTTTTTTCCAAGACAGGGTTTCTTTGTGTAGCTCTGGCCATCCTGGAACTTGCTCCGTAGATCAGGCTGGCCTTGAACTCAGAGATTGCCTTTCTCTGCCTCCTGGGTGCTGGGATTAAGGTGTGTGCCAGAACTACTTGACTCCAGTTGACTCTTTAACCAACATTCTGCCCTTTGGGCTTCTCTGGGCATGTATATTGTGACAAGTTTATATAAAGATTGCCAACCTCACTCAGCCAGAGTTCCCAGTCCACCATCCCCTGTAACCTTCCCTACAGTCGCTCTTGGGCCTTTTGCATTTATATCCATGAGCTAAGGCTTGTACATTATGGATAAATCCCCTGGCTACTGTCTGGAGAAGTCCCTCAATTGATCATTTCACCATCAGCCTCATCTGGGTGGCCAGCCCTGTCCTCTTCAGTCGAATTTTTGTTTTTGTGTTTGGAGGCAGGTTCTTACCCAGAATGTATGAGGTAGGCTAGCCTGGTCTCAAATTTACAGCAGTCCTCCTGCCTCTACTTCACAGAGCTAGGACTACAAGCGTATGCCACCTTGCTCAGAAATTCAGCAGCATTATACTTTCATGGATAACAAGTACATTAGAGTGTGAGACGGTTCAGTGGATAAAGGACACTGGGCTGCAAGCCTGACACCCTGAATCTTATCCCCACGCCCTACATGATGGAAAGAGAAAACTGGCCTTTTGCAAGTTATCAGACCCCCACATGAGCACTCCACACACACACACACAGATAAACACTACTTAAAACAAAACAAAAACGGATGCGAGAGACTGGAGAGATAGCTTAGTGGTTAAGAGCTGCTCTTCCAGAGGTCTCCAGTTCAATTCCCAGCAACCACATGGTGGCTCACAACTATCTGTAATGAGATCTGGCGCCCTCTTCTGGCGTGCGATGCAAGTGCAGTCATACATGCAGGCAGAACACTGTATACATAATAAATAAATTAAAAATAAACACTAAGTACAGGCTCAGCATTTCAGCAACTAAAAACACGGACATGCGCATGTCTGCATGCATGTATGTGCACTATGTACACACAGTGCCCTCAGAGGCCAGAAGAGAGCACTGGACCATCAAAACTTGAGTTATAGGCTGTGTGGGCTAAAAATATGGACACACACGTGTCTGCATGCATATATGTGCACTATGTACATGCAGTGCCCACAGAGGTCAGAAGAGAGCACTGGGACATCAAAACTTGAGTTATAGACGGTTGTGGGCTGCCATGTGGGTTCTACAACAGAACTCAGTTCCTCTGCAAGAGCAGCCAGTGCTTTCATCAAGTATCAAGTCATCTTTCCAGCCCCATTTTTACCCACTACCTTTAATCATAGTTTCTTGCACAAGTCAGGGTGTTATTTATCAGAACACAGCAACACATCAGTGGCTTCAATTCAATCTTCAACATATATGGCCTACTTGTCTCTTTTTGATTGAGTCTCTCTCTGTGGTCTACGCCATCCTGGAACTCATTACATAGTCAAAGATGGCCCCAAATGTGTGGTAATCCCCTGTCTCAGCATCACAGGGGATAGGATTACAGGTATGAGTCGTGACACTTGGCACAATTAACCAACTTGCATTGCATAAGTGGCATTAGACAAATACACACCATGGTGCAGACACTTCCACCATGCATCTTCAGAAATTTCCCATCATCCCAACCCGGAAAATTTGTAGATAAATTTTCATCTCCCCTTTAAGTTATTTTGGCAGGGCTAGGTATGGAACCCAGGGCATTACATGCATTGAGAAAGATCTCTACCACTGAGTTACACCCCTCAGCCCTCTTGGTCTCTTCCTTTAGCAACCTCTGGTCTTTCTGTCTTGAGTCTAAAAAAATCTAGGAACTTCACATGAATAGTTATACAACATTTGTCTTTTGTGGCTGACTGACTTCTCTTAACATGAACATTCATCAAACTCCCTGTCTTAAAAAATGACACTATAAACATGAGTGTACAAATTGTCTCTGACTTTTTTTGAGACAGGGTCTCACTGTGTAACCTTAGCTGTACTGGAACTCTCATCAACAGTTCTCACCTCTAGGGTCCCAACCCCTTTAGGAGCCCATATCAGATACCCTGCTGAATGTCTGATGTTTACATTACGATTCACAACAATATCAAAATTACTATTATGAAGTAGCAGTGAAATAATTTTATGATTGGGAGTCACCCCAGCAGGAGGAACTGTGTTAAAGGGCTGCAGCATGAGGAAGGTTGAGAACTCTTTAGGTAAAAAGAGTTGCAAAGCCATGGATCTTAACTACTTTTTAGTTGTTGCTGCCCCTCCAAGAAACTTGTCAGAGAGTCACGTGTATGTCTCAGGAGATGAACGGTAGGAACTTACCCAATTTTCCACAGATTAGAGGAAGGATGCAGGAATGCAGAACACAGCTTCAACATGCCCGACGTACTGAAATTGTTCCTTAACAGGTTTAGGCTGGCGAGGCGCGAGTTGCAAGAGAGGGCCAATGACAGCTCCTCGCAGCAGTCAGAAGTCAACCCGCATGCCTCCAACCTATCCAGAGGCCCAAGGAAAAACTGGTCAGTGATGGACTCTCCATTCATCCCATAATGGTTTCAATCCTGCTGGGCACTGGTGACACACACCTCTAGTCCCAGCACTCGGGAGGCAGAGGTGGGCAGACCTGTGTTTGAGGCAATCATGGTCTACAAAGCTAGGGACAGCCAGGGATACACAGACAAACCCTGTCTAGAAACCCCTCCCCCCCAAAAAAGTGGCATTGCACCAGAAGCTCAAATGACTGGGAGCTGCATGCAGGGTGCAGGATGTCCAGACATGCACACGATACCCAAGAAGCTGCATGGATACTGCTCTAGTGGGAGGATTCATAACGGATAACAAAGTCCAGGTGGTCAGAGCTTGGCAGAAACTATGACATATGAGACAAAGTTGAAGTCTTTATACAGTAAAGGTTTAGCATGCTAGAAAAATGGTTAAGACTGGAGGCTTGCATTTTAAATGAATTAAGTCAGACTTTTTTTTCTTTTTGTTTTTCTAGATAGGGTTTCCCTGTAGCTTTGGAGTCTGTCCTGGAACTCACTCTGTAGACCAACCAGGCTGGCCTCGAACTGACATCCACCTGCCTCTGCCTCCCGAGTGCTGGGATCAAAGGTGTGCACCACCACTGCCCAGCTTAAGTTAGACTTGGAAAGACAAATATTGTGAGTTTTCTCTTTGTTCCTGGAGCCCAGATTGAAAATGGATACATAAAGTCATACATGCCACTATCGTAGATGTGAAGTTGTCTAGGGGAATGAAGACAACTAATGGGATGGGAGGGGGAGGGGTGTAAAAGGGGGAAGATTTAGAGGTACACCTGCGGGGACTTGGTCTAAGTTCACTGTATACGTGTATGAAAATGTCCTTGTGAAACCCAGTACTATCTAGGAGGAATATATGTCAATAAAAACTTAGGGTTTTATCCCGAGAAGAGCAGCAGTCCAGAGATGATCACTGACAGGGGGCGCTGGAGAGACGGCTCAGTGGTTAAGAGCACCTGCTGCACTTGCAGAGGACTCGGGCTTGGTTCCCAGCACCCCATCAGGTCTCACAATGGCCTTTAACTCTGGCTCCAGGAGATCTGATGCCTTCCTTCTGGCCTTGGTGGGCATAAGCGGGCATGTGATGCAGAGGACAACAAGCAGGCACACAAATGTGTGAGCGCATGGTAAAGTTAAAAAAAAAAAGACTAGGCAGCCACGGAGCTGCATACTGCTGTCATCCTCATACTCAAAGGCTGTGTGCATCCACTTGGGCTGCACAGAAGGACGCCTCTAAGGAAAGAAAGGGAGGTGGGAATGATGTATCAGAGGGTTCCCATATTTAAAAAGTTACACCAATTTGGTTTGTACACATGTGGAGATCAGAGGGCCATTGACTACAGTTGGCTTTCTCCTCCTACCTTTTGGAGCCCAGAGATGACTGGGTGACTTTACCTGCTGGCTCATCTCACTGGCCCATATCCTAGCATTAAATTTTTTTTAATTTTTGTGTCTTGTGTGTGTCTATGGGAGTGTATGAGTGTATTCTTGTGCATATTAGGATCTCAAAAACCCTCACAATGCATCCCAGTCTGGCCTCAAACTCAAGGTGATCCCCTCCTTCATCCTATTGTGTGATTGAATGCCAGGCAGAAGCCTCCATATCTGGGTAGCACTCTGCTCTAACAGTTTTCCCAGGTGGATGAGATGCTACGTCTTAAGGACCACTGGTAACTGACTACTTTGGGTTCATTCTTCCTGCAAGAGCCTAAGTGCTGCACCACTGAGGTCTTAGCTGTCTCTATTGCTATTACCCAGTACCCAGCATCATGTCTATCAGTCAGAGGAAGCTCAATGAGTATCTGAAGGCTCCACACTGATACATCCTGACACTCAGACCCATGACTTCCCCAAGGTCGTTCATGGTCGTGCATGTCATACCACCACCCTGGTGTCATGCTCACATCCCCCCACCTCCTCTGAGCTTAACCCCTCAAAGTGGTGACCCCAAGAAATTACCCAAGCCTCTCCAGGGAGGTTCCACTTTCCTTCAGTCCCTTGCACAGAGCTATGACTCCTCTGTCACCCAGGTCGTTGCTACCTAGATCCAAGCTCTTCAAGTGTTGTTTTGTTGCGATCACTGAGGCCAGATCTGCACAGCAGTCCCCCGTGAGCTGGCAGCCCACCAGTCTGCAAGAGACAAGGGACACATCCATGTCTTCAGTGGGGAAGGGCTTCAGTGGGAGTAGCATCCAGAAACATTCAGAATAGCTGCTTTTATTGTCTTCTAAGAGACTGCCTTGGGGTCAGCAAGATGGAGCAGTAGCTAGAGGTACTTGCCACCACGAGGGGTGATCCTGGAACCACAAGGTTGAAGGTGAGAGCTGACCCCTGCAAGTTGTCTTCTGATCTCCATGTGGGCATTGTTGCCCAAAAAGGCCCTCACTCCAATTATGAAAATAAACCTATGTAATTTAAAGGGAGATGGTCTTTGTTCTGTGTGTGCATATGTACAGGTGGGTATGGGTGTATTCACACCCATGCATGCCTGTGTGGAGTCCAGAGACCAACATCAGGAATACTCCTGTTTCTTTTTTCTCTGTGCAACATTCCTGGCTGTCCTGGAACTTGCTTTCTGTAGATCAGGCTGGCCTTGAACTCACAGATCTGCCAGCCTCTGCCTCCCAAAAGTGCTGGGACTAAAGGCATGCACCACCACTGTCCAGCTACTCCTCTTTCTCTATGCCTTAATCTTGTCATTTTTAGAGAGACGTGCTGGCCAGTGAACCCCTGGGATCTTCTTGGCTGCCTCCTCCCTTAGTGTTGGGGTCACAGGCAAGTTTAGGGGGCTTCTACATGGATTCTGCCAATCTGAACGCAGGTCAGACAGATGACAGTGACGGAAACTGCAGTGGCTATGGATGAAGGGAGGTATCATTGGAATAATAACTGTATAACAGGCTGGGGGGGATGGCTCAGTGGTAGATCACCTGCCTAAATTCTCTAGTGAGGGGCTGGGGCATGGCTCAGTGGTAGAGCCACTACCTACAACCCCCATCAAGGGGCTGGAGGTATGGCTCTGTGGTAGAGTCCCTGTCTAGAATTCTCCAGTGAGAGGTTAGAGATGTGGCTCAGTGGTTCCATTCCTGGAGCACCACAAACGACAGAAACAAAACCAGCAAAAACAAACAACAAACAAAAGCCCCTAAACAAACAACCAGTCTCCAAACCAAATAATCTCTGCAGCCATGATCAGACTTTAAGGGGTCAAGGGTAAAACCCTGATGGCACAAACCTGCCTCGGGGCTCCTGTTCACAGTCATCCCTTCCTTCCTCCAAGTCTGTCCACTCCACACACCACTTACCCGGCTGGTGTGATTCCCAGAAGGCTGAGCACTTAGCCCCAGAAGTAGATTAGATTCTCGTGTCTGCCTGTCTGTCTCTTTCATTCTAGAAACTGGGATGGCAGAGATGACCCGCAGCCACCACTGTCTACTCACTCCAGCTCTTGGAGGTGACAAGTGGGCTCCTTTATAGCATCACACAGAAGCTTCATCCCGTCGTCCTCCACAGGGTTCATGGTCAGGCCCAGGTGTGTCAGCTTTCCATTGTAGGAAAGTATCAGCGCCAGGAAGCCGTAGGTGTCTCTTGTGAGGTTGCACTGGTTCAGTCTACGGGGACACAGATGGGAAGAGGACAGGATGGGCATGGCACATACACAGTACTCATGGCCTTGGATGAGAGATTCCTCTCTGCCTCAGTTTACTCTTCTGTAGGATGGGGCTCATATTTACACTGACCATTGTTCTCAACCTTAAGCAGTGGGTGGTTGAATAACTTGGTAGTAGGGGACAGGGGAGATGGCTCAGAGGTTAAGAGCACAGACTGTTGCTCCAGAGGACCCAGGTTCAATTCCCAACACCCACGTGGCAGCTCACAACTGTCTGTAACTCCAGTTCTAGTGGATATACCAACTTCCTACAGATATAGATGCAGGCAAAACACTAATGCACACAAATGAAAAGAAATTAAAAAGGACATGGCAGAAATGGCAATTATTAGGATCACTATCAGCACTGGGACTTACTGCAAGAGAACTCTGACCAGGCTGGCAGGATGGCTTAGCAGGTAAAAGGGCTAGTGGGTCAAGCTGGAGAACTACAACCTGAGTTCATTCTCCGGGAACCCCATGGTAGGAGGAGATAACCAACTCCTATCTTCCCTTCCACCCATATGCATGCTGTGGCAGGGGTGTGTGTCTGTGTCTATGTGTCTGTGTGTGTACATGAAGTATGCATGCACAGATTCTACAACCCTATTTCTCTGCTATTTTTATTAGAATTAAAAATTTAAATTACATTTTGTGTGTGTGTTGAGAGAGAGAGACAGAAACATACAGAGACAGAGAGAGACAGAGAGAGACAGAGAGAGACAGAGAGAGACAGAGACAGAGAGACACACAGAGATAGAGACTGTAGAGATCAGAGGAAAATTGGTGAAAGTTGGTTCTCTTTCTACCATACCAGTCCCAGAGATCAAACTCACATTATTAGACTTGTCAGCAACTACCTTCACCTAGCGACGTATCTTTCTGGCACTATTTTATATTTTTTGAGAAAGGGTTTAAGTAGGCCAGGCTGGCTGGGAATGTACCTTGTAGATTAGGATATCCTAGAATATTCCTGTCTTCACATCCTGAATGTTGTAGTTATAAGTAAAACACCACCCCACCAAGCTAAGGTTATCTTAACACACTTCCTGGTTTGTGACAGATACATGTATGTGTTTTCAAATCACATTTATCGTGTGTGTCAGCAAGTCTTGTGTGTGTGTGTGTGTGTGTGTGTGTGTGTGTGAACATCAGAGGACAACTTGTGGTATCTGGCTTTCTTCCTCTACCCTGTGGGTCCTGGGGATTGAACTCAAGTCGTTGGGCTTGGCATCAAGCTCCTTTACCCAATGTCCCACACTATACGTTTATTCACAAGAAGTTATTGGTGGAATAATTGCTCCAAGGGAATAAATAGCAAGAAACTCCCCCCAATAATCAGAGGAGGTAAACTGGGTTGATCTGAATAACAAGAATCATTCTTTATCAGGCCCCAGATTAATGGTTGGAGATAACTGCAGTTTTAAAAACATTACATGGAAGTAAATACTACCACACAGCAGCCAAGGAGAATGCTGTTGTCACTCTAGCTCCCTTGTGCGGCCTTCCTAGGAGTCTCCGATACCATGCATCTGTGACTTTAGCCCCGAGTCATCTACCTGAAACAGTCTTTCCATGGGTGTGTGTCCATGCTCAGGTGTGCATGTATGTGGAGGCCACTCAAAGCTACCCACTTTCATTTCCAAAGATTTTTGGTTTATGTGTGTAAGCGTTTAGTGGGCAAAGGCGCCTCCCACAAGCATGATGAGTTTGACCCCGCCCCTAACTGTGTGCTGTGGCATATGTGCTTGTCCCGCCCATACACAATACACGTAAAACTAAAAACCTATGACTCTTTGTCTTATACAGATAATCCTTCTGCATCATCTGTAGATTTCACACTTGTAAATTTTCCCATTTGGGGGGCTGGAGAGACGGCTCAGAGGTCAAGAGCACTGACTGCTCTTCCAGAGGTCCTGAGTTCAATTCCCAGCAACCACAAAGTAGCTCACAACAATCTGTAATGAGACTTGGTGCCCTCTTCTGGCCATCAGACATACATGTAGGCAGAACACTGTATACATAACAAGTAAATCTTCAATTTTTCCCCCATTTGGTGAAACTTATTAACAACCTGCGAAATATCAACTCGGAAGGCACTCATGGATCCCTCTGACACGTGCATGGTCATGGAGACGTTTCTGTCTCCAGCCCTACGTTCTGTTCCTGGTGGAGATGGGACTTGTTTCAACTCTCGCACTGAACAAAATTGTCTTTTTGGTGTGTATTTAGAGTCATGCTTGTCGATTTCTTTGTGCTTTCTCCTGGTGATTTAGTTATTAAAAATGGCCCAGGCTGGGCTACGGGCTACTTCTGAGTTGGTAGAGAGCTTGCCTTGCATCCATGAAGACTCCGGTTTGATATAGCGTTTAATTAAAATCATACAGGAGAGGCTGGAGAGATGGTGCAAAGGGGAAAGTGTTTGTCCCACAAGCACAGGGACTTGAGTTTGGATCCCAGCCATCCATATAAAGGCAGGGGGCAGGGTTTGGTGACTCCTGTAATCTCAGGGGATGCCAGGCCTAGACAGCAGATTCACTGAGCTAGCCAGCTAGTTAGTCTGGCTGAATTAGCAAGCTGGGTTCAAGCGAGACTCTGCCTTTGTAGAATAGATGGAGAGTGACACCAAAGCAATCCTTGGCCTCTGTCTTCAAGTGCACACACATCTGTGCACACGCACCTACCTGTCCGTACACACACACACACACACACACACACACACATACACACACACCCTAAAACCAAAGGATGCATTTAGAAATAGTCTTGAGGGCTGACGAGATGGCTTAGCAATGAAGGCATTTGCAGCCAAGCCTAAGGATTTGAGTTTGATCCTTGGGACCCACACGGTGGAAGGAGAGAACCAATGTTGCAGGCGCGTCCTCTGAGCTTCCTGTGTGGGTTGAGGCACTCTCACTCCCATCCCCATAAATATATAATAATATAAGCCTAGAGTCATCTTAAAACATATATACAAGTAACAATAATGAAATGTTTTTTACACCCAAGGGAGTCCTAGAACCAGAGTCCTAACCATACTGGGTGTGGTGTGTTGACTACAACGTGTCCTCCTATGGCTCCTGTTTTAACACTCGGTCCCCAGGCAGGGGCACTCCTTAGGGACATTGTGGAATCATTAGGAGGTAGACATTTGCTGGAGGAAGCATGTCACTGGAGGTGGCTGTTCACCTCATCTCACGTCCTGTTCTTTCTGCTTACCATGCATGTTAAAAAATGTGCTCAGTCGCTTTCTGCTCCAGCCATTTTGTTTGTCCTGACTGTTGCCAAGCCTCCCCCACCGTGCTGGACTCTACCCCTCTGGAACCATGAGATAAAATAAACAGCTTTCTTCTTGTAAGTTGCATTTTGTCGGGGAATGATAAAACAGCAACAGGATAGGAACAAATACACTACAGGATGCTGCTCCTACCATGTACTATCAGTCCGCTCGCCGACCCATCATCCCCGATAACCCCATGAGTGTAACGGCTGTGATGTCCTGCCAGAGACATGAACCAGACTCACATCAGTCGCTGCAGAGCACATTCTGGGAGTCTCATGAACTGACACAGACGTCTCACTTCTTCAGTCCTCAGGCTGTTGTTTGACAGGCACAGGTGCGTCAAGGTCCGGTTACTGAAAAGGGCTGAGGCCAGAACGTGGCAGCTGACAGGTGTGAGGTCACAGCTGTCCAGTCTGCAAGGAGAGAGTCCTCAACAAAGGGAATAGTGAGGTCCGTTCTTATGTCTTCCTCCCCAACTGGCACACAAGACGGTTACCACAGCACTACTCACAACGGCTAAACTACCAAACTCATAGAGATCCACCTGCCTCTGCCTCTGCCTCTCAGGTGCTGGGTGTAAAGGCGTGCAACATGTATGGGGGCACAGGGTGTTAGCCAGAGGGCAACTGAAAGGAGTTGGTTTTGTCTTTTACCACCTGGCTTCAAGGACCTAGGCTAAGATCGCCATGACTTGGCAATCTAACCAGCCAGCCCAAGATTTATGTAGACACGTACAACTGTGTATACAAGGACGTCATGAAAATAGAAATGGAGGTGTCCAGGAGAGTAAAGGGGAACAGTGCTTCGGGATGTGGGTGAGAAAGAATATGTGTCTATGAGTACAAATACGCTGAGCAGACAGTAGATACATGTATGGGGTCTGGGGGGATGGCTCAAAGGTTAAGAGAGCTTGCTGCTCTTCAGAGAACCCTAGTACAGGCCCTGGAACCTATGCTGGATAGCCCTCAACCACCTTTAACTCCAGCTCCTGGGGATCTGATGCTCTCCTCTGTCCCACTGTGGAGATACCTACAGAATCAAACAAATTTTAACATATAAAAATTAATTTCCCTCTCCTCTCATTCCTTACAAGGTTCTGTCTGTGTGTGAGGACATTTGTGTGCCTTGTCTTGCATGTGGGAGTCAACTGCACAACTTGGCAGTGGTCCATTCTCTTTTTCGCTTTAAGGAGCAGGGGTGGGGGTGAATTCAGGTCATTAGGTGTGGCAGTAAGCATCATTTACCTGCTGAGCCATCTCTCACTGCCCTAGGTTTGGACTTTGTTAATTCCCCCTCTCACTGAACATTATACATCTAAGGGGGGGGTTGATGTTCTGTGTGTGACAATAGATTGGCAATATAATCTGTATGAATTCATACTGACACAATTGATACATTTGACAATGTGTAATCTATTTACTACATACTTAGCCGTGAAAAGGAAAGCTGCTAGACTTGAAAGTAAAAGCTTTGTAGTCCCCCAAACTAACTGTATCAACATAGAGTTCTTAGGATGTTATGTATCAGATATTCGGAATCACTAATGGGTTGAACAGAGTCTCTGCTGGTGAAGAAATAAACACCAGATGCATTGTACCAATGCAACTATGTTAATGCCAGTTGAGATTTCTTTTTTGGTTAGAGCCTTTAAGATTTTTATGTGTCTATGTATGTGGGTGCAGTGCCTTCAAAGGCCAAAAGAGGGCGATGGAGATGCTGGAGTTACCAGGGATAGTGAGCACTGTAATATGGGTGCTGGGAACTAAATCCAGGACCTCTACGAGAGCAGCAAGTGCTCTTAACCTGGGGGCCATCTTTCTAGCCTTGCCTCTGGCCTTTAGAGGGTGTTTTACTGTTTGGTTCTCAGAGTTGACTTTAACTAGAGCTGTGACAGCTGCCAGCACCCAGGTCTGAGCAGCGACCATTGGTGTGACATCCTGTTTTGCCAATTGATGATAGTTCTCCCATGAATGAGGAACTTAGCCTAACATGCCTCAAAGGCCATTCCATAGACATGCCTGGAGAAGGAACTAAAAGGCACCAACAAGAATCGCGTCAATCTCATCATGATTTCAATAATGGTTTCTACAGTTACTACCTCCTCACTCCCCTCTCTAATCACAGGACAATTTGACCAATTAACATCTGACCTTTCGATCATTGACATTAAGAGAACCACCCTGCTCCAGGTTTCCAAGTACAGGTCTGTCTACAAACAACACTCTTAAACTGGTCCCTCTGGACACCTTTGTCTCTATAGGAGGTCAGACTTATCTGATTGGCATTGGGATGACATTCTGCTAGGACCCTCCTCGTTTTGGAATGTGTAGTGCATGCATGTATGTGCACGTGTGTGCAGCTGCAACTGTCTGTGCATGCATGCTTATGGAGGCACAGGGGTGACACTGGGCACCTTGCGTCATCCTTCTCCATCTTATATATGGAGGCAGGGTCTCTCACTGACCCCAGAGCTTACCAATCTGGCTAGTCTGGAAAGCCAGCTTTCTCTGGATTCCTGCCTCTGCCTCCTTAGTGCCATGTAACCCACCAAGCCTATCAGGATACTCATGGGCTCTTGGGATCTGAACTCTGGTTCTCATGCATGCTCTACATGCTTTTTACCACAGGTCTACACGCCAACACATCTTCCTATTTCCTTGCTCTCTCTCATTTGCTCACTATCTCCGTCTGTGTCTCTCGGTCTGTCTGTCTCTGTGTGTATGCGTGTCTGTCTCTGTGTGTATGTGTCTGTCTGTCTCTCTGTGTATATGTCTGTCTGTCTGTCTCTGTGTGTGTCTGTCTCTGTGTGTGTGTCTGCCTCTTTGTGTGTCTGTCTGTCTGTGTGTGTCTGTCTATCTCTCGCTCTCTGTGTGTGTGTGTGTGTGTCTATACAAGAGCTCATTCTGTAGCTCAGGCTCACCTAGACTTGTTATGATCCTACTGTCTTAGCCTCCTGGGTACAAGGACTACAGTCACATACAACTATACCATGTGGCAACCATGTTCATGCTCTGGTTGTGTCTTGGCCAGGCAAGCAGGAAGTCATTAGTCATTGAATGGGTGGATCATCTCTAACCTTGGACTCTCGTGTGAACTAACCCACTTGGCATGTGTGGGTCACGTTCCAAAGGAGCTCTGTGAGTACAGAGGACTCCGGTCGACTTCCATTGTGCTCCCTTTTCACAGGAAGGGCTATGATTGAATGAACGGGGTTTCTCTGATGCCCCAGTGCCAGGGCTTTCCCATGAGGCCATGGGGTCTCAATCTGGAGTTACACATCTGCCACCCCCACCCATCTCCTGGACACCTCAGGCACAGCAGAGTCACAGAGTGAGAGGAAGCAAGACTCACATCAGCTTTTGCAGACCACACCTGGAGCTACTCAAGGCATCAGAGAGCCACCTCATGCTTTCTTCCGTCACCTTGTTTCCTGCCAGGCTGAGACATTTTAGGCTGGTGGTTGAGAGAAGGAGTTTGGAGAGCATCACGTAACAATCTGGGGTCAGCGCGCAGGAATCTAATCTACAGAGGCAGACAGCCAGAGACATTATTTTTTTCTCATCCCTCCTGGGTAACCCAGGGTAACACACACTGGTGACTCAGCTCCTTAGGAACTGGAGGTGTGTGCACACAGATTTCCCTTGCTTTTTCCTTATAGCAGCCGGTCCACACCCTTAACCAGCACACCACACCCCCATGGATACAATAGGCTATTAATTGCTAAATGAAAGAAAATGATGGGCTTGGGAAACGCTCGGGAGTCAAGGAGCTTCCACCAAGACTGAGACCTGAGGTTAATGCCAGGACCCACACTGTGAAGGAGAGAACCCATTCCCACGAGTTGTCCTCTGACCACACACATGCTGTGGCGTGAGCACGTCCAGGCACGTGCACACACTCAAAACTGGTAAACAAATCCAATGCAGAAGAATGAAAGTGACAATTCCTCAGCATGGCTTGACAGATGGCCTGTGTCAGCTCTAATTTAGCAAGTTCGCTGCCTGACATAACCAAAGAATCTTCCTGAGGCTGCATGTGATCCCATCTTTTCTTCTTGAGACAAGGCCTCAGGTTGGCTTCAAAATCGCTAAGTAGCCAAGGATGATCCCGAGTTTCTGCTTCTCCTGCCTCTACCTCTTGAGGGAGGCGCTCTCAGGTTCAAGCTTGGTTTTGTGCAGTGATGGGAACTCAAAGCGACACTTCCTCTTTTCTAGACAAGCAACATCATCAACCGAACCACATCTGCAGATGCCCCCTTCACCACTTTTTCTGAAGACAGGAGCTTTTGAGGCAAACCAGGTTGGCCTCCGAAACTCACCATCCCCCCGACTCAGCCATCGTGGTGCTGGATTCCAGCTACATACTGCCCTTCCTGGCACACAATCTTATTTTCAAACGTCTTTTTTTTTCTTTTTACATTTATTTACTCTGTGTGCACGTGGGGGTGAGGGGACAACTTCTAGGAGTCTCCTGGGTTCTGGGGACCGAGTTCATGTCACCAGGCTTAGGGGCAAATGACTTCATCTCCCTGGTCCCGTTTCTTAATCTTCACAAACACTAAAGTGTTTCTCTGTGGTGCGGCATTTATACCTTAAAATCTACGATCTGAACCACTCAATTTGCTGGCGCACTGCGTATTCTTTTTCTCAGTAACTCTCCTGGCTCTCCCACTCCCAGTGATAATGTTGCCAAATCAGTGTGGCTGCCCTCCTCCAGGACTTCTCCTTCTCTCTAATCCTCTTAATTCTTTTGCAACATTCCGGAAATCATTCCGATTTCTCAAGTAGAAGCCACACAGTGATAATCATCGCCGGAGCTCACCTCAGAGTTTCCAGGGAGCATTTTGGGTGTCTCAGCGCTTCACAGGCTAACTTGATGTCATCTTCCTCCATGAGAGTGTTCCCCAGATGGAGGTGTCTTAAGTTCTGATTACTAACGAGGGTCATCCAGAGATACCGGAGACCAGACGCTATCTCTGCATTCTTAAACCTGCAGGAAAGGAAGGGAGAGAGGAGGGATACAGTCACATCCTAACTCTCTCATGTCGTGGAGGTTTGTACACTGTGTGAAGACATATCACTGTGATTGGTTTAATAGAGACTTGAAAGGCCACTACCTAGTTAGGAGGTATAGGTGGGACTTTCCGGCAGAGGGAAAGGAAGGAGGAGATGAATCCAACAAAACCTGGGGGGGGGGGTCAGACATACAGATGAAATAGGTAAAAAGCCAAGAGGCAAAAAATGTTAATTAATGTAAATGGGTTAAGTTATAAGAGCAGTTGGACAAGTCTAAGCTAAGGTCAAGCTTTCATAATGAAGATGTCTCTGGGCTGTTCTTTGGGAACTGTCTGGCGGGGAACAGAAAAAGATTCATTGCACTCTTACCCTTCTAGCCCAGCGCTCAAAGCTGCTACCCATTTACATGGCATTTGTTTCTCAGACAGAATCTCACACTGTGCTGGCCTCTAACGCCTGTCTTCTCCCTCCACCCCTCAAGTGCTGGGATCACAGCCCTGTGCTAGCTCTCATGAGAGCTAATTGTTTTTCTTTTTAGCGACAGGGTCTAATTCATTCCAAGCTGGTCTTAGACTCACTTTGTCGCCCAGTTTCCTAAGTGATTCTGTATGAAAGTTATTTTGGGGTTTCTATTGCTGTGGTAAAATACCAGGACGAGAAGCAATTTAGGAAGGAAAGGACCTATTCCGTCTTACAGCTTACAGATCATCATCTAGGGAAGGCAGGGCAGGAAGTCAAGGCATTCATTAGACAACACGAACCATGCCTGGCTCAAGTCCATGCCATGTGACTTTCCCCTGGGTTGGGAGGGCAAGTTAAGAAGTGGGCTTTTTGTCTAAAGTAAAGCTGACATTTATTCTCCTACCCCAGGTATACGTCATCTGTAGCAGGCTCTGATTTTTATTATTGTGAGAGCGTGGGGGTGCCCCCTCAAAGATAGCATTTATTACAGAAGGCCAGAGCCCACCACTCCAGAATAGGCCACACCTCCCCAGCCTGAGGACAGGCCACGCCCCCACTGCCAGAGGACAGGTCAGCCTCCCCACACCTCTCACTGGGACAGAGATAAGAAGCCTTCAACTGAAGGTACCTGGGTCCTCCAGGCTTCTCGTTACACCTGCTGTGCTGAAATCATGTGATGGGAAACTTCTCACTGCTCCTAAATGTTGTACAAAGTCAGACCTTTCCATTGGTCTGTGGGTTTGATAGAGACGTCTCAGGGGGATTTGCTGAGTGAAGTGGCACCTTCTCATTCAACACAACATCCCACTCGTGATGGCTTGAGTATTCTCTCTTTCACACTTTTTTTTCTGAGATAGGGTTTCTCTATGTAACTTTGGAGGCTGTCCTGGAACTCACTCTGTAGACCAGGCTGGCCTCGAACTCAGAGATCCACCTGCCTCTGCCTCCCGAGTCCTGGGACTAAAGGCGTGCACCACCAACGCCTGGTGGTTCATGCATCTTTTATAGCATTTATTCTTTCAGGACACATCATCTCAGGGTTGAGAGAGGGACCCTCTTGGCAAGAGGGACCATGGGAAGGATTACTCATACCAGACCGTGCGGCACTTACGTCACACTTTGTACTTTACAGGCTGGATTCCTCAATTTCACACACAGTATCTTCATGGCCCATTCGTTCAGGATGCTGCTGCCCACGTCCAGATGCTTCAGTTTGGGGTGGGTGCCCAGGACAGAGCAGAAATCCTTCCAGCACTCTGTGATGTGGGGCTTACCATGTGTCCTGTGTCAGCAGGGAGGGAAAGGAGGGGATTGAACAGGAGGATTTCAACAGGAGTGACTGCCACAGCAAGGTCACCGGAGGGGACCAGACTGTAAGAGGGAGCGGGACAGCTGAGAAAACAAAACTGACTCAGTGGATGCTGCCTGGTGCTCTACAGGACCAGCCCTACACCCCCCCCCCAATATTTCAACATCCCCTGCTGGTAAGCTAGCATGATCAGGAGCCTCAGCCCTCCCACTCATGTGCTGACTTAAATTCTAGCACCCCTAGTGGCAAAATGGTGCCACTGCATTGTTATACCATTGGGAAAGATAGATTCTTATTTTTAAATTATGAGTCTTTCTGCATTCGTGCATGGGCGTGCATGGGCATGCATGCACGCGCTCACGTGTGTGTGTGTATGTGTGTGTGTGTGCGTGTCTACATGTGGGTACACACATATGTGTGCTTTTGCCCATAGAGACCAGGAAAGGGCATCAAATCTCCCTGGAGCTGGTGTTACAGGCAATTATGATCCACTCAGTGTGATGCTAGGAACCAGATTCAGGGCCTCTGGAAGAGCAGACCAGTGCTCTTAACTGCTGTGTCATTGTTCTAGCCTGGATTTTTTTTTTAATTCTGGGGATAATATGATCATTCGATCTCCATCTTGGATTAGAGATTTCCACTTCCAGGTAGCTATGGCAATTGACTAAACAGAGCACTACAGAACAGCCATCTGTGTGGCAGCGGACTACCGATAATCCTTAGCAACAAGAGGACGGTTACAGGACCTCTGGCCTGGGGTTCTAGCTCTTACTTTGTCCCCTCCCTCAGCCGCAAGTGATCTTGGTGGCTGCCGGCGTGTGTGCGGAAGCAGACGGTTAGCTGAAAACATGACTGCACCACACAGCTCTCCCTGAAGCCATTATCTACGCGAGGCGAGACTCTGCCGTGATGCAGTTGTCCTGGGGTCACCCACGTTTCTGTAAGCAACCCCAATAAACTGCTGTATAACCCAGCCGACGGTGGTACAACGATGGCTCTGGGCTTGCGTTGGGTTCCTGCTGGGGTGAGGAGAGGCTGGTTTGCATCTCCCCAGGTGGACTGCACGCAGCAAGCTGCGATAGAGAACAGTGCGCAGGGGTCTCCAGAATTAGAACTGAGGAACTCAATACAGCAGCCCCACATTTGTGCATTGCTAGCACACGGGCCTGCCCCTTTAAGACGCCCTAGGAAGTCCAGATCTCACAGGTCTAAGGAGAGCAGACGTGTCTCCCTGTACACATATCTGTGCTGTGACATGCTGGCCCTTGACCTACGGCCCCTGGCTCGTCCATGCTCTGGTCACGTGCCTGTGCTGGGAGCAGTGAGCTGTATGTAGAAAAGTATGCCAAGGGGGCCATCAACTGCGGTGGTGCTATGGGCTACAACCTTCCCACTCACCTTTTCTGCAGGTAGTTACGTGTCTTTATGGGTAGCAAAGGGACAGCAGGGTCATTGAAGCAGACAGTGAATGGTCGCACATGTGTGTGCAGACAAAAAAAAAAGAGGTCTGACATGGCTGAGTGGGTTAAAGGCTTGTGCCACCCGTGCTTGGTGACGTGAGTTCAAACCCCAAAACCCATGTAATGGAAGGAGCAGCTCCATTACTGCTGGACGTGCTCCTCCTAAGCTCCACACAAGTGTTGTGACATGTGTGTGCACAGACAGACAGACACACACACACACACAGAGGCACACAGGAACAGACAGACAGACACACACAGAGCCACACACACACAGAGCCACACACATAGACCCCCCAGACGCACACACACAGACATACACACACATACACACACAGACACATACACACAGACGTACATGCACACACAGGCATGCGCGTACACACACTAAACAAATAAATGCAACTAAATAAAAATAAATCCCCAGCCATGGAGAGTGGTGGAGTCACTTGAGACAGGGAGGATGGGAAGATAAGGTGTTCAAATATCATAAAATCTCAATCAAGGGGAATCAATTTAGAGATTTTTTTTTCAGACAGTGTTTCTGTGGCTTTGGAGGCTATCCTAGCTCTTGTAGACCAGGCTGGTCTCGAACTCACAGAGATCTGACTGCCTCTGCTGCCTGAATTCTGGGATTAAAGGCATGCGCCACCACTGCCCAGTTTAGAGATTATTTCTACATTGTGACTTAATATATAATGATGATATTAATGTGTTACATATCTAAAGATTGCCAAAATGATCCTAAAAATACCTGAACATGCAATCTGCCTGCCTCTGTCACCAGCTTACAGAGGTAAGGATGATTCATTTTAAAAATATTCAGTGTTTTTTATGTATGTGCATTGCACATCACGTGCCCGTGTGGCTCTGTGCATACAAATGCAGGTGCCCGTGGAGGCCAGAAGGGGGCGATGAAGCTGTAGACAGTTGTGAGCCACTTCCACTTGTGCTGGGAGCTGAACTCTGGTCCTCTGGAAGAACAGAAATATCCCCTGAGCCCTCTCTCCAGCCTAGGTACTTTTGTCCATTAATCTGTCAATCAATCTATCAGACTTTGGAAACTGCCAATCACCCAGGAATCTCACACTGGGAGAAGGGAAAGGCTGGAGCCTGGCACCAGCCAGAATGGAAGAGATTCCGCATGTAGCAGCCCACCTTGCTGAAGACAGTGGAGGCAAGACCATGAGTCAGTGGTGGGCGGGGATCACACCTCTGGGAGAACTATTTAGATGTACATGTTCCTGGACCTTCACCCCTCCTATTTCATCGTCACTTCGGGATCCAGAAGATGGACTACGGAGAGGGGGATCAATAGAGACCTATTGACCTTTGATCTTTGTCCCTTTTCCCAATGTGGCCACACTGTTAAAATCTCCCTTTTATGCATTTTATTTTTAATCTGGCCATTCTATAGTTGTCTCACTGGTGGAACCTAGCTTGATGCCCCTCCCTCTTGAGTGCTGGCCTTGCAGGTAAGTTCCATACCCCACCCAGTCGATACACCTGGAGATTGAACCCCGGGCTTCATTCATGCTAGGCAAGCAATCTCTGGAGATCTATCTACCAACTGAGCTATATCCCCCAGCATGTGACTCAGTGTTTTAAATGGGATTACCCAGGAGATCACGATGAACTGGACTTGGATCAGGTCCTGCTAGTAAGTGAATCATCGTTTAGGAGCCATCTGGTAACCTGAATATTTCTGAACACCATATCCAAGCCCAATAACATAGAAAATTTGCTAACTGGCTTAGGATAAAGATCATGCGACACTCACTGCTGTTGAATAACAGGGCTCAGCTCAATATTCATTTCCGTCGAGAGGACGCCTCTGACATCCACCTGGAGCGTCTCCAAGCTCTGACAACACTGGAGACAATAGGAAGATACTGCTAAGTCCATCCTCTGGTTAACCACAATCCCCACTCCTTGGAAGCTTGTCAGGGATGAGCAAACAAATTCTTCATCCTGAGACTCAAAGAGATAGTGGAAGGCATCCAGGACATCCGTCAGGCTGGTGGCATTGGCCTGCTGACCTAGCACAGAGACCCAATGTTGGAGCACCTTCTTTACATCAGGGGACAGGGAACATCCAAGCAGAACCTCCAGGGTCCTCATTGTGTCCTTGTTCATGAGGCCAAATAAGAAACGCTTCATCCCATCGAGGTGAGTGTTGAAGTGGGTTCGCTTCAGCTCTGTCATGCTCTTCAGAGTTTTACTGAAGGAAAAGTACTGGTTGCTTTTCCCCAGCCCTTCCAAAACATAATGCAAGGCAGCGCAGAAATCCTGCAGGCTGACGTGAAAGAAAACATAGCACCGTTTGGCGCTGCGGTCAACCTGGAGGATGTTCATGCGAAAGAGGGCTGAGATCTTCGACTCCTTCAGGCCGTAGGTCTGCAGGTCGTCATCGTAGAACACTGATTTCTTGCTCCACACTCCCTCTGCCGCCATCCTGCACAAACCCATCAGGGTGCCTTGCTCTTCCTGATTGAGGCAGCTCCGGGAAGGCTTTCTCGGGGTGAGCTGGTGGAACACCATGGTGGCGTACAGACTGGTGAGAGTCTGGCAGCCTGGAGTGCGTCTCTTTCCCAGCTCCTCCTGTATCTTCAAGGCCTCACAGACCAGTGAGCACACGGAGGGGACCTGACACTGCTCAGCGAGCCAGTGATTACCTGTCACGGAACTGATGACTTGGTTTCTTTGATGGTCATCACAGATGTTCTTGAGGACTACCTGCTTCCTCCTTGTCGCATACAGCCCTTCAACCAGTATGTAGAGCGGGGACACCAGCATGGACTTGAGCTTTTCTAAGCCTGAGTCTGTGGTGGTGATCAGGAGAAAGGACTTGGGTAGGAGGGCCTTCTTCAGGAGGCTGTACAGCACGATGGATATGGGCCGTTCATCCTCCCAGTTTTCACAGAGCCTCATGTCCTCCTGTAGGAGGGCAGATTCCAGACTGTCAAAATCATCCATGACAAACAAGAGCCTTTCAGGTTTGGACATGATCTCTGTCACTGGAGCCTGGGAGCCTGGCCACTCCCTGGATATCAACTGTACCAAACTACTCTTCTCTGTCCATTTTATGTCTTTTGGAGAGAAGAGGAAGGCATAGGAGATGTCTTGGCAGAGTTTATCCTGTGCCCAGCCCAGGATGATACTTCTGGCCAAAGCCGACTTTCCAACTCCTGGCTTTCCATGTAAGACAACAGTATGAGGCTGGATGGTTTTCTGGTAAGGCTTAAAAGCCTCAGACAACACTCGCATCTCAGGGTCATCAGAACGGACTTTCACACTCTTGTTGAGTTTCTTTGTAATGTGTGCCTTATAGACTTGCAGGTCACCTAGATGGTAGGAAGTCAGGTAAGACAGCCAAAGAAAAACAAAATTACAACAAAATCTCATTTTTTGTTGAAACCGACATGCATATCTACAAGATGAGTCTAACAATGGTTTAAAACATCTCGGAATAGAGGGGAGGAATCTAAATTGACTTATAGTAGTGAGGGAAGTTTAAGTGGATGAATATACTCCTTGCCTTTAGTTGTTCACTACTGTATGTATAATGAATCAAATGTCTCTCTCTTTTGCCACAAGTCAGATGGCTATGTACATATTATTGCTACTTCAGTACCTGTTTTAGAGAATAGACTCTCTTATTTGCTCTGTAGCCTACCGTGACTTTGAACTTGTGGTTCTCCTGTCTCTATGTCCCACCTGCTGGGATTACTGGTGTGTACCATCATGTCCCGGTCTCATCTGGTGCTGGGGAGTGAACCCCATGGCTTTATGCACCCTGCACAAGCACTCTACCAATTTGGTTACATCCATTGTCTGGCTTAATCTGAGCAATGTATTTCTAATGAGATGTGAGTAGGCTTGGCCATCTCTGGGCAGTGAGTTGTAGAGATTTGCCTTTCTCCCCATTCCATCATGCCAGTACTATGATTACAAGTACAATGCCATTATACTCAACTTTTTTTTTCTGAGACAGGGTTTCTCTGTGCAGCCATGGCTGTCCTTGATGCATTTTATACATCAGGCTGTCCTCCAACTCATATCTACCCAACTCTGACTCCTGTGGGCTGGGATTACAGGCATGCCCCACCACTGCCTGGATCATACCCAACTTTTAATGTGGGTTTGGGGGTTGGGCATGCAAGGCAAACATCCCACCTTGAGATCTTAATCTCTATTTGCCAAATTGGACCGATGCAATATCCTCATCATGTTGAACATTAGCCTTGCTAATGGATTTAGGTTTTCCCACAGAGTCAAAAGCTCTAGGAACCCAGCCTGCAGTTGGATCCAAGTCTTCCTGGATTTTTTTCTCATCTATAGATTTAATTATTATACTCGGGCTCCAGACTGCTCTTTGATGCCTCCCAAGAAGTCTGTGCTTGTGTGTAACTTCTCACCCACAGAGCACCCCAGCTCTCATGAGTACCAGAAACTTCTTTCAAGGCACTTGCTTTATGGCACTGATCAGAGTTCAGAGTCCTCAGTGCCATGCACGTGTGCACACATATACACAAAATTTGTGAACACACATGCAGGCATACACATGCACACACACAGGCTTGGATGCTCACAAACACACACATGAACACACATGCACACACACAGAAAACCCACAAACTATTACCTCCAAATAAAAGTTACAGTCCTATTTCTATAAGACATATGAAAGCAAAAGCTCCCATTTGCAAGCTTACGGTTGGGCAGAGGTTGATCACAACATAAGAAGTTGTACTTATTTATATCTGATGACTATTTTGCCTGTATGCTATATGTCTGTGTACTTTGGGCATGCTATGCCTGCTGAGGCCACATGAGAGCAGATCACTTAGAACTGGAGTTACAGATGGTTTCGAGCTGACATGGGGGTGCTGAAAACTGAATCTGGCTCCTCTGGAAGTGTGCCTAGTGCTCTGAAATACTGAACCCTCTTTTTGGTACCTAATCATATTTTTGAGAGTCGCTCACAGAATCTGAATCTCAGCAACATGGACAGACTGGTTGACTAGTAACACCATGGACCCTCCTGCATCCTCCTTATCAGTGCTGGGATGACAGGCACATTCCTATTTACTTGGCCTTTTAATAAGAGTTCTGGGACCTGGAGCAGCTAACATAGTACTGACTGAACAGTTTACCTCAAACTCAAAAACATTAATAGAACTACCTATATATCCAAACACAGATCCATGCAACTAAATGCAGTCTATATCAAGAGAACAGCTGACATTCCAGAAATTGTCAAAATGACTGTAAAGCTCATGATAGAATCAAAGAGACCTAGAAAGTCCAAGTTTTGCAGATTAATGTTGAATGTCATCTACCCTCTAAAATAATGTAAGTCTGTGGACATAGCGGCATAAGGACAGGCACATAGGATAGTTAAATAGAATCAAGCAACCCCACATTACCCTCCCACACCTCTATTTAGACAATTCAGCAGAATTGCGTGTGCTCATGTGTGTGGTACGTGGTCAAGTGCAGGTTATATGTGTGCTTGCCTGTGGAGGTGAAAGGTCAACCTTAGCTTTCTTTCCTCTGAAAGACTACCCTTTTACAAAGGGCTTTTTAATTGCTAATTAATCCATGGGTGTCTGTGAGCACTTGTAAATGCAGAGAATAGAGGTGTTGGATTTCCTGCAGCTGGAGTTCTCAGTGGTTACCTGTCATCTGATTTGGTGCTAAGAACCAAACTCCAATCCCACATGCACATACATAGGAATTCAGAGGTCCAGCTGGGATGTGGTAGCACACACCTATTATGCCAGTACTCAAGAGGCATAGGCAGGTGGATCTCTGTGAGTTCGATGTTAGCCTGGTCTACAGCGATAGTTGTAGCACAGCCAGGACTACACAGAGAAAATTTGTGTTGAAAAACAGAAAGAGCACAAAGAGCTCAGGGGTCTAATTCTTTAGGTAAAACTATAAACCATGTGGCTTTAAGTGTATCCATGTTTACACCCCACCCTGCATGCACACCTGGGGCGTGTCCCTCATCTGGCCCTTGGTCACTCTGGATTGGTTTTCGGTTTTCTTCTGTTTTACTCTTTGATTCATCTGCAACAGAGAGGAAGAGAGAGCACTGTTATCAAATCACAGTCTAAAAGCCCTAGATGGGAGGAGAACTCTCCATGTCCAAACTACCAAGCAGAATTAGAGCAAGTCTTGACTCATTTTATGCCCAGAAGTGTCCTCTAGGCCGTCAGGAGCACCGAGTGAATTCATTCAAGTGGACAACAGGAGCGTTGCTGGGAGGCATCACAGACTTTTTGTGAAATGGGTCTTACTATATAATTTAAGCTGGCCTAGATCTTGCTATGTAGACCAAGGTGGCCTTGAAGTCAGACTTGCTGGTCTCTGCTTCCCATCCACGCATTGAGGTTCAAGTTGTACACTACAATGACTGGCTCATCAGTAGACTCTTGAATGATTCTTGCTACTCAAAGACGACTTCTGCCACTTGCCTCAAAAACAATAAAAATGGATTCATGATCTTCTTACGCTTGCAGGTAGGAAGGGTGAGGTTTGGGTAGCTACTCATGTGACCTGGAAAAATCTAGATGCCCCTCAACTGAGGTATGGAGAAAGAAAATGTGGAACATTTACACAATGGAGTAGTACTCAGTGGTTAAATCCACTACGTGGGGCTGTAGAGATCGATCAGAAGTTAAGCGCACTGACTGCTCTTCCAGAGGACACGGGTTCAATTCCCAGTATCGATATAGCCGCAAACAACTGTCTGTAGTTCCAAGATCTGATACTCTCACACCGACATATGTGTAGGCAAAACACCAATGCACACAAAATAAAAACAAATACATTATTTAAATAATCAACTACTTAGCATCTGAAATGCATGACACAGGAGTTTAAGATCAACAGTGTGCCTTTTCTTTTGGTTTTCGAGACAGGGTTTATATCTGTGCCTTTTGAGGCTGTCCTCCTGGCACATGCTCTGGAGACCAGGCTGCCCTTGAACTCACAGAGAACAGCATGTCTCTGCCTCCTGACTGCTGGGATTAAAGGTGTGCACCACCAACACCCAGCAGAGTGCCTTTTAAAATATGATTATGATGTCATAAAAAAGATCAAGAGTTATTTGTTAAGTACTAGACTTGATTGGAGCCAGAGCCTCATGAACACGATTATAATTAGAGACTGAGCCAGAACCTCATGCATACCAAGCACATACAACCACTAGGGATTGAAGCCAGGACCTCATGACTTTACACACACTACCTCCGGAAGCCAAGGCATCATTCCCGCCATGCTCAGAGTAGCAGAGACTGAAGCCAGGATGTCTCATACATGCTAGGACACAGAAATACAAGAGACTGAATCTGAGCCTCAGGCATGTTTTGTATACACAACCAATAGGGATCATCAATGTCTAGGAAATACAGGGAGCAGAAAGAACATGGAAACCACGAGGAAATTTTCAAGCAAAGAGCAGCTGAGAGTTTTGTGTAGGTGTAGTCAATGTGGGATTCTTTATAGGTGACCTGGAACTCACAGAGATCCTCCTTCCTCTGTGTCCCTAGTGCAGGGGTTAAAGGTGAGCACCACCACCTCTTGGCCTTTTAAAAAAGGAAATTCATTATATAAACACTGTTATGCATATGTGTATATATCCATGCCAGAAGAGGGCACCACATCTCATTCATAGATGGTTTGCAAGCCACCATGTGGTTGCTGGGAATTGAACTCAGGACCCCTGTGAGAACAATCAATGCTCTCAACCTCTGAGCCATCTTTCCAGCCTTCATCCAAGCTCTTGTAAGCAACTCTGATGAAACCTCCTGTTTGAATACTATATGATGCTCTCACTCAGCCTGCTTATAGGTTGGCGCAAATAAATATTTTCTTCACCTTTTTCACATGTCTCTGCTGCTGCCTCTTGTTCCTCAGCTTGCAAGGCTCCTGTAAAAGGAAGAGCAAGACCATCCTACATGACTATGTTTGTTGTTCAAAAGAGATACCATCTGTGTCAGTGCCTGCCACCCACCACTCTGTCCTCCTAACTGTCTGTCTGCATACCTGTCAGTCTATCCATCTATCCATTTTCCATCTAAGTAATGTATGTTATCTCTTTGCTGGTTTTTCAAGACAAGGTTTCTCTGTGTAGCCATGGCTGTCCTGGAACTTCGCTCTGTAGACCAGACTGTCCCAAACTCACAAAGATCTGACTGTGTCTGTCTCTGTGTGCTTGGATTAAAGGTGTGCACCACCACAAGCTAGTGAAGTTGTAGTTATTCATATCTGATGACTATTTTGCCTGTGTGTTATATATCTGTGTACTTTGCACATGCTATGCCTGCTGAGGCCACATGAGAGTAGATCACTTAGAACTGGAGTTACAGATGGTTGTGAGCTGACATGGGGGTGCTGAAAACTGAATCTGGCTCCTTTGGAAGTGTGCCTAGTGCTCTGAAATACTGAACCCTCTTTCTGTTATCTAGTTATATTTTGGAGAGTCTCTCACTAAATCTGAATCTCAGCAATTTGGCTAGACTGGCTGACCAGTAAGCACCATGGACCCTCCTGTACCTGCCTTTTCAGTGCTGGGATGAAAGGCACATTCCACTTTACTTGTCCTTTTAATACGAGTTCTGGGACCTAAAGTCAGGTCCTTGTACCTCAAACTCAAATTCATTAATATATCTATATCTATATCTATATCTATATATATCCAAACACAGATCCATGCAACTAAATGCAGTCCATATCAAGAGAACAGCTGACTACCCAGAAATTGTCAAAAGAATGTAAAGCTCATGATAGAATCAATGGGACCACAAAAGTTCCCCATGTTTTGCAGATTAATGTAGAATATCATATACCCTGAAGAACAGAGGACATAGCAGCATAAGGACAGGCACATAGGTATTTTAAGCAGGATTGAGCAACAGCAAATTATCCTCCCACACCTCTATCTAAACAATTCAGCAGAACTGCCTGTTAACATGTGTGTGATATGTGGGTTAAGTGTAGGTTATATGTGCGCTTGCATGTTCCGGAGAAAGTGGTCAACCTTGGCTTTCTTTCCCCCTGAAAGACCATTCTTTTAAAAAGGGCTTTTTAATTGCTTACTACACTCGTGCATGGTTGCCTGTGAGCACTTGTAACTGCATGGAATAGAGGTGGTGGATTTTCTTGGAGCTGGAGTTCCCAGTGGTTACGTGCCATCTGATGTCGTGCTGAGAACCAAACTCCAATCCCATATGCACACACATAAGAATTCAGAGTTCCAGCTAGGATGTGGTAGCACACGCCTAGTATGCCAGTACTCAAGAGGTATAGGCAGGATCATCTCTGTGATTTTGATGTTAGCCTGGTCTACAGCAATAGTTGTAGGACAGCCAGGACTACACACAGAAAACTTGTGTTGAAAATTAGAAAGAACACAAAGTGCTCAGGGGTCAAATTCCTTAGATAACACTATAAACCATGTGCCTTTAAGTGTATCCATGTTTACTCCCAACACTCCATGCAAACCTGGAGCCTGTCCCTCCTCTGGCCCTTGGTCACTCTGGATTGATTCTCTATCTTCTTCTGGGGTACTTATTGATTCATCTGCAACAGAGAGGAAGAGACAGTGCTGTTAATAAGTCACAGTCTAAAAGCTCCACCTGGGGAATGGAACTCTCCATATCCAAACTACCAAGGGAATTAGAGCAAGTCTTGACTTAGTTTATGCCCAGAAGAGTCCTCTGGGCCACCAGGAGTGTTGCTGGGAGGCATCACCGACTCTTTTCAGAGCAGGGTCTTACTATATAATTCAAGCTGGCCTAGATCTTGCTATGTAGACCACGGTGGCCTTGAACTCTGACTTGCTGGTCTGTGCTTCCCAATCCAAGCATTGGGGTTCAAGTTGTACACTACTCTGAATGGCTCATCAGTAGACTCTTGAATGATTCTTGCTACTCAAAGATGACTCCTGCTACTTGCCTCAAAAACAGTAAAAATGGATTAATGATTTACTTAAGCTTGCAGGTAGGAATGGTGAGGTTTGAGTAGCCTTAAAACAACTACTCACGTGACCTGGAAAAAATCTAGATGCCCCTCAACTGAAGTATGGAGAAAGAAAATGTGGAACATTTACACAATGGAGTAGTACTCAGTGCTAAAATGCACTACGTGTGGCTGTAGAGATGGATCAGAAGTTAAGAGCACTGACTGCTCTTCCAGAGGACACGGGTTCAATTCCCAGTATCCACATAGCCACAAACAACTGTCCGTAGCTCCAAGATCTGATACCCTCACACAGACATACATGTAGGCAAAACACCTATTCAAATAAAATAAAAACAAGTAAATTATTTATATAAGCAACTACTTAGCATCTGAAATGCATGACACAGGAGTTTTAAGATCAACAGAGTGCCTTTCCTTTTCGGTTTTCGAGACAGGGCTTCTCTGTGTCTTTGGAGTCTGTCCTCCTGGCAGTTGCTCTGGAGACCAGGCTGGCCTTGAACTCAGAGAGAACAGTCTGCCTCTGCCTCCTGACTGTTGGGAATAAAGGTGTGCACCACCAACACCCAGCAGGGTGCCCATTAAAATAGGATTTTGACATTGTAAAAAAGATCAATAATCGAGTGCCTGCTTTTGCCTGGAGACCGCCACAGAGTTTCCCAAATTGGCAGGAATCAAGTACCCCAGATCCCAGGTCTTCTCTTCCATCAAGGAGACCTGGAGAACAGCAGGCTGGTGAGGAGATCAGGTAAAACTGGCCCTGCATCCAGGCCTGGGTTTTGCCTGGATACTGCCACAGAACTTCCCATCCCGGCCGGAGTGAAGCACCCCATATCCTAGGTCATCTCTTCCACCAATGAGATCTGGAGAACAGCAGGCTTCAGACAAGATCAGGTAAAACAGGCCCTGCATCCACATCTGCATTCCTGTGCCTGTGGATTGCCTGGAGACTGCCACAGAGCTTCCCATCCCGGAGGGAGCCAAGCACCACAGATCTCAGGTCTTCTCTTCCACCAATGAGACCAGGGGACCAGGTGGGGGCCTACGTACCCCAGATTCCTGGGTTTATTCTCCACCCACAGGACCAGAACTAAGATGAGGAATAGAAGAACTACCAGCGTATTGGACTTGCTTGCACCCACCGAGAGGGAACTCTGGTTCCCTAACCACCAGACCAGTAAGGGGGCTCTTTCTGCACCCACTCTGAGTTGGGAAAGAGACAAAACAAAAATACACTCAGCAACAGAAAAACAAAGATGACACCACCAGATTCTAGAGCCAGACTCCAACAGCCAGACTCCAACATTCCAATGCAAATGAAGCAGAAGAAAATGATCTTAAAAATAACTTCATGAAAATGAGAGAGGCCCTAAAAAGAGGATACAGGAAAATCCCTTAAAGAAATGGAAGAAAAAACAAACCAAAAATGCAAGAAATGGAAGAAAAAACAAACCAAAAAATGCAAGAAATGGAAGAAAAAACAAACCAAAAAAATTCATAAAATGCAACAAATGGATGAAAAGATAAACCAAAAATTGCAATAAACAATTCAAACACTGCAAGGGTTGAAAACTGAAATGGAGACAATAAAAAACACAATCTGAAGAAAGGCAGGAAATAGAATAGCTGGGAAAATGGTCAGGTACTACAGATACAAGCATTACCAACACAATACAAGAGATGGAAGAGAGCAGCATCTCAGGTGTTGAAGATACATTAGGAGAAATGGATTCTTTAACCAAAGAAAATCTTAAGTCCATCAAATCCCTAACACAAAAAATCCAGGAAATATGGGACACCATGAAAAGACCAAACCTAAGAATATTAGGTATAGAAGAATGGGAAGAAAAACACCTCAATGGGGCAGAAAACATATTCAACAAAATCATAGAAGAAAACTTTCCAACCTAAAGAAAGACATGCCAATGAAGGTACAAGAAGCTTACAAAACAAAAACATACTCAGCAACAGAAAAACATAAAAAAGTCCCCTGGCCACATACTAATCAAGACCCCAAATATAGAGAATAAAGAAAGAATATTAAAAGCAGCTAAGGAAAAAGGCCAAGTAACATATAAAGGCAAACCTATCAGAATTACACCTGACTTCCCTATGGAAACTCTGAAAGCCAGAAGGTCCTGGATAGATATTCTACCAACACTAAGAGACCACGGATGCCAGTTCAGACTACTATACCCGAGAAAGCTCTCAATCACTATAGATGGAGAAAACAAGATATTCCATGACAAAACTAGATTCAAGCAATACGTATCCAATAACCCAGCCCTACAGAAAGTTCTGGAAGGAAAACTCCAACCGAAGGAAGTCAACTACAACCAGAAAAACATAGGCATTAGATAATCCCACTTTATCAACAGCCAAAGTAATAAAGGGGTGGAATTCCACACATAAATCCACCACCACCAACTACTCCAAATCAAAGAAGAATGATCAATCAATGGTCATTGATATCTCTCAAAATTAATGTCATTAACTCACCCATAAAACACACAGGCTAATAGAATGGATTCGAAGACAGAACCCATCCTTCTGCTGCAAACAAGAAACACACCTCACCCTCAAAGACAGATATTACCTGAGAGTTAAAGGTTGGGAAAAATTTTTCCAATCAAATGGACCCAAGAAACAAGCAGGGGTAGCAATCTGAATATCTAACAAGTTAGACTTTAAAATAAAAATCAAAAGAGATTAAAGAGGTCATTATATACTCATCACAGCCGGAATCGAACAATATGAAGTTTCAATTCTGAGCATCTATGCCCCAAATACAAAGGCATCCACGTTCAAAAAAGAAACATTACTAAAACTTAAATCACATATAAAGCCCCACACACTTATAGTGGGAGACTTCAACAGCCTACTTTCACCACTAGACAGGAATACCAGGCAGAAACTCAACAAAGAAGCAAAGGGTCTAATAGAAGTAATGACCCAACTGGGATTAACAGACATCTATAGAACATTTCATCCACATAAAAAAATACCTTCTTCTCACCACCACATGGAACCGTCTCAAAATTCGACCACATACTTGGCAACATATCAAACCTCAGCAGCTACAAAAAATTGGAATAACTCCATGCATCTTATCAGACCACCATGTGTTAAAATTAGAATTCAACAACAACACAAATGGCAGAAAACCTACAAACTCATGGAAATTGAATAAGGCACAACTGCACCGTTCCTGGGTCAAAGAAGAAATAAAAAAAGAAATTAAAGACTTCCTAGAATTCAATGAGAATGAAGACACAACATACCCAAACCTATGGGACACTTTGAAAGCAGTGCTACGTGGGAAGTTCATAGCACTAAGTGCCCACATGAAGAAACTGGAAAACAGTTATACTAGAGAATTAACAGCACAGCTGAAAGCTCTAGAACACAAAGAAGCAAACTCCCCCAGCAGGAGTAGATGCTAGGAAATAATCAAACTGAGGGCTGAAATCAATAAAGTAGAAACTTTACAATACAAAGGATCAATGCAACGGAGAGTTGGTTCTTTGAGAAAATCAACAAGGTAGACAAACCTTTGTCCAAACTTACCAAACAGCAGAGCATGAACATACACATTAACAAAATCAGAAATGAAAAGCGGGACATAATGGACTCTGAGGAATTTCAGAGCATCATCAGGTCATACTTTGATTAAAGGTGTGCACCACCAACACCCAGCAGGGTGCCTTTTAAAATATGATTTTGATGTCATAACAAAGATCAAGAATCATTTGTTAAATACTAGACTTGATTGCAGCCAGAGTCTCATGAACACGGTATCTTTAGAGACTGAGCCAGAGACTCATGCATATCAAGCACATACAACCACTAGGGATTGAAGTCAAGTCTCATGTGTGCTGTGCACATACATTCACTAGATATTGAAGCCAGGAACTCAAGACTTTACACACACTACCACCAGAAGCCAAGGTATCATGCATGCCAAAAACAGACAACCAGAGACTGAAGCCAGGAGGTCTCATACATGCTAGGACACAGTAATACAAGAGACTGAATCATAGTCTCAGGCATGTTTTGTATACACAACCAATTGGGATCATCAATATCTAGGAAATACAGGGAGCAGAAAGAACATGGAGAACATGAGGAAATTTTCAGGCAAAGAGCAGCTGTCAGTTTTGAGTAGGTGTAGTCTATGTGGGAGTCTTTATAGGTGACCTGGAACTCACAGAGATCCCCCGTCCTCTGTGTCCCTAGTGCAGGGATTAAAGGTGGCACCACCACATCTTGGCCTTTTTTTAAAAAGATAATTCTTCATATAAATAGTGTTCTGCATACGTGTATAACTCCATGCCAAAGAGGGCACCAGATCTCATACATAGATGGATTGCAAGCCACCATGTTGTGGCTGGGAATTGAACTCAGGACACCTGTGAGAACAATCAATGCTCTTAATCTCTGAGCCATCTTTCCAGCCTTCACCCAAGCTCTTGTAAGCAACTCTTGTGAAACCTCCTGTTTGAATGCCATATGATGCTCTCACTCAGCCTGCTTATAGGTTGGCACAAATAAATATTTTCTTCACCTGTTTCACATGTGTCTCCTGTTGCCTCTTGTTCCTCAGCTTCCAAGGCTTCTGTAAAAGGAAGAGCAAGACCATCCTACATGACTATGTTGTTTAAAACAGATACCATCTGTGTCAGCGTCCCCACCTGGGCTTAGGACACGGAGGAAGAGGGGCAGAAAGAAAGAGCTGGAGGATGGGGAGGGGAGCTGAGAAATGCTGTGCTCTACACATGTGTGAAGCTGCTGTTGCACACATGAAGTCAGGCATCTCTGGTCACCTGCACAAGGCAGATACAGTAAAAATCCCATCATGTATTGGCTAGCAGCTCTGGATCTTTTGTCGGTGGCTCAGGGTGTGTCAGCTTTTGGAGTAATTTGTGTGTTTGTGTCGTATGGTTATTTTTCCATGAGGTATGATTGTGTACATGTGTGTACAGGTCTGTGTACACATTCAAGAATATGTATGAAGTTCTGATGTTGACTTTTGGTTTCTTTCTAAATCAGTATCATCTTCATTTTTAAAGATGTGTCATCTGTCTCCCTGTCTGTCCACCTGTCTGTCTATCTGCCTGCCTGCCCAACACTCTACCAATCTGTCAGCCTACCTGTACATTTATCCATGTTTCCATCTACCTAATATATGTAATATATTTGTTGGTTTTTTCAAGACATGGATTCTCTGTACAGAACTCTGCTCTGTAGACCATACTGGTCTCAAACTCACAAAGATCTGACTGTGTCTGCCTCTGTGTGCTCTGATCAAAGGTGTGCACCACCACTTGCTGGTGATGATGCAGATATTTATATCTGATGACTATTTTGCCTGTATGTTATATGTCTGTGTACATTGTGCATGCTATGCCTGGTGAGGCCACATGAGAGCAGATCACTTTAACAGCAGTTTTAGATGGTTGTGAGCTGACTTGGAGGTGCTGAAAACTGAATCTGGCTTCTCTGGAAGTGTGCCTAATGCTCTGAAATACTGAACCCTCTTTCTGGTACCTAATCATATTTTTGAGATCTGAATCTCCGCAACATGGCTATACTGGCTGACCAGCAAGCACCATGAATACTCTTCTGTCTGCCTCTTCAGTGCTGGAATTACAGGCACATTCCCCTTTACTTGGCCTTTTAATAACAGTTCTGGGAGCTGCAATCAGGTCCTTGTGCAGTTAACATAGTCCTGACTGAGCATTTTGCCTCAACTCAAATTCATTAATACAGCTACCCATATATATATATATATATATATATATATATATATATATCCAAATACAGATCCATGTAACTAAATGCAGTCCATATCAAGAGAAGAGCTGACCTCCCAGAAAGTGTCAAAAAGACTGTAGAGCTCATGATAGAATCAATGGGAACACAAAAGGTCCCCAAGTTTTGCATATTAATATAGAATACTATATACACTAAAAAAACATAGTGGACATATCAGCATAAGGACAGGTGCACAGGTTAGTTAAGCAGAATTGAGCAACCCCACATTACCCTCCCATACCTCTATCTAGACAATTCAGCAGAATTGGGTGTGCTCATGTGTGTGGTACGTGGTTAAGTGCAGGTTATATGTGTATGCTAGCCTGTGGGGGAGAAAGAGGTCAACCTTAGCTTTCTTTCCCCCTGACAGACTACTCTTTTACAAAGGGCTTTTTCAGTGCGTACTACACTCTTGCATGGTTGCCTGTGAGCACTTGTAACTGCAGAGGTGTTGTATTTTATTGGAGCTGGAGCTCCCAGTGGGTTCGTGTCATCTGAAGTGGTGCGGAGAACCAAACTCCAATCCCACATGCACACACATAGGAATTCAGAGGTCCAGCTGGGATGTGGTAGCACACGCCTATTATGCCAGTACTCAAGAGGCATAGACAGGTGATCTCTGAGTTCGATGTTAGCCTGGTCGACAGCGATAGTTGTAGGACAGCCAGGACTACACAGAGAAAACTTGTGTTGAAAATCAGAAAGAACACAAAGAGCTCACGGGTCTAATTCTTTAGGCAACACTACAAACCATGTGGCTTTAAGTGTATCCATGTTTACACCCCAGCCTGCATGCAAACCTGGGGCCTGTCCCTCATCTGGCCCTTTGTCACTCTGGATTAGTTCTTGGTCGTCTTCTGTGTTACTCATGGAGTCACCTGGAACAGAGAGGAAGAGACAGCGCTGTTAATAAATCACAGTCTAAAAGCTCCAGCTGGGGATGAGAATGTTCCATGTCCAAACTACCAAGGGGAATTAGAGCTAGTCTCGACTCGGTTTATGAGCAGCAGAGTCCTTGGGCCATCGGGAGCACCAAGTGAATTCATTCAAGTGGACAACAGGAGTGTTGCTGAGAGGCATCACAGACTCTTTTGAGAACAGGGTCTTACTATATAATCAAGTTTGCCTAGATCTTGCTATGTAGACCACGGTGGTCTTGAACTCAGACTTGCTGGTCTCTGCTTCCCAATTCAAGCACTGTGGTTCAAGCTGTACACAACCATGACTGGCTCATTGGTAGACTCTTGAATGATTCTTGCTACTCAATGATGACTCCTGCTACTTGCCTCATAAACAATAAAAATGGATTAATGATCTTCTTAAGCTTGCATGTAGGAAGTGTGAGGTTTTTGTACCTTAAAACAACTATTCATGTGACCTGGAAAATCTAGATGCCCCTCGACTGAAGTTTGGATAATGAAAATGTGGTACATTTATACAATGTAGTAGTACCCATTGGTAAAATCTACTACGTGGGGCTGTAGAGATGGATCAGAGGTTAAGAGCACTGACTGCTCTTCCAGAGGACACGGGTTCAATTCCCAGTATCCATATAGCTATTAAGAACAGTCTGTAGCTCCAAGACCTGACACCTTCACAAAGACATACATGTAGGCAAAACACCAATGCACATAAAATAAAAACAAGTAAATTATTTAAAAAGCAACAAGTGTGCGCTTCCAGGCCCTAATGTCTGGGGATCCCACCTTCAGGAGAGCTTGGGTCTCAGGGGCGACACTCCCCATGCCCTGCCCAACACCCATCCTCTCAATCTTCTGGGGGCCTGCTCCTGGTTTCCAGAAGATCTGTCCACACAGCAAAGACATAAGCCCTTCCAGGCCCCAACCTCCCGCAACCCCAGCTTCAGGAAAGGCATCAGCCCTTCCATGCCCCACCCTCTGGCGAGCCCAGCTTCAGGAAAGGCATCAGCCCTTCTAGGCCCCACCCTCCGGCAACCCCAGCTTCAGCTTCATCTTCAGTTTTAGCGTCCCGAGCTTCAGCTTCAGGAAGGAAGGCAGACCAGTGTATTCGGAAAGACGCCACCTGCGCCCACTGGAAGAAGAGATGGGCAGAAGACAGAGTAAGAGCTCACTCAGCAATAGAAAGACCAACATGACTCTACCAGAATGTAGAGAACCAACGCCAGCAAGACCTGAAAAGCACTACATAGACGAAGCAGAGGAGACAGACCTTAAAAATTATTTTATGAAGATGATATAGACCCTGAAAGAGGAAACGAGGAAATCCCTTAAAGAAATAGAAGAAAAAACAAAAAAATCCATGAAATGGCAGAAAAATTCAAGAAATAAACAAATCTCTCAAAGAATCTAAGGTGTAGCAAGAAAAAACCAAACAAATGGAAGAAACAACTCAAATAGTTGAAGGATCAAAAGCTGAAATAGAAACAATAAAGAAAACATAGAACGAGGGGATGCTGGAAATAGAAATGCTGGGTAAATGATCAGGAACTACAGATGAAAGTATCAGCAACAGAATACAAGAGATAGAAGAGAGAATCTCAGGTGTTGAAGACTTAGAGGATATAGAGTCATCAATCAAAGAAAATCTCAAAACAAACAAATCCCTAACAGAAAATATCCAGGAAATATGGGAGGCTGTGAAGAAGCCAAACCTGAGAATAATAGGTATAGAAGAAGGCGAAGAAATACAGCTCAAAGGTACAGAAAGCATATTCAACAAAATCATAGAAGAAAACTTCCCTAACCTAAAGAAAGATATGCCTATGAAAATACAAGAAACTTACAGAACACCAAATAGGCTCGACCAGAAAAAGAAGTCACCTTGCCATATAATAATCAAAACATCAAACCTACAAAATAAAGAGAAAATATTAAGAGCAGCTAAAGAAAAAGGCCAAGTAACATACAAAGGCAGACCTATCCGAATTACACCTGACTTCTCAATGGAAACGATGAAAGCCAGAAGATCCTGGACAGATGTCCTACAAACGCTAAGGGAACAAGGATGCCAGCCCAGACTACTATATCCAGCAAAGCTTTCAATTACCATAGATGGAGAAAACAAAATATTCCATGACAAAGCCAGATTTAAACAATACGTATCCATGAATCCAGCTCTACAGAAAGTGCTAGAAGGAAAACCTAGATCCAAGGAAGATAACTACATTCACAAAGACACAGGCAATATATAATCCCACTTTACAAAACACCAAAAGAAAAAGGGAGGAGAAACTACACAAAATAACTTCACTAACAATAAATGAAGCACAAACAAAAATCATCAATCAATGGTCATTAATATCCCTCAATGTCAACAGTCTCAACTTGCCTATAAAAAGACACAGACTAGCAGAATGGATACGAAGACAGAACTCTTCCTTCTGCTGCATACAAGAAACACATCTCAACATCAAAGACAGACCTTATCTCAGAGTAAAGGGGTGGGAAAAGATCTTCCAATCACACGGTCCCAAGAAACAAGTGGGTGTAGCAATCCTAATATCTAACAAATTAGACTTCAAATTAAAATCAATCAAAAGAGATGAAGTAGGACACTTCATATTCAAAGGAAAAGTACATCAAGACGAAGTCTCGATTTTAAACATCTACGCCCCAAATACAAAGGCACCTACATTCGTGAAAGAAACATTACTAAAGCTCAAAATGCACATAAAATCTCACACACTAATAGTAGGAGACTTCAACACTCCACTCTCACCGCTAGACAGGACCTCCAGACAGAAACTTAACAAAGAAACAAAAGAACTAATAGAAGTTATGACCCAACTGGGTTTAACAGACATCTATATAACATTCCACCCAAATACAAAGGGATATACCTTCTTCTCGGCACCACATGGAACCTTCTCTAAAATTGATCACATAATAGGAAACATAGCAAATCTCCACAGATACAAAAAAATTGGAATAACCCCCTGTATCTTATCAGACCACCATGCATTAACATTAGAATTCAACAATAACAAAAATCGCAGAAACCCTACAAACTCATGGAGATTGAACAACGCACAATTGCACCATCCCTGGGTAAAGGAAGAAATAAAAAAAGAAATTAAAGACTTCCTCGATTTCAATGAGAATGAAGATACAACATACACAAACTTATGGGACACTTTGAAAGCAGTGCTGAGAGGAAAGTTTATAGCACTAAATGCCCACATGAAAAAACTGGAGAACAGTCATACTAGAGAATTAATAGCACAGCTGAATGTTATAGAGCAAAAAGAAGCAAACTCACCCAGGACGAGCAGACGCCAGGAAATAATCAAATTGAGGGCTGAAATCAATCAAGTAAAAACCAGGAAAACATAGAGAAGAATCAATGAAACAAAGAGTTGGTTCATTGAGAAAATCATCAAAATAGACAAACCTCTGTCCAAAATAGCCAAAAGACAGAGAGCATGCTAATTAACAAAAATCAGAAACGAAAAGGTGGACATAACAACGGACAATGAGGAAATTAAGAGAATCACCAGGGCATACTTTGAAAAATTGTACTCCGCAAATTCCAAAATTTAAAGGAAATGGACAATTTCCTGGATGAACAATCTTAACAGATCTATAACCCTTAATGAAAAAGAAGCAGTCATCAAAAGTCTCCCAACCAAAAAAAGCCCAGGCTCAGATGGCTTCAGTGCAGAATTCTAACAGAAATACAAAGAAGAGCTAATTCCAATACTCCTCAGAGTGTTCCACACAATAGAAGCAGGAGGCTCACTGCCAAACTCTTTTTATGAGGCTATAATTACCTTGACACCCAAGACACACAAATATACAACTAAGAAAGAGAACTATGGACCAATTTCTCTCATGAACATTGATGCAAAAGTACTCAATAAAACACTAGCAAACCGGATTCAAGAACACATCAGAAAAATCATCCACCATGATCAAGTAGGCTTCATCCCAGGAATGCAGGGATGGTTCTACATTAGAAAATCAATGGAGTCCAACATATAAACAAACTGTGAAAGAAAAACCACATGATCATCTCGCTAGATGCTGAAAAAGCCTTTGACAAAATCCAGCACCCCTTCATGATAAAGGACCTAGAGAGATCAGGGATAACAGGAACATACCTGAACATAATAAAAGCAATATATAGTAAACCAACAGCTAACATCAAACTAAATGGAGAGAAACTCAACACAATTCCACTAAAATCAGGAAAAGGCAAGGCTGTCGACTCTCTCCATATCTCTTCAATATTGTCCTTGAAATTCTAGATACAACAAAAAGACTACAAGACTACAAAAGCAGATCAAGGGCATACAATTAGGAAAAGAAGATGTCAAGCTTTCACTATTTGCAGATGATATGATTGTTTACAGAAGTGACCCGAAAAACTCTGCTAGGGAACATCTAGAACCGATAAACACCTTCAGCAAAGTGGCAGGATAGAAGGTTAACTCAAAAAAATCAGTGGCCCTATTATATACAGATGATGAAGTGGCTGAGAAAGTAATCAGAGAAGCATCACCCTTTACAATAGCCATAAACAGCATCAAATATCTGGGGATAATGTTAACCGAGGAAGGGAAAGACCTGTATATTAAGAACTTTTAGTCTTTAAAGGAAGAAATCAAAGAAAATGTAAAAATCTCCCATGCTCTTGGATTGGTAGGATCAACATAAAAAAATGGCAATCTGGCCAAAAGCAGTCAACAGATTCAATGCAATGCCCATCAAAATTCTGGCACAATTCTTCACAGACCTTGAAAGGACAATAATAAACTTCATATGGCAAAACCAAAGGCCCAGGGTAGGCAAAACAACACTTACAATAAAGCAACTTCAGGAGGCATCACCATACCTGACTTCAAGCTCTACTATAGAGCTATAGTCCTGAAAACAGCTTGGTATTGGCACAAAAATAGACAGATAGACCATTGGAACCGAATTAAAAAGCCTGATTTTAACCCCCACACCTATGAACACTTGATTTTTGAGAAATAAACTAAAACTATACAATGGAAAAAAGCAAGCATTTTCAACGAATGGTGCTGGCATAACTGGGTATTGGTATGCAGAAGATTGCAGATGGTTCCATGTCTAATGCCTTGTACAAAACTTAAGTCCAAATGGATTAAAGATCTCAACATAAATCCAACCACACTGAATCTCTCAGAAGAAAAAATGGGAGATACTCTTCAATGAGTTGGTACAGGAGACCACTTCAAGAACATAACACCAGTGCCACAGACACTGAGAACGACAATTAACAAATGGGACCTCCTGAAACTAAGAAGCTTCTGTAAAGCAAAGGACACAGTCAATAACACAAAAAGGCAGTCCACAGAATGGGAAAAGATATTCACTAACCACACATCTGACAGGGTTGATCTCCAAAATTTACAAGAACTCAAGAAGCAAGTCTACAAAACACCAAAGGATCCAATTAAAAGTGGGTTATAGACTTAAATAGAGAATTCTCAATAAAGGAGGCTAATATGGCCAATAGACACTTAAAGTGCTCAATATCCTTAACCATCAGGGAAATGCAAGTCAAAACAACTTTGAGATACCATCTTACTCCTGTCAGAATGGCCAAAATCAAAAACACTGAAGACAATTAATGTTGGAGAGGATGGGGAGAGAGGGGAACACTTCTTCACTGTTTGTGGGAGTACCAACTTGTACAGCCACTTTGGAAATCAGTATGGAGATTCCTCAGGAAAATGGGAATCAATCTACCACAAGACCCAGCAATTCCACTCTTAGGCATATATCTAAAAGAGGCAAATTCATACAACAAGGACATCTGCTCCACTATGTTCATAGCAGCATTATTTGTAATAGCCAGAACCTGAAAGCAACCTAGGTGCCCCTCAGCTGAAGAGTGGATAGAGAAAATGTGGTACATTTACACAACGGAGTATTACTCAGCAGAAAAAAAACAATGGAATCTTGAAATTCGCAAGTAAATGGATGGCACTAGAAGAAACCATCCTGAGTGAGGTAACCCAGTCACAAAAAGGCAAACATGGCGTGTACTCACTCATATATGGATTTTAGACATGGATCAGGAGAGTGCCATTCTACGCTTCCACTCACAGAGAGTCTGGGAAACAGGAAAGAACCCAAGAGAGATATGCATGGTACCCTAGAGACGAGGAATGAGGCAAGATCTTCTCATGAACAGATTGGGAACTCGGCGAAGGGTGGTGGGGGGAGTGGGAGCTGGGAAGAAGAGAGGGGGAGAAGAGTAAGAGACAGTAGGTCATGGGGAACAGGAAGGATGAGTGGGGGGTAGCATAGGGGGAAGAGGGAATCATAGGTTAGAATAGATCTGGCACCAGTGTGACCTCTAGTGATCTAAAGGGATGACACCAATTGGCAAGCTAAGCAATAGTGGAGAGACCACCTTAAATGCCCATTCCTGATAATGAACTTGATGTCTATAACCATCCGGGAGCCTTCATCCAGTGACTGATGGAAGCAGAGGCAAACACCCACAGTAAACACTGAACTGAACCCAAGGAATCCAGGGACAGATAGAGAGGAGCGATGAAAAAATTGGCAAAGATTTGGCTGGCAAAACCAGCATAGATAGCTGATCTGAACAGGGGAGAGCTGTTGGACCCCAGACTGACAGCTGGGAGGCCAGCACGCGACTGATCCTGACCCCATGAATGTGAGAGTCAGTGAGGAGGCCTGGGCAAAGTACCGGGCCCTGGGCAGTGGATCAGGGTTTATCCCTGGCATACAAACAGATTCATGTGTCCATAACACAAAGAGGGATGCTTTCTCAGCCTGGACTCTTCGGGGAGTGCCTGGACCCTGCCCTGAGTGAAATGATGGACTCTAGATATGCCCTATGTGGAATGAAGTGGGGATAGGGAGGGAGGCTGGCGGGGATGCTGGGGGTGCGGGAGGAGGGAAGGTAGAGGGAACTGGGATGCACATGTGAAACAAGATATTTAAAATTAAAGTAATAAAAAGTGCTCCAAAATAATAAAAAGCCAATCATTCGTATCTGAAATGCATGACACAGGACTTTTAAGATTAACAAGGTGCCTTTTGATTTGGGTTTTCCAGACAGGGTTTCTCTGTCAGTCTTTGGAGGCTGTCCTCCTGGCACATGCTCTGGAGACCAGGCTGGCCTTGAACTCAGAGAGAACAGCATGTCTCTGTGTCCTGACTGCTGGGATAAAAGGTGTGCACTACTAACACCCAGCAGAGTGCCTTTTAAATAGGACTATGACATCATAATAAAGATCAAGAATCATTTGTTAAGTACTAGACTTGATTGCAGCCAGAGCCTCATGAACACGGTATCATTAGATTGAGCCAGAGCCTCATGAATACCAAGCACATACAACCACTAGGGATTGAAGCCAAGTCTCATGTGTGCTGTGTACATACAATCTCTAGATATTGAAGTCAGTACCCCATGACTTTACACACACTACCACCGGAAGCCAAGGCATCATGCACGCCATGCACAGACTAGCAGAGACTGAAGCCAGGAGGTCTCATACATGAAGAAATACAAGAGACTGAATTAAAGCCTCAGGCATGTTTTGTATACACAACCAATAGGGATCATCAATGCCTAGGAAATGCAGGGAGCAGAAAGAACATGGAAAACATGAAGAAACTGTCAGGCAAAGTGCATCTGTCAGTTTTGAGTAGGTGTAGTCAATGTGGGAGTCTTTATAGGTGACCTGGAACTCATAGAGATCTCCCTTCCTCTGTGTCCCTAGTGCAGGGATTAAAGGTGGGCGCCACCACCTCTTGGCCTCTTTTATAAAGATAATTCTTTATATAAACTCTGCTCTGTATATGTGTATCTCTCCATGCCAGAAGAGGGCACCAGATCTCATTCAAAGATGGTTTGCAAACCACCATGTGGTTGCTGGGCAATGAACTCATGACCCCTGTGAGAGCTATCAATGCTCTTAACCTCTGAGCCATCCTTCCAGCCCTCAGCCAAGCTCTTGGAAGCAACTCTGATGAAACCTCCTGTTTGAATCCCATAGGATGATCTCACTCAGGCTGCCTATGGGTTGGCGCAAATAAATATTTTCTTCACCTTTTTCACATGTCTCTGCTGCTGCCTCTTGTTCCTCAGATTGCAAGGCTTCTGTAAAAGGAAGAGCAAGACCATCCCACATGATTATGTTTGTTGTTCAATATTGATACCATCTGTGTCATTGCCAGCCACCCAGCACTCTGTCCTCCTAAGTGTCAGCATACCTGTCTACCTATCCATCTATCCATCTTTGAATCTACTTAATGTATGTAATTTATTTGCTGTTTTTTTTCAGACAAGGTTTCTATGTGTAGCCATGGCTGTCCTGGAACTCTTATCTAGACCAGACTGGCCTCAACCGCACAAAAATCTGACTGTGTCTGCCTCTGTGTGCTGGAATTAAAGGTGTGCACCGACACCAGCTGGTGAAGTTGTAGTTATTTATATCTAATGACTATTTTGCGTGTATGCTGTATGTCTGTGTACTTTGTGCATGCTTTGCCTGTTTCTGCCACGTGAGAGCAGATCATTTGGAACTGGAGTTACAGATGGTTGTGAGCTGACATGGGGGTGCTGAAAACTGAATCTTGATCCTCTGGAAGTGTGCCTAGTGCTCTGAAATACTGAACCCCCTTTCTGGTACCTAATCCTATTTTTTAGAGTCTCTCACTAAGTCTGAATCTCAGCAACATGGCTAGACTGGCAGACCAGTAAACACCATGGACCCTCCTGCATCTGCCTTTTCAGTGCTGGGATGATAGGCACATTCCCCTTTTCTTCGCCTTCTAATATGAGTTCTGGGAACTGGAGCAGCTAACATAGTAATGACTGAACAATTTACCTCAAACCCCAATTCATTAATACAGCTACCTACATATCCGAACACAGATCCATGTAACTAAATGCAGTCCATAACAAGAGAACAGCTGACCTCCCAGAAATTGTGAACATGACTGTAAAGCTCATGATAGAATCTGGAACCATGAAAGGTCCCCAAGTTTTGCAGATTAATGTTGAATGTCATCTATTCTGTAAAATAATGGAAGTCTATGGACATAATGGCATAAGGACAGGCACATAGGGTAGTTAAGTAGAATCGAGCAACCCCACATTACCCTCCCACACCTCTACCTAGACAATTCAGTAGAACTGCCTGTTAACATGTGTGTGGTACGTGGTTAAGTGCAGGTTATATGTGTGCTAGCCTGTGGGAGTGAAAGACGTCAACCTTAGCTTTCTGTCTCCCAGAAAGACTACCCTTTTATAAAGGTCTTTTTAATTGCAATTATACTCCTGCGTGGGGGCCTGTGAGTACTTGTAACATCAAATAGAGGTGTTAGATTTCCTGCAGCTGGAGTTCCCAGTGGTTACCTGTCATCTAAGTAGTGAAATCCCACATGCACACAGATATGAATTCAGACGGCCAGCTTGGATGTGGTAGCACACACCTATTATGCCAGTACTCAAGAGTCATAGGCAGGTGTGTATCTTTGAGTTTGGTATTAGCCTGGTCTACAGCGATAGTTGTAGGACAGCTAGGACTACACAGAGAAAACTTGTGTTGAAAATCAGAAAGAACACAAAGAGCTCAGGGGTCTAATTCTTTAGGTGACACTATAAGCCATGTGGCTTTAAGTGTATCCCTGTTTACACACCACTCTTCATGCCTACCTGGGGCCTGCCCCTCATCTGGCCCTTGGTCACTCTGATTTGGTTCCCTGTCTTCTTCTGTTTTACTCAGTGAGTCATCTGCAACAGAGAGGAAGAGAGAGCGCTGTACACAAGTCACAGTGTAAAATCTCCAGCTAGGGATGAGAACTCTCCATGTCCAAACTACCAAGGGGAATTAGAGCAAGTCTTGTCTCAGTTTATGCCCAGAAGAGTCAAGCTGGGCCACCATGAACACCAAGTGAATTCATTCAAGTGGACAAATGGAGGGTTGCTGGGAGGCATCACAGACTTTTTTCAGAGCAGTGTCTTACTATATAATTCAAGCTGGCCTAGATCTTGCTATGTAGACCAAGGTGGCCTTGAACTCAGACTTGCTGCTCTGTGCTTCCCAATCCAAGCACTGGGGTTCAAGTTGTACACTACCATGACTGGCTCATCAGTAGACTCTTGAATGATTCTTGCTACTCCAAGATGACTCCTGCTACTTGCCTCAAAAACAGTAAAAATGGATTCATGATCTACTTAATCTTGCAAGTAGGAAGGGTGTGCTTTGTGTAGCCTTAAAAAACTACTCATGTGACTTGGAAAATATCTAGTGCCCTTCAACTGAAGTATGGAGAAAGAAATGTGGTACATTTACACAATGGAGTAGTACTCAGTGGTAAAATCCACTACGTAGGGCTGTAGAGATGGATCAGAGGTTAAGAGCACTGACTGCTCTGCCAGAGCACATGGGTTCAATTCTCTGTATCCATATAGCCACAAACAACTGTCTGTACCTCCAAGATCTGACACTCTCACACAGATATACGTGTAGGCAAAACACCAATGCACATAAAATAAAAACAAGTAAATTATTTAAATAAGCAACTACTTAGCATCTCAAATGCATGTCTCAGGAATTGTAAGATCGACAGATTGCCTTTTCTTTGTGGTTTTCGAGACAGGCTGTCTCTGTGTCTTTTGAGGCTGTCCTCTTGGCACTCGATATGGAGACCAGGCTGGCCTTGAACTCACAGATAACCGACTGCCTCTGCCTCCTGACTATGGGGATTAAAGGTCTGAACCACAACACCCAGCAGAGTGCCTTTTAAAATAGGATTATGACATCATAAAAAAGATCAAGAATCATGTGTTAAATACTAGACATGGTTGCAGCCAGAGTCTCATTAACACAGTATCATTAGAGATTGAGCCAGAGCCTCATGCATACCAATTACATACAACCACTAGAGATTGAAGCCAAGTATCATGCGTATTGTGCACATACAATCCCTAGATATTGAAGCCAGGACCTCATGACATTACACATACTACCACCATAAGCCAAGGCATAATGCACGCCGTGTAGAGACTAGCAGAGCCTAAAGCCAGTAGGTCTCATACATGCTAGGACACAGTTACACAAGGGACTGATTCAGAGCCTCAGGCATGTTTTGTATAAACAACTAATAGGGATCATCAATGTCTAGGAAACACAGGGAGCTCTCAGAAAAAACATGGAAAACATGAGGAAATTTTCAGGCAAAGTGCAGATGTCAGTTTTGAGTAGATGTAGTCAATGTGGGAGTCTATATAGGTGACCTCGAACTCACAGAGATCCCCCATCCTCTGAGTCCCTAGTACAGGGATTAAAGGTGTGCATACCACCTCTTGGCCTTTTAAAAAAATAATTTGTTATATAAACACTGTTCTGAATACGTGTATATCTCCGTGTGAGAAGAAGGCACCAGATTTCATTCATAGATGGTTTGCAAGCCAACATGTGGTGCTGGGAAATGAACTCAGTACCCCTGTGAGAGCAATCAATGCTCTTAACCTCTGAGCCATCTTTCCAGCCTTCACCCACGCTCTTGTAAGCAACTCTTATGAAACCTCCTGTTTGAATGCCATACGATGCTCTCACTCAGCCTGCTTATAGGTTGGCGCAAATAAATATTTTCTTCACCTTTTTCACATGTCTCTGCTGCTGCCTCTTGTTCTTCACCTTGCAAGGCTTCTGTAAAAGGAAGAGCAAGACCATGCTACATGAGTATGTTTGTTGTTTAAAACAGATACAATCTGTGTCAGTGTCCCCACCCGGGCTTAGGACACGGAGGAAGAGGGGCAGAAAGAAAGAGCTGGAGGATGGGGATGGGATCTGAGAAACGCTGTGCTCTACACATGTGTGAAACTGCTGTTGCACACATGAAGTCAGGCATCTTTGGTCACCTGTACAATGCGGAGACAGTAATAATCCGGTCATATATTGGCTAGCATCTCTGGATCTTATGTCGAGGGCTGAGGGAGTGTCAGCATTTTGGAGACAGTTTTGTTTGGTGGTGCGTCGTGTGGTTGTTTCTCCATGACGTATGAATGTGTACATGTGTGTACAGGTCCTTGTACACATTCAAGTACATGTATGAGGTTCCGATGTTGACTTTTGGTGTCTTTCTAAATCACTATCGTCTTCATTTTTAAAGATGTATCATCTGTCTGCCTGTCTGTCTGTCTGCCTCCCCAGCTGTCCATCCGCCTGACTGCCCTCCCAGAACTCCGTCTGCCTACCTGTCTGTCAGCCTACCTGTCCATCTATCCATCTTTCCATCTACCTAATGTATGTCATCTATTTGCTGGTTTTTCAAGACAAGGTTTCACTGTGTACACATGGCTGTCCTGGAACTCCGCTCTGTAGTCTAGACTGTCCTCAGACTCACAAGGATGTGTCTGTGTCTGCCTCTGTGTGCTGGGATTAAAGTGTGCACCACCAAAAGCTGGTGAAGATGTAGTTATTTATATCTGATGACTATTTTGCCTGCATGTTATATGTCTGTGTACCTTGTGCATGCTGTGCATTCTATGCCTGCTGAGGCCACATGAGAGCAGATCACTTGGAACTGGAGTTACAGATGGTTGTGAGATGGCATGCGAGTGTTCAAAGCTGCATCTGGCACCTCTGGAAGTGAGCCTAGTGCTCTGAAATACTGAACCCTATTTCTGGTACCTAATCATATTTTTGAGAATCTCTCACAAAATCTGAATCTCAGCAACATGGCTAGACTGGCCGACCAGCAAGCACCATGGACCATCCTGTATCCTCCTTTTCAGTGCTGGGATGACAGGCACATATCCCTTTACTTGGCCTTTTAATAGGAGTTCTGGGAACTGAACTCAGGTCCTTGTGCAGCTAACATAGTACTGACTGAACAATTTACCTCCAACTCAAATTCATTAATACAACTACCTATATTTCCAAACAGATATCCATGCAACTAAATGCAATCCATATCAAGGGAACAGCTGACCTCCCAGAAATTGTCAAAATGACTGTAAAGCTCATGATAGAATCAATAGGACCATGAAAGGTCCCCAAGTTTTGTAGGTTAATGTAGAATATCATATACCCTGAAGAAACAGAGGATATAGCGGCATAAGGACAGGCACATAGGTTAGTTAAGCAGATTGAGCAAACCCTAATTACCCTCCCACACATCTATCTAGACAATTCAGCTGAATTGGGTGTGCTCATGTGTGTGGTATGTGGTTAAGTGCAGGTTTTTTGTGTGGTAGCCTGTGGCAGTGAAAGAGGTCAACCTTAGCTTTCTTTCCCCCTGAAAGACTACCCTTTTATAAAGAGATTTTTAATTCCTTACTACACTCCTGCATGGGTACCTGTGAGCACTTGTAACAGCAGGGAATAGAGGTGGTGGATTTCATGGAGCTAGAGTACCCAGTGGGTACGATTCATCTGATGTGGTGCTGAGAACCAAACTCCAATCCCACATGCACACACATAGGAATTCAGAGGTCGTACTTTGCTGTGGTAGAACACACCTATTATTCTAGTACTCAAGAGGCATAGGCAGGTGGATCTCTGTGAGTTCCATGTTAGCTTGGTCTACAGCGATAGTTGTAGGACAGCCAGGACCACACAAAGAAAACTTGTGTTGAAAATCAGAAAGAACACAAAGAGCTCAGGGCTCTAATTATTCAGGTAACACTCTAAACCATGGGGCTTTAAATGTATCCATGTTTACACCCCACCCTGCATGCAAACCTGGAGCCTGTCCCTCATCTGGCCCTTGGTCACTCTGATTTGGTTCCCTGTCTTCTTCTGTTTTACTCAGTGAGTCATCTGCAACAGAGAGGAAGAGAGAGCGCTGTACACAAGTCACAGTGTAAAATCTCCAGCTAGGGATGAGAACTCTCCATGTCCAAACTACCAAGGGGAATTAGAGCAAGTCTTGTCTCAGTTTATGCCCAGAAGAGTCAAGCTGGGCCACCATGAACACCAAGTGAATTCATTCAAGTGGACAAATGGAGGGTTGCTGGGAGGCATCACAGACTTTTTTCAGAGCAGTGTCTTACTATATAATTCAAGCTGGCCTAGATCTTGCTATGTAGACCAAGGTGGCCTTGAACTCAGACTTGCTGCTCTGTGCTTCCCAATCCAAGCACTGGGGTTCAAGTTGTACACTACCATGACTGGCTCATCAGTAGACTCTTGAATGGTTCTTGCTACTCAAAGATCACTCCTGCTACTTGCCTCAAAAACAGTAAAAATGGATTCATGATCTACTTAAATTTGAGATAAGAAGGGTGAGGTTTGGGTAGCCTTAAAACAACTACACATGTGACCTGTAAAAAATCTAGATGCCCCTCAACTGAAGTATGGAGAAAGAAAATGTAGTACATTTACAGAATGGAGTAGGACTTAGTGGTAAAATCCACTACGTGTGGCTGTAGAGATGGATCAGAAGTTAAGAGCACTGACTGCTCTTCCAGAGGACACAGATTCAATTCCCAGTATCCATATAGCAGCAAACCACTGTCTGTAGCTCCAAGATCTGACACTCTCACACAGATATACGTGTAGGCAAAACACCAATGCACATAAAATAAAGCAAGTAAATTATTTAAATAAGCAACTACTTAGCATGTGAAATGCATGAGCCAGAGTGCCTTTCCTTTTGGTGTTTTAAGACAGGGTTTCTCTGTGTCTCTGGAGGCAGTCCTCCTCGCACATGCTCTGGAGACCAGTCTGGCCTTGAACTCACAGAACACAACCTGCCTCTGACTGTAGACTGCTGGGATTAAATGTGTGCACCACCTCCTCTTGGCCATTTTTAAAAAGATAATTCATTACATAAACACTGTTGTATGACTTTACACATACTACCACCGGAAGACAAGGCATCATGCACGCCATGTTCAGACTAGCAGAGACTGAAGTCTAGAGGTCTCATACATGCTAGGACACAGTAATAAAAGAGGCTGAATTGGAGCCTCAGGCATATTTTGTATACAGAACCAATAGGGATCATCAATGTCTAGGAAATACAGGGAGCAGAAAGAACATGGAAAACATGGGAACTTTTCAGGCAAAAGCAGCTGTCAGTTTTGAGTAGGTGTAGTCAATGCGGGAGTCTTTATAGGTGACCTGGAACTCACAGAGATCCCCTGTCCTCTGTGTCCCTAGTGCAGGGAATAAAGGTATGCACCACCTCCTCTTTGCCTTTTTAAAAGAGATATTTATATAAACACTGTTCTGCATACATGTATATCTCTATGCCAGAAGAGGGCACCAAATGTCATTCATAGATCGTTTGTAAGCCACCATGTGGTTGCTGGAAACTGAACTCAGGACCCCTGAGAGAGCAAGCAATGCTCTTAATCTCTGAGCCATCTTTCCAGCCATCACCCAACTTTTGTTGGGTGATGAAACCTCCAGTTTGAATGCCATATGATGCTCTCACTCAGCCTGCTTATAGGTTGGTGCACGTAAATATTTTCTTCACCTTTTTCACATGTCTCTGCTGCTTCCTCTTGTTCCTCATCTTGCAAGGCTTCTGTAACGGAAGAGAAAGACCATCCTACGTGACTATGTTTGTTGCTCAAAACAGATACCATCTGTGTCAGAGTCCCCACCAAGGCTTAGGACACGGAGGAAGAGGGGCAGAAAGAAAGAGCTGGAGGGGTGGGGATCTGAGAAATGCTGTGCTCTACACATGTGTGAAACTGCTGTTGCACACATGAAGTCAGGCATCTCTGGTCACCTGTACAAGGCAGAGGCAGTAAAAATCCCGTCATATATTGGCTAGGGGCTCTCTAGGTTTTGCTGATAGGTGAGGGACTGTCAACATTTGGAGACCCTTGTGTTTGTGGGTTTGTCGTATGGTTGCTTGTCCATGATGTATGAATGTGTACATGTGTGTACAGGTCCGTGTACACATTCAAGTCCATGTAGGAGGTTCCCATGTTGACTTTTGGTGTCTTTCTAAATCACTATCATCATCATTTTTAAAGATGTATCACCGGTCTCCCTGTCTGTTTGTCTGCCCACCTGTCCTGCCGTCCCCCCGCCCAAATGACCAGCCGTCAGACCACCCTCCCACTACTCCCTCCATCTACCTGTCTGTCAGCATACGTGTCCATATATCCATTTTTCCATCTACATAGTGTATGTATTCTATTTGCTGGTTTTCAAGACAAGGTTTCTCTGTGTAGCCATGGCTGTCCTTGAACTCTGTAGACCAGCCTGGCCTCAAACTCACAAAGATCTGACTGTGTCTGCCTCTGTGTTCTGGGATTAAAGGTGTGTACCACCACCAGCAGGTGAAGTTGCAGTTATTTATATCTGATGACTATTTTGCGTGTATGCTTTATGTCTGTGTACTTTGTGCATGCTCTGCCTGCTTATGCCACATGAGAGCAGAGCACTTGGAACTGGAGTTACAGATGGTTGTGAGCTGACATGGGGGTGCTGAAAACCGAATCTGGTTCCTCTGGAAGTGTGCCTAGTGCTCTGAAGTACTGAACCCTCTTTCTGGTACCTAATCCTATTTTTGAGAGTCTCTCACAAAATCTGAATCTCAGCAACATGGCCAGACTGGCCAACCACTAAGCACCATCGACCCTCCAGCATCTGCATTTTCAGTGCTAGGATGACAGGCACATTCCTCTTTACTTGGACTTTTTATTCCTGTTCTTGGAACTGGAGCAGCTAACATAGTACTGACTGAGCAATTTACCTCAAACTCATATTTATTAATACAGCTAAATATCCAAACACAGATCCATGCAACTAAATGCAGTCCATATCAAGGGAAGATCTCACCCCCCAGAAATTGTGAAAATGATTGTGAAGCTCATGATTGAATCAATGGGACTACGAAAGGCCCCCAGTTTTGCAGATTAATGTTGAATGTCATTTACCCTCTAAAATAATGGAAGTCTGGTGACATAGCAGCATAAGCACAGGCACATAGGATAGTTAAGAAGAGTTGAGCTACCCCAATTTTCCCTCCCACACCTCTATCTAGACAATTCAGTAGAACTGCCAGTTAACATGTGTGTGGTACCTGGTTAAGTGTAGGTTATATGTGTGCTTACCTGTTGGGGAGAAAGTGGTCAACCTTACCTTTCTTTCCCCCTGAAAGGCTACCCTTTTATAAAGGGCTTTTTAATTGATAGTTACACTCCTGCATGGGTGCCTGTGAGCACTTGTAACTGCAGGGAATAGAGGTGTTGGATTTCCTGCAGCTGGAGTTCTCAGTGGTTACGTGTCATCTGATGTGGTGCTAAGAACCAAACTCCAATCCCACATGCACACACATAGGAATTCTGAGGTCCAGCTAGGATATGGTAGCACACACCTATTAGGCCCGTGCTCAAGAGGCATAGGCATAAGGATCTCTGTGAGTTCGATGATAGCCTGGTCTACAGCGATAGTTGTAGGACAGCGAGGACTACATAGAACTTGTGTTGCAAATCAGAAAAAACACGAAGAGCTCATGGTTCTAATTCCTTAGGTAACACTATAAACCATGTGGCTTTAAGTGTATCCATGTTTATTCCCCACCCTCCATGCCTACCTGGGGCCTGTCCCTCATCTGGCCCTTGGTCACTCTGGATTGATTCTGTGTCTTCTTCTTGGGTACTCATTGAGTCATCTGCAACAGAGTGGAAGAGAGAGAGTGAGTTATCAAGTCACAGTCTAAAAGCTCCAGCGGGGGATGAGAACTCTCCATGTCTAAACTACCAAGGGAAATTAGAGTAAGTCTTAATTCAGTTTATGCCCAGAAGAGTCCTGTGGGCCATCAGCAGCACCAAGTGAATTCATTCAAGTGGACAACAGCAAGGTTGCTGGGAGGCTCCACAGATTCTTTGAGAACAGGGTCTTACTATGTTATTCAAGCTGTCCTAGGTCTTGCTATGCAGACCAAGGTTGCCTTGAACTCAGACTTGCTCATCTGTGCTTCCCAATCCAAGCACTGGGGCTCAAATTGTACACTACCATGACTGGGTCATCAGACTCTTGAATGATTCTTGCTACTCAAAGATGACTCCTGCTACTTGCTTCAAAAACAAAAATGGATTAATGATCTACTTCAGTTTGTAGGTAGGAAGGATGTGGTTTGGGTAGCCTAAAAACAACTACACATGTGACCTTGCTAAAATTTTGCTGCCCCTACTGTAGTATGGAGGAAGAAAATGTGGTACATTTACACAATGGAGCAGTACTCAGTGTCAAAATCCACTACGTGGGGCTGTAGATTTGGATCAGAGGTTAAGAGCACTGACTGCTATTCAGAGGACACGGGTTCATTTCCCAGTATCCATATAGCTGCAAAGAACTGTCTGTAGCTCAAAGATCTGACACCCTCACACAGATATACGTGTAGTCAAAACACATAAATGAAAACAAGGAAATTATTTAAAAAAGCAACCCTTGTGCATTTCCAGGCTCCAAACTCTGGCAATCCCACCTTCAGGTGAGCTTGAGTCTCAGAGGCAACACTCGCCCTCCCCTGGCCAACACCCATCCCCTCAATCTTCCGTAGGCCTGCTCCTGGTATCCAGAAGATCTGCCCACACAGGAAAGACATCTGCCCTTCCAGGCCCCAACATCTGAAGACCCCAGCTTCAGGTGAGCTTGGGTCTCCATGGGGACACTCCCCATCCTCTGCCCAACATTCATTGATATTCAGGGGTCCTGCTCTTGGCATCCAGAAGACCCGCCCACACAGGAAAGGCATCAGCCCTTCCAGGCCCCAACCTCCGGGGACCCCAACTTCAGGAAATGCATCAGCCCTTTCACCCAAACCTCCAGCGACCCCAGCTTCAGCTTCAGGAAGGAAGGAGACCAGTGGAGACAGAAAGACACCACCTGCACCCACTGGAAGAAGAGATGGGAAGAAGACAAAATAAGAGCTCACTCACCAATAGAAAGACACACATGACTCCACCAGAATCTAGAGAACCAACACCAGCAAGACCTGAAAAGCACTACATAGACAAAGCAGAGGAGACAGACCTTAAAAATTATTTTATGAAGATGATAGAGACCCTGAAAGAGGAGAGGAGGAAATCCCTTAAAGAAATAGAAGAAAAAAACAAACTTAAAATCCATGAAATGGAGGAAAAATTCAAGAAACAAACAAATCTCTCAAAGAATCTCAAGTGTACCAAGGAAAAACTGCCAAACAAATGAAGGAAACAACTCACATAGTTGAAGGATTGAAAGCTGAAATAGAAACAATGAAGAAAACACAGAACGAGGGGATGCTGGAAATAGAAAAGCTGGGTAAATGATCAGGAACTACAGATGCAAGTATCACCAATAGAAAGAAGAGATAGAAGAGAGAATCTCAGGTGTTGAAGACTCATTAGAGGACATACAGTCAACCAAAGAAAATCTCAAATCCAATAAATCCCTAACACAAAATATCCAGGAAATATGGGACACCGTGAAGAAGCCAAACCGGAGAATAATAGGTATAGAAGAAGGCAAGGAAATACAACTCAAATGTACAGAAATCATAGTCAACAAAATCATGGAAGAAAACTTCCCTAACCTAAAGAAGGATACGCTTATGGAAATACAAGAATCTTACAGAATACCAAATAGGGTAGACCAGAAAAAGAAGTCACCTCACCATGTAATAATGAAAACATCAAACCTACATAACAAAGAGAAAATATGAAGAGCAGCTAAAGAAAAAGGCCAAGTAATATATAAAGGCAGACCTATCTGAAATATACCTGACTTCTCAATGGAAACCATGAAAACCAGAAGATCCTGGACAGATGTCCTACAAACGCTAAGGGAACAAGGATGCCAGCCCAGTCTACTATATCCAGCAAAGCATTCAATTACCATAGATGGAGAAAACAAAATATTCCATGACAAAGCCAGATTAAACAACACATATCCATGAATTAAGCTCTACAGAAAGTGCTAGAAGGAAAACCTATACCCAACGAAGATAACTACACTGACAAAGACAACAGGCTATAGATAATCCCACTTTCCCAAACACCAGAAGAAAAAGGAAGGAGAACCTTCACACAATAACTCCACTACCAATAAATGAAGCACAAACAAAAATCATCAATCAATGGTCATTAATATCCCTCAGTGTCAACGGTCTCAACTTGCCTATAAAAAGACACAGACTAGCAGAATGTATTTGAAGACACAACTCATCCTTCTGCTGCATACAAGAAACACATCTCAACATCAAAGACAGACATTACTTCAGAGTATGGGCTGGGAAAAGATTTTCCAATCAAATGTACCCAAGAAACAAATGGGTGTAGCAATCCTAATATCTAACAAACTAGACTTCAAATTAAAACCAATCAAAAGAGATGGACATTTCATATTCAAAGGAAAAGTCCATCAAGATGAAGTGTCAATTTTGAACATCTATGCTCCAAATACAAAGGCACCTACATTCGTGAAAGAAACATTACTAAATCTCAAATCGCACATAAAATCTCACACAGTAATAGTAAGAGACTTCAACATTCCACTCTGACCACTAGGCAAGACCTCCAGACAGAAACTTAACAAAGAAACAAAAGAAGTAATAGAAGGTATGACCCAACAGGGTTTAACAGACCTCTATAGAACATTCCACACAAACACAAAGGGATATACCTTCTTCTTGGCGCCACATGGAACCTTCTCTAAAATTGACCACATAATAGGAAACATAGCAAATCTTCACAGATACCAAAAATTTAGAATAACCCCCTGTATCTTATCATAATAGAATTCAACAATAACACAAATCGCAGAAACCCTACAAACTCATGGAAATTGAACAATGCACAATTGCACTATCCCTGGGTAAAGGAAGAAATAAAAAAGGAATGAAAGACTTCCTGGAATTCATTTAGAATGAAGACACAACATACCCTAACTTACAGACACTCTGAAAGCAGTGCTGAGAGGAAAGTTTATAGCACTAAGTGCCTTCATGAGGAAACTGGAGAACAGTCACACTAGAGAACTAATAGCACAGCTGAATGTTCTAGAACACAAAGGAGCATATTCACCCAGCATGAGCAGACACCAGGAAATAATCAAATTGAAGGCTGAAATCAATCAAGTAGAAACCAGGAAAACATTGAAAAGAATCAATGAAACAAAGAGTTGGTTCATTGAGAAAATCAAAATAGACAAACCTCTGTCCAAAATAAAAGACAGAGAGAGAGCATGCTAATTAACAAAATCAGAAACAAAAAGGGGGACATAACAATGGACAATGAGGAAATCGAGAGAATCCTCAGAGCATACTTTGAAAAATTGTACTCCACAAATTCGAACATTTAAAGGAAATGGACAATTTCCTGGATAAACAATCTTAACAGACCTATAATCCTTAATGAAATAGAAGCAGTCCTCAAAAGTCTCCCAACCAAAAAAAGCCCAGGCTCTGATGGCTTCAGTGCAGAATTCTACCAGAAATACAAAGAGCTAATTCCAATACTCCTCAGAGTGTTCCACACAATAGAAGCAGGAGGCTCACTTCCAAACTCTTTTTACAAGGCTACAATTACCTTGATACCCAAGACACACAAAGATACAACTAAAAAAGAGAACTATGTACCAATTTCTCTCATGAACATCGATGCAAAAATACTCAATAAAACACTAGCAAACTGGATTTAAGAACACATCAGAAAAATCATCCACCATGATCAAGTAGGCGTCATCCCAGGAATGCGGGATGGTTCAACATTAGTAAATCTATCAATGGAATCCAACATATTCACAAACTGTGAAAGAAAAACCATATGATCATCTCACTAGATGTAGAAAAAGCCTTTGACAAAATCCAGCACCCCTTCATGATAAAGGACCTAGAGAGATCAGGGATAACAGGAACATACCTGAACATAATAAAAGCAATATATAGTAAAACAACAGCTAACATCAAACTAAATGGAGAGAAACTCAACACAATTCCACTAAAATCTGGAAAAGGCAAGGCTGTCCACTGTCTCCATATCTCTTCATTATTGTCCTTGAAGTTCTAGCTACAGCAATAAGACAAAAGGAGATCAAAGGGATACAAATTGGAAAGGAAGATGTCAAGCTTTCACTATTTGCAGATGATATGATAGTGTACATAAGTGACCCGAAAAACTCTGCAAGGGAATGCCTAGAGCTGATAAACACCTTCAGCAAAGTGGCAGGATAGAAGGTTAACTCAAAAAGATCAGTGGCCCTATTATATACAGATGATGAAGTGGCTGAGAAAGTAATCAGAGAAACATCACCCTTTACAATAGCAGCCTAGATGCCCCTCAGATGAAGAGTGGATAGAGAAAATGTGACACATTTACACAATGGAGTATTACTCAGCAGAAAAAACAATGGAATCTTGAAATTCGCAGGTAAATGTATGGCACTAGAAGAAACAATCCTGAGTGAGGTAACCCAGTCACAAAAAGATAAACATGGCGTGTACTCACTCATATATGGATTTTCGACATGGATCAGGATAGTGCCAGTCTACACACACTTCCACTGACAGAGAGTCTGGGAAACAGGAAAGAACCCAAGACAGATATGCATGGTACCCCAGAGACGAGGAATGAGGCAAGATCCCATCTCAGAGATGGGAACTCGGCAAAGGGTGGTGTGGGGAGTGGGAGCTGTGTCCTGGGATTTAGATTTGCACCACCAACGGCTGGTGAAGTTGTAGTTATTCATATCTGATGACTATTTTGCCTGTGTGCTATATGTCTGTCTACTTTGTGCATTATATGCCTGCTTATGCCACATGAGAGCAGAACACATAGAAGTGGAGTTACAGATGGTTGTGAGCTGACATAGGGGTGCTGAATACTGAATCTGGCTCCTCTGGAAGTGTGCCTCGTGCTCTGAAATACTGAACCCTCTTACTGGTACCTAATCATATTTTTGAGAGTCTCTCACAAAATCTGAATCTCAGCAACATCGCTAGACTGGTTTACCAGCAAGCCCCATCGATCCTCCTATGTCTGGATTTTAATTGCTGGGATTACAGGCACATTCCCCTTTACGTGGCCTCTTAATATGAGCTCTGGGACCTGGAACAGCTAACATAGTACTGACTGAGCAATTTACCTCAAACTCATATTCATTAATACAGATACATAAATATATATATATATATATATATATATCCAAACACAGATCCATGCCACTAAATGCAGTCCATATCAGGAAAATAGTTGACCTCACAGAAATTGTCAAAATGACTGTAAAGCTAATGATAGGATCAATGGGACCACGAAAAGTCCCCAAGATTTGCAGATTAATGTAGAATATCATATACCCTGAAAAACATAGAGGACATAGCAGCATAAGGACAGGCACTTAGGATAGTTAAGAAGAATTGAGCAACACCAAATTACCCTCCCACACCTCTGTCTAGACAATTCAGCAGAATTGCGTGTGCTCATGTGTGTGGTACGTGGTTAAGTGTAGATTACATGTGTACTTTCCTGTGGGGGAGAAAGAGGTCAACGTTAGCTTTCTTTCCCCCTGACAGACTACCCTTTTACAAAGAAAGGGCTTTTGAATTGCAAACTACACTCCTGCATGGGTACCTGTCAGCACTTGTAACTGCAGAGAATAAAGGTGTTGGATTTTCTTGGAGCTGGAGTTCCCAGTGGTTATGTGTCATCTGAAGTGGTGCTGAGAATAAAACTCCAATCCCACATACACACACATAGGTATTCAGAGGTCCATCAGGGATATGGTAACACATACGTATTATGCCAACATTCAAGAGGCATAGGCAGGTGGATCTCTGTGAGTTCAATGTTAGCCTGGTCTACAGCGATAGTTGTAGGACAGCCAGGACTACACAGAGAAAACTTGTTGAAAATCATAAAGAACACAAAGAGCTCAAGGGTCTAATTCTTAGGTAACACTATAAACCATGTGGCTTTAAGTGTATCTATGTTTACACCCCACTTTGCAGCCAACCTGTGGCCTGTCCCTCATCTGGCCCTTGGTCACTCTGGATTGGTTCTGTGTCGTCTTCTGGTTTACTCATTGAGTCATCTACAACAGAGAGGAAGAGAGAGCATTGTTAACAAGTCACAGTCTAAAACCTCAGCTGGGGATGAGAACTCTCCAAATCCAGTCTACTAAGGGAATTAGAGAAGAGTCCTCTGGGCCGTCAGGAGCACCAAGTAAATTCATTCAAGTGGACAACAGGAGCGTTTCTGGGAGGCATCACAGACTCTTTTCAGAGCAGGGTCTTACTATATAATTCAAGCTGGTCTAGATCTTGCTATGTAGACCAAGGTGGCCTTGAACTCAGACTTGCTGGTCTGTGCTTCCCAATCCAAGCATTGGGTTCAAGGTGTACACTACCATGACTGGCTTATCAGTAGACTCTTGAATGATTCTTGCTACTCAAAGATCACTCCTGCTACTTGCCTCAAAAACATTAAAAATGGATTAATGATCTACTTAAGCTTGCAGATAGGAAGGGTGAGGTTTGGGTAATCTTAAAACATCTACTCATGTAACCTGGGAAAAACATAGATGTCCCTCAGCTGAAGTATAGAGAAAGAAATATGGTACATTTACACATTGGAGGAGTAGTACTCAGTGGTAAAATCAACTACGTGGGGTTGTAGAGATGGGATCAGAGGTTAAGGGCACTGATTGCTTTTCCAAAGGACCTGGGTTCAATTCCCAATATCCATATAGCCCTAAACAACTGTCTGTAGCTACAAGATCTGACACTCTTACACAGACATACATGTAGGCAAAACACCAATGCACATAAAATAAAAACAAGTAATTTATTTAAATAAGCAACTACTTAGCATCGTAAATGCATGACCCATGATTTTTAAGATCAACAGAGTGCCTTTTTAGTTTTTTTGAGACAGGGTTTCTCTGTGGCTTCGTAGGCTGCCCTCCTGGCACTCCCTCTGTAGACCAGGCTGGCCTTGAACTCACAGAAAACAGCCTGCCTCTGCCTTCTGACTGCTGGGATTAAAGGATAACACCACCAACCCCCAGAGGAGTGCCTTTTAAAATAGGACTATGACATCATAATAATAAAGATCAAGAATCATTTGTTAGGTACTAGACTTGATTGCAGCCAGAGCCTCATGAACAAGGTATCATTAGAGATTGAGCCTGAGCCTCATGCATACCAAGCACATACAACCTCTAGGGATCGAAGCATTGGGGTTCAAGTTTTACACTACCATGACTGGCTCAATAGTAGAATCTTGAATGATTCTTGCTACTCAAAGATATCTCCTGCTAAAGGCCTCAAAAACAATAAAAATGGATTAATGATCTACTTAAACTTACAGGTAGTAAGGGTGAGGTTTGGTTACCATTAAAACAACTACTCATGTGACCTGGAAAAAATGTAGATGCACCTCAACTGAAGTATGGAGAAAGGAATATGGTACATTTACACAATGGCAAAATCCACTACTTGGGGCTGTAGTGATGTATTAGAGTTTAAGAGCACTGACTGATCTTTCACAGGACAGGGGCTCAATTCCCAGTATCCATATAGCTGCAAACAACTGTCTGTAGCTCCAAGATCTGGCACCTTCACACAGACAGACATGTAGGCAAAACCCCAATGCACATAAAATAAAAACAAGTAAATTTAAATAACCAACTACTTAGCATCTGTAATGGATGACACAGGTGTTTTAAGATGAACAGAACGCGTTTTCTTTTGGGTTTTCAAGACAGGGTTTCTCTGTGTCCCTCGAGCGTGTCCTTCTGGCACATGCTCTGGAGACCAGGCTGGACTTCAACTTACAGAGAACAGCCTGCTTATGCCTCCTGACTGCTGGGATTAAAGGTGTGCACCACCAACACCCAACAGAGTGTCTTTTAAAATCGAATTATGACATCATAATAAAGATCAAGAATCATTTGTTAGGTACTAGACTTGATTGCAGCCAGAGCCTCATGATCACGGTGTCATTAGGGATTCAGCCAGAGCCTCATGCATACCAAGCACATACAACCATTAGGGTTAAAGCCAAGTCTCATGTCTGCTGTGCACACACAATCACTATATATTGAAGCCAGGACCTCATGACTTTATACATACTACCACCAGAATCCAAGGTATCATGCACGCCATGCTCAGTCGAGCAGAGTCTGAAGCCAGGAGGTCTCATACATGCTAGGACACAGTAATACAAGAGACTGAATCGCAGCCTCCGGCATGTTTTGTATACACAACCAATAGGGATCATCAATGTCTAGGAAATACAGGGAGCAGAAAGAACATGGAAAACAAGGAAATTTTCAGGCAAAGAGCAGTTGTCAGTTTTGAGTAGGTGTAGTCATTGTGGGAGTCTTTATAGGTGACCTGGAACTCAGAGTTCCCCCTTCCTATGTACCCCTAGTGCAGGGATTAGAGGTGTGCACCACCACCTCTTGGTCTTTTTAAAATGATAATTCATTATATAAACACTGTTATGCATACGTGTATATCTCCATGCCAGAAGAGGGCACCACATCTCATTCATAGATGGTTTGCAAGCCTACATGTGGTTGCAAGGAATTGAACTCAGGTCCCCTGTGAGAGCAATCAATGCTCTTAACCTCTGAGCCATCTTTTCGCCTTCAACCAAGCTCTTGTAAGCAACTCTGATGAAACCTCTTGTTTGAATGCCATATGATGATCTCACTCATCCTGCTTATAGGTTGGCACAAATAACTATTTTCTTCACCTTTTTCATATGTCTCTGCTGCTGCCTCTTGTTCCTCAGCTTGCAAGGCTCCTGTAAAAGGAAGAGCAAAACAATCCTACATGATTATGTTTTTTGTTCAAAACAGTTACCATCTGTGTCAACGCCTTCCACCCACCACTCCGTCTTCCTACTGTCTGTCAGTATACCTGTCAATCTATCCATCTATCCATCTTTTCATCTATCTAATGTATGTAATCTATTTGCTGGTTTTTCAAGACAAGTTCTCTCTGTGTAGCCATGGGTGTCCTGGAACTCTGCTCTGTAGACCAGACTGTCCTCAGACTCACAAAGATATGACTGTGTCTGCCTCTGTGCGCTGTGATTAAAGGTATGAACTACCTCCAGCTGGTGAAGTTGTAGTTATTCATATCTGATGACTATTTTGCCTGTATGTTATATGTCTGTCTACTTTATGCATGCTATGCCTGCTGAGGCCACATGAGAGCAGATCACTTGGAACTGGAGTTACAGATGGTTGTGAGCTGACATGGGGGTGCTGAAAACTGAATCTGGCTCCTCTGGAAGTGTGCCTAGTGCTCTGAAATACTGAACCCTCTTTCTGGTACCTAATCCTATTTTTTAGAGTCTCTCACTAAATCTGAATCTCAGCAACCTGGCTAGACTGGCAGACCAGTAAGCACCATGGACCCTCCTATGTCTGCCTTTTCAGTGCTGGGATGATAGGCACATTCCCCTTTACTTGGCCTTTTAATACGAGTTCTGGGAACTGGAGCAGCTAACATAGTAATGACTGAGCAATTTACCTCGGACTCAAATTCATTAATGCAGCTACCTATATATCCAAACACAGATCCATGCAACTAAATGCAGTCCATAACAAGAGAACAGCTGACCTCCCAGAAATTGTCAGCATGACTGTAAAGCTCATGATAGAATCAATGGGACCACGAAAGGTACACACCTTTTGCAGATTAATATTGAATATCATCTACCCTGTAAAATAATGGAAGTCTGTGGAAATAGCAGCATAAGGACAGGCCCAGAGTATAGGTAAGTAGAATCAAGCAACCCCAGATACCCTCCCACACCTCTATCTACACAATTCAGTGGAACTGCCAGTTAACAAGTGTGTGGTATATGGTTAAGTGTAGGTTATATGTGTACTTACCTGTGGGGGTGAAAGATGTTAACCTTAGCTTTCTTTCCTCCAGAAAGACTACACTATTACAAAGGGCTTTTAATTGCAATTAAACTCCTGCATGGGGGCCTGTGAGTACTTGTAACATCAAATATAGGTGTTGGATTTCCTGCAGCTGGAGATCCCAGTGGTTTCGTGTCATCTAAAGTGGTGAAATTCCACATGCGCACACATATGAATTCAGAGGACCAGCAGATATGTGGTAGCACACACCTATTATGCCAGTACTCAAGAGGCATACACAGGTGGATCTCTTTGAGTTTGATGTTAGCCTGGTCTACAGTGATAGTTGTAGGACAGCTAGGACTACACAGAGAAAACTTGTGTTGAAAAATCAGAAAGAACACAAAGAGCTCAGGGGTCTAATTCTTGAGGTGACACTCTAAACCATGTGGCCATAAGTGTATTCATGTTTACACCCCACTCTGCAGCCAACCTGTGGCCTGTCCCTCATCTGGCCCTTGGTCACTCTGGATTGGTTCTCTGTCTTCTTCTGGGGTACTCATTGAGTCATCTACAACAGAGAGGAAGAGAGAGTGCTGTTAATAAGTCACAGTCTAAGTACTCCAGCTGGGGATGAGAACTCTCCACGTCCAAAGTATCAAAGGGAATTAGAGCAAGTCTTGACTCAGTTTATGCCCAGAAGAATCCTCTGGGCCATCAGAAGCACAAAGTGAATTCATTCAAGTTGACAACAGGAGCTTTGCTGGGAGGCATCACAGACTCTTTTAAGAGCAGGGTCTTACTATTTCATTCAAGCTGGCCTAGATCTTGTTATGTAGACCAAGGTGGCCTTGACTCAGACTTGCTGGTCTGTGCTTCCCAATTCAAGCACTGGGGTTCAAGTTGTACACTACCATGACTGGCTCATCAGTAGACTCTTGAATGATTCTTGCTACTCCAAGATGACTCCTGCTACTTGCCTCAAAAATAAAAATGGATTAATGATCTACTTAAGCTTGCAAGTAGGAAGGGTTAGGTTTGGGTAGTCTTAAAGCAACTACTCATGTGATCTTAAACCAATCTAAATGCCCCTCAACCGAAGTATGGAGAAAGAAAATGTGCTATATTCATACAATGGAGTAGTACTCAGTGGTAAAATCCACTACCTGGGGCTGTAGAGATGGATCAGAAGTTAAGAGCACTGACTGCTCTACAGAGGACATGGGTTCAGTTGCCAGTATCCATATAGCCACTAACAACTCTCTGTAGCTCCAAGATCTGACACCCTCACATAGACATTCATGTACGCAAAACACCAATGCACATAAAATAAAAACAAGTAAATTATTGAAATAAGCAAGTACTTAATATCTGAAATGCATGTCACACGAGTTTTAAGGTCAACAGTGTGCCTTTTCTTTTGGGTTTTCGAGATAGGTTTATTTGTGTCTTTGGAGGCTGTCCTCCTGGCACACACTCTGGAGACCAGGCTGGCCTTGAACTCACAGAGAATAGCCTGCCTCTGCCTCCTGACTGCTGAGATTAAAGGTTTGCACCACCAACACACAGCAGAGTGCCTTTTAAAACAGGATTATGAAGTCATAAAAAAGATCAAGAATCATTTGTTAAGTACTAGACTTGATTGCAGTCAGAGACACATTAGGGATTCAGCCAGGGCCTCATGCTTATCAAGCACATACAACCACTAGGGATTGAAGACAGGACCTCATGACTTTACAGATGACTCAGCCTGCTTATAAGTTGGCACAAATAAATATTTTCTTCACCTTTTTTACATGTCTCTGTTGCTGCCTCTTGTTCCTCAGCTTGCAAGGCTCCTGCAAAAGGAAGAGCAAAGCCATCCCCCATGATTATGTTTGTTGTTCAAAAGAGATACCATCTGTGTCAGCGCCTGTCACCCACCACTCTGTCCTCCTAAGTGTTTGTCAGCATACCGGTCAATTTTTCCATCTACCCATCTTTCCATCTACCTATTGTATGCAATCTATTTGCTGGTTTTTCAAGACAAGTTTTCTCTGTGTATCCATGGCTGTCCTGGAACTCTGCTCTGTAGACCAAAGTGGCCTCAAACTCACAAAATCTAACTGTGTCTGCCTCTGTGAGCTGGGATTAACGGTGTTCAACACCACCAGCTGGTGAAGTTGTAGTTATTTATATCTGATGACTATTTTGCCTGTATGTTATATGTGTGTGTACTTTGTGCATGCTATGCCTGCTTATGCCACATGAGAGCAGATCACTTGGAACTGGAGTTATAGTTGGTTTTGAGCTGACATGGGGCTGCTGAAAAATGAATCTGGCTCCTCTATATGTATGCCTAGTGCTATGAAATACTGAACCCCCTTTCTGGTACCTAATCCTATATTTAGAGTCTTTCACTAAATCTGAATTTTATCAACATGGCTACACTGGTTGACTAGCATGCACCATGGACCGTCATGCTCCTGCCCTTTCAATGCTGAGATTACAGAAAGATTCTCCTTTACTTATCCTTTTAATATGAATTCTGGCAACTGGAGCAGCTAACATAGTACTGACTGAACAATTTACCTCAAACTCAAATTCATTAATACAGCTACCTATGTATATATCCAAACATAGATCCAAGCAACTAAAGGTAGTCCATATCAAGAGAAGAGCTGGCCTCCAAGAAATTGTTAAAATGACTGTAAAGCTCATGATAGAATCAATGGGACCAGGCATCAGGTACAACATGCCCTGCCTCTGGGCCTGTGTTCCAGTGCCTGGGGATCGCCTCAGAACTGCACAGAGCTTCCAATCCCGGCGGGAGCCAAACACCCCCGACTCCAGGACTTCTCTTTCACCAAAGAGACCAGAAACCTGAAGAGCCAGGGAGGCCAGGAGAGCAGCTGTTCCGGCGGGATCAGGTACAACAGGATCCAGCAAAGGGTCCAGGGTACCAGGTGGGAGGCTAAGTGCCCCAGATTCCTGTTCTTCTTCTCCACCCACGGGACCAGAACGAGGACAAGGAATAGAAGAACCACCAGATTATTGGACTTGCTAGCACCCACCAAAAGGGAACTCTGGTCCCCAGACCAGTAAGGGGCTCTTTCAACACCCACTAGATGAAGAGATGGGAAAGAAACAATACAAAAACACACTCAGCAACAGAAAAACAAATATGACACCACCAGATTCTAGAGACTCCACACCAGCAAGACTCCAACATTCCAATGCAAACGAAGCAGAAGTGAATGACCTTAAAACCACTTTCATGAAAATGATAGAGGCCCTAAAAGAGGATATAGGAAAATCCCTCAAAGAAATGGAAGATAAAACAAACCAAAAATGCAAGAAATGGAAGAAAAAACAAACCAAAAAATGCAGGAAATGTAAGAAGAAATGAAGCAAAAAATGCAAGAAATGGAAGAAAAAACAAAGCAAAAAATGAAAGAAATGGAATAGAAAGCAAACCAAAAAATGCAAAAAATGGAAGAAAAAACAAAGCAAAAATTCATAAAAGGCAACAGATGGACGAAAAGATAAACCGAAAATTGCAAGAAGCAATGCAAACACTGCAAGGGTTGAAAACTGAAATTGAGACAATTAAAAACACAATCTGAAGAAAGGCAGGAAACAGAAAGGCTGGGCAAACAGTCAGGTAATACTGATACAAGCATTACCAATAGAATAGAAGAGATGAAAGAGACTCTCCAGTGTTGAAGATGCACTAGGAGAAATAGATTCATCAACCAAAGAAAACCTTAAATCCAACAAATCCTTAACACAAAATATCCAGGAAATATGGGACACCATTTAAAGACTAAACCTAAGAATAATAGGTATAGAAGAAGAAGAAAACCACCTCAAAGGGGCAGAAACATATTCAACAAAATCATAGAAGAAAACTTTCCCAACCTTAAGAAAGACACCCCAATGAAGGTACAAGAACCTTACAGAATACCAAATAGAGTGGACCATAAAAAAATCCCCTCGCCACATAATATTCAAAACCCCAACTATACAGAATAAAGAAAGAGTATTAAGAGCAGCTAAGAAAAAAGGCCAGGTAACATATAAAGGCAGACCTATCAGAATTACATCTGAGTTCTCCATGAAAACTCTGAAATCCAGAAGGTCCTGAATAGATATTCTACCAACACTAAGAGACCATGGATGCCAGCCCAGACTACTATACCCGGCAAAGCTCTCAATCACTATAGATGGAGAAAACAAGATATTCCATGACAAAACTAGATTCAAGCAATATGTATCCACTAACCCAGCCCTACAGAAAGTTTTGGAAGGAAAACTCCAACCCAAGGAAGTTAACTACAACCAGAAAAACATAGGCATTAGAGAATCCCTCTCTACCAACAGCTAAAAGAACAGAGGGGTGAAATTCCACACATAATTCCACCAACAACAACCATTGCAAATCGAAGAAGGATGAGTAATCAATGGTCATTAATATCCCTCAACATTAATGGCCTTAACTCACCCATAAAAAGACACAGGCTAGCAGAATGGATTCGAAGACAGAACCCTTCCTTCTGCTGCATACAAGAAACACACCTTACCCTCAAAGACAGACATTACCTAAGAGTTAAAGGTTGGGAAATAATTTTTCAATCAAATGGACCCAAGAAACAAGCAGAGGTAGGAATCCTAATATCTAACAAACTAGACTTTAAAATAAAAATCAAAAGAGACGAAGGAGGCCATTACATACTCATCACAGGCGAAATCAACCAAGATGAAGTGTCTATCCTGAACATCTATGCCCCAAATACAAAGGCATCCACATTCGTAAAAGAAACATTACTAAAACTTAAATCACATATAAAGCCCCACACAGTTACAGTCGGAGATTTCAACACACCACTCTCAAAACTAGACAGGAATTCCAGACAGAAACTCAACAAAGAAGCAAAGGGTCTAATAGAAGTAATGACCCAACTGGGATTAACAGACATCTATAGAACATTTCATCCACATAAAAAATATACCTTCTCCTCACCACCACATGGAACCTTCTCAAAATTTGACCACATACTTGGCAACATATCAAACCTCAGCAGCTACAAAAAAATTGGAATAACTCCATGCATCTTATCAGACCACCACAGAACAACATTAGAATTCAACAACAACACAAATTGCAGAAAACCTACAAACTCCTGGCAATTGAATAATGCACAAATGCACCATTCCTGGGTCAAAGAAGAAATAAAGAAATTAAAGACTTCCTCGAATTCAATGAGAATGAAATCACAACATTCCCAAACCTGTGGGACACTTTGAAAGCAGTGCTACGGGGGAAGTTCTTAGCACTAAGTGCCCACATGAAGAAACAGGAGAACAGTTATACTAGAGAATTAACAGCACAGCTGAAAGCTCTGGAACACAAAGAAGCAAACTCCCCTAAGAGGAGTAGACGCCAGGAAATAATCAAATTGAGGGCTGAAATCAATAAAGTAGAAACTAGGAAAACAATATAAAGAATCAATGCAACGAAGAGTTGGTTGTTTGAGAAAATTCAACAAGATAGATAAACCTTTGTCCAACTTACCAAACAGCAGAGAGTGAACATGCAAATTAACAAAATCAGAAATGAAAAGGGGGACATAACAACAGACTGTGAGGAAATTCAGAGAATCATCAGGTTATACTTTGAAAACCTGTACTCCACAAAATTCGAAAATTTAAAGGAAATGGACGACTTCCTGGATAGCTATCACTTGCCAAACTAAATCAAGAACAGATAAGCAATTTAAATAGACCTATAACCCCTATGGAAATAGAAGCAGTCATCAAAAGTCTCCCAACCAAAAAAGTCCAGGTCCAGATGGCCTCAGTGCAGAATTCTACCAGAAATTCAAAGAACAGCTTATACCAAATCTTCTCAAAGTATTCCACACAATAGAAGCAGAAGGGTCTTTGCCAAACTCTTTCTATGAGGCTTCAATAATCTTGATTCCCCACACCACACAAAGACACAACTAAGAAAGAACTTCAGACCAATATCCCTCATGAACATTGATGCAAAAATACTCAAAATACTGGCAAATCGGATCCAAGAACACATCAAAACAATCATTCACCACGATGAAGTAGGTTTCATCCCAGGGATGCAGGGATGGTACAACATATGAAAATCCATAAACTTAATCCACCAGATAAAGAAGCTGAAAAACAAAAATCACATGACCATCTCACTAGATGCTGAAAAAGCCTTTGACAAAATCTAATACCCCTTCATGATAAAGGTCTTGGAGAGATCTGGCATAATAGGACATACTTAAACATAATAAAAGGTATATACAGCAAACCAACAGCCAACATCAAACTAAATGGACAGAAACTCAACGCAATTCCTCTAAAATCAGGAACAAAACAAGGCTGTCCACTCTCTCCATACCTTTTCAACATGGTACTTGAAGTTCTAGCTATAGCCATACGACAACAAAGGGGGATCAAGGGGATACAAATTGGGAAGGAAGAAGTCAAACTTTCACTGTTTGCAGACGATATGATAGTTTACATCAATGACCCAAAGAACTCTACCAGGGAACTCTTACAGCTGATTAACACCTTCAGCAAAGTGGCAGGTTACAAGATCAACTCAAGAAAGTCAGTAGCCCTACTATATACAGATGATAAAAGGGCTGAAAGAGAAATCAGAGAAACATCACCCTTTACAATTGCCACAAACAACATAAAATACCTTGGGGTAACGCTAACCAAACAAGTGAAAGACCTGTATCGTAAGAACTTTGAATCTTTAAAGAAAGAAATTAAAGAAGCCCTCAGAAAATGGAAAGATCTCCCATGCTCTTGGATAGGTAGGATCAATGTAGTAAAAATGGCAATCCTGCCAAAAGCAATCTACAGATTCAATGCTATCCCCATTAAAATCCCAGCAAATTCTTCACGGACCTTGAAAGAACAATAATCAATTTTGTATGGAAAATCAAAAGACCCAGGATAGCCAAAACAACCCTATTCAACAAGGTAACGTCCGGAGGCATCATCATCCCTGACCTCAAGCTCTATTATAGAGCTATAGTCCTGAAAACAGCACAAAAATAGACAGGTAGACCAATGGAATCGAATTGAAAACCCGGATATTAACCCACACATGTATGAATATCTGATCTTTGACAAAGAAGCTAAAAACATACAATGGAATAAAGAAAGCATCTTCAACAAATGGTGCTAGCATTACTGGAGGCTGGCATGTAGAAGAATGCAGATCGATCCATGTTTATTGCCAAGTCCAAATGGATCAAAGACTTCAACATAAATCCAGCCACACTGAACCTCTTGGAGAAAGTGGGTGGTACCATTGAAGGAATTGGTACAGGAGACAGCTTCCTGAATATAACACCAATAGCACAGACAGTGAGATCAACAATTAATAAATGGGACCTCCTGAAACTGAGAAGCTTCTGTAAGGCAAAAAACACAGTCAGAAGACAAAAAGGCAGCCCACAGAATGGGAAAAAATATTCACTAATCCCACATCTGACAGAGTGTTGATCTCCAAAATTTACAAAGAACTCAAGAAGCAAGTCTCCAAAACATCAAAGGACCCAATTAAAAAGTGGGCTGCAGAACTAAATAGAGAATTTTCAATAGAGGAGTCTAAAATGGCTGATAGGCACTTGAGAAGGTGCTCAACATCCTTAGCCATCCAGGAAATGCAAATCAAAACAACTCTGAGATACCATCTCACTCCTGTCAGAATTTATGCTGGAGAGGATGTGGTGAAAGGGGAACACTACTCCATTTCTGGTGGGAGTGCCAACTGGTCCAGCCACTTTGGAAATCAGTATGGAGATTCCTCAGAAAAATGAAAGAAACCTACCACAAGACCCATCAACTCCACTCTTAGGCATATATCCAAAAGATGCCCATTCATACAACAAAGATGTACGTTCCACTATAGTCATAGCAGCATTATTTGTAATAGACAGAACTTGGAAGCAATCTAGATGTCCCTGAACCGAAGAGTGGACAGAGAAAATGTGGTACATTTACACAACGGAGTACTATTCAACAGAAAAAAAAACAATTGAATCCTGAGATTTGCAGGCAAATGGATGACACTAGAAGAAACCATTCTGAGTGAGGTAACGCAGTCACAAAAAGAGAAACATGGCACGTACTCTCTCAAATAAGGATTTTAGACATAGATCTGGGGAGTGTCACCCTACAATCCCATGGCCAGAGAGTCTGGGAAACAGAAACTTTATTCAGTGGCTGATGGAAGAAGAGGCAGACTCCCATGGTCAAGTACTGAGCTGAACTCAAGAAAGCCATTAACAGAGTGGTTGGACTGATGACCAAAGGGATTAAGACTTGGCTGGTTTAACCCCCAGAAACAGATGACCTGACAAAGGTTAACTCTTGAAACCCAGGCATCAGCCTGGGAATCCAGCATGGGACTGATCAAGACCCCCCCTGAATGTGGGTGTGAGTGAGGAGGCCTAGGTAATCTATTGAGCCTTGGGCAGCAGATCAATACCCATCCCGAGTATACACAAGGACTTTAGACTCCCATACAACACTGTGAGATGCACTCTCACCCTGAACTCTTGGGGAAGGGTCTAGGTCCTGCCCTGGATGAAATGACAGACTATGGACACCCCCATGGAGGGCCTCACCATCCCTGGGGAAATGAGGGGATAATGGGGGCTTGGGGGGGAGGGCATGGGAGGAGGGGAGGGAAAGGGAGAGCGACCTGGAACTGACTTGTGAAGCAACCTTGTTTCTAATCTAAATTTAAACTGAAAAATAAATAAATTAAAAAAATGAATCAATGGGACCCTGAAAGGTCCCCACGATTCGCAGTTTAATGTTGAATGTCATCTACCCTCTAAAATAATGGAATCCTATGGACATAGCAGAATAAGAACAGGCACATAGGATAGTAAAGTAGAATTGAGCAACCCCAAATTACCCTTCTACATGCCTTTCTATACAATTCAGTAGAATTGCCTGTTAACATGTGTGCGGTACTTGGTTAAACCAAGGTTATATGTGTGGTAGCCTGTGGGGTGAAAGAGGTCAAGCTTAAACTCCATTCCCTCTGAAAGTCTACCCTTTTACAAAGGGCTTTTAAATTGCTAATTACACTCCTGCATGGGTGCCTGTGAACACTTGTAAATGCAGAGAATAGAGGTGTTGATTTCCTGTAGCTGGAGTTCCCAGTGGTTACGTGTCATCTGAAGTGGTGCTGAGAACCACACTCCAATCCCACATGCACATACATAGGAATTCAGAGGTCCAGCTGCGATGTGGTAGCACACACCTATTATGCCAGTACTCAAGAGGCATAGGCAGGTGGATCTCTGTGAGGTCGATGTTAGCCTGGTCTACAGCGATAGTTGTAGGACAGCCTGGACTACACAGAGAAAATTTGCGTTGAATATCAGAAAGAACACAAAGAGCCCAGTGGTCTAATTCTTTAGGTAACACTATAAACCATGTAGCTTTAAGTGTATCCATGTTTACACCCCACTCTGCATGCCAACCTGGGGCCTGTTCCTCATCTGGCCCTTGGTCACTCTGGATTGGTTCTCGGTCTTCTTCTGTTTTCTTCATTGAGTCATCTGCAATAGAGCGGAAGAGAGAGGGCTGTTAACAAGTCACAGTCTAAAAGCTAAGCTGGGTATGTGAACTCTCCATGTCTAAACTACCAAGGGGAATTAGAGCAAGTCTTGACTCAGTTTATGCCCAGAAGGATCCTCTGGGCCATCAGGAGCACCAAGTGAATTCATTCAAGTGGACAACAGGAGCATTGCTGGGAGGCATCAAAGATTCTTTTCAGAGCAGGGTCTTATTATATAATTCAAGCTGGCCTAGATCTTGCTATGTAGACTAAGGTGGACTTAGAGTCAGACTTGCTGATCTGTGCTTCCCAATCCAAGCATTGGGGTTCAAGTTGTACACTACCATGACTGGCTCATTAGTAGACTGTTGAGTGATTCTTCCTACTCAAAGATGACTCCTGCTACTGGCCTCAAAAACAATAACATGGATTAATGATCTACTTAAGCTTGTAGGTGGGGAAGGGTGAGGTTTGGGTAGCCTGAATACAACTATTCATGTGATGCGAAAAAAATCTGGATGCCCTTCTACTGAAGTATGGAGAAAGAAAATGTGGCACATTTACACAATGGAGTAGTAATCAGTGGTAAAATGCACTACCTGGGGCTGTAGAGATGGATCAGAGGTTAAGAGCACTGACTGTTCTTCCAGAGGACATTGGCTCAAATCCCAGTATCCATATAGCCACAAACAACTGTCTGTAGCTCCAAGATCTGACACCTTCATACAGACATACATGTAGGCAAAACACCAATGCACATAAAATAAAAAGTAAATTATTTACATAAGCAGCTACTTAGCATCTGAAATGCATGAGTTTTATGATTAAAAGAGTGCCTTTTCTTTTGGGTTTTCAAGTCAGGGTTTCTCTGTGTCTTTGGAATCTGTCCTCCTGGAACGCGCTCTGGAGACCAGGCTGGCCTTGAACACACAGAGAACAGCCTGCGTCTGCCTCCTGACTGCTGGGATTAAAGGTGTGCACCACCAACACACAGCAGAGTGCCTTTTAAAATAGGATTATGATGTCATAAGTAGATTATTAATCATTTGTTAAATACTAGACTTGATTGCAGCCAGAGCCTCATGAACACAGTGTCATTATAGACTGAGCCTCATGCATACCAAGCACATACAATCACTAGGGAATGAAGTCAAGTCTCATGTCTGCTGTGAACATACAACCACTAGATATTGACTTGAGGAACCTATGACTTTATACACACTACCACCGGAAGGCAAGCCATCATGCATGCCATGCACTGACTAGCAGAGACTGAAGCCAGGAGGTCTCATATATGCTAGGACACAGTAATACAAGAGACTGAATGGTAGCTTGAGGCATGTTTTGTATACACAACCAATAGGGATCATCAATGTCTAGGAAACACAGGGAGCAGAAAGAATATGGAAACCATGAGGTAACCCAGTCACAAAAAGAAATATGGCATGTACTCTCTCATATATGGATTTTAGACATAGATCTGGGGAGTGCCAGCCTACAATCCTATGGCCAGAGAGTCTGGGAAACAGAAACTTCATTTAGTGGCTGATCGAAGAACAGGCAGACTCCCTTGGTTAAGTACTGAGCTGAACTCAAGAAAGCCAGTAACAGAGAGGGAGGACTGGTGATCAAAGGGATTAAGACTGGGCTGGTTTAACCCCCAGAAACAGCTGACTAGACAAAGGTTAACTCTTGAAACCCAGGCATCAGCCTGGGAATCCAGCATGGGACTGATCAATACCCCCTGAATTTGGGTGTCAGTGAGGAGGCCTAGGGAATCTATTGAGCCTTTTGCAGCAGATCAGTACCCATCCCAAGTATACACACGGACTTTGGACTCCCATAGAACAATGTGAGGTGCACTCTCACCCTGAACTCTTGGGGGAAGGGTCTAGGCCCTGCCCTATATCAAATGACAGACTATGGACACCCCCATGGAGGGCCTCACCCTCCCTGGGGGAATGAGGGGATAACGGGGGGGGGGTTGGGGGGAGGGCACGGGAGTAGGGGAGGGAATGGGAGAGGGACCTGTAACTGACTTGTGAAGCAACCTCGTTTCTTATCTAAATTTAAACTGGAAAATAAAAAATAAAAAAATAAAAAAAAAATAAAAAAATAAAAGAACAAGAAGAAAGAAAAAAAAAGAATATGGAAAACATGAGGAAATTTTCAGGCAAAGAAAAGAGTAGCTGTCAGTTTTGAGTAGGTGTAGTCAATGTGGAAGAATTTATAGGTGACCTGGAACTCACAGGGGTCCCCCGTCCCGATTAAAGGTGTGCACCACCATCTCTTGGCTATTTTTTAAAAGATAATTCATGATATAAACACTGTTCTGCATACGTGTATATCTCGATGCCAGAAGAGGGCACCAGATCTCATTCATAGATGGTTTGCAAACCACCATGTGGTTGCTGGGAATTGAACTCAGGACCCCTGTGAGAGCAATGAATGCTCTTAACCTCTGAGCCATTTTTCCAACCTTTACTCAGGCTCTTTTAAGCAACTCTGATGAAACCTCCTGTTTGAATTCCATATGATGCTCGCACTCAGCCTGCTTCTAGGTTGGCACAAGTAAATATTTTCTTCACCTTTTTCACATGTCTCTGCTGCTGCCTCTTGTTCCTCAGCTTGCAAGGCTCCTGTAAAAGGAAGACCAAGACCATCCTACATGATCATGTTTTTTGTTTCTAAGAGTTACCATATGTGTCAGCTCATGCTTCCCACCACTCCATCCTCCTAACTCTGTCAGCAACCTGTCAATCTATCCATATATCCATCTTTTCATGTACCTAATGTACGTCATTATTTGTTGGTTTTTCAAGACGAGGTTTCTCTGTGTAGCCATGAGTGTCCTGGAACTCCACTCTGTAGACCAGACTGGCCTCAACTCACAAAGATCTGACCGTGTTTGCCTCTGTGTCCTCGGATTAATGGTGTGCACCACCAACAGATGGTGAAGTTGTAGTTATTCATACCTGATGACTCTTTCATCTGTACGCTATATGTCTGTGCCCTTTGCATTCTGTGCCTGCTGAGGTCACGTGAGATCAGATCCCTTGGAAGTGGAGTTATAGATGGTTTTGAGCTGACTTGGGTGTGCTGAAAACTGAATCTGGCTCTTCTGGAAGTGTGCCTAGTGCTCTGAAATACTGAACCCTCTTTCTGGTACCTATTCATATTTTTGAGAGTCTCTCACAAAATTTGAATCTCAGCAACTTGGCTATACTGGCTGACCAGTAAACACCATGGTCCCTCCTGCGTCTGTCTTTTCAGTCCTGAGATGTCAGGCACATTCCCCTTTATTTGGCCTTTTAATGAGAGTTCTGAGAGCTAAAGTCAGGTCCTTGTGCAGCTAAATTAGTCCTCACTGAACATTTAACCTGAAACTCAAATTGATTAATATAGCTAACTATATATATACATCCAAAAACAGATCCCTGCAACTAAATGCAGTCCATATCAAGAGACCAGCTGACCTCCCAGAAATTGTCTAAATGATTGTAAAGATCATGATAGAATCAATGGGACCATGAAAGGCCCCCAAGTTTTGCAGATTATTGTTGAATGTCATATACCCTCTAAAATAATGGAAGTCTGTGTACATAGCGGCATAAGGACAGGCACATAGGATAGTTAAGTAGAATCCAGCCACCCCAAATATCCCTCCCACACCTCTATCTAGACAATTCAGTAGAACGCTCTCTTAACATGTGTGTGGTACATGGTTAAGTGCAGATTATATGTGTGGTAGCCTGCGGGGGTGAAAGAGTACAAACTTAGATTTCTTTCCCCATGAAAGACTACCCTTCCACAAAGGGCTTTTTATTTGCTAATTGCACTCCTGCATGGGTGCCTGTGAGCACTTGTAACTGCAGATAACAGAGGTGTTGGATTTCTTGCAGTTGGAGTTCCCAGTGGTTACGTGTCATCTGAAGTGGTGCTGAGAACCAAACTCCAATGCCACATGCAAACACTTAGGAATTCAGAGGTCCAGCTAGGATGTGGTAGCACACAACTTTTATGCCAGTACTCAAGAGGCATATGCATGTGGATCTTTGTGAGTTCGATATTAGCCTAGTCTACTGCGATAGTTATAGGACAGCCAGGACTACACAGAGAAAACTTGTGTTGAAAATCATAAAGAACACAAAGAGCACAGGGTTCTAATTCTTTAGGTCACACTATAAACCATGTGGCTTTAAGGGTATCCATGTTTACCCCCCATCCTGCATGCCTACCTGGGGCCTGTCCCTCATTTGGCCCTTGGTCACTCTGGATTGATTCTGTGTCTGCTTCTGGGGTACTCATTGAGTCATCTGCAACAGAGAGGAAGAGAGAGAGTGAGTTATCAAGTCACAGTCTAAAAGCTCCAGCTGGGGATAAAGACTCTCCTTGTCTATACCACCAAGGGGAATTAGAGCAAGTTTTGACTCGTTTTATGCCCAGAAGATTCCTCTGGGCAATCAGGAGCACCAAGTGAACTCATTCAAGTGGACAACAGGAGAGTTGCTGAGAGGCTCCACAGATTCTTTGAGAACAGGGGCTTATATGTAATTCAACCTGGCCTAGATATTGCTGTGAAGACCTCGGTGGCCTTGAACTCAGACTTGCTGGTCTGTGCTTCCCAATCCAAGCATTGGGGTTCAAGTTGTACACTACCATGACTGGCTCATCAGTAGACCCTTGAATGATTCTTGCTTCTCAGATGCCTCCTGCTACTTGCCTCAAAACAATAAAATGGATCAATGATCTACTTAAGCTTGTAGGTAGGAAGGGTGTGGTAGCCTGAAAACAACTACTCATGTGACCTGGGTAAAATTTTGATGCCCCTCAACTGAAGTATGGAGAAAGAAAATGTGGTACATTTACAAAATGGAGTAGTACTCAGTGGTAAAATCCACCCTTCTTCAGTGAGCCTGGGTCTCTGGGGGAACACTCCCCATCCTCTGCCGAACAACCATCCCCTCAATCTTCCATGGCCTACTCCTGGTATCCAGAAGATCCGCCCACACAGGAAAGGCATCTGCCCTTCCAGGCCCCAACATCTGAAGACCTAGCTTCAAGGTGAGCCTGGGCCTCCGTGGGGACACTCCCCATCCTCTGCCCAACACTCATTGATATTCTGGGGTCCTTCTCCTGGCATACAGAAGACCCACCACACAGGAAAGGCATCACCCCTTCCATGTCCCACCCTCTGGTGACCCCAGCTTCAGGAAAGGCATCAGCCCTTCCAGGCCCCAACCTCTGGGGACCCCAGCTTCAGAAAAGGCATCAGCCCTTCCAGGCCCCAACCTTCAGCGTCCTTCTGCTTCAGAAAGGAAGGAGACCAGCAGAGACAGCTGATTTGAACAGGGGAGAGCACTTGGACCCCAGACCGACAGCTGGGAGGCCAGCATTGGACTGATCCTGAACCCATGAATATTAGAGTCAGTGAAGAGTCCTGGGCAACCTATGGGGCCCTGGGCAGTGGATCAGTGTTTATCCCTGGCATGCAGACATAACACAAAGAGGGATGCTCTCTTAGCCTGGACTCTTAGGGGAGTGCCTGGACCCTGCCCTGAGTGAAATGATAGACTCTAGATATCCCTATGTGGAATGAAGTTGGGATAAGGAGGGAGGCTGGGGGGAATGGCGGGGGTGCGGGAGGTAGTGAGGGAGAGGGAACTGGGTTTTACATGTGAAACAAGATATTTAAAATTAAAATAATAAAAAAGTGCACGAAAATACCCAATCATTAGTATCTGAAATGCATGACACAGGAGTTTTAAGATCAACACAGTGCCTTTTCTTTTGGGTTTTCGAGGTAGGGTTTCTCTGTGTCTTTGAAGGCTTTCCTCCTGGAACATGCTCTGGAGACCAGGCTGGCTTTGAACTCAGAGAGAAAAGCATGTCTGTGTCCTGACTGCTGGTATTAATGGTGTGCACTACCAACACCCAGCAGAGTGCCTTTTAAAATAGGACTATGACATCATAATAAAGATCAAGAATCATTTGTTAAATACTAGACTTGATTGCAGCCAGAGCCTCATGAACTCGGTATCATTAGAGACTGAGCCAGAGCCTCATGCATACCAAACACACACAACCACTAGGGATTGAAGCCAAGTGTCAGGTGTGCTGTGCACATAGAATCACTAGGTATTGAAGACAGGACCTCATGACTTTACACACACTCCCACCGGAATCCAAGGCATTATGCCCGCCATTCACAGATTAGCAGAGTCTGAAGCCAGGAGGTCTCATACATGCTAGGACACAGAAATACAAGAGCCTGAATTGGAGCCTCGGGCATGTTTTGTATACACAACCAATAGGGATCATCAATGTCTAGGAAATACAGGCAGCAGAAAGAACATGGAAAACATGAGGAAATTTTCAGGCAAAGAGCATCTGTCAGTTTTTTGAGTAGGTGTAGTCAACGTGAGAGTCTTTATAGGTGACCTGGAACTCACAGAGATTACCCTTCCTCTGTTTCACTAGTGCAGGGGTTAAAGGTGTGAACCACCACCTCTTGGCCTCTTTTAAAAAGATAATTCTTTATAACTTCTGTTCTGCATATGTGTATATCTCCATGCCAGGAGAGGGCACCAGATCTCATTCATAGATGGTTTGTAAACCACCATGTGGTTGCTGGGAAATGAAATCATGACCCCTCTGAGAGCAATCAATGCTCTTAACCTCTGAGCCATCTTTCCAGCCTTCCCCCAAGCTCTTGTAAACAACTCTGATGAAACCTCATGTTTGAATGTTTATGATGTTCTCACTCAGCCTGCTTATGGGCTTGCGCAAATAAATATTTTCTTCACCTTTTTCACATGTCTCTGCTGCTTCCTCCTGTTCCTCAGCTTGCATGGCTTCTGCAAAAAGAGCAAAACCATGATGCATGATTATGTTTGTTGTTCAAAATTGATCCCATCTGTGTCAGCTCCCGCCACCCACCACTCCATCCTCCTAACTGTCTGTCAGCATACCTGTCTACCTATGCATCTATCCATCTTTGAATCTACTTAATGTATGTAATTTATTTGCTGTTTTTTCAGACAAGGTTTCTATGTGTAGCCATGGCTTTCCTGGAACTCTTCTCTGTAGACCAGACAGGCCTCAAACTGACAAAGATCTGACTAGGCCTGCCTCTGTGTGCTGGGATTAAAGGTGTGCACCAACACAAGCTGGTGAAATTGTAGTTATTTATATCTAATGACTATTTTGCATGTATGCTTTATGTCTGTGTACTTTGTGCATGCTTTGCCTGTTTCTGCCACATGAGAGCAGATCATTTGGAACTGGATTTACAGATGGTTGTGAGCTGACATAGGGGTGCTGAAAACTGCATTTGGTTCTTCTGGAAGTGTGCCTAGTGCTCTGAAATACTGAACCCTCTTTCTGGCACCTAATCCTATTTTTTAGAGTCTCTCACTAAATCTGAACCTCAGCAACATGGCTAGACTCTCAGACCAGTAAGCACCATGGACCCTCCTGAGTCTGCCTTTTCAGCACTGGGTTGATAGGCACATTCCCCTTTTCTTGGCCTTTTAATATGAGTTCTGGGTACTGGAGCAGCTAACATAGTAATGACTGAGCAATTTACCCTCAACTCAAATTCATTAATACAGCTACCTGTATATCCAAACACAGATCCATGCAACTAAATGCAGTTCATAGAGAACAGCTGACATCACAGAAATTGTCAATATGACTCTAAAGCTCATGATAGAATCATTGGGACCACGAAAGTTCCAAGTATTGCAGATTAATGTTGAACGTCATCTACCCTGTAAAATAATGGATGTCTGTGGACATAGCGACATAAGAACAGGCCCAGAGGATAGTTAAGTAGAATCGAGCAACCCCAAATTACCCTCCCACACCTCTATCTAGACAATTCAGCAGAACTGGGTGTGCTCATGTGTGTGGTATGTGGTTAAGTGCAGGTTATATGTGTGCTTGCCTGTGCGGAAGAAAGAGGTCAACCTTAGCTTTGTTTCCCCCAGAAAGTCTACCCTTTTACAAAGGGCTTTTTAATTGCTAATTAATTTCCTGCATGGGGGCCTGTGAGTACAGTAAATAGAGGTGTTGGATTTCCTGCAGCTGGAGTTCCCAGTGTTTACCTGTCATCTGAAGTGGTGAAATTCGACATGCACACACACATGAATTCAGAGGGCCACCTAGGATGTGGTAGCACACACCTATTATGCCAGTACTCAAGAGGCAGATGGATCTCTGTGAGTTCAATGTTAGCCTGGTCTACAGCAATATTTGTAGGACAGCCAGGACTACACAGAGAAAACTTGTGCTGAAAATCAGAAAGAACACAAAGAGCTCAGGGGTCTAATTCTTTAGGTAACACTATAAACCATGTGGCTTTAAGTGTATCCATGTTTACACCCCACCCTGCATGCAAACCTGGAGCTTGTCCCTCCTCTGGCCCTTGGTCACTCTGGATTGTTCCTCTGTCTTCTTCTGTTTTACTCATTGAGTCTTTTGCAACAGAGAGGAAGAGAGAGCGCTGTTAACAAGTCACAGTCTAAAAATCTCCACCTAGGGATGAGAACTCTCCATGTCCAAACTATCAAAGGGAATTAGAGCAAGTCTTGACTCAGTTTATGCCCAGAAGAGTCAGCTAGGCATTCAGGAGCACCAATTGAATTCATTCAAGTGGACAACAGGAGCATTGCTGGGAGGCATCACAGACTCTTTTGAGAACATGGTCTTAAACTATATAATTGAAGCTTGCCTAGATCTTGCTATGTAGACCAAGATGGCCTAGAACTCAGACTTGCTGGTCTGCGCTTCACAATTCAAGCATCAGGGTTCAAGTTGTACACTACCATGACTGCTCATCAGTAGACTCTTGAATGATTCTTCCTACTCAATGATGTCTCCTGCTACTTGCCTCAAAAACAATAAAAAATGGATTAATTATCTAGTTAAGCTTGAAGGTAGGAAGGTGAGTTTGGGTAGCATTAAAACAACTACTCATGTGACCTGGAAAAAATATAGGTGCTCCTCTACTGAAGTATGGAGAAAGAAAATGTGCTACATTCATACAATGGAGTAGTACTCAGTGATAAAATCCAGTACGTGGGGCTGTAGAGATGGATCATAGGTTAAGAGCGCTGACTGCTCTTCCGAGGACACAGGTTCAATTGCCAGTATCCATATAGCTGCAAACAACTGTCTGTATCTCCAAGATCTGACACCCTCACACAGACATACGTGTAAGGAAAACACCAATGCACATAAAATAAAAACAATTTATTTACATAAGCAACTACTTATCATCTGAAATGCATGACACACGAGTTTTAAGATCAACAGAGCGCCTTTTCTTTTGGGTTTTTGAGACAGGGTTTTCTCTGTGGCTTTGGACGCTGTCCTCCTGGCACACACTCTGGAGACCAAGCTGGCCTTGAACTCACAGAGAACAGCCTGCCTCTGCCTCCTGACTGCTGGGATTAAAGGTTTGCACCGCCAACACACAGCAGAGTGCCTTTTAAAATAGGATTATGAAGTCATAAAAAAATCAAGAATCATTTGTTAAGTACTAGACTTGACTGCAGCCAGAGACTCATTAACACGGTGTCATTAGGGATTCAGCCAGAGCCTCATGCATACCAAGCACATACAACCACTAGGGATTGAAGCCAAGTCTCATGTGTGCTGTGTACATACAATCACTAGATATTGAAGACAGGACCTCATGACTTTACACATGACTCAGCCTGGTTATAGGTTGGCGCAAATCAATATTATCTTCACCTCTTTCACATGTCTCTGTTGCTACCTCTTGTTCCTCAGCTTGCAAGGCTCCTGCAAAAGGAAGAGCAAAGCCATCCCCCATGATTATGTTTGTTGTTCAAAAGAGATACCATCTGTGTCAGCGCCTGTCACCCAATCTGTCCTCCTAAGTGTTTGTCAGCATACCTGTCAGTTTTTCCATCTATCCATCTTTCCATCTACCTAATGTATGTCATCTATTTGCTGGTTTTTCAAGACAAGGTATCTCTGTGTAACCATGGCTGTGCTGGAACTCTGCTCTGTAGACCAGACTGGCCTCACACTCACAAAGATCTGACTGTGTCTGCCTCTGTGAGCTGGGATTAACGGAGTGCACCACGACCATATGGTTAAGTTGTAGTTATTTATATCTGACTACTATTTTGTCTGTATGATATATGTCTGTGTATTTTGTGCATGCTATGGTTGCTGAGGCCACATGAAAGCAGATCGTTTGGAACTGGAGTTACAGATGGTTTTGAGCTGTCATGGGGCTGCTGAAAAATGAATCTTGCTCCTCTGGATGTGTGCCTAGTGCTATGAAATACTGAACCCGCTTTCTGGTCCCTAATCGTATTTTGAGAGTCTCTCACAAAATCTGAATCTTATCAACATGGCTAGACTGGCTGACCACCAAGTACCATGAACCCTTGTGCTTCTGCATTTTCAATGCTGAGATTACAGAAACATTCCCCTTTAATTGTCCTTTTAATACGAGTTCTGGGAACTGGGCAGCTAACATAGTACAGACTGAACAATTAACTTCAAACTCAAATTCATTAATACAGCTATCTCTATATATATCCAAACACAGATCCAAGCAACTAAATGCAGTCCATATCAAGAGAAGAGCTGGCTTCCCAGAAATTGTCAAAATGACTGTAAAGTTCAAAATTAAATGTCCCCACATTTTGCAGATTAATGTTGAATGTCATCTACCCTCTAAAATAATGGAATTCTTTGGACATAGCGGCATATGAACAGGCACATTGGATAGTTAAGTAGATCGAGTAACCCCAAATGACCCTCCTACATGTCTTTCTATACAATTCAGTAGAATTGCCTGTTAACATGTGTGCGGTACTTGGTTAAGCCAAGGTTATATGTGTGGTAACCTGTGGGGTGAAAGAGGTCAAGCTTAACCTTCTTTCCCCCTGAAAGTCTACCCTTTTACAAAGGGCTTTTTAATTGCTAATTACACTCCTGCATGGGTGCCTGTGAACATTTGTAAATGCAGAGAATAGAGGTGTTGATTTCCTGTAGCTGGAGTTCCCAGTGGTTACATGTCATCTGAAGTGGTGCTAAGAACCACACTCCAATCCCACATGCACACACATAGGAATTCAGAGGTCCAGCTGTGATGCGGTAGTACACACCTATTATGCCAGTAACCAAGAGGCATAAGCAGTTGAGTTCAATGTTAGCCTGGTCTACTGCGATAGTTGTAGGACAGCCATGACTACACAGAGGAAATTGGTGTTAAATATCAGAAAGAACACAAAGAGCCCAGGGGTCTAATTCTTTAGGCAACACTATAAACCATGTGGCTTTAAGTGTATCCATGTTTACACCCCACTCTGCATGCCAACCTGGGGCGTGTCCCTCATCTGGCCCTTGGTCACTCTGGATTGGTTCTCTGTCTTCTGTTTTCTTCATTGAGCCATCTGCAACAGAGAGGAAGAGAGAGTGCTGTTAACAAGTCTCAGTCTAAAAGCTATGCTGTGGATGTGAACTCTCCATGTCCAAACTACCAAGGGGAATTAGAGCAAGTCAGTTTATTCCCAGAAGACTCCTCTGGGCCATCAGGAGCACCAAGTGAATTCATTCAAAAGGACAACAGGAGGGTTTCTGGGAGGCATCAGAGACTCTTTTGTGAACAGGGTCTTACTATATAAGTCAAGCTGGCCTATATCTTGCTATGTAGACCCAGGTGGCCTTGACTCAGACTTGCTGGTATGTGCTTCCCAATACAAGCATTGGTGTTCAAGTTCTACACTATCATGACTGGCTCATCAGGAGTCTCTTGAATGATTCTTGCTACTCAAAGATGACTCCTGCTACTTGCCTCAAAAACAATAAAAATGGGTTAATGATCTACTTAAGCTTGTAGGTAGGAAGGGTGAGGTTTGGGTAGCCTGAAAACAACTACTCATGTGACTTGGAATAAAATCTAGATGCCCCTTAACTGAAGTATGAAGAAAGAAAATGTGGTACAATGACACAATGGAGTAGTACTCAGTGGTAAAATCCGCTATTGTGGGGATACAGAGATGAATCAGAGGTTATGAGCACTGACTGCTCTTCCAGAGGACATGGGTTCAATTCCCAGTATCCATATAGTGGCAAACAACAGTATGTAGCTCCAAGATCTGATACACTCACACAGACATACGTGTGGGCAAAACACCCATGCACAAAATAAAAAACATGTAAATTATTTAAAAAAAGAAAATACTTTTCATCTGAACTGCATGACATAGGAGTTTTAAGATCAACAGAGTGCCTTCTCTTTTGGGTTTGTGAGACAGGTTTTCTCTGTGCCTTTGGAGGCTGTCCTCCTAGCACTCGCTCTGGAGAGCAGGCTGACCTTGAACCCACAGAGAACAACCTGCCTCTGCCTCCTGACTCCTGGGATTAAATGTGTGCAGCACCAACAAACTGCAGATTGCCTTTTAAAATAGGATTATGACATCATTAATAATATCAAGACTCAGTTGTTAAGTACTAGACTTGATTGCAGCCAGAGCCTCATGAACTTGGTATCATTAGAGATTGAGCCAGAGCCTCATGCATACCAAACACATACAACCACTAGGGATTGAAGCCAAGTCTCATGTGTGCTGTGCACATACAATCACTAGATATTGAAGCCAGGAACTCATGACTTTACACACACTACCACTGGAAGCCATGATATCATGCACACCATGCACAGACTAGCAGAGACTGAAGCCAGGAGGTCTAATACATGCTAGAACACAGTAATACTAGAGACTGAATTAGACCGAGCCTCAGGCATGTTTTGTATACAGAACCAATAGGGATCATTAATGTCCAGGAAATTCAGGGAGCATAAAGAACATGGAAAACTTGAGGAAATTTTTAGGCAAAAGCAGCTGTCAGTTTTGAGTAGGTGTAGTCAATGTGGGAGTCTTTATTGGTAACCTGGAACTCACAGAGAGTGCAGGGATTACAGGTGTGCACCAGCACCTATTGGCGTTTTTAAAAAAGATAATTATTTATATAAACACGGATCTCCATACTTGTATATCTCCATGCCAGAAGAGGGCACCAGTTCTCATTCATAGATGGTTTGTAAGCCACCATGTGGTTGCTGCGAATTGAACTCAGGACCCTGTGAGAGCAATCAATGTTCTTAACCTCTGAGCCATCTTTCCAGCCTTCACCCAAGTTTTTGTAAGCAACTCTGATGAAACCTCTTGTTTGAATATCATATGATGCTCACATTCAGCCTGCATATAGGTTGGCGCAAATAAATATTTTCTTCACCTTTTTCACATGTCTCTGCTGCTGCCTCTTGTTCCTCAGCTTGCAAGGCTTCTGTAAAAGTAAGAGAAAGTCCATCCTACATGAGTATGTTTGTTGTTCAAAACAGATACCATCTGTGTCCGGTCTTAGGACATGGAGGAAGAGGAGCAGAAAGAGCTGGAGGATGTGGAGCGGAGCCTAGAAATGTTGTGCTCTACACATGTGTGAAACTGCTGTTGCACACATGAAGTCAGGCATCTCTGGTCATCTGTGCAAGGCAGAGACAGTATAAATCCCTTCATATATTGGCTATGGGCTCTCTGTGTTTTGCCGTAGCTGAGGGAGTGTCAGCATTTGGAATCCCTTTTATTTGGGGTGTGACAAATGGTTGCTTGTCCATGATGCACGAATGTGTACCTGTGTGTACAGGTCCATGTACACATTCAAGTCCATGCAGGAGGTTCTAATGTTGACTTTTGGTGTCTTTCTAAATCATTATCATCTTCATTTTTAAAGATGTATCATCTGTCTCCCTGTCTGTCTGTGTGCCCACAGGTCAGACTGGCCTCTGACTCACTAAGATCTGACTGTGCCTGCCTCTATGTGCCGGGATTTAAGGTGTGCACTGCCACCAGCTGATCAAGTTGTAGTGATTTATATCTGATGACTATTTCGCCTGTATGCTATATGTCTGTGTACTTTGTGCATGCTATGCCTGCTGAGGCCTCATGAGAGCAGATCACTTGGAACAAGAATTACAGATGGATTTGTCCCGACATGGGGGTGCGGAAAACTGAATCTGGCTCCTCTGGAAGTGTTCCTAGTGCTCTGAAATACTGAACCCTCTTTCTGGTACTTAATCATATTTTTGAGAGTCTCTCACAAAATCTCAATTTCGGCAACATGGACAGACTGGCTGACTAGTAAGCACGATGGATCCTCTTGTGTCCTCCTTATCAGTGCTGGGATGACAAGCACATTCCCCTTTACTTGACCTTTTAATACCAATTCTGGGAACTGGAGCAGCTAACATAGTACTGACTGAGCAATTTACCTTAAACTCAAATCCATTAATACAGCTACCTATATATGCAAACACAGATCCCTGCAACTAAATGCAGTTTAATGTTGAATGTCATCTACCCTCTAAAATAATAGAAGTCTGTGGACATAGCGGCATAAGGACAGGAAGATAGGATAGTTAAGTAAAATCCAGCAACCCCAAATTATCCTCCCACACCTCTATCGAGACAACTCAGTAGAACTGCCTGTTAACATGGGTGTGGTACATGGTTAAGTGCAGGTAATATATGTGCAAGCCTGTGGGGGTGAAAGGTCAACCTTAGCTTTCTTTCCCCTGAAAGACTACTCTTTTAAAAAGGGCTTTCTAATTTTAATTACACTCCTGCATGGGTGCCTGTGAGCACTTGTAACTGCAGAGAATAGAGGAGTTAGAATTCCTGCAGCTGGAGTTCCCAGTGGTTACGTGTTATCTGAAGTGGTGCTGAGAACCAAACTCCAATCCCACATGCACACACATAGGAATTCAGAGGTGCATCTAGGATGTGATAGCACAAACCTATTATGCTAGTACTCAAGAGGCATAGGCAGGTGGATCTCTGTGAATTCGATGTTAGCCTGGTAGACAGCGATAGTTGTAGGACAGCCAGGACTACACAGAGAAAACTTGTGTTGAAAATCAGAGAACACAAAGAGCTCAGGAGACTAATTCTTTAAGTGACACTATAAGCCATATGGTTTTAAGTGTATCCCTGTTTACACACCACTCTGCATCCCTACCTGGGGCCTGTCCCTCATGTGGCCCTTGGTCACTCTGGATTGGTTCTCTGTCTTCTTCTGTTTTACTCAATGATTCATCTGCAACAGAGAGTAAGAGAGAGCGCTGTTAACAAGTCAAAGTGTAAAATCTCCAGTTGACAAAGCCAGACTTAAAACAATACGTATCCATGAATCCAGCTCTACAGAAAATGCTAGAAGGAAAACCTAGAGCCAAGGAAGATAACTACATTCACAAAGACACTAGCAATATATAATCACACTTTACAAAACACCAAAAGAAAAAGGGAGGAGAAACTACACAAGATAACTTCACTAACAATAAATCAAGCACAAACAAGGATCACCAATCAGTGGTCATTAATATCCCTCAATGTTAATGGCCTCAACTTGCCTATAAAAAGACACAGACTAGCAGAATGGATACGAAGACAGAACCCTTCCTTCTGCTTCATACAAGAAACACATCTCAACATCAAAGACAGACGTTATCTCAGAGTAAAGGGTTGGGAAAAGATCTTCCAATCAAACGGTCCCAAGAAACAAGTGGGTGTAGCAATCCTAATATCTAACAAATTAGACTTCAAATTAAAATCAATCAAAAGAGATGAAGAAGGACACTTCATATTCAAAGGAAAAATACATCAAGACGAAGTCTCAATTTTAAACATCTATGCCTCAAATACAAAGGCACCTACATTCGTGAAAGAAACATTACTAAAGCTCAAAATGCACATAAAATCTCACACACTAATAGTAGGAGACTTCAACACTCCGCTCTCACCGCTAGACAGGACCTCCAGACAGAAACTTAAGAAACAAAAGAACTAACAGAAGTTATGACCCAACTGGGTTTAACAGACATCTATAGAACATTCCACCCAAATACAAAGGGATATACCTTCTTCTCGGCACCACATGGAACCCTCTCTAAAATTGACCACATAATAGGAAACATAGCAAATCTCCACAGATACAAAAAAAATTGGAATAACCCCCTGCATCTTATCAGACCACCATGCATTAACATTAGAATTCAACAATAACACAAATCGCAGAAACCCTACAAAGTCATGGAGATTGAACAATGCACAATTGCACCATCCCTGGGTAAAGGAACAAATAAAGAAATTAAAGACTTCCTCGATTTCAATGAGAATGAAGACACAACATACACAAACTTATGGGACACTTTGAAAGCAGTGCTGAGAGGAAAGTTTATAGCACTAAGTGCCCTCATGAAAAAACTGGAGAACAGTCATACTAGAGAATTAATAGCACAGCTGAATGCTCTAGAACAAAAAGAAGCAAACTCCCCCAGGAGAAGCAGACGCCAGGAAATAATCAAATTGAGGGCTGAAATCAATCAAGTAGAAACCAGAAAAACACTGAGAAGTATCAACGAAACAAAGAGTTGGTTCTTTGAGAAAATCAACAACATAGATAAACCTCTGTCCAAACTAACCAAAAAACAGAGGGAGAGCATGCTAATTAACAAAATCAGGGATGAAAAAGGGGACATAACAACGGACTTTGAGGAAATCCAGAGAATCATCAGGGCATACTTTGAAAATCTGTACTCCACAAAATTTGAAAATTTAAAGCAAATGGACAATTTCCTGGATAGATATCACTTGCCAAAACTAAATCAAGAACAGATAAACAATCTAAACAGACCTATAACCCCTAATGAAATAGAAGCAGTCATCAAAAGTCTCCCAAACAAAAAAAGCCCAGGCCCAGATGGCTTTAGTGCAGAATTCTACCAGAAATTCAAAGAAGAGCTAATTCCAATACTCCTCAAAGTATTCCACACAATATGAGCAGGAGGCTCACTGCCAAACTCTTTCTACGAGGCTACAATTACCTTGATACCCAAGCCACACAAAGACACAACTAAGAAAGAGAACTATAGACCAATTTCCCTCATGAACATCGATGCAAAAATACTCAAAATACTCGCAAACCGGATTCAAGAACACATCAGAGAAATCATCCACCATGATCAAGTAGGCTTCATCCCAGGAATGCAGGGATGGTTCAACATTAGAAAATCTATCAATGTAATCCACCATATTAACAATCTGCGAAAGAAAAACCACATGATCATCTCACTAGATGCTGAAAAAGCCTTTGACAAAATCCAGCACCCCTTCATGATAAAGGTCCTAGGGAGATCAGGGATAACAGGAACGTACCTGAATATAATAAAAGCAATATACAGTAAACCAACAGCTAACATCAAACTAAATGGAGAGAATCTCAAAGCAATTCCTCTAAAATCAGGAACAAGACAAGGCTGTCCACTCTCTCCATATCTCTTCAATATTGTACTTGAAGTTCTAGCTTCAGCAATAAGACAACAAAAGAAGATAAAGGGGATACAAATAGGAAAAGAAGAAGTCAAACTTTCACTATTTGCAGATGATATGATAGTTTATACGTGACTCAAAAAACTCCGCAAGGTTACTCCTAGAGCTGATAAACACCTTCAGCAATGTGGCAGGACAGAAGGTTAATTCAAAAAAATCAGTGGCCCTATTATATACAGATGATGAAGTGACTGAGAAAGAATTCAGAGAAACATCACCCTCTACAATAGCCAAAAACAGCATCAAATATCTGGGGATAATGTTAACCAAGGAAATTAAAGACCTGTATATCAAGAACTTTGTGTCTTTAAAGAAAGAAATCAAAGAAGATACCAGAAAATGGAAAGATCTCCCATGCTCTTGGATTGGTAGGATCAACATAATAAAAATGGCAATCTTGCCAAAAGCAGTCTACAGATTCAATGCAATCCCTATCAAAATTCCATCACAATTCTTCAAGGACCTGGAAAGAACATTAATCAACTTTATATGGAAAAACAAAAGGCCCAGGATAGCTAAAACATCCCTATACAATAAAGGAACTTCAGGAGGCTACACCATACCTGACTTCAAGCTCTATTATAGAGCTACAGTCCTGAAAACAGCTTGGTATTGGCACAAAAATAGGCAGGTAGACCAATGGAACCGAATGGAAAGCTCTAATTTTAACCCACACACCTTTGAACACTTGATTTTTGACAAAGAAGCTAAAACTGTACAATGGAAAAAAGAAAGCATCTTCAACAAATGGTGCTGGCATAACTGGGTACTGGTATGCAGAAGACTGCAGATAGATCCATGTTTATCGCCTTGTACAAAACTTAAGTCCAAATGGATCAAAGATCTCAACATACATCCAGCCACACTGAAACTTTTAGAAGAGAAAGTGGGAGATACTCTTCAACGAGTTGGTACAGGAGACCACTTCCTAAACATAACACCAGTGGCACAGGCACTGAGATCGACAATTAACAAATGGGACCTTCTGAAACTAAAAAGCTTCTGTAAGGCAAAGGACACAGTCAAAAAGACAAAAAGGCAGGCCACAGAATGGGAAAAGATATTCACTAACCCTACATCTGACAGAGGGCTAATCTCCAAAATTTACAAAGAACTCAAGAAACAAGTCTCCAAAACACCAAAGGATCCAATTAAAAGGTGGGGTACAGAGCTAAATAGAGAATTCTCAGTAGAGGAGGCTAAAATGGCCAAGAGACACTTAAGAAAGAGCTCAACATCCTTAGCCATCAGGGAAATGCAAATCAAAACAACTCTGAGATACCATCTTACTCCTGTCAGAATGGCTAAAATCAAAAACACCAAAGACAATTTATGCTGGAGAGGATGTGGAGAGAGAGGAACACTCCTCCACTGCTGGTGGGAGTGCCGACTCATACAGCCTCTTTGGAAATCAGTATGGAGATTCCTCAGGAAAATGGGAATTAATCTACCACTAGACCCAGCAATTCCACTCTTAGGCATATATCCAAATGAGGCAAGTTCATACAACAAGGGCATCTGCTCCACTCTGTTTATAGCAGCATTATTTGTAATAGCCAGAACCTGGAAGCAACCTAGATGCCCCTCAACTGAAGAGTGGATAGAGAAAATGTGGTACATTTACACAATGGAGTATTACTCAGCAGAAAAAAACAATGGAATCTTGAAATTTGTAGGTAAATGGATAGACCTGGAAGAAACCATCCTGAGTGAGGTAACCCAGTCGCAAAAAGACAAACATGGTATGTACTCACTAATATATGGATTTTAGACATAGATCAGGATAGTGCCAGTCCACACTTCCACTGATAGAGAGTCTGGGAAACAGGAAAGAACCTAAAAGATATGCATATATGCATAGTACCCAAGAGAAGAGGATTGAGACAAGATCCTCTGAATGGATGGGGAGCATGGCGAGGGGTGGGGGGGAGCGGGACCTGGGAAGAAGAGAGGGGGTGAAGAGGAAGAGAGTGGGTCATGGGGGAACAGGAAGTTGAGGGGGTGGGGGTAGAATAGGGGGAAGAGGGAATCATAGGATAGAATACAGATCAGGCACCAGAGCGACCTCGAGTGATCTAAAGGGATAACACCAATAGGCAAGCTAAGCAATAGTGGAGAGAGACCACCTCGAATGCCCATTCCTGATAATGAACTTGATGTCTAAAACCATCATGGAGACTTCATCCTGTGACTGATGGAAGCCAAGGCAAACACACAATCACTGAACTGAACCCAAGGAACCCAGTGACAGAGAGAGAGGAGTGATGAGCAAATTGGCAAAGAATGGGCTGGCAAAACCAGCAGAGACAGCTGATCTGAACAGGGGAGAGCTCTTGGACCCCAGACCGACAGTGGGGAGGCCAGCATGTGACTGATCAGGATCCCCCCAAATGTGAGTGTCAGCGAGAAGGCCTGGTCAACCTATGGGGCCCTGAGCAGTGGATCAGTGTCTATCCCTGGTATACAAACAGTCTTTGTGTGCCTATAGCACAAAGAGGGATGCTCTTTCAGCCTGGACTCTTAGGGGAGTGCCTGGACCCTACCCAGAGTAAAATGACAGACTCTAGATCTCCCCTATGTGGAAGGATTTGGCAATAGTGTGGGAGGGTGGGGGGGAAAGGGAGTGCGGGAGGAGGGGAGGGAGAGGGAACTGGGATTGACATGTAAAACAAGCTATTTAAAATTAAAATAAAAAATGATTAAACAAACAAGCAAACAAACAAAAACAAAACAAAAAAAGCTTGCAGGTAGGAAGTGTGAGTTTTGGGTAGCCTGAAGACAACTACTCATGTGACCTGGAAAAAAATCTAGATGCCCCTCAACCGAGGTATGGAGAAAGAAAATGTGCTACATTTACACAATGGAGTAGTACTCAGTTGTAAAATGTACTATGTGTGGCTGTAGAGATGGATCAGAGGTTAATCTCACTGAATGTTCTTCCAGAGGACTTGGTTTCAATCCCCAGTATCCATATAGCCACAAACAGCTGTCTGTAGCTCCAAGATCTGACACCCTCACAGAGACATACATGTAGGCAAAACACCAATGCACATAAAAGAAAATCAAGTAAATTGTTTAAATAAGCAACCATTTAGCATCTGCAATGCTTGACACAGGAGTTTTAAGATCAAAAGTGTGCCTTTTCCTTTGGTTTTTTGAGACAGGGTTTCCTGTGTCATTGGAGGCTGTCCTCCCTGCTCATGCTCTGGAGACCAGAGTTGCCTTGAACTCACAGAGAACAGCCTGCCTCTGCCTCCTGACTGCTGGGATAAAATGTGTGCACCACCAACACCCAGCAGAGTGTCTTTAAAAATAGTATTATGACCTCGTAAAACAAGATCAAGAATTATTTGTTAAGTACTAGACTTGATTGCAGCCAGAGGCTCATGAACTTGGTATCATTAGAGATTGAGCCAGAGCCTCATGCATACCAAGCACATACAACCACTAGGGATTGAAGCCAAGTCTCATGTGTGCTGTGCACATAGAATCACTAGGTATTGAAGACAGGACCTCATGACTTTACACACACTACCACCGGAATCCAAGGCATCATGCATGCCATGCATAGAAAACCAGAGACTGAAGTCAGGAGGTCTTATAAATGCTGGGACATGGTAATACAAGAGACTGAATTGAAGCCTCAGGTATGTTTTGTATCCACAACCAATAGGGATCATAATTTCTAGGAAATACATGGAGCAGATAGAACATGGAAAACATGAGGACATTTTCAGGCAAAAAGGAGCTGTCAGTTTTGAGTAGGTGTAGCCAATGTGTGATTCTGTATATGTGACCTGGAACTCACTGAGATCCCCCTTCCTCTGTGTCCCTAGTACAGGGATTAAATGTGTGACCCCCATCCAATTGGCCATTTGTAAAATGATAATTCTTTATATAAACAATTTTCTGCATACGTGTATATCTCGATGCCAGAAGAGTGCACCACATCTCATTCATAGATGGTTTGCAAACCACCACGTGGTTGCTGGGAATTCAACTCAGGACACTGTTCACAATCAATGTTCTCAACCTCTGAGCCATCTTTCCAGCCTTCACCCAAGCTCTTGTAAGCAACTCTGATGAAACATCCTGTTTGAATGCCATATGATGCTCTCACTCAGCCTGCATATATGTTGGCTCAAATATTTTCTTTACCTTTTTCACATGTCTCTGCTGCTGCCTTTTGTTCCTCAGCTTGCAAGGTTTCTGTAAAAGGAAGAGCAAGACCATCCTACATGATCATGTTTTTTGTTCAAAACAGATATCATCTGTGTCTGCGTCCCCACCTGGGTTTAGGATATGGCCAAGAGGGTCTGAAAGAAAGAGCTAGAGGATGGGGATGGGAGCTGAGAAACTCTGTGCTCAACACAAGTGTGAAACTGCTGTTGCACACATGAAGTCAGGCATCTCTGGTCTCCTATACAAGGCACAGACAGTAATAATTCTGTCATATATTGGCTAGGGGCTCTCTATGTTTTGCCGATAGCAGAGGAAGTGTCAGAATTTGGAGTCCCTTTGTTTGGGGTAGTGGAATGTGGTTGCTTTTCCATGATGTATGAATGTGTACCTGTTTGTACAGGTCCATGTACAAATTAAAGTCCATGGAGGATCTTCCGTTGTTGAGTTTTGGTGTCTTTCTAAATCACTATTGTCTTCATTTTGAAGATGTATCATCTGTCTCCCTTTCTGTCTATCTGTCTGCCTGCCCAGCTGTGTATCCTTCGGACCGCCCACTCACCACTCAGTCTGCCTACCTGTCTGTCAGCATACCTGTCCATATATCCATCTTTCCATCTACCTAATGTATGTAATCTATTTGCTGATTCTTCGAGACAAGGTTTCCCTTTGTAGACATAGCTCTGTTGGATATCTGTTTTGTAGGCAACACTGGGATCAAACTCACAAAGATCTGACGGTGTCTGCCTCTGTGTGCTGGCATTAAAGGTGTGCACCACCACCAGCTGGTGAAGTTGTAGTTATTTATATTTGATGACTATTTTGCCTGTATACTATATGTCAGTGTACTTTGTGCATGCTATGCCTGCTGAGGCCACATGAGAGCAGATCACTTGGAACAAGAATTACAGACAGTTTTGTTCCGACATGGGGGTGCGGAAAACTGAATCTGGCTCCTCTGGAAGTGTTCCTAGTTCTCTGAAATACTGAACCCTCTTTCTGGTACGTAATCATAATTTTGAAAGTCTCTCATTACATCTGAATCTCAGTAACATGGTTTGACTGGGTGACCACCAAGCACCATGGATACTCCTGTGGATGCATTTTCAAGGCTGGGATTACAGGCACATTCCCCTTTAGTTGGCCTTTTGATACCAGTTCTGGGAGCTGAACTCAGGTCCTTGTGCAGCTAACATATAACTGAGTGAGCAATTTACATCAAACTTAAATTCATTAATACAGCTACATATATATATATATATTCATATATATATATATATATATATATCCAAACACAGATCCATGCAACTAAATGCAGTCCTTATCAAGAGAACAGCTGACCTACCAGTAATTGTCATAATGACTGTAAAGCTCACGACAGAATCAATGGGACCTCGAAAGATTTGCAGATTAATGTTGAATGTCATCTACCCTCTAATATAATTGAAGTCTATGTACATAGCGGCATAAGGACAGGCACGTAGGATAGTTAATAATTGAGCAGCGCAAAATTACCCTCCCATACCTCTATCTAGACAATTCAGTAGAACTGCCTGTAAACACGTGTGTGGTACGTGGTTAAGTGCAGGTTATATGTGTTAGCCTATGGGTCAGCCTTAGCTTTCTTTCCCCCTGACAGACTACCCTTTTACAAAGGGCTTTTTAATTGCTAATTACACTCCTGCATGGGTGCCTGTGAACACTTGTAACTGCAGAGAACAGAGGTGTTCGATATCCTGCATCTGGAATTCCCATTGGTTACTTGTCATCTTCGGTGGGGCTGAGAACCAAACTCCAATCCCACAAGCACACACATAGGAATTCAGAGGTCCAGCTGCAATGTGGTAGCACACACCTATTATGCCAGTAATCAAGAGGCATAGGCATTTGGATCTTTGTGAGTTCGATTTAGTCTAGTCTACAGCGATAGTTGTAGGACAGCCAGGACCACACAGAGAAAACTTGTGTTGAAAATCGGAGAGAACACAAAGAGCTCAGGGTTCTAATTCTTTAGGTGACACTATAAACCATGTGGCTTTAGGGTATCTTTGTTTACACCCCATCCTGCATGCCTACCTGGGGCCTGTCCTTCATTTGGCCCTTGGTCACTCTGGATTGGTTCTGTGTCTTCGTCTGGGGTACTCATTGAGTCATCTGCAAGAGAGAGGAAGAGCGTGTACTGTTAACAAGTCACAGTCTAAAAGCTCCAGCTGGGGATGAGAACTCTCCATGTCTAAACTACCAAGGGGAATGAGAGCAAGTCTTTATATGGTTTATGCCCAGAAGAGTCCTCTGGGCCATCAGGAGCACCAAGTGAATTCATTCAAGTGGACAACAGCAAGGTTGCTTGGAGGCTCCACAGATTCTTTGAGAACAGGGTCTTACTATGTAATTCAAGCTGGCTTAGATATTGCTATGCAGACCTCGGTGGCCTTGATGTCAGACTTGCTGCTCTGTGCTTCCCAATCCAAGCATTGGGGTTCAATGTGTACACTACCAAGACTGGCTCATCAGTAGACTCTGGAATGATTCTTGCTACTCAAAGATGACTCCTGCTACTTGCCTCAACAACAACAACAATGGATTAATGATCTACTTAAGTTTGTAGGTAGGAGGAGTGTGGTTTGGGTAGCCTGAAAACAACTACTCTTGTGACCTGGCTAAAATTTTGATGCCCCTCAACTGATGTTTGTAGAAAGAAAATTGTGGTAAATTTACAAAATGGAGTAGTACTCAGTGGTAAAATCCACCACGTGGGGCAGTAGCGTTGGACCAGATGTTAAGAACACTGACTGCTATTCTAGAGTACACGGGTTCATTTCCCAATATCCATATAGCTGCAAAGAACTTCTGTAGCTCCAAGATATGACACCCTCACACAGACATACGTGTAGGGAAAACACCAATGCACATAAAATAAAAACAAGTAAATTATTTAAAAAACCAACTATTGTGCACTTCCAGGGCTCAATCTCTGGGGTTGCCACCTTCAGGTGAGCTTGAGTATCAGTGGCTACACTCCCCATACTCTGTCCCACACATATCCCCTCAATCTTTCGTGGGCCTGCTCCTGGTATCCAGAAGATCTGCCCACACAGGAAAGGCATCTGCCCTTCCAGGCCCCAACCTCTGAAGACCCCAGCTTCATGTGAGCCTGGGTCTCCGTTGGGACACTCCCAATCTTCTGCCCAACACTCAGTGGTATTTAGGGGTCCTGCTCCTGGCATCCAGAAGACCCGCCCACACAGGAAAGGCATCAGCCCTTCCAAGCCCCAAACCCCAGGGAGTCCAGCTTCAGGTGAGATTGGGTCTCTGACAGGACCCCCTGCCCAACACCCATCCTCTTGATAGATATCACTTGCCACAACTAAATCAAGAGCAGATAAACAATCTAAACAGACCTATAATCTTAATGAAATAGAAGCAGTCATCAAAAGTCTCCCAACCAAAAAAAGGCCAGTCTCTGATGGCTTCAGTGCAGAATTCTACCAGAAATACAAAGAAGAGCTAATTCAAATACTCCTCAAAGTGTTCCACACAATAGAAGCAGGAAGCTCACTGCCAAACTCTTTTTACAAGGCTACAATTACCTTGATACCCAAGACACACAAAGATACAACTAAAAAAGAGAACTATGGACCAATTTCCTTCATGAACATCGATGCAAAAAATACTCAACAAAACACTAGCAAACCGGATTTAAGAACACATCAGAAAAATCATCCACCATGATCAAGTAGGCTTCATCCCAGGAATGCAGGGATGGTTCAACATTAGAAAATCTATCAATGGAATCCAACATATAAACAAACTGTGAAAGAAAAATATGATCATCTCACTAGATGCAGAAAAAGCCTTTGACAAAATCCAGCACCCCTTCATGATAAAGGACCTAGAGAGATCAGGGATAACAGGAACATACCTGAACATAATAAAAGCAATATACAGTAAACCAACAGCTAACATCAAACTAAATGGAGAGAAACTCAAAGCAATTCTCTAAAATAAGGAAAAGGCAAGGCTGTCCACTGTCTCCATCTCTCTTCAATATTGTCCTTGAAGTTCTAGCTGCAGCAATAAGACAACAAAAGGAGATCAAGGGGATACAAATAGGAAAAGAAGATGTTAAGCTTTCCCTGTTTGCACATGATATGATAGTTTACTTTAGTGACCCGAAAAACTCTGCAAGGGAATTCCTAGAGCTGATAAACACCTTCATCAAAGTGCCAGTATAGAAGGTTAACTCAAAAAAAATCAGTGGCCCTATTATATACAGATGATGAAGTGGCTGAGAATGTAATCAGAGAAACATCACCCTTTACAATAGCCATAAACAGCATCAACTATCTGGGGATAATGTTAATCAAGGAAGTGAAAGACCTGTATATTGAGAACTTTGAGTCTTTAAAGGAAGAAATCAAAGAGGATACCAGAAAATGTACAAATCTCCCATGCTCTTGGATTGGTAGGATCAACATAAAAAAATGGCAATCTTGCCAAAAGTATTCAACAGATTCAATGCAATCCCTATCAAAATTCTGGCACAATTCTTCACAGACCTTGAAAGCACAATAATAAACTTTATATGGCAAAACCAAAGGCCCAAGATAACCAAAACAACAGTATACAATAAAGGAATTTCAGGAGGCATCACAATACCTGACTTCAAGCTCTACTATAGAGCTATAGTCCTGAAAACAGCTTGGTATTGGCACAAAAATAGACAGATAGGCCATTGTAACTGAATTGAAAATCCCAATTTTATCCCACACAGCTATGAACACTTGATTGTTGACAAAGAAACTAAAAATATACAATGGAAAAAAGAAAATGTTTTCAACGAATGGTGCTGGCATAACTGGGTATGCAGACGATTGCAGATGGTTCCATGTCTACCGCCTTGTACAAAACTTAAGTCCAAATGGATTAAAGATCAACATAAATCCAACCACACCGAGTCTCTTAGAAGAGAAAGTGGGAGATACTCCTCAATGAGTTGGTACAGGAGACCTCTTCCTGAACTTAAAACCAGTGCCACAGACACTGAGAACGCCAATTAACAAATGGGACCTCCTGAAACTAAGAAGCTTTTGTAAGGCAAAGGACACAGTCAAGAAGACAAAAAGGCAGTCCACAGAATGGGAAAAGATATTCACTAACCCCACATCTGACAGAGGGTTGATCTCCAAAATTTACAAAGAACTCAAGACGCACATCTAGAAAACACCAAATAACCAATTAAAAGGTGGGGGCATAGAACTCAATAGAGAATTCTCAATAAATGAGGCTAAAATGGCCAATAGACACTTAAAGTACTCAATATCCTTAACCATAAGGGAAATCAAAGTCAAAACAACTTTGAGATACCATCTTACTCCTGTCAGATTGCAAAAATCAAAAACACTGAAGACAATTGATGTAGGAGAGGATGGGGAGAGAGGGGAACACTTCTTCACTGTTGGTGGGAGTACCAACTCATACAGCCACTTTGGAAATCAGTATGGAGATTCCTCAGGAAAATGCGAATCAATCTACCACAAGACCCAGCAATTCCACTCTTAGGCATATATCCAAATGAGACAAATTCATTCAACAAGGACAAATGATCCACTATGTTCATAGCAGCATTATTTGTAATAGCCTAGATGCCCCTCAGATGAAGAGTGGATAGAGAAAATATGACACATTTACACAATGGAATATTACTCAGCAGAAAAAACAATGGAATCTTGAAATTCGCAGGTAAATGTATGGCACTAGAAGAAACCATCCTGAGTGAGGTAACCCAGTCACAAAAAAGGCAAACATGGCATGTACTCACTCATATATGGATTTTAGACATGGTTCAGGATAGTGCCAGTCTACATTTCCCCTGCCAGAGTCTGGGAAACAGGAAAGAACCCAAGAGAGATATGCATGGTACCCCAGAGACGAGGAATGAGGCAAGATCCCATCTCAGAGTTGGGAACTGGAAAAAGGGTGGTGGGGGGAGTGGGAGCTGGGAAGAAGACAAGGGGAGAAGAGGAAGAGAGAGTAGGTCATGGGGAACACGAAGGATGAGTGGGGAGTAGGATAGGGGGAAGAGGGAATCATAGGTTAGAAGACAGTTTTGGCACCAGAGTGACCTCTAGTGATCTAAAGAGATGACACCAATTGGCAAGCTAAGCAGTAGTGGAGAGACCACCTTAAATGCCCATTCCTGACAATGAACTTGATGTCTATAACTATCTGGGAGCCTTCATCCAGTGACTGATGGAAGCAGAGGCAAACACCCACAGTAAACACTGAACTGAACCCAAGGAACCCAGGGACAGAGAGGAGGAGCGATGAACAAATTGGCAAAGAACGGGCTTTCAGAACAAGCAGAGACAGCTGATCTGAAAAGTGGAGAGCACTTGGACCCCAGACCAACAGCTGGGAGGCCAGCATGGGACTGATCCTGACTCCATGAATGTGAGAGTCAGTGATGAGGCCTGGGCAACGTACTGGGCCCTGGGCAGTGGATCAGTGTTTATCCATGGCATACAATCAGACATCGTGTGTCCATAACACAAGAGGGATGCTCTCTCACTGGACTCTTAGGGAAGTGCCTGGACCCTGTCCTGAGTCAAATGACAGACTCTAGATATGCCCTATGTGGAATGAAGTGGGGATAGGGAGGGAGGCTGGCGGGGATACCGGGGGTGCAGGAGGAGGGGAGGGAGAGGGAACGGGGATTCACATGTGAAATAAGATATTTAAAATTAAAATAATTAAAAACTACACCAAAAAAACAATCATTAGTATCTGAAATTCATGACACAGGAGTTTTAAGATAAATACAGAGACAGGGTTTCTCTGTGTCTTTGGAGGATGTCCTCCTGGCACATGCTCTGGAGACCAGGCTGGCCTTGAACTCAGAGAGAACAGCATGTCTCTGTGTCCTGACTGCTGGGATAAAAGGTGTGCACTACTAACACCCAGCAGAGTGCCTTTTAAATAGGACTATGGCATCATAAAAAAGATGAAGAATCATTTGTTGAGTACTAGACTTGATTGTAGCCAGAGACTCATTAACACGGTATCATTAGAGATTGAGCCAGAGCCTCATGCATACCAAGCACATACAACAACTAGGGATTGAAGCCAAGTCTCATCTGTGCTATGCACATACAATCACTAGATATTGTAGCCAGGACCTCATGACTTCACACACTACCACCGGAAACCAAGGCATCATGCACGCCATGCACAGACTAGCAGAGACTGAAGCCAAGAGGTCTCATACATGAAGAAATACAAGAGACTGAATTAAAGCCTCAGGCATGTTTTGTATACACAACCAATAGGGATCATCAATGCCTAGGAAATGCAGGGAGCAGAAAGAACATGGAAAACATGAAGAAATTGTCAGGCAAAGAGTGTCTGTTAGTTTTGAGTAGGTGTAGTCAATGTGGGAGTCTTTATAGGTGACTTGGAACTCATAGAAATCACCCGTCCACTATGTCTTCATGCAGGGATTAAAGTTGGGCACCACCACCTCTTTGCCTCTTTTATAAAGATAATTCTTTATATAAACTCTGCTCTGCATATGTGTATATCTCCTTGCTAGAAGAGGGCACCAGATCTCTTTCATAGATGGTGTGCAAATCACCTTGTGGTTGCTGGGAATTGAACTCATGACCCCTGTGAGAGCAAAGAATGCTCTTAACCTCTGGGCCATCTTTCCAGCCTTCACCCAAGCTCTTGTTAGCAATCCTGATGAAACCTCCTGTTTGAATCCCATAAGATGAACTCACTCAGGCTGCCTATGGGTTTGTGCAAATAAATATTTTCTGTACCTTTTTCACATGTCTCTGCTGCTGCCTCTTGTTCCTCAGCTTGCATGGCTTCTGCAAAAAGAGCAAAACCATCCTGCATGATTGTTTGTTGTTCAATATTGATCCCATCTGTGTCAGCGCCTGTCACCCAGCACTCTGTCCTCCTAACTGTCAGCATACCTGTCTACCTATCCATCTATCCATCTTTGAATCTACTTAAAGTAAGTAATTTATTTGCTGTGTTTTCAGACAAGGTTTCTATGTGTAGCCATGGCTGTCTTGGATCTCTTCTCTAGACCAGACTGGCCTCAAACTCACAAAGATCTGACTGTGTCTGCCTGTGTGCTGGGATTAAATGTGTGCACCAACACCAGCTGGTGAAGTTGCAGTTATTTATATCTGATGACTATTTTGCCTGTGTGCTATATGTCTGAGTACTTTGTGCATGCTCTGCCTGCTTATGCCACATGAGAGCAGAGCACTTGGAACTGGAGTTACAGATGGTTGTGAGCTGACATGGGGCTGCTGAAAACTGAATCTGGCTCCTCTGGAAGTGTGCCTAGTGCTCTGAAATACTGAACCCTCTTGCTGGGACCTAATCATATTTTTGAGCATCTCTCACAAAATCTGCATCTTAGCAAGATGGCTAGACTGTGTGACCAGTAAGTACCATGGATCCTCATCCTTTTCAGTGCTGGGATGACAGGGACATTCCCCTTTACTTGGCCTTTTCTTAGGAGTTCTGTATGCCCCAGCAGGTAACATAGTGCTGACTGAGCAATTTACCTCAAACTCAAATTATTTAATACAGCTGCCTATATATCCAAAAACAGATCCATGCAACTAAATGCAGTCCATATCAAGAGAACATCTGACCTCCCAAAAATTGTCATAATGACTGTAAAGCTCATGATAGAATCAATGGGACCTCATGAAATTCGCAGGCAAATGGATGACACTAGAAGAAACCATCCTGAGTGAGGTAACCCAGTCACAAAATGAGAAATATGGCATGTACTCTCTCATATATGGATTTTAGACATAGATCTGGGGAGTGCCAGCCTAAAATCCTATGGCCAGAGGGTCTGGGAAACAGAAACTTCATTTAGTGGCTGATCGAAGAAGAGGCAGACACCCTCGGTTAAGTACTGAGCTGAACTCAAGAAAGCCAGTAACAGAGAGGGACGACTGATGATCAAAGGGATTAAGACTGGGCTGGTTTAACCCCCAGAAATAGCTAACCTGACAAAGGTTAACTCTTGAATCCCAGGCATCAGCCTGGGAATCCAGCATGGGGCTGATCAAGACCCCCTGAATGGGGGTGTCAGTGAGGAGGCCTAGGTAATCTATTGAGCCTTGGGCAGCAGATCAGTACCCATCCCAAGTATACACACGGACTTTGGACTCCCATAGAACAATGTGAGGTGCACTCTCACCCTGAACTCTTGGGAAAGGGGCTAGGCCCTGCCCTATATGAAATGACAGACTATGGACACCCCCATGGAGGGCCTCACCCTCCCTGGGGGAATGAGGGGATAACGGGGGGGGAGGTTGGGAGGAGGGCACGGGAGGAAGAGAGGGAAAGGGAGAGGGACCTGGAACTGACTTGTGAAGCAACCTTGTTTCTTATCTAACTTAAACTGGAAAATAAAATAAAAAAAATGGGCCAAAAAATTTGGCTACAGTCTGGCAGGAGAAGGAAGGACCATCAGAGCATGTCCTGAGATTATGACAAGTGTTCAAGTTCAGTTATTGATGTTGTGCTGGCCAAATTTATGTCAATGTGACACAAGTTCAATCTATAAGGTATGATTGATCCATATCTGAAAAATATCTCCATATGATTAGGCTGTTGGAAATGCTGTGGGGCATTTTCCTAATTATTGGCAGATAGACGAGTGCCCAGCACCCTGTGGGTGGGGCCATCCCTTGACTTGGCATCCTAGGTCATAGAAGAAAGCCGGCTGAACATGCTGAGGGGAGTGAGCCAGTAAGCATCACCCTCCATGTGCTCTGCATCACCTCCTGCCTTTAGGTTCCTGCCCTGTATGAGTCGTGTCCTGACCTCCTTCATTGATGAAGAGTGCTATAGATATAAGCCAAATAAACCCTTTCCTCCTTAAAAAAAAGAATCAATGGGACCACAAAAGGTACCCAATTTTTGCAGATTAATGTTGAATGTCATATACCCTCTAAAATAATGGAAGTCTATGGACATAGCGGCATAAGGACAGGCACATAGGATAGTTAAGAAGAATCTAGCAACCCCAGTTTACCCTCCCACACCTATATCTAGACAATTCAGTAGAACTGCCTGTTAACATGTGTGTGGTACTTGGTAAAGTGCAGGTTATATGTGTGGTAGCTTGTGGGGGTGAAAGAGGCCAACCTTAGCTTTCTTTTCCCCCGAAGGACACGCTCTTACAAAGGGCTTTCTAATTGCTAATTACACTCTTGCATGGGTGCTGTGAGCACTTAAACAACAGAGAATAGAGGTCTTGGATTTCTTGCAGCTGGATTTCCCAGTGGTTACATGTCATCTGTGGTGGTGCTGAGAACCAAACTGCAATCCCACAAGCACACACATAGGAATTCAGAGGTCCAGCTCGGATGTCGTAGTATACACCTATTTTCCAGTACTCAAGAGGCATAAACAGGTGGATCTCTGTGAGTTCGATGTTAACCTCGTGTACAGTGATAGTAGGAGGACAGCCAGGACTACACAGAGTAAACTTGTGTTGCAAGTCAAAAAGAAGACAAATAGGTCAGGGGTCTAATTCTTTAGGTAACACTATAAACCATGTGGCTTTAAGTGTATCCATGTTTACACCCCACCCTGCATGCCAACCTGGGGCCTGTCCCTCATCTGGCCCTTGGTCACTCTGGATTGTTCCTCTGTCTTCTTCTGGGTCACTCATTGATTCTTCTGCAACAGAGGAAGAGAGAGTGCTGTTAATGAGTCACATTCTAAGTGCTTCAGCTGGGGATGAGAACTCTCATTGTCCTAGGTATCATGGGAATTAGAGCACGTGTTGACTCTGTTTATGCCCAGAAGAATCCTCTGGGCCATCAGAAGCACCAAGTGTATTCATTCAAGTGGACAACAGGAGCTTTGCTGGGAGTCATCACAGATTCTTTTCAGAGCAGGGTCTTTCTATATAATTCAAGCTGGCCTAGATCTTGCTATGTAGACCAAGGTGGTCTTGACTCAGACTTGCTGGTCTGTGCTTCCCAATCCAAGCATTGGGATTCAAGTTGTACACTACCATGACTGTCTCATCAGTAGACTGTTGAATGATTCTTCCTTCTCAAAGATGACTCCTGCTACCTGCCTCAAAAACAATAAAAATGGACTAATGATCCACTTAAGCTTGAAGGTAGAAAGGTGAGTTTGGGTAGCATTAAAACAACTACTCATATGACCTGAAAAAAATCTAGATGCGTCTCAACTGAAGTATGGAGAAAGAAAATGTGTTACATTCATAAAATGGAGTAGTAATCAGTGGTAAACTCCATTACGTAGGGCTGTAGAGATGGGTCAGAGTTTAAGAGCACTGACTGCTCTTCAGAGGACACGGGTTCAATTGCCAGTATCCATATAGCCTCAAACAACTCTATGTTGCTCCAAGATCTGACACCCACACACAGACATACGTGTAGGCAAAACACCAATGCAAATAAGATAAAAACAAGTAAATTTTTCAAATAAGCAACTACTTAGCATGCAAAATGCATGACACAGGAGTTTAAGATCAACAGAGTGCCTTTTCTTTTGGGTTTTCGATACAGGGTTTCTTTGTGTCTTTGGAGGCTGTCCTCCTGGCACACACCCTGGAGACCAGGCTGGCCTTGAACCCACAGAGAACAGCCTGCCTCTGCCTCCTGACTGCTGGGATTAAAGGTTTGCACCACCAACACACAGCAGAGTGCCTTTTAAAATAGGATTATGAAGTCATAGAAAAGATCAAGAATCATTAGTTAAGTACTAGACTTGATTGCAGCCAGAGCCTCATGAACACGGTATCATTAGAGATTGAGTCAGAGCCTCATGCATACCAAGCATGTACAACCACTAGGGATTGAAGACAAGTCTCATGTGTGCTGTGCACATACAATCACTGTATATGGAAGCCAGAACCTCCTGACTTTACACACACTACCACTGGAAGCTATGACATCATGCATGCCATGCAAAGCCTAACAGAGACTGAAGGCAGGAGGTCTCATACATGCTAGGACTCAGTAATACAAGAGACTGAATTGTAATCTCAGGCATGTTTTGATACACAACCAAGGGGATCATCAATGTCTAGGAAATACAGGGAGCAGAAAGGCCATGGAAAACATAAGGAAAATTTCAGGCAAAGAGCAGCTGTCAGTTTTGAGTAGGTGTAGTCAATGTGGGAGTGTTTATAGGTGACCTGGAACTCAGAGATCCCGAGTCCTCTGTGTCCCTAAGGTAGAGATTAAAGGTGTGCGCCACCATCCATTGTCCATTTTTAAAAAGTACTTCATTATAGCAACATTGTTCTGCATACGTGTTTATCTCCCTGCCAGAATAGGGCACCAGATCTCATTCATGTATGGTTTTCAAGCCACCATGTGGTTGCTGGGAATTGAACTCATGACGCCTGTGAGAGCAATCAATGTTTTTAACCTCTGAGCCATCTTTCCCGCCTTCACTCTAGTTCTTGTAAGCAACTCTGATGAAATCTCCTGTTTGAATCCCATTAGATGATCTCACTCAGGCTGTTTATAGGTTGGCACAAATAAATATTTCCTTCACCTTTTTCACATGTCTCTGCTGCTGCCTCTTGTTCCTGAGCTTGCAAGGCTTCTGTAAAAGGAAGAGCAAGACCATCCTACATGACTGTGTTTGTTGTTGAAAACAGATACCATCTGTGTCAGTGCCTGCCCACTCACCACTCCGTCCTCCTAACTGTTTGTCTGCATACCTGTCAGTCTATCCATCTATCCATTTTCCATCTAAGTAATGTATGTTATCTCTTTGCTGGTTTTTCAAGACAAGGTTTCTCTGTGTAGCCATAGCTGTCCTGGAACTTCTCTCTATAGACCAGACTGGCCTCAAATTCACAAAGATCTGACTGTGTCTGCCTCTGTGTTCTGGGAGGAAAGGTGTGCACCACTCCCAGCTGGTGAAGATGTAGTTATGTATATCTGATGACTATTTTGTCTGTATGCTATATGTCTGTATACTTCGTGCATGATATGCCTGCTGAGGCCACATGAGAGCAGATCACTTGGAACTGGAGTTATAGATGGTTGTGGGCTGACATGGGGTAGCTGAAAACTGAATCTGGCACTTTAGGAAGTGTGCATAGTGCTCTGAAATACTTAACCCATTTTCTGGTACCTAACCATATTTTTGAGAGTTTCTCACAAAATCTGAATCTCAGCATCATGGACAGACTGGCTGACCAGTAAGCACCCTGGACCCTCCTGCATCTGCCTTTTCAATGCTGGGATTACAGGCACATTCCCCTTTACTTGGCCTTTTAATACGAGTTCTGGGGGCTGAAATCAGGTCCTTGTGCAGCTAACATAGTCCTGACTAAGCACTTTACCTCAACTCAAATTCATTAATACAGCTAACTATATGTATATATCCAAACACAGACCCATGCAACTAAATGCAGTCCATATCAAGAGAACAGCTGACCTCCCAGAAATTGTCAAATAGACTGTAAAGCTCATGATGGAATCAATGGGCCCATAAAGTTCCCCAAATTTGTCAGGTTAATATAGAATATCATATTCCCTGAAAAAACAGAGGACATAGCAACAAAAGGACAGGCACATAGGTTAGTTAAGCAGAATTGAACAACCCCAAATTACCCTCCCACACCTCTATCTAGACCGTTTAGCAGAATTTCATGTGCACATGTGTGTGGTACGTGTAGGTTATATGTGTGCTTGTCTGTCAGGGTGAAAGAGGTCAACCTTAGCTTTCTTTCCCACTGACAGACTACCCTTTTACAAAGGGCTTTTTAATTGCTAATTACTCTCCTGCATGGGTGCCTGGGAGAACTTGTAACTGCAAGGAATAGAAGTGGTAGATTTCCTGCAGCTGGAGTTCCTAGTGGTTACCTGTCATCTGAAGTGGTTCTGAGAACCAAACTCCAATCCCACACGCACACACATAGGAATTGAGTGGTCCAGCTAGGTAGCTATTATGCCAGTACTCAAGAGACGTAGGCAGGTGGATCTTTGTGAGTTCGATCTTAGTCTGGTCTACAGCGATAGTCGTAAGACAGCCAGGACTACACAGAGAAAACTTGTGTTGAAAATCATAAAGAACAAAGAGCTCAGGGGTCTAATTATTTTGGTAACTCTATAAACCATGTGGCTTTAAGTGTATTCATGTTTACACCCCACCCTGCATGCCAACCTGAGGCCTGTCCCTCATCTGGCCCTTGGTCACTCTGGATTGGTTCTCTGTCTTCTGTTTTACTCAGTGAGTCATCTGCAACAGAGAGGAAGAGAGAGCGCTGTTGATATTTCATAGTCTAAAAAGCTCCAGCTGGGCATGAGAACTCTCCATGTCCAAACTACGAAGGGGAATCAGAGCAAGTCTTGACTCAGTTTATGCCCAGCTGAGTCCTCTGGGCCATCAGGAGCACCAAGTTAATTCCTTCAAGTGGACAACAGGAGCGTTGCTAGGATGCATCACAGATGCTTTTTAGAGCAGGGTCTCACTCTATAATTCAAACTGGCCTAGCTCTTGCTATGTAGACCACAGTGGCCTTGCACTCAGTTGCTGCTCTGTGCTTCCCAATCCAAGCATTGGGGTTCATGTTGTACACTACCATGACTAGCTCATCAGTAGACTCTTGAATGAGTCTTGCTACTCAAAGAAGACTCCTGCTACTTGCCTCAAAATTAGTAAAAATGGATTAATGTTATACTTAAATTTGCACTTAGGAAGGGTGAGGTTTGGTTAGCCTTAAGACAACTACTCATGGAACCTGGAAAAAAACCTAGATGCCCCTCAACTGAAGTATGGAAAGGAAATATGATACATTTACATAATGGAGTACTACTCAGTGATAAAATCTACTACATGGGGCTGTGAGATGGATCAGAGGATAAGAGCACTGACTGCTTTTCCAGAGGACACGGGTTCAATTCCCAATATCCATATAGCTGCAAACAACTGTCTGCAGATCCAAGATCTGACACCCTCAGACAGACACCTGAGTAGGCAGGTTAAACACCAATGCATGTAAAATAAAAACAAGTACATTATTTAAAAAACCAAATACTTAGCATCTGAAATGCTTGATCTAGTAGTTTTGAGATCAACAAACTGTCTTTGTTTTTGGTTTTTTGAGACAGGGTTTCTCTGTTGTTTGGAGGCCTTCCTTCTGGCACTCGATCTGTCGACCATGCTGGTCTTGAACTCACAGAGAACAGCCTTCCTCTGCCTCATGACTGCTGGGATTTAAGGTGAGCACCACCACCTCTTGACCATTTTTAAAAAGATAATTCATTATATAAACACTGCTCTGCATATGTGTATATCTCCATGCCAGAAGAGGACACCAGATCTCATTCATAGATGGTTTGCAAGCCACCATGTTGTTGCTAGGAATTGAACTCAGGACCCTGTGAGAGCAATCAATGCTCTTAACCTCTGAGCCATCTTTCCAGCCTTCACCCTAGCTCTTGTAATCAACTCTGATGAAACCTCCTGTTTGAGTGCCATATGATGCTCTCACTCAGCCTGCTTATAGGTTGGCGCAAATAAATATTTTCTTCACCTTTTTCACATGTCTCTGCTGCTGCCTCTTGTTCCTGAGCTTGCAAGGCTTCTGTAAAAGAGCAAGACCATCATACATGATTATCTTTGTTGTTCAAAAGAGATACCATCTCTGTCAGCGCACTCCACTCACCACTCTGTCCTCCTAAGTGTCAGCATACCTGTCAATATATCCTTCTATCCATCTATTCATGTACCTAATGTATGTAATCTATTTGTTGGTTTTTCAAGACAAGGTTTCTCTGTGTAGCCATGAGTGTCCTGGAACTATGCTCTGTAGACCAGAGTGGACTCAACTCCCAAAGATCTGACTGTGTCTGTCTCTGTGTCCTGGGATTAAGGTGTACACCACCAACAGCTGATGAAGTTTTGGTTATTCATATCTGATGACTATTTTGTCTGTATGCTATATATCTGTGTACTTTGTGCATGCTATGCCTGCTCAGGTCACGTGAGAGCTGATCACTTGTAAGCGGAGTTATAGATGGTTTTGAGCTGACATGGGTGTGCCGAAAACGGAATCTGGCTCTTCTGGAAGTGTGCCTAGTGCTCTGCAATACTGAACCCTCTTTCTGACCGTCTCTCACAAAATGTGAATCTCAGCAACATGGCTAGATTGGCTGACCAGTAAGCACCATGGACCCTCCTGAGTCTGTCTTTACAGTTCTGGGATAACAAGCACATTCCCCTTTACTTGGACTTTTAATATGTGTTCTGGGTACTAGAGCAGCTAATGTAGTACTCACTGAGCAATTTACCTCAAACTCAAATTCATTAATACAGCTACCTATATATCCAAACACAGATCCATGCCACTAAATGCAGTCACTATCAGGAGAACAGCTGATATCATAGAAATTGTCAAAATGACTGTAAAGCTCATGATCCAATCAATGGGACCACAAAAGGTCCCCAAGTTTTGCAGATTAATTTTGTATGTCATCTACCCTCTAAACTAATGGAAGTCTGTAGACATAGAGGCATAAGGACAGGCACATAGGATGGCTAAGTAGAATCGAGCAACCCCAAATTACCCTCCCACAACTCTATCTAGACAATTCAACAGAACTGCCAGTTATCATGTGTGTGGTACATAGTAAGTGTAGCTTATATGTGTGCTAGCCTGTGGGGTGAAAGAGGTAAACCTTAGCTTTCTTTCCCCCTGAAAGTCTAACCTTTTACAAAGGGCTTTTTAATTGCTAATTACACTCCTCCATGGGTGCCTGTGAACACTTGTAACTGCAGAGAATACAGGTGTTGATTTCCTGCAGCTGGAGTTCCCACTGGTTACGTGTCAACTGAAGTGGTGCTGAGAACCAAACTCCAATCCCACATGCACACACATAGGAATTCAGAGGTTCTGCTTTGATGTGGTAGCACACACCTATTATGCCAGTACTCAAGAGGCATAGGCAATTGGATCTCTGTGAGTTCGATGTTAGCCTGGTCTACAGCGATAGTTGTAGGACAGCCAGGACTACACACAGGCAATTTGTGTTACAAATCAGAAAGAACACAAAGATCTCAGGGGTCTAATTCTTTAGGTAACACTATAAACCACGTGGCTTTAAGTGTATCCATGTTCACCCCACCCTGCATGCAAACCTGTGGCTTGTCCCTCATCTGGCCCTTTGTCACTCTGGATTGGTTCGCTGCCTTCTGTTGAGTCATCTGCAACAGAGAGGAAGAGAGTGTGCTGTTAACAAGTCACAGTCTAAAAGCTCCAGCTGGGGATGAGAACTCTTCTTGTCCAAACTACCAAGGGGAATTAGAGGAAGTCTTTACTCGGTTTATGCCCAGAAAGAGTCCTCTGGCACCAAGTGAATTCATCCAAGTGGACAAGAGGAGCGTTGCTGGGTGGTATCACAGCCTCTTTTGAGAACAGGGTCTTACTATATAATTCAAGCTGGCCTAGATCTTGCTATGTAGACCAAGGTGGCCTTATACTCAGACTTGCTGGTCTGTGCTTCTGAATTATACATTGGGGTTCAAGTTGTACACCACCATTATTGACTCTTGAGTAGACTTTTGAAGGATTCTTGCTACTCAAAGATGACTCCTGCTACTTGCATCAAAAAGGATAAAAAGGATTAATGATCTACTTAAGCTTGCAGGTAGGAATGGTTAGGTTTGGGTAGTCTTAAAGCAACTACTCATGTGATCTGGTATAAATCTAGATGCCCCTCAACAGACTTATGGAGAAAGATAATGTGGTACTTTTACACATAGGAGTCGTACTCAGTGGTAAAATCCACTACGTGGTGCTGTAGATATGGATTAGAGTTTATGAGCACTGACTGCTCTTCCAGAGGACACGGGTTCAATTCCAAGTATCCATATAGCCGCAAACAACTGTCTGTAACTCCAATATCTGATACCCTTATACAGACATACATGTCGGCAAAACACCAATGCACACACAATAAAAACAAGTAAATTATTGAAACACGAAACTAGTTAGCACCTGAAATGCATGACACAGGAATTTTAATATCAACAGAGTGCCTTTTCTGTTTTCGAGACAGAGTTTCTCTGTGTCTTTGTAGGCTGTCCTCCTGGTACATGGTCTGGAAACGACCTGGCCTTGAGCTCACAGAGAACAGCCTGCCTCTGCCTTCTGACTGCTGGGAGTAAAGGTGTGCACCACCACCACTTAGCAGAGTGCCTTTTAAAATAGGATTATGACCTCATAAAAAAGATCATGTATCATTTTTTAAGTACTAGACCTGATTACAGCCAGGGCCTCATGAACTCCTTATCATAGAGATTGAGCCAGAGCCTCATGCATACCAAGCACATACAACCACTAGGGATTGAAGCAAAGTCTCATGTGTGCTGTGCGCATACAATCACTAGATATTGAAGCCACGACCTAATGACTTTACACATACTACCACCGGAATCCAAGAAATCATGCATGCCAAGCACAGACGCGAAGAGACTGAAGCCAGGAGTTCTCATACATGCTAGGACACAGTAATACAAGAGACTGAATCAGAGCCTCAGGCATGTTTTGTATACACAACAAATAGGGATCATCAATGTCTAGGAAATACAGGGAGCACAAAGAACATGGAAAACATGAGGAAATTTTCAGGCAAAGAGCAGCTGTCAGTATTGAGTAGGTGTAGTCAATGTGGGAGACTTTATAGGTGACCTGAAACTCACAGAGTTCCCTTGTCCCCTGTGTCCCTAGTGGAGGGATTAAAGGTGGTGTGTACCACTACCCCTTGGTCATTTTTAAAAAGGTAATGCATTATATAAATACTGTTTGCATATGTGTATATATCCATGCCAGAAGAGGGCACCAGATCTCATTCATAGATGGTTTGCAAGCCACCATATTGTAGCTTGGTATTGAATTCAGTACCCCTGTGAGAGCAATCAATGCTCTTAACTTCTGAGCCATCTTCCAGCCTACACCCAAGCTCTTGTAAGCAACTCTGATTAAACCTCCTGTTTGATTGCCATATGATGTTCTCACTCAGCCTGCTTATGGGTTGACGCAAGTAAATATTTCCTTTACCTTTTTCACATGTCTCTGCTGCTGCCTCTTGTTCCTGAGCTTGCAAGGCTTCTGTAAAAGGAAGAGCAAGACCATCATACATGATTATGTTTGTTGTTCAAATCAGATACCATCTGTGTCAGCGTCCCCACCCGGGCTTAGTACACGGAGGAAGAGGGGCAGAAAGAAAGAGCTGGGGGATGGGGAGTGGAACTAAGAAAAGCTGTGCTCTACACATGTGTGAAACTGCTGTTGCACACATGAAGTCATGCATCTGTGTTCACCTTTGCAAGGCAGAGACAGCAAAAATCCTGTCATATATTGGCTAGTGGCTTTCTATGTTTTGCTGATAGCTAAGGAAATGTCAGCATTTGGAATCCCTTGTGTTTGGGTGTGTGAAGTATGGTTGCTTGTCCATGATATATGCATATGTACATGTGTGTACAGATCCGTGTATACTTTCAAGTACATGTAGGAGCTTCCGATGTCGACTTTTGGTGTCTTTCTCAATCACTATCCTCTTCATTTTTAATGATGTATCATCTGTCTCCCTGTCTATCCGTTTGTCTGCCCACTTGTCTGTCTGTCTGCCTGTCCAACTGTCCAAACATATGACAGTGCTCTCACCCCTCCATCCGCCTACCTGCCTGTCTGCATACCTGTCCATCTATCCATCTTTCCATCTCCCTAATGTATGTAATCTATTTGATGGGTTTTCAAGACAAGGTTTTTCTGTCTCGCCATGGCTGTCCTGGAACTCTGCTCTGTAGACCAGACTGGCCTCAAACTCACAAAGATCTGACTGTGTCTGCCTCTGTGTGCTGGGATTAAATGTGTGCACCACCACCAGCTGGGGAAGTTGTAGTTATTTATATCTGATGACTATTTTGCCTGCATGCTGTATGTGTGTGTACTTTGTACATGCTATGCCTGCTGTGGCCACATGAGAGCAGATCACTTGGAACTGGAGTTATAGATGGTTGTGAGCTGACATGGGGTTCTGAAAACTGAATCTCGCTCCTCTGGAGATGTGCCTAGTGCTCTGAAATACTTAACAGTCTTTCTGATACCTTACCATATTTTTGAGAGTCTCTCACAAAATCTGAAAGTCAGCAACATGGACAGAATGGCTGACCATTAAGCACCATGGAACCTACTGCCCCTGCCTTTTCAGTGCTGAGGTGACAGGCACATTCCCCTTTACTTGGCCTTTTAGTACTAGTTCTGGGTACTGGGGCATCTAACATAGTACTGACTGAGCAATTTACCTCAACTCAAATTCTTTAATACAGCTACCTATATATTCAAACACAGACCCATGCATCTAAGTGCAATCCATAATAAGAGAACAGCTGTCCTCCCAGAAATTGTCAAAATGACTGTAAAGCTCATGGTGGAATCAATGGGACCACTAAAGTTTTGCAGATTAATGTTGAATGTCATCGACCCTCTAAAATAATGGAAATCTGGACATAGCGGCACAAGGACAGGCCCAGAGGATAGTTAAGTAGAATCTAGCAACCACAAATTACCCTCACACACCTCTATCTAGACAATTCAGTAGAACTGCCTGTTAACATGTGTGTGGTACATGGTTAAGAGCAGGTTTTATGTGTGCTAGCCTGTGCTAGCTTGTGGGGGTGAAAGAGGTCAACCTTAGCTTTCTTTCCCCCTGATAGGACAGACTACCCTATTTCAAAGGGCTTTTTAATTGCTAATTACCCTCCTGCACAGGGGCCTGTGAGCACTTGTAACTGTAGAGAATAGAGGTGTTGGATTTCCTGCAGCTGGAGTTCCCCGTGGTTACATGTCATCTGAGGTGGTGCTGAGAACCAAACTGCAATCCCACATGCACACACATAGGAATTCAGAGGTCCAGCTGGGATGTGGTAGCACACACCTATTATGCCAGTACTCAAGAGGCATAGGCAGGTGGATCTCTGTGAGCTCGATGTTAGCCTAGTCTACAGCTATAGTTGTAGGACAGCCAGGACTCCACAGAGCTCTGGGGTCTAATTCTTTAGGTAACACTATAAAACTGGTGGCTTTAAGTGTATTCATGTTTACACCCCACCCTGCCTGCCAACCTGGGGCCTGTCCCTCATCTGGCCCTTGGTCACTCTGGATTGGTTCTTGGACTTCTTCTGTTTCACTCATTGAGTCATCTGCAAAAGAGAGGAATAGAGATGGCTGTTAACAAACCACAGTCTAAAAGCTCCAGGTGGGGATGAGAACTCTCCATGTCCAAACTACCAAGGGGAATTAGAGCAAGTCTTGACTTGGTTTATGCCCAGAAGAGTCCTCTGGGATGTCAACAGCACCAAGTGAATTCATTCAACTGGACAACAGGAGCGTTGCTGGGAGGCATCACAGACTCTTTTGAGAACAGGGTCTTACTATATAAATCAAGCTCGCCTAGATCTTGCTATGTAGACCAACATGGCCTTGAACTCAGACTTGCTGGTTTTCCAGTTGTGCATTCCCATGACTGGCTCATCAGTAGACTCTTGAATGATTTTTGCTACTCAAAGTTGATTCCTGCTACTTGCCTCAAAAACAATAAAAATGGATTAATGACCTTCTTAAGCTTGCTGGTAGCAAGTTGAGTTTGGGTCGCATTAAAACAAGTACTCATATGTTCTGAAACAAATCTAGATGCCCTTCTACTGAAGTATGGAGAAAGAAAGTGTGCTATATTCATACAATGGAGTAGTACTCAGTGGTAAAATCCATTGCGTGGGGCTGTAGAGATGGATCAGAGGTTAAGAGCGCTGACTGCTCTTCAGAGGACAAGGGTTCAGTTGCCAGTATCCATATAGCCGCAGACAACTCTCTGTAGCTCCAAAATCTGACACCCTCACACATACATACTTGTAGGCAAAACACCAATGCACATAAATAAGAACAGGTAACTTATTTTAGCCAGGCGGTGGTGGCACACGCCTTTAATCCCAGCACTCGGGAGGCAGAGGCAGGCGGATCTCTGTGAGTTCGAGGCTGGGCTGGACCTATAGCGTCCAAAACAATACAGAGAAACTCTGTCTCGTAAAACAAAAAGAAAACTTATTAAACTATCAACTACTTAGCATCTGAAATGCATGACCCAGTAGATTTAAATTTTTTGTTTTTCGAGACTGGGTTTCACTGTGGCTTTGGAGGCTGTGCTTCTTTCACTCCCTCTGTAGATCAGGCTGTCCTTGAATTCACAGAGAAGAGCTTGCCTCCCTCTCCTGACTGCTGGGATTAAAGGTGTGCACCATCAACAACCAGCAGAGTGCCTTTTTAAAATGATTATGGTGTCTTAATAAAGATCAAGAATCATTTCTTAAATACTAGACTTGAATGCAGCCAGAGCGTCATGAACATGTTGCCATTAGAGATTGAGCCAGAGACTCATGCATACCAAGCACATATAACCACTAGGGATTGAAGCTAAGTCTCATGTGTGCTGTGCACATAAAATCGCTAGATATTGAAGCCAGGACCTCATGACTTTACACACACTACCACCGGAAGCCAAGGCATCATGCATGTCATATACAGACTAGTAGAGACTGAAGCCAGGAAGTCTCATACATCCCAGTACACAGTAATACAAGAGACTGAATCAGAGTCTCAGGCAGGTTTTGTATACAAAACCAATAGGGATCATCAATGTCTAGGAAGTACAGGTAGCAGAAAGACCATGGAAAACATGAGGAAATTTTCAGGCAAAGAGCTGTTGTCAGTTTTGAGTAGGTGTAGTCAATGTGGGAGTCTTTATAGGTGACCTGGAACTCACAGAGATCCCCCTTCCTCTGTTTCCCTAGTGCAGGGATTAAAGGTGTGCACCACCATCTCTGGGCCATTTTCCAAAAAGTAATTCATTATAGAAACACTGTTCAGCATACGTGTATATTTCCATGCCAGAAGAGGGCACAAGATATCATTCATAGATGGTTTGCAAGCCATGATATGTTTGCTGGGAATTGAACTCATGACCCCTCTGAGAGCAATCCATGCTCTTAACCTCTGAGCTGTCTTTCCAGCCTTTACCCAAGATGTTGTATGCAACTGTGATGAAACCTCCTGTTTCAATACCATATGATGCTCTCAATCAGCCTGCTTATAAGTTGGTACAAATAAATATTTTCTTCACCTTTTTCACATGTCTCTGCTGCTGCCTCTTGTTCCTCAGCTTGCAAGGCTTCTGCAAAAGAGCAAGACCATCCTACATGACTATGTTTGTTGTTCAAAAGAGATACCATCTGTGTCAGCGTCAGCCACCCACCACTCTGTCCTACTAACTGTCAGCATACCTGTCAATCTATCCATCTTTTCATCTACCTAATGTATGTAATCTATTTGCTGGTTCTTCAAGACAAGGTTTCTCTGTGTTGCCATGGCTGTCCTAGATCTCTGCTCTGTAGACCAGAATGGCCTCTAACTCACAAAGATCTGACTGTGTCTCCCTCTGTGTGCTGTGATTAAAGGTGTGCACCACCACCAGCTGGTGAAGTTGTAGCTATTCATATCTGATGGCTGCTTTGCCTATATGTTATATATCTGTGTAATTTGTGCATGCTATGCCTACTTAGGCCATAAGAGAGCAGATCACTAGGAACTGGAGTTACAGATGGCTGTGAGCTGACATGGGTGTGCTGAAAACTGAATCTTGCTCCTCTGGAAGTGTGCCTCGTGCTCTGAAATACATGTTTTTAAGAATCTCTCACTAAATATGAATCTCAGCAATGTGGCTAGACTGGCTGACCAGTAACACCATGGACCCTCCTGCGTCTCCCTTTTCAGTGCTGGGATGACAGGCACATTCCTTTTTATTTGGCCTTTTAATACGAGTTCTGGGAACTGTAGCAGGTATGAGATTTCTGAATGAGCAATTTACCTCAAACTCAAATTCATTAATCCAGTTACCTATATATCCAAACACAGATCCATGCAACTAAATGCAGTCACTATCAGGAGAACAGCTGACATCACAGATTGTCAAAATGACTGTAAAGCTCATGATAGAATCAATGGGAACACGAAAGGTCCCCACGTTTTGCAGATTAATATTGAATGTCATCTACCCTGTAAAATAATGGAAGTCTGTGGACATAGAGGCATAATGACGGGCCCAGAGGATAGTTAAGTAGAATCGAGCAACCCCAAATTACCCTCCCACACCTCTATCTATACAATTCAGTGGAACTGCCTGTTAACATGTGTGTGGCACGTGGGTAAGTGCAGGTTATACGTGTGCTAGCCTATGGGGGTGAAAGCGTTCAACCTTAGTATTCTTTCCCCCTGGCAGACTATACTTACAAGGGGCTTTTTAATTGCTAATTGCACTCCTGCATGTGTGCCTGAGCACTTGTAACTGTAGAGAATAGAGGTGTTGCATTTCCTGCAGCTGGAGTTCCCAGTGCTTAATTGCCATCTGATTTGGTGCTAAGAACCAAACTGCAATCCCACATGCACACACATAGGAATTCAGAGGTCCAGCAGGGATGTCGTAGCACACACCTATTATGCCAGTACTCAAGAGGCATAAGCAGGTGGATCTCTGTGAGTTCTATTTTAGCCTGGTATACAGCGATAGTTGTAGGACAGCCAGGATTACACAGAGAAAACTTGTTTTGAAAATCATAAAGAACACAAAGAGCTCAGGGGTCTAATTCATTAGGTTACACTAAAAACCATGTGGCTTTAAATGTATCCATGTTTACAGCCCACCCTGCATGCAAACCTGTGACTTGTCCCTCATCTGGCCCTTGGTCACTCTGGATTGGTTCGCTGTCTTCTTCTGGGGTAGTCATTGAGTCATCTGCATCAGAGAGGAAGAGAGAGAGCTGTTAACAAGTCACAGTCTAAAAGCTCCAGCTGGGGATGAGAACTCTCCATGTCCAAACTACCAAGGGGAATTAGAGCAAGTCTTGACACATTTTATGCCCAGAAGAATCCTCTGGGCCATTAGAAGCACCAAGTGAAAACATTCAAGTTGACAACAGGAGCTTTACTGGGAGGCATCACAGATTCTTTTCAGAGCAGGTTCTTCCTATATAATTCAAGCTGGCCTAGATCTTGCTATGTAGACCATGGTGTCCTTGAAGTCACACTTGCTGGTCTGTGCATCCCAAACCAAGCATTGGGGTTCAAGTTTTACATTACCATGACTGGTCATCAGTACACTCTTGAATGATTCTTGCTACTCAAAGATGACTCCTGCTACTTGCCTCAAAATCAATAAAAATGGATTAATGATCTTCTTAAGTTTTCAGGTAGGAAGGTCAGGTTGGGCAACATTAAAACAACTACTCATGTGCACTGAAAAAAATCTAGATGCCCCTCAACTTAAGTATGGAGAAACAAAATGTGCTCCATTCATACAATGGAGTAGTACTCAGTGATAAAATCCAGTACGTGGGGATGTAGAGATGGATCAGAGGTTAAGAGCACTGACTTCTCTTCCGAGGACACAGGTTCAATTGCCAGTATCCATATAGCTGCAAACAACTCTCTGTATCTCCAAGATCTGACACCCTCACACAGACATACGTGTAAGGAAAACACCAATGCACATAAAATAAAAACAAGTAAATTATTGAAATATTTAACTACTTAGCATCTGAAATGCAAGTCACACTGAGTTTTAAGATCAACAGAGTGCCTTTTCTTTTGGGTTTTCGAGACAGGGTTTCTTTGTGTCTTTGGAGGCTGTCCTCCTGGCACACACTCTGGAGACCAGGCTGGCCTTGAACTCAGAGAATAGCCTGCCTCTGCCTCCTGACTGCTGGGATTAAAGGTTTGCACCGCCAACACACAGCAGAGTGCCTTTAAAATAGGATTATGAAGTCATAAAAAGATCAAGAATCATTTGTTAAGTACTAGACTTGATTGCAGCCAGAGACTCATTAACACTGTGTCATTAGGGATTCAGCCAGAGCCTCATGCTTATCAAGCACATACAACCACTAGGGATTGAAGTCAAGTCTCATGTGTGCCTAGCACATACAATCACTAGATATTGAAGCCAGGACCTCATGACTTCACACATGACTCGGCCTGGTTTTAGGTTGGCACAAATCAATATTTTCTTCACCTTTTGCACATGTATCTGTTGCTGCCTCTTGTTCCTGAGCTTGCAAGGCTTCTGCAAAAAGAAGAGTAAAGTCATCTGACATGATTATGTTTGTTGTTCAAAAGAGATACCAACTGTGTCAGCCCTGTCACCCACCACTCTGTCCTCCCCTAAGTGTTTGTCAGCATACCTGTCAATTTTTCCATCTATCCATCTTTCCATCTACCTAATGTATGTCATCTATTTACTGTTTTTTCAAGACAAGGTTTCTCTGTGTAGCCATGGCTGTCCTGGAACTCTGCTCTGTAGACCAGACTGGCCTCAAACTCACAAAGATCTTAATTTGTATGCCTCTGTGAGCTGGGATTAAGGTGTTCACCACCAGCAGCTGGGGAAGTTGTTATTTATATCTGATGCCTATTTTGCCTGTATGCTATATGTGTGTGTACTTTGTGCATGCTATGGCTGCTGAGGCCACATGAGAGCAGATCAGTTGGAACTGGAGTTACTGTTGGTTTGAGTTGACATGGGGCTGCTGAAAAATGAATCTGGCTCTTCTGGATGTGTGCCTAGTGCTATGAAATCTGAGCCTGCTTTCTGGTACCTAATCATATTTTTGAGAGTCTCTCACAAAATCTGAATCTCATCAACATGGCTAGACTGGCTGACCAGCACGCACCATGGACCCTCGTGCTTCTGCCTTTTCAATGCTGAGATTACAGAAACATTCCCCGTTACTTGGCCTTTTAATACGAGTTCTGGGAACTGGAGCAGCTAACATAGTACTGACTGAACAATTTACCTCAAACTCAAATTCATTAACACAGCTATCTATCTATATACATATCCAAACACAGATCCAAATTACTAAATGCAGTCCATATCAAGAGAACAGCTGACCTCCCAGAAATTGTCAAAATGACTGTAAAGTTCAAAATGAAAGGTCCCCACGTTTTGCAGATTAATGTTGAATGTCATCTACCCTCTAAAATAATGGAATTCTGTGGACATAACTGCATAAGAACAGGCCCATAGGATAGTTAAGTAGAATCGAGCAACCACAAATTACCCTCCCACACCTCTATCTAGACAATTCAGCAGAATTGCGTGTGCTCATGTGTGTGGTACCTGGTTAAGCCAAGGTTATATGTATGGTATATGTGGGGTGAAAGAGGTCAAGCTTAACCTTCATTCCCCCTGAAAGTCTACCCTTTTACAAAGGGCTTTTTAATTGCTAATTACACTCCTGAATGGGTGCCAGTGAACACTTGTAATTTCAGGGAATAGAGGAGTTGATTTCCTGCAGCTGGAGTTCCCAGTGGTTACATGTCATCTGAAGTGGTGCTGCGAACCACACTCCAATCCCACATGCACACACATAGGAATTCAGAGGTCCAGCTGGGATGTGGTAGCACACACCTATTATGCCAGTACTCAAGAGGCATAGGAGGTGGAACTCTGAGTTCGATGTTAGCCTGGTCTACAGCGATAGTTGTAGGACAGTCAGGACTACACAGAGAAAATTTGTGTTGAATATCAGAAAGAACACAAAGAGCCCACGGTTCTAATTCCTTAGATAACACTATAAACCACGTGGATTTAAGTGTATCTATGTTTACTCCCCACTTTGCATGCCAACCTGGGGCCTGTCCCTCATCTGGCCCTTGGCCACTCTGGGTTGGGTCTCTGTCTTCTGTTTTCTTCATTGAGCCATCTGCAACAGAGAGGAAGAGAGAGCGCTATTAACAAGTCATAGGCCAAAAGCTAAGCTGGGGATGTGAACTCTCCATGTCCAAACTACCACGGGGAATTAGATCAAATCTTGACTCAGTTTATGCCCAGAAGAATCCTCTGAGCCATCAGGAGCACCAGGTGAATTCATTCATGTGGACAACACGAGCATTTCTAGGAGGCATCACAGACTCTTTTGAGAACAGGGTCTTACTATATAATTCAATCTGGTCTAGATCTTGCTATGTAGACCAAGGTGGCCTTGAAGTCAGACTTGCTGGTCTGTGCTTCCCAATCCAAGCATTGGGGTTCAAGTTGTACACTACCATGACTGGCTCATCAGTAGACTCTTGAATGATTCTTGCTACTCAAAGATGACTCCTGATACTTGCCTCAAAAACAATAAAAATGGATTCATGATCTACTTAAGCTTGTAGGTAGGAAGGGTGAGGTTTATGTAGCATGAAAACAACTACTCATGTGACTTGGAAAATATCTAGATGCCCCTTAACTGAAGTATGGACAAAGAAAATGTGGTATATTTACATAATCGAGTAGTACTCAGTGATGAAATCCACTATGTGGGGCTGCAGAGATGAATCAGGGGTTAAGAGCACTGACTGCTCTTCCAGAGGACAGGGGTTCAATTCGCAGTATCCATATAGTGGCAAACAACAGTTTGTAGCTCCAAGATCTGAAACCCCCACACAGACATACGAGTAGGCAAAACACCATTGCTCAAAATAAAAAAACCATGTAAATTATTTAAAAAATCAACTACTTATCATCTGAAATGCATGACATAGGAGTTTTAAGATCAACAGAGTGCCTTTTTTGGCTTTTCAAGACAGGGTTTCTCTGTGTCTTTGGAGGCTGTCCTCCTGGCACATGCTATGGAGACCAGGCTCGCCTTGAGTTCACAGAGAACAGCCGGTTTCTAACTCCTGATTGCTGGGATTAAAGGTGTACAGCACCAACACCCAGCAGACTGTCTTTTCAAATAGAATTATGACGTCTTAAGAAAGATCAAGAATCATTTGTTAAGTATATTACTTGATTGCAGCCAGAGTCTCATGAACACGGTATCATTAGATACTGAGTCAGAGCCTCATGCATACCAAGCACATACAACCACTAGGGATTGAAGCCAAGTCTCATGTGTGCTGTGCACATACAATCACTAGATATTGAAGACAGGACCTCATGACTTTACACACTCTACCACTGGAAGCTATGACATCATGCACGCCATGCAAAGACTAACAGAGACTGAAGGCTGGCGGTCTCATACATGCTAGGACTCAGTAATACAAGAGACTGAATTGTAATCTCAGGCATGTTTTGATACACAACCAAGGGGATCATCAATGTCTAGGAAATACAGGGTGCAGAAAGAACGTGGAAAACATGAGGAAATTTTCAGGTAAAGAGCAGCAGTCAATTTTGAGTAGGTGTAGTCTATGTGGGAGTCTTTATATGTGACCTGGAACTCACAGAGATCCCCGTCCTCTGTGTCCCAAAGGCAGGGATTAAAGGTGTGCATCACCACCCACCTCTTGGCCTTTTTAAAAAAGATAATTCTTCATATAAATAGTGTTCTGCATACGTGTATAACTCCATGCCAAAGAGGGCAACAGATCTCATTCTTAGATGGATTGCAAGCCACCATGTTGTGGCTGGGAATTGAACTCAGGACCCCTGTGAGAACAATCAATGCTCTTAATCTCTGAGCCATCTTTCCAGACATCATCCAAGCTCTTGTAAGCAACTCTGATGACACCTCCTGTTTGAATGCCATATGATGGTCTCACTCAGCCTGCTAATAGGTTGGCGCAAATAAATATTTTCTTCACCTGTTTCACATGTCTCTGCTGCTGCCTCTTGTTCCTCAGCTTGCAAGGCTTCTGTAAAAGGAACAGCAAGACCATCCTACATGATTATCTTTGTTGTTCAAAAGCGATACCATCTGTGTCAGCTTCCCCACCTGGTCTTAGGACACGGAGGAAGAGGGGCAGAAAGAAGAGCTGGGGGATTGGGAGTGGAGCTAAGAAACCTTGTGCTCTACACATGTGTGAAACTGCTGTTGCACACATGAAGTCAGGCATCTTTGGTCACCTGTACAAGGCAGAGACAGTAAAAATCCCGTCATATATTAGCTAGGGGCTCTCTATGTTTTTCCCATTGCTTAGGGAGTGTCAGCATTTGGAGTCCCTTGTTTTTGGGGCTGTGACAAATGGTTGCTTGTCCATGATGTACGAATGTGTACATGTGTGTAGAGGTCCGTGTACACTTTGACGTCCATGTAGAAGATTCCGATGGTGACTTTAGGTGTCTTTCTAAATCACTATCATCTTCATTTTAAGGATTATCATCTGTCTCCCCATCTGTCCGTCTGTCTGCACACTTGTCTGTCTGTCAGCCCACTCACCTGTCCATCCGTCGGCCTGCCTACCCACCACTCTCGTTGCCTACCTGCCTGTCAGCCTACCTCCCCATCTATCCATCTTGTCTTGTACCTAATATGTAATCTATGTGCTGGTTTTTTCAAGGCAAGGCTTCTCTCTGTAGCCATGGCTGTCCTTGAACTCTGCCCTGTAGACCATACTGGCTTCAGACTCACAAAGATCTGACTGTGTCTGCCTCTGTGTGCTGGGATTAAAGGTGTGCACCACCACCAGCTGGTGAAGTTGTACTTATTTATATCTGATGACTATTTTGCCTGTATGGTATATGTCTGTCTACTTTGTGCATTCTATGCCTGATTATGCCACATGAGAGCAGAGCACTTGGAACTGGAGTTACAGATGGTTGTGAGCTGACCTAGGGGTGCTGAATACTGAATCTGGCTCCTCTGGGAGTGTGCCTAGTGTTCTGAAATACTGAACCCTCTTGCTGGTACCTAATAATATTTTTGAGAGTCTCTCACAAAATCTGAATCTCAACAACATGACTAGACAGTCAGACTAGCAAGCCCCGTGGATCTTCCTATGTCTGGATTTTCATTGCTGGGATTACAGGCACATTCCCCTTTACTTGGCCTCTTAATACGAGCTCTGGGACCTGGAACAGGTAACATAGTATTGACTGATCAATTTCCCTCAAACTCATATTCATTAATACAGATACACACACACACACACACACACACACACACACACACACACACACACACACATATATATATCCAAACACAGATCCATGCAACTAAATGCAGTCCATATCAGGAAAATAGTTGACTTCACAGAAATTGTCAAAATGACTGTAAAGCTCATGATAGAATCAATGGGACCCCGAAAGATTGCAGATTAATGTCGAATGTCATCTAATATAATTGAAGTCTATGGACATAGCGGCACAAGGACAGGCACATAGGATATTTAAGTAGAATTGAGCATCGCCAAATTACCCTCCCACACCTCTATCTAGACAGTTCAGTAGAACTGCCTGTTAACATGTATGGGGTACGTGGTTAAGTGCTATATGCTACATGTGTGCTTGCCTGTTGGGGAGAAAGGTCAACCTTAGCTTTCTTTCCCCCTGAAAGACTACCCTTTTGAAAAGGACTTTTAAATAGCTAATTATACTCCTGCATGGTTGCTTGTGAGCAATTGTAACTGCAGGGATAGAGGTGTTGGATTTTCTTGGACTGGAGTTCCCAGTGGTTACGTATCATCTGATGTGGTGCTGAAAATCAATCTCCAATCCCACATGCACACACATAGGAAACAGAGGTGCAGCTAGGATGTGGTAGCACACACCTATTATGTCAGTACTCAAGAGGAATAGGCAGGTGGATCTTTGAGTTCTATGTTAGCCTGGTCTACAGTGATAGTTGTAGGACAGTCAGGACTACACAGAGAAAACTTGTGTTGAAAATCAGAAAGAACACAAAGAGCTCATGGATCTAATTCCTTAGGTAACACTATAAACCGTGTGGCTTTAAGTGGATCCATGTTTACTCCCAAAATTGCATGCAAACCTGGGGCCTGTCCCTCCTCTGGCTCTTTGTCACTCTGGATTGGTTCTCTGTCTTCTTCTGTTTTACTCATTGATTCATCTGCAACACAGAGGAAGAGAACGCTGTAAATAAGTTACAGTCTAAAAGTTCCAGCTGGGGATAAGAACTCTCCATAGCCAAACTTACCAAGGGAATTAGAGCAAGTCTTGACTCAGTTTATGCCCAGAAGAGTCCTTTTGGGCCACCATGAACACCAAGTGAATTCATTCGAGTGGACAACATGAGCATTGCTGGGAGGCATCACAGGCTTTTGTGAACAGGGTCTTTCTATTTAATTTAAGCTGGCCTAGACTTTGCTATGTAGACCAACGTGGCCTTTACTCAGACTTGCTGGTTTGTGCTTCCCAATCCAAGCACTGGGGTTCAAGTTGTACACTACCATGACTGCTCATCAGTAGACTTTTGAATGATTCTTGCTACTGAAAGATGATTTCTGCTACTTGCCTCAAAAACAATAAAAATGGATTAATGATGTACTTAAGCTTGCAGGTAGGAACGGTGAGATTTGGGTAGCCTGAAAACAACTACTCATGTGACTTGGAAAATATCTAGATGCCCCTTAACTGAAGTATGGAGAAAGAAAATGTGGAACATTTACACAATAGAGTAGTACTCAGTGGTAAAATAAACTATGTGGGGCTGCAGAGATGAATCAGAGGTTAAGAGCACTGACTGCTCTGCCAGAGGACAGGGGTTCAATTCCCAGTATCCATATAGCAGCAAACAACAGTATGTAGCTCCAAGATCTGAAACCCTCACACTGACATACGTGTAGGCAAAACACCAATACACAAAATAAAAAACCATGTAAATTATTTAAGAAAGCAGCTACTTATCATCTGAAATGCATGACATAGGAGTTTTAAGATCAACAGAGTGCCTTTTCTATTGGGTTTTTGAGGCAGGGTTTCTCTGTGCCTTGGGAGGCTGTCCTGGCACTTGCTCTGTAGAGCAGGCTGGCCTTGAACTCAGAGATCCGCCTGCCTCTGCCTCCTGATTGCTGGGATTAAAGGTGTACACCACCAACAAACTGCAGAGTGCCTTTTAAAATAGGATCATGACGTCATAAATAATATCAAGAATCATTTGTTAAATACTAGACTTGATTGCAGCCAGATCCTCATGCATAACAAACACATACAACCACTAGGGATTGAAGCCAAGTCTCATGTGTACTGTGCACATTCAATCACTAGATATTGAAGCCAGGATATCAAGACTTTACGCACACTACCACCGGATGAGAATGCATCATGCATGCCATGCACAGACCAGCAGAGACTGAAGCCAGGAAGTCTCCTACACGCTAGGACACAGTAATACAGGAGACTGAATCAGACCGAGCCTCAGGCATGTTTTGTATATAGAACCAATAGGGATCATTAATGTCTAGAAAATACAGGAGCATAAAGAACATGGAAAACATGAGGAAATTTTTAGTCAAAAGCAGCTGTCAGTTTTGTGTAGGTGTAGTCAATGTGGGAGTCTTTATCGGTAACCTGGGACTCACAGTTCCCCCTCCTCTGTGTCCCTAGTGCAGGGATTAAGGGTTTACACCAGCACCTCTTGCCCTTTTTAAAAAAGATACTTATATAAACACTGTTCTGCATACATGTATATCTCCATGCCTGAAGAGGGCACCAGATCTCATCCATAGATGGTTTGCAAGCCACCATGTGATTGCTGCGAATTGAACTCAGGACCCTGTGAGAGCAATCAATGCTCTTAATCTCTGAGTCATTTTTCCAGCCTTCACCCAAGTTTTTGTAAGCAACTCTGATGAAACCTCCTGTTTGAATGCCATATGATGCTCTCATTCAGGCTGCATATAGGTTGTCGCAAATAAATATTTTCTTCACCTTTTTCACATGTCTCGGCTGCTGCCTCTTGTTCCTCACCTTGCAAGGCTTCTGTAAAAGGAAGAGAATGACCAACCTACATGAGTATGCTTGCTGTTCAAAACAGGTATCATCTGTGCCGGCATCCCCAACCGGGCTTAGGACACGGAGGAAGAGGGGCAGAAAGAAAGAGCTGGAGGATGGGGAGCAGAGCCTAGAAATGCTGTGCTCTACACATTTGTGAAACTGCTGTTGCACACATGAATTCAGGCATCTCTGGTTACCTGTACAAGGCAGACACAGTACAAATCCTGTCCTATATTGGCTAGGGGCTCTCTATGTTTTGCCGTAGCAGAGGGAGTGTCAGCATTTGGAATCCCTTTATTTGGGGTGTGACATATGGTTGCTTGTCCATGATGTATGAATGTGTACCTGTGTGTACAGGCCCGTTTACACATTCAAGTCCATGTAGGAGGTTCCGATGTTGACTTTTGGTATCTTTCTTAATCACTATCATCTTCATTTTTAAAGATGTATAATCTGTTTCCCTGTCTAACTGTCCATCTCTCTGCCCGCCCTCATAACACTCCCTCCGCCTACATGTCTGTCCACATACCTGTCCATATATTCATCTTTCCATCTACCTAATGTATGTAATGTATTTTATGGTTCTTCAAGACAAGGTTTCACTTTGTAGCCATGGCTCTGCTGGATCTCTGTTTTGTAGACAACACTGGGATCAAACTCACAAAGATCTGACTGTGTCTGCCTCTGTGTGCTCGGATTAAAGGTGTGCACCACCACCAGCTGGTGAAGTTGTAGTTATTCATATCTGAAGACTATTTTGCCTGTATGATATATATCTGTGTACTTGTGCATGCTGTGCCTGCTGAGGCCACATGAGAGCAAATCACTTGGAATTGGAGTTACAGATGGTTGTGTGCTCTCATGGGGGTGCCGAAAACTGAATCTGGCTTCTCTCGAAGTGTGCTTAGTGGTCTGAAATACTGAACCTCTATCTGGTACATAATCATAATTTTGAGAGTCTCTCATTAAATCTGAATCTCAGAAACATGGTTTGACTGGGTGACCACCAAGCACCATGGATACTCCTGTGGATGCATTTTCAAGGCTGGGATTACAGGCACATTCCCCTTTAGTTGGCCTTTTAATATGAGTTCTGGGAGCTGAACTCAGGTCCTTGTGCAGCTAACATAACTGACTGAGCAATTTACATCAAACATAAATTCATTAATACAGCTACACACACACACACACACACACACACACACACACACACACACACACACACACATATATACCCAAACACAGATCCATGCAATTAAATGCAGTCCATATCAAGAGAACAGCTGACCTCCCAGAAATTGTCAAAATGACTGTAAAGCTCATGATAGAATCAATGGGACCCCGAAAGATTACAGATTAATGTTGAATGTCATCTAATATAATTGAAGTCTATGGACATAGCGGCATAAGGACAGGCACATAGGATAGTTAAGTAGAATTGAGCAATGCCAAATTACCCTCCCACACCTCTATCTAGACAATTCAGTAGAACTGCCTGTTAACATGTATGGGGTACATGGTTAAGTGGTATATGCTATATGTGTGCTAGCCTGTGGGGTGAAAGAGGTCAACCTTAGCTTTCATTCCCCCTGACAGAATACCCTTTTACAAAGGGCTTTTTAATTGCTAATTACACTCCTACATGGGTGCATGTGAGCACTTGTAACTGCAGAGAACAGAGGTGTTGGATTTCCGGTAGCTGGAGTTCCCAGTGGTTACTTGTCATCTGAAGGGGTGCTGAGAACCACACTCTAATCCCACACACATTCCCATAGGAATTCAGAGGTCCAGCTGCAATGTGGTAGCACACACCTATTATGCCAGTACTCAAGAGGCATAGGCATTTGGATCTTTTTGAGTTCGATTTAGCCTAGTCTACAGCGATAGTTGTAGGACAGCCAGGACTACACAGAGGAAACTTGTGTTGAAAATCATAAAGAACACAAAGAGCTCAGGGTTCTAATTCTTTAGGTTACACTATAAACCTTTAAGGGTATCTTTGTTTACACCCCATCCTGCATGCCTACCTGGGGCCTGTCCCTCATTTGGCCCTTGGTCACTCTGGATTGGTTCTGTGTCTTCTTCTGGGGTATTCATTGAGTCATCTGCAACAGAGAGGAAGAGAGTGCACTGTTAACAAGTCACAGTCTAAAAGCTCTAGCTGGGGATGAGAACTCTCCTTGTCCAAACTACCATGGGGAATTAGAGCAAGTCTTTACTCAGTTTATGCCCAGAAGAGTCCTCTGGGCCATCAGGAGCACCAAGTGAATTCATTCAAGTGGACAACAGCAAGGTTGCTGGGAGGCTCCACAGATTCTTTGAGAACAGGGTCTTACTATGTTATTCAAGCTGGCCTAGATATTGCTATGCAGACCTCGGTGGCCTTGACGTCAGACTTGCTGGTCTGTGCTTCCCAATCCAAGCACTGGGGTTCAAGTTCTACACTACCAAGACTGGCTCATCAGTAGACTCTTGAATGATTCCAGCTACTCAAAGATGACTTCTGCTACTTGCCTCATAAACAACAAAAATGGATTAATGATCCACTTAAGTTTGTAGCTAGGAAGGATGTGGTTTGGGTATCCTGAACACAACTACTCATGTGACCTGGCTAAAATTTTGATGCCCCTCAACTGATGTTTGTAGAAAGAAAATGTGGTACAATTACAAAATGGAGTAGTACTCAGTGATAAAATCTACCACGTGGGGTGGTAGAGTTGTATCAGAGGTTAAGAGCACTGACTGCTATTCCAGAGTACACGGGTTCATTTCCCAGTATCCATATAGCTGCAAAGAACTGTCTGTAGCTCCAAGATCTGACACCGTCACACAGACGTATGTGTAGGAAAAACACCAATGCACATAAAATAAAAACAAGTAAATTACTTAAAAAACCATCTATTGTGTACTTCCAGTGCCCAACCTCTGCCGTTCCCACCTTCAGGTGAGCTTGAGTCTCAGGGGCCATACTCCCCATCCTCTTCCCAACACCCATCCCCTCAATCTTCCGTAGGCCTGCTTCTGGTATCCAGAAGATCTGCCCACACGGGAAAGGCATCAGCCCTTCCAGGCCCCAACCTCCGGGGATCCCAGCTTCAGCTTCAGGAAAGAAGGAGACCAGTGGAGACAGAAGGGCGCCACCTGCACCCACTGGAAAAAGAGATGGGAAGAAGACAGAATAAGAGCTCACTCAGCAATAGAAAGTCCAACATGACCCCACTAGAATCTAGAAAACCAACACCAGCAAGACATGAAAAGCACTACATAGATCAAGCACAGGAGACAGACCTTAAAAACTGTTTCTTGAAGATGATAGAGACCCTCAAAGAAGAAAGGAGGAAATCCCTTAAAGAAATAGAAGAAAAAATACACAAAATCCATGAAATGCTAGAAAAATTTAAGAAATAGACAAATCTCTCAAAGAATCTAAAGTGTAGCAAGAAAAAACTGCCAAACAAATGAAGGAAACAACTCAAATAGTTGAAGGATTGAAAGCTGAAATAGAAACAATAAAGAAAACACATAACGAGGGGATGCTGGAAATAGAAAAGCTGGGTAAATGATCAGGAACTACAGATCAAGTATCACCAACAGAATACAAGAGCTAGAAGAGAGAATCTCAGGTGTTGAAGACTCATTAGTGGATATACAGTCGTCAACCAAAGAAAATCTCAAAACCAACAAATCCCTAACACAAAATATCCAGGAAATATGGGAGACCATGAAGAAGCCAAACCTGAGAATAATAGGTATAGAAGACGACGAAGAAATACAGCTCAAAGGTACAGAAAACATATTCAACAAAATCATAGAAGGAAACTTCCCTAACCTAAAGAAGGATACACCTATGAAAATACAAGAATCTTACAGAACACCAAATAGGCTGGACCAGAAAAAGAAGTCACCTCGCCATATAATAATCAAAACATCAAACCTACATAATAAAGAGAAAATATTAAGAGCAGCTAAAAAAAGGCCAAGTAACATATAAAGGCAGACTTATCCTAATTACACCTGACTTCTCAATGGAAACTATTAAAGCCAGAAGATCCTGGACAGATGTCCTACAAACGCTAAGGGAACAAGGATGCCAGCCCAGACTACTATATCCAGCAAAGCTTTCAATTACCATATATGGAGAAAACAAAATATTCCATGACAAAGCCAGATTTAAACAAGATGTATCCATGAATCCAGCTCTACAGAAAGTGCTATAAGGAAAACCTAGATCCAAGGAAGATAACTACACACACAAAGACACAGGCAATATATAATCCCACTTTACAAAACACCAAAAGAAAAAAGGAAGGAGAAACTACACAAAATAACTTCACTACCAATAAATCAAGCACAAACAAGAATCACCAATCAATGGTCAGTGATATCCCTCAATGTCAATGGCCTCAACTTGCCTATAAAAAGACACAGACTAGAAGCCTTGGGAAGAGGAGCTGCTTTCTGTGTTGCATGATTTCCGATGCTGCGTTGGACAGAAGTAGTTACTGAGCCCAGAGCCTTGTGCAAGCTAGCAGCAAGGGCTTTACCTCGGAGCTTCCTCAACCGGAGACAACCCACTAATGGAAATGAACTCCTGAGTTTCGCCATTGTTGCAACAGACCTGTATTGAACAAGACAGTCTGGGTCAGGAATTCGATGATGCTTTGGAGGTGTTGCAGCACTCAGTTGGAGGACTTCAGTACTTCCCAGAAAATCACATGACTCACTATTACTCTCACCACATCAGAGGCAATCCCAGCTTCTATGGGATCTCACCCCCAGAAGAGCCCACCTACACCTGGAGAAATGTAATAAATGAGTCTGTGAACTTGCATTTGGAAGAAAGTCTCCAGCAATCTCTGCAGAGCATACACGAAAACCAGCTGGGACAAGTCTCCCTCTTCCAGCCAAAAGGAGGAAGGTTCGACTGTTTGAATACCTTTACCATTTTGACAGGAGTAAGATGGTATCTCAGAGTTGTTTTGATTTGCATTTCCCTGATGGCTAAGGATGTTGAGCACTTTCTCAAGTGTCTCTTGGCCATTTTAGCCTCCTCTATTGAGAATTCTCTGTTTAGTTCTGTACAACCACCTTTTAATTGGATCCTTTGGTGTTTTGGAGACTTGCTTCTTGAGTTCTTTGTAAATTTTGGAGATTTGCCCTCTGTCAGATGTGGGGCTAGTGAATATCTTTTCCCATTCTGTGGACTGCCTTTCTGTCTTGTTCATTGTGTCCTTTGCTTATTAGATTGGGCAAAGGTCTGACCATGGGGAAAAAGGACCAGCCAAAGACACACACCCTGAGCTGAGCCAGAGAAACACACTTTGGCCCTGCAACCAGAACCAAGGAAATGCACCCTGACCCTGAAACCAGTGCCAAAGGAACACACTTTGCCCCTGGAATCAGAGTCTGTGAAAGAAATGCACCCTGACCCTAAACTTGGAGCCAAAAGGTAAAAAAGACCAGAGAAAGAAACACTTTGGCCCTGAAACCAGAGCCAAATCTGACCCTAATTCTGTGCAGAAAACTAACCAATCCCTGAGCAGAAGCTCTAGCCAATCTGAGCTCAGCACTGAAACCGGACAATCCCTATCCTGGAAAAACTACCCTGCTCCCAAGAATCCCTATATAAACCCTGTGTATGCTGAGCTTGGTTGTCCAGCTGCTTCATTCCAATAAACCCTTTCGATGAAAAACAAAGACACAGACTAGCAGAATGGATACAAAGACAGAACCCATCCTTTTGCTGCATACAAGAAACACATCTCAATATCAAAGACAGATGGTATCTCAAAGTAAAGGGTTGGGAAAAGATTATCCAATTAAACAGTCCCAAGAAACAAGTGGGTGTAGCAATCCTAATATCTAACAAACTAGACTTCAAGTTAAAATCAAAAGAGATGAAGAAGGACATTTCATATTCAACAAAGGAAAAGTTCATCAAGATGAAGTCTCAATTTTAAACATCTATGCCCCAAATACAAAGACACCTACATTTTTGAAAGAAACATTACTAAAGCTCAAATTGCACATAAAATCTCACACACTAATTGTAGGAGACTTCAACACTCTGCTCTCACCACTAGGCAGGACCTCCAGACAGAAACTTAACAAAGAAACAAAAGTAGTAATAGAAGTTATGACCCAACAGGGTTTAACAGATATCTATAGAACATTCCACCCAAACACAAAGGGATATACCTTCTTCTCAGCGCCACATGGAACCTTCTCTAAAATTGACTACACAATAGGAAACATAGCAAATCTTCACAGATACCAAAAATTTATAATAACCCCCTGTATCTTCTCAGACCACCATGCATTAAAATTAGAATTCAATAACACAAATCGCAGAAACCTTACAAACTCAGGGAAATTGAACAATGCACAATTGCACCATCCCTGGGTAAAGGAACAAATAAAAAAAGACATTAAAGACTTCCGGGAATTCAATGAGAATGAAGACACAACACACACAAACTTATGGAATACATTGAAAGCAGTGCTGAGAGGAAAGTTCATAGCACTAAGTGCCCACCTGAAGAAACTGGAGAACTGTCATACTAGAGAAGTAATAGCACAGCTGACCGTTCTAGAACAAAAAGAAGCAAATTCACCCAAGAGGAGCAGAAGCCAGGAAATAATCAAATTGAGGGCTGAAATCAATCAAGTAGCAACCAGGAAAACATTGAGAATAATCAATGAAACAAAGAGTTGGTTCTTTGAGAAAATCAACAAAATAGACAAACCTCTGTCCAAACTAACCAAAAGACAGAGAGAGAGAGAGAGCATGCTAATTAACAAAATCAGAAATGAAAAAGGGGACATAACAACTGATTCTGAGGAAATCAAGAGAATAATCAGGCCATACTTTGAAAATCTGTACTCCACAAAATTCAAAAATTTAAAGGAAATGGACAATTTCCTGGATAGATATCACTTGCCACAACTAAATCAAGAGCAGATAAACAATCTAAACAGACCTATAACTCTTAATGAAATAGATGCAGTCATCAAAAGTCTCCCAATCAAAAAAAAGCCCAGGCCCTGATGGCTTTAGTGCAGAATTCTACCAGAAATACAAAGAGCTAATTCCAATACTACTCAAATGTTCCACACAATAGAAGCAGGAGGCTCACTGCCAAACTCTTTTTACGAGGCTACAATTACCTTGATACCCAAGACACACAAAGATACAACTAATAAAGAGAACTTCAGACCAATATCTCTCATGAACATTGATGCAAAAATACTCAATAAAACACTAGCAAACCGGATTCAAGAACACATCAGAAAAATCATCCACCATGATCAACTAGGCTTCAATCCAGGAATGCAAGGATGGTTCAACATTAGAAACTCTATCAATGTTATCTGACATATAAACAAACTGTGAAAGAAAAACCATATGATCATCTCACTAGATGCAGAAAAAGCCTTTGATAAAATCCAGCACCCCTTCTTGATAAAGGACCTAGAGAGATCAGGGATAACAGGAACATACATGAACATAATAAAAGCAATATATAGTAAACCAATAGCTAACATTAAGCTAAATGGAGAGAAACTCCACACAATTCCTCTAAATCAGAAAAATGCAAGGCTGTCTACTCTCTCCATATCTCTTCAATATTGTCCTTGAAGTTCTAGCTACAACGAGAAGACTGCAAAAGGAGATCAAGTACACACAAATAGGAAAAGATGTCAAGCTTTCACTATTTGCAGATGATATGATAGTTTAAGGAAGTGACCCGAAAAACTCTGCAAGGGAACTCCTCGTGCTGATAAACACCTTCAGCAAAGTGGCAGGATAGAAGGTTAACTCAAAAAATCAGTGGCCCTATTATATACAGATGATGAAGGGGCTGAGAAAGTAATCAGAGAAACATCACCCTTTACAATAGCTATAATCAACATCAAATATCTGGGGATAATGTTAACCAAGGAAGTGAAAGACCTGTATTTCAAGAACTTTGAGTCTTTAAAGGAAGAAATCAAAGAGGATACTAGAAAATGTAAAAATCTACCATGCTCTTGGACTGGTAGGATCAACATAATAAAAATGGCAATCTTGCCAAAAGCAGTCAACAAATTCAATGCAATCCCTATAAAAATTCTGGCACAATTCTTCACAGACCTTGAAAGAACAATAATCAACTTTATATGGCAAAACCAAAGGCCCAGGATAGGCAAAACACTTACAGTAAACCAACTTCAGAAGGAATCACCATACCTGACTTCAAGTTCTACTATAGAGCTATAGTCCTGAAAACAGCTTGGTATTGGCACAAAAATAGACAGATAGACCATTGGAACTGAATTGAAAACCACAATTTTATCCCACACACCTATGAACACTTGATTTTTTGACAAAGAAACTAAAACTATATAATGGAAAAAAAGAAAGCATTTTCAACGAATAGTGTTGGCATAATTGGGTATTGGTATGCAGAAGATTGCAGATGGTTCCATGTCTATCGCCTTGTACAAAACTTAAGTACAAATGGATTAAAGATCTCAACATAAATCCAACCACACTGAATCTCGTAGAAGAGAAAGTGGGAGATACTCTTCAATGAGTTGGTACAGGAGACCACTTCCTGAACATAACACACCAGTGCCACAGACACTGAGAAGGACAACTAACAAATGGGACCTCCTGAAACTAAGGAGCTTCTGTAAGACAAAGGACACAGTCAACAAGACAAAAAGGCAGTCCACAGAATGGGAAAAGATATTCACTAACCCCACATCTGACAGAGGGATAATCTCCAAAATTTACAAAGAACTCAAGAAGCAAGTCTCCAAAACACCAAAGGATCCAATTAAAAGGTGGGGTATAGAACCAAATAGAGAATTCTCAATAAAGGAGGCTAAAATGGCCAAGAGACACTTAAAGTGCTCAATATCCTTAAGCATCAGGGAAATGCAAGTCAAAACAACTTTGAGATACCATCTTACTCCTGTCAGAATGGCTAAAATAAAAAACAATGAAGACAATTGATGTTGGAGAGGATGGGGAGAGACGGGAACACTTCTTCACTGTTGATGGGAGTACCAACTCGTACATTCACTTTGGAAATCAGTATGGAGATTCCTCATGAAAATGGGAATCAATCTACCACAAGACCCGGCAATTCCACTCTTAGGCATATACCTACAAGAGACAAATTCATACAACAAGGACATCTGCTCCACTATGTTCATAGCAGCATTATTTGTAATAGCCAGAACCTGGAAGCAACCTAGATGCCCCTCAGCTGAAGAGTGGATAGAGAAAATATGGTACATTTATGCAATGCAGCAGAAAAAAACCAATGGAATCTTGAAATTCGCAGGTAAATGGATGGCACTAGAAGAAACCATCCTGAGTGAGGTAACCCAGTCACAGAAAGACAAACATGGTATGTACTCACTCATATATGGATTTTAGACATGGATCAGGAGAGTGCTAGTCTACACTTCCACTGACAGAGTCTGGGAAACAGAAAAGAACCCAAGAGATATCCATGGTACCCCAGAGATGAGGAATGTGGCAAGATCTCATGAACAGATTGGGAACTCGTCGAAGGGTGGTGGGGGGAGTGGGAGCTGGGAAGAAGAGAGGGGGAGAAGAGTAAGAGACAGTAAGTCATTGGGAACAGGAAGGATGAGTGGGGGTAGGATAGGGGGAAGAGGGAATCATATGTTAGAAGACAGATCTGACACCAGAGTGACCTCTAGTGATCTACAGGGATGGCACCAATTGGCAAGCTAAGCAGTAGTGGAGAGACCACCTAAAATGGCCATTCCTGATAATGAACTTGATGTCTATAACCGTCCGGGAGCCTTCATCCAGTGACTGATGGAAGCAGAGGCAAACACCCATAGTAAACACTGAACTGAACCCAAGGAACCCAGTGACAGAGAGCAGCCATGAGCAAATTGGCAAAGAATGGGCTTTCAAAAACATGTCTATCTCCATGCCAGAAGAGGGCACCAGTTCTCATTCATAGATGGTTTGCAAGCCTACATGTGGTTGCTGGGAATTGAACTCCTGACCCCTGTGAGAGCAATCAATGCTCTTAACCTCTGAGCCATCTTTACAGCCTTCAACCATGCTCTTGTAAGCAACTCTGATGAAACCTCCTGTTTGAATCCCTTAAGATGATCTCACTCAGGCTGCCTATAGGTTTGTGCAAATACATATTTTCTTCACCTTTTTCACATGTCTCTGCTGCTGCCTCTTGTTCCTCAGCTTGCATGGGTTCTGCAATTAGAGCAAAACCATGATGCATGATTGTTTGTTGTTCAATATTGATACCATCTGTGTCAGCACCCACCATCTACCACTCAGTCCTCCCAAGTGTCAGCATACCTGTCTACCTATCCATCTATCCATCTTTGAATCTACTTAATGTATGTAATTTATTTGCTGTTTTTTCAGACAAGGTTTCTATGTGTAGCCATGGCTGTCCTGTAACTCTTCTCTAGACCAGACTGGCCTCAAACTGACAAAGATCTGACTAGGCCTACCTCTGTGTGCTGGGATTAAAGGTGTGCACCAACACAAGCTGGTGAAGTTGTAGTTATTTATATCTAATGACTATTTTGCATGTATGCTATATGTCTGTGTACTTTGTGCATTCTTTGCCTGTTTCTGCCACATGAGAGCAAATCACTAGGCACTGGATTTACAGATGGTTGTGATCTGACATGGGGGTGCTGAAAACTGAATCTGCCTCTTCTGGAAGTGTGCCTAGTGCTCTGAAATACAGAACCCTCTTTCTGGTACCTGATCATATTTTTTAGAGTCTCTCACTAAATCTGAATCTCAGCAACATGGCTAGACTGGCTGACCAGCAAGCACCATGAGCCCTCCTGCATCTGCCTTTTCAGCGCTTGGATGATAGGCACATTTCTTTTTCTTGTCCCTTTAATACAAGTTATGGGAACTGGAGCAGCTCACATAGTACTGACTGAGTAATTTACCTCAAACTCAAATTCATTAATACAGCTACCTATATATCCAGACACAGATCCATGCAACTAAATGTAGTCCATAACAAGAGAAGAGCTGACATCCCAGAAATTGTCAACCTGACTGTAAAGCTCATGATAGAATCAATGGGACCAGGAAAGGTCCCCATGTTTTACAGATTAATGTTGAATGTCATCTACCTTGTAAAATAATGGAAGTCTGTGGACATAACTACATAAGGACAGGCACATAGGATAGTTAAGTAGAATCGAGCACCCCAAATTTCACTCCCACATCTCTATCTTGATAATTCAGTAGAACTGCCTGTTAACAAGTGTGTGGTACATGGCTAAGTGCAGGTTATATGTGTGCTAGCCTGTGGGAGTGAAAGAGGTCAACCTTAGCTTTCTTTCCCCCTGAAAGACTACCCTTTTATAAAGGGCTTTTTAATTCCTTACTACACTCCTGCAGGGGTACCTGTGAACACTTATGATTGCAGGGATAGAGGTGTCAGGTTTTCTTGGATCTTGAGTTCCCAGGGGGCACGTATCATCTGATGTGGTGCTGAGAACCAAACTCCAATCCCACATGCACACACATAGGAAATCATGAGTTCTACTTTGATGTGGTAGAACACACCTATTATTCTAGTACCCAAGAGGCATAGGCAGGTGCATCTCTGTGAGTTCCATGTTAGCCAGGTCTACAGCGATAGTTGTAGGACTGCCAGGACTACACAGAGAAAACTTGTGTTGAAAATCAGAAAGTACACAAAGAGCTCAGAGCTCTAATTTCAGGTAACACTCTAAACCATGTGGCTTTAAGTGTATCCATGTTTACAGCCCACCCTGCATGCAAACCTGGGGCTTGAGCCTCATCTGGCCCTTGGTCACTCTGGATTGGTTCTCTGTCTTCTTCTGGGGTACTCATTGAGTCATCTACAACAGAGGAAGAGAGAGTGCTGTTAGTAAGACACAGTCTAAAAACTCCACCTGGGGATGAGAACTCTCCATGTCCAAACTACCAAGGGAAATAGAGCAAGTCTTGACTCATTTTATTCCCAGAAGTGTCCTCTGGGCCACCATGAACACCAAGTGAATTCATTCAAGTGGACAAATGCAGGAATGCTGGGACGTATCACAGACGCTTTGCAGAGCAGTGTCTCACTATATAATTCAAGCTGGCCTAGATCTTGCTATGTAGACCAAGGTGGCCTTGAACTCAGACTTGCTGGTCTGTGCTTCCCAATCCAAGCTTTGGGTTCAAGTTGTACACTACCATGCCTGGCTCATCAGTAGTCTCTTGAATGATTCTTCCTACTCATATATTACTCCTGCTACTTGCCTCAAAAACAGTAAAATGGATTCATGGTCTACTTAAGTTTGAGATAAGAAGGGGGAGGTTTGGGTAGCCTTAAAACAACTACACATGTGACCTGTAAAAAAATCTAGATGCCCCTCAACTGAAGTATGGAGAAAGAAAATGTGGTACATTTACACAATGGAGTAGGACTTAGAGGTAAAATCCACTAGGTGGGGCTGTAGAAATGGATCAGAGGTTAAGAGCACTGACTGCTCTTCCAGAGGACACGGATCCAATTCCCAGTATCCATTTAGCAGCAAACAATTGTCTGTAGCTCCAAGATCTGACACTCTCACACAGATATATGTGTAGGTAAAACACCAATGCACATAAAATAAAGCAAATAAATTACTTAAATAAGCAACTACTTAGCATGTGAAATGCATGACCCAGGCGTTTTAAGATCAACAGAGTGCCTTTTCTCTTGGTGGTTTAAGACAGGGTTTCTCTGTGTCTCTGGAGGCTGTCCTCCTCGCACATGCTCTGGAGAACAATCAGGACTTGAACTCACAGAACCCAACCTGCCTCTGACTGTAGACTGCTGGGATTAAATGTGTGTACCACCACCTCTTGGCCATTTTTAAAAAAGATAATTCATTATATAAACACTGTTCTGCATACGTGTATATATCCATGCCAGTAGAGGGCACCAGATCTCATTCATAGATGCTTTGCAAGCCACCATGTGGTTGCTGCGAATTGAACTCAGGACCTCTGTGAGAGCAATCAATGCTCTTAATCTCTGAGCCATTTTTCCAGCCTTCATCCAAGCTCTCGTTAGCAACTCTGATGAAACCTCCTGTTTGAATGCCATATGATGCTCTCGCTCTCACTCAGCCTGCTTATAGGTTGGCGCAAATCAATATTTTCTTCACCTTTTTCACATGTCTCTGCTGCTGCCTCTTGTTCCTCAGCTTGCAAGGCTTCTGTAAAAGGAAGAGCAAGACCATCCTGCATGATTATCTTTGTTGTTCAAAAGAGATACCATCTGTGCTAGCGTCCCCACCTGGGATTAGGACACAGAGGAAGAGGGGCACAAAAACGAGCTGGAGGACGTGGGGCAGAGCCTAGAAATGCTGTGCTCTACACATGTGTGAAACTGCTGTTGCACACATGAAGTCAGGCATCTCTAGTCACCTGCACAAGTCAGAGACATAAAAATCCCGTCATATATTGGCTAGAGTTTTTCTATGTTTTGCCTATAGCTGAGTGAGTGTCAGTATTTGGAGTCACTATTGTTTGAGGGTGTGACATGTGGTTGCTTGTCCATGATGTTCAAATGTGTACATGTGTGTAGAGGTCCATGTACACATTAAGGTCCATGTAGGAGGTTCCACTGTTGACTTTTGTTGTTTTTCTAAATCACTATCATATTCATTTTTATAGGTGTATCATCTGTCTCTGTGTCTGTATGTCTGCCCACCCACCTGTCCATCTCTGACTGCCCTCCCACCACTCTGTCTGCCAACCTGTCTCTCAGCCTACCTGTCCATCTATCCATTTTCCATCCACCTAATGTATGTAATCTACTTGCTGGTTTTTCAAGACAAGATTTCTCTATGTAGCCATGGCTGTCCTGGAACTCTGCTCTGTAGACCAGACTGGACTCAACTCACAAAGATCTGGCTGTGTCTGCCTCTGTGTGCTGGGATTAAAGGTGTGCACCACCACCAGCTAGTGAAGTTGTAGTTATTTATATCTGATGACTATTTTGCCTGTATGCTATATGTGTGTGTACTTTGTGCATGCTATGGCTTCTGAGGCCACATGAGGGCAGATAACTTGGAACTGGAGTTACAGTTGGTTTTGAGGTAACATGGGGGTGCTGAAAAATGAATCTGGCTCCTCTGGATGTGTGCCTAGTGGTATGAAATACTGAACCTGCTTTCTAGTACTTAATCGTATTTTTGAGAGTCTCACACAAAATCTGAATCTCATCAACATGGATAGACTGGCTGACCAGCAAGCACCATGGACCTTTGTGTTTCTGCCTTCTCAATACTGAGATTACAGAAACATTCCCCTTTACTTGTCCTTTTAATACAAGTTCTGGGAACTGGAGCAGCTAACATAGTACTGACTGAACAATTTACCTCAAACTCAAATTCATTAATACAGATATATATATGTATATATATATATATATACATATATATATATATATCCAAACACAGATCCAAGCAACTAAATGCAGTCCATATCACGGGAAGAGCTCACCTCCTAGAAATTGTCAAAATGACTGTAAAGTTCAAAACGAAACGTCCCCACGTTTTGCAGATTAATGTTGAATATCATCTACCCTCTAAAATAATGGAATTCTGTGGACATTGGAGCATAAGAACAGGCACATAGGATAGTTAAGTAGAATCGAGCAACCCCAAATTACCCTCCTACATGTCTTTCTATACAATTCAGTAGAATTGCCTGTTAACATGTGTTCAGTACTTGGTTAAGCCAAGGTTATATGTGTGGTAGCCTGTGGGGTGAAAGAGGTCAACCTTAGCTTTCTTTCTCCCTGACAGACTACCCTTTTACAAAGGGCTTTTTAATTGCTAATTACACTCCTGCATGGGTGCCTGTGAGCACTTGTAAATGCAGAGAATAGAGGTGTTGATTTCCTGCAGCTGGAGTTCTCAGTGGTTACATGTCATCTGAAGTGGTGCTGCAAACCACACTCCAATCCCACATGCACACACATAGGAATTCAGAGGTCCAGCTAGGATGTGGTAGCACACACCTATTATGCCAGTACTCAATAGGCATAGGCAGGTGGATCTCTGTGAGTTCGATGTTAGTCTGGTCTACAGCGATAGTTGTAGGACAGTCAGGACTACACAGAGAAAGAACACAAAGAGCCCAAGGGTAACACTATAAACCATGTGGCTTTAAGTGTATCTATGTTTACACCCCACTCTGCATGCCAACCTGGGGCCTGTCCCTCATCTGGCCCTTGGCCACTCTGGGTTGGGTCTCTGTCTTCTGTTTTCTTCATTGAGCCATCTGCAACAGAGAGGAAGAGAGAGGGCTGTTAACAAGTCACAGGCTAAAAGCTAAGCTGGGGATGTGAACTCTCCATGTCCAAACTACCAAGGGGAATTAGATCAAGTCTTGACTCAATTTATGCCCAGAAGAATCCTCTGGGCCATCAGGAGCACCAGGTGAATTCATTCATGTGGACAACACAAGCATTTCTAGGAGGCATCACAGACTCTTTTGAGAACAGGGTCTTACTATATAATTCAATCTGGCCTAGATCTTGCTATGTAGACCAAGGTGGCCTTGAAGTCAGACTTGCTGGTCTGTGCTTCCCAATCCAAGCACTGGGGTTCAAGTTGTACACTACCAAGACTGGCTCATCAGTAGACTCTTGAATGATTCTTGCTACTGAAAGATGACTCCTGCTACTTGCCTCAAAAACAATAGAAATGGATTAATGATCCACTTAAGCTTGTAGGTAGGAAAGTGAGTTTTGTGTAGCCTGAAAACAACTAGTCATGTGACAGGAAAAAATATCTAGATGCCCTTCTACTGAAGTAAGGAGAAAGAAGATGTTGTACATTTACACAATGGAGTAGTTCACAGTGGTAAAATGCACTACGTGTGGCTGTAGAGATGGATCAGAGGTTAAGAGCACTGAATGTTCTTCCAGAGGACATGGGTTCAATTCCCAGTATCCATATAGCCACAAACAACTGTCTATAGCTCCAAGATCTGACACCTTCACACAGACATACATGTAGGCAAAACACCAATGCACATAAAATAAAAACAAGTAAATTATTTACATAAGCAACTACTTAGAACCTGAAATGCATGATACAAGATTTTTAAGATCATCAGAGTGCCTTTTCCTTTGGGTTTTCGAGACAGGGATTCTCTGTGTCTTTGGACATCATGGACAAGCAACAGGAGGTCTCATACATGCCAGGACACAGTAATACAAGAGACTGAATCAGAGTCTCAGGCAGGTTTTGTATGCACAACCAATAGGGATCATCAATGACTAGGAAACAGAGAGCAGAAAGAACATGGAAAACATGAGGAAATTTTCAGGCAAAGAGCAGCTGTCAGTTTTGAGTAGGTGTAGTCAATGTGGGAGTCTTTATAGGTGACCTGGAATTCACAGAGTTCCCCCAACTTCTGTGTCCCTAAGGCAGGGATTAAAGGTGTGTACAACCATCTATTGTCCATTTTTAAAAAGTAATTCATTATAGCAACATTGTTCTGCATACGTGTTTATCTCCCTGCCAGAAGAGGGCACCAGATCTCATTCATAGATGGTTTGCAAACCACCATGTGGTTGCTGCGAAAGGAACTCAGGGCCCTGTGAGAGCAATCAATGTTCTTAACCTCTGAGCCATCTTTCCCACCTTCACTCAAGCTCTTGTAAGCAACTCTGATGAAACCTCCTGTTTGAATGCCATATGATTCTTTCACTCAGCCTGCTTATAAGTTGGCGCAAATAAATATTTCCTTCACCTTTTTCACATGTCTCTGCTGCTGCCTCTTGTTCCTCACATTGCAAGGCTTCTGTAAAAGGAAGAGCAAGACCATCCTACATGACTATGTTGTTGAAAACAGTTACCATCTGTGTCAGTGCCTGCCCACTCACCACTCCCTCCTTCTAACTGTCTGTCTGCATGCCTGTCAGTCTATCCATCTATCCATTTTCCATCTAAGTAGTGTATGTTATCTCTTTGCTGGTTTTTCAAGACAAGGTTTCTCTGTGTAGCCATGGCTGTCCTGGAACTTCTCTCTATCGACCAGACTGGCCTCAAATTCACAAAGATCTGACTGTGTCTGCATCTGTGTGCTGGGAGGAAAGGTGTGTACCACCACCAGGTGGTGAAGATTTAGTTATGTATATCTGATGACTATTTTGTCTGTATGCTATATGTCTGTGTACTTTGTGCATGCTATGCCTGCTGAGGCCACATGAGAGCAGATCACTTGGAACTGGAGTTATAGATGGTTGTGGGCTGACATGGGGTAGCTGAAAACTGAATCTGGCACTTTAGGAAGTGTGCATAGTGCTCTGAAATACTGAACCCTCTTTTTGGTACCTAACCATATTTTTGACAGTTTCTCACAAAATCTGCATCTCAGCAAAATGGACAAACTGGCTGACCAGTAAGCACCATGGACCCTCCTGCAACTGCCTTTTCAGTGCTGGGATTACAGGCACATTCCCCTTTATTTGGCCTTTTAATACCAGTTCTGGGGGCTGAAATCAGGTCCTGTGCAGGTAACATAGTCCTGGCTGAGCACTTTACCTCAACTCAAATTCATTAATACAGCTAACTATATGTATATATCCAAACACAGACCCATGCAACTAAATGCAGTCCATATCAAGAGAACAGCTGACCTCCCAGAAATTGTCAAAAAGACTGTAAAGCTCATGATGGAATCAATGGGACCATAAAAGGTCCCCAAGTTTGTCAGATTTATATAGAATATCATATCCATGAAAAAACAGAAGACATAGCGACAAAAGGACAGGCACGTAGGTTAGTTAAGCAGAATTGAGCAACCCCAAATTACCCTCCCAAACCTCTATCTAGACCGTTTAGCAGAATTTCATGTGCACATGTGTATGGTACATGTAGGTTATATGTGTGCTTGTCTGTCAGGGTGAAAGAGGTCAACCTTAGCTTTCTTTCCCATTCACAGACTACCCTTGTACAAAGCGCTTTTTAATTGCTAATTACACTCCTGCATGGGTGCCTGTGAGCACTTGTAACTGCAGAGAATAGAGGTGGTGGATTTCCTGCAGCTGGAGTTCCCAGAGGTTACTTGTCATCTGAAGTGGTGCTGAGAACCAAACTCCAATCCCATATATACACACATAGGAATCAGAAGTCCAGCTAGGATGTGGTAGTACACACCTATTATGCCAGTACTCAAGAGGCATAGGAGGTGGAACTCTGAGTTCGATGTTAGCCTGGTCTACAGCAATAGTTGTAGCACAGCCAGGACTACACAGAGAATATTTTTGTTGAATATCAGAAAGAACAGAAAGATCCCAGGGGTGTAATTCTGGGGTGACACTATAAAACATGTTGCTTTAAGTGTATCCCTGTTTGAACCCCACCCTGCATGCCAACCTGGGGCCTGTCCCTCATCTGGCCCTTGGTCACTCTGGATTGGTTCTCTGTCTTCTTCTGTTTTCTTCATTGAGCCATCTGCAACAGAGAGGAAGAGAGAACACTGTTAACAAGTCAAAGTCTACAAGCTCTTGCTGGGGATGAGAACTCTGCATGTCCAAACTACCAAGGGGTATTAGAGCAAGTTGTGACTCGGTTTATGCCCAGAAGAGTCTTCTGGGCCATCAGGAGTACCAATTGAATTCATTCAAGTGGACAACTGGAGCATTGCTGGGAGGCATCACAGACTCTTTTGAGAACAGGGTCTTACTATATAATTCAAGCTGGCCTACATTTTGCTATGTAGACTATGGTGGCCTTTAAGTCAGACTTGCTGGGGTTCAAGTTGTACACTACCATGACTGGCTCATCAGTAGACTCTTGAATGATTCAAGCTACTCAAAGATGACTACTGCTACTTGCCTCAAAAAGAAGAATAATGCATTAATGATCTTCTTAAGTTTGCAGGTAGGAAGGGTGATGTTTGGGTAGCCTTAAAACAACTACACAGGTGACCTGGAAGACATCTAGATGTCTCTCAACTGAAGTTTGCAGAAAGAGAATGTGGTGCATTTACACAATGGAGTATTACCCAGTGGTAAAATCCACTATGTGGAGCCTCAGAGATGAATCAGAAGTTAGGAGCACTGACTGCTCTGCCAGAGGACAGGGGTTCAATTGCCAGTACGCATATTGCAGCAAACAACTGTCTGTAGCTCCAAGATATGACACCTTCACACAGACATACTTGTAGGCAAAACACCAATGCACATAAAATAAGAACAAGTAAATTATTTAAATATGCAAAATCTTAGAATCTGAAATTCATGTTACAGGACTTTTAAGAACAACAGAGTGCCTTTTCTTTTGGTTTTCGAGATAGGGTGTCTGTCTTTGGAGGCTGTCCTCCTGGCATTTGCTCTGTAGATGAGGCTGGCCTTGAACTCACAGGAACCAGCCCACCTCTGCCTCCTGACTGCTGGGATTAAAGGTGTGCACCACCCACTCCCAGCAGAGTGCCTTTTAAAATAGGATTATGACATCATAAATAAGATTAAGAATCATTTGTTAAGTACTAGACATTATTTCAGCCAGAGCTCATGAGAACGCTATCATTAGAGATTGAGCCAGAGCCCCATGCATACTAAGCTTATACAACCACTAGGGATTGAAGCCAAGTCTCATGTGTGCTGTGCACATACAATCACTAGATATTGAAGTCAGGACCTCATGCCTTTATACACACTACCACCGGAAGCCAAGGCATCATGCATGCCATGCACAGACAACCAGAGACTGAAGCCAGGAGGTCTCATACATGCCAGTACACAGTAATACAAGAGACTGAATCAGAGCCTCATGCAATAGTGATCATCAATGTCTACGAAATAAAGGGAGCTGAAAGAACTTGGAAAACATGAGGAAATTTTCATCAAAGAGCTTCTGACAGTTTTGAGTAGTTGTACTCAATGTGGGATTCTTTATATGTAACCTGGAACTCACAGAGATTCCCTTCCTCTGTGTCCCTTGTACGGGGATTAAATGTGTCTTTTTAAAAATGATAATTCATTATATAAGCACTGTTCTGCATACGTGTATATCTCCCTGCCAGAAGAGGGCACCAGATCTCATTCATAGATGCTTCACAAGCCACCATGTGCTTGCTGGGAAATGAACTCATGACCCCTGTGAGAGCAATCAATGCTCTTAACCTCTGATCCATCTTTCCAGCCTTCACCCAAGCTCTTGTTAGCAACTCTGATGAAACCTCCTGTTTGAATTCCATATGATACTCGCACTCAGCCTGCTTCTAGGTTTGCGCAAGTCAATATTTTCTTCACCTTTTTCACATGTCTCTGCTGACTTTTGTTCTTGAGCTTGCAAGGCTTCTGTAAAAGGAAGAGCAAGACCATCCTATGTGATTATGTTTGTTGTTCAAAAGAGATACCATTTGTATCACCGCGCGCCACCCACCACTCCGTCCTCCTAACTGTCAGAATACCTGTCATTCTATCCATCTATCCATCTTTCCATCTACCTAATGCATGTAATCTCTTTGCTGGTTTTCCAAGGCAAGGTTTCTGTGTAGCCATGGGTGTCCTTGAACTCTGCTCTGTAGACCAGACTGGCCTCAAACTCACAAAGATCTGACTGTGTCTGCCTTTGTTTGCTGGGATTAAAGGATGCACCACCACCAGCTGGTGAAGTTGTAGTCATTCATATCTGATGACTATTTTGCCTGTATGATATATATCTGTGTACTTGTGCATGCTATGCCTGCTGAGGCCACATGAGAGCAGATCACTTGGAACTGGAGTTACAGATGGTTGTGAGCTGTCATGGGGTTTTGGAAAACTGCATCTGGCTACTCTGGAAGTGTCCCTAGTGCTCTGAAATACTGAACCCTCTTTCTGGTACCTAATCATATTTTTTGAGAGTCTCTCACAGTATCTGAATCTCAGCAACATGGACATACTGGCTGACCAGTATGTACCATGGACCCTCCTGAGTCTGACTTTTAAGTGCTGGGATGACAGGCATATTACCCTTTACTTGGCCTTTTACTACGAGTTCTGGGAACTGAAGCAGCTAACAGAGTACTGACCTAACAATTTACCTGAAACTCAAATTCATTAATACATCTACCTATATATCAAGACACAGATCCATGCAACTAAATGCAGTCCATATCAAGAGAACAGCTGACCTCCCAGAAAGTGTCAAAAGAATGTAAAGCTCATGATAGAATCAATGGGACCAAGAAAGATCCCCAAGTTTTGCAGATTAATGTTGAATGTCATCTACCCTCTAAAACAACTTGTCTGTGGACATAGCAGCATAAGGACAGGCACATAGGATAGTCAAGTAGAATCTAGCAACCCCACATTACCCTCCCACACCTCTTTCTAGACAATTTTGTAGGACTGCCTGTTAACATGTGTGTGGTAGTTGGTTAAGTGCAGATTATGTGTGTGCTAGCCTATGGGTGTGAAATAGGTCAACCTCAGCTTTCTTTCCTCATGAAAGACTACCCTTTTTCAAAGGTGTTTTTAATTGCTAATTACACTCCTGCATGGGTGCCTGTGAGCACTTTTAACTGCAGCGAATAGAGGTGTTGGATTTCTTGCAGCTGGAGTGCACAGTGGTTACTTGTGATCTGATTTGGTGCTGAATACCAAACTCCAATCACAAATGCACACACTTAGGATTTCAGAGGTCCAGCTAGGATGTGGTAGCACACACCTATTATGCCAGTACTCAAGAGACATAGGCAGGTGGATCTCTGTGAGTTGGATGTCAGCCTGGTCTACAGCAATAGTTGTAGCACAGCCCGGGCTACACAGAGAAAACTTGTGTTGAAAACCACAAAGAACACAAAGAGCTCAGGGGTCTAATACTTTAGTTAACATTACCAACCATGTGGCTTTAAGTGTATCCCTGTTTACACCCCACCCTGCATGCCAACCTGGGGCCCGTCCCTCATCTTGCCCCTGGTCACTCTGGATTGGTTCTCTGTCTTCTTCTGTTTTACTCAGTGAGTCATCTGCAACAGAGAGGAAGAGAGAGTGCTGTTAACAAGTCACAGTGTAAAAGCTCCGGCCATGAGATGAGAACATTCCTTTTCCAAACTACCAAGGGGAATTAGAGCAAGTCTTGACTCAACTTATGTCCAGCAGAGTCCTCTGGGCCATCAGGAACACCAAATGAATTCATTCAAGTTGACAATAGGAGCGTTGCTGGGAGGCATCACAGATTCTTTACAGAACAGTTTCTTTTTATATAATTCAAGCTGGTCTAGATATTGCTATGCAGACCTTGGTGGCCTTAAAGTCAGACTTGCTGGTGTGTGCTTCCCAATCCAAGCATTGGGGTTCAATGTGTACACTACCAAGACTGGCTCATCAGTAGACTCTTGAATGATTCTTGCTACTCAAAGATGACTCCTGCTACTTGCCCCAAAAACAATATAAATGGATTGATGATCTATTTAAGTTTGCAGGTAGGAAGGGTGATGTTTGGGTAGCCTTAAAACAACTACTCATGTGAACTGGAAAAATCTAGATGCCCCTCAACTGAAGTATGGAAAAGAAAATGTGATACATTTACACAATGGAGGAATAATACTCAGCGGTAGAATTCACTATGTGGGGCTGTAGAGATGGATCAGAGGTTAATTGCCCTGACTGCTCTTCAAGAGGACAGGGGTTCAATTCCCAGTATCCATAGAGCCACAAAAAACTGTCTCTAGCTCCAAGATCTGACACTCTCACACTGAGATACGTGTGGGCAAAACACCAATGCACATAAAATAAAAACAAGTAAATTATTTACATAAGCAACTACTTAGCATCTGAAATGCATGACACAGGAGTTTTAAGATCCACAGAGTGCCTTTTCTTTTGGGTTTTCCAGACAGTTTTCTCAGTGTCTTTGGAGGCTGTTCTCCTTGCACATGCTCTTTAGACCATGCTGGCCTTGAACTCAGAGAACAGCCTGCCTCTGCCTCCTGACTACTGGCATGAAATGTGTGTACCACCATCATCCAGCAGAGTGCCTTTTAAAATAGGATTATGATATCATAAAATGGGTCAAGACTCATTTGTTAAGTACATGACTTGATTGCAGCCAGAACCTCATGAACACGGTATCATTAGAGATTGAGCCAGAGTCTCATGCATCCCAAGCACATACAACCACTAGGGATTGAAGCCAAGTCTCATGTGTGCTGTGCAAATAAAATCACTAGATTTGGAAGCCAGGACCTCATGGTTTTACACTACCACCGGAATTCAAGGCATCATGCGCGCCATGCAGAGACTAGCAAAGACTGAAGCCAGGAAGTCTCATACATGCTAGGACACAGTAATAAAAGAGGCTGAATTGGAGCCTTGGGCATGTTTTGTATACACAACCAATAGGGATCATCCCTGTCTAGGAAAATAGGGAGTGGAAAGTACATGGAAAACATGAGAAAATTTTCAGGCAAAGAGCATCTGTCAGTTTTGAGTGGGTGTAATCAATGTTGGAGTCTTTATAGGTGACGTGGAACTCACAGAGATCCCCCGTCCTCTGGGTCCCTAGTGCAGGGATTAAAGGTATACACCACCGCCTCCTGGCCTTTTTAAAAAAGACAATTCATTATAAAAACACTGTTTTGTATATTTATATATCTCCATGCCAGAAGAGGGCAGCAGATCTCATTCAGAGATGGTTTGGAAGCCACCATATGGTTGCTGGGAACTGAACTCAAGACCCTTGTGAGAGCAATCAATGCTTTTAACCTCTGAGCCATCTTTCCCACCTTCAAGCAAGCTCTTGTAAGCAACTCTGATGAAACCTCCAGTTTGAATGCCATATGATGCTCTTACTCAGCCTGCTTATAGGTTGGCGCAAATAAATATTTTCTTCACCTTTTTCACATGTCTCTGCTACTGCCTCTTGTTCCTCAGCTTGCAAGGCTTCTGTAAAAGGAAGAGCAAAGCCATCGTACATGATCATGTTTTTTGTTCAAAACATATACCAACTGTGTCATCGTTCCCACCCGGGCTTAGGACACGGAGGAAGAGGGGCAGAAAGAATGATCTGGAGGATGGGGATGGGATCTGAGAAACGCTGTGCTCTACACATGTGTGAAACTGCTGTTGCACACATGAAGTCAGGCATCTCTGGTCACCTGTACAAGGCAGAGACAGTAAAAATCCCGTCATATATTAGCTAGGGGCTCTCTGTTTTTTTGCCCATTGCTTAGGGAGTGTCAGCATACGGAGTTCCTTGTGTTTGTGGGTTTGTCGTATGGTTGTTTGTCCATGATGTACGAATGTGTACATGTGTGTACAGGTCCATGTACACATTCAAGTGAATTTAGAAGGTTCTGATGGTGACTTGTGGTGTCTTTCTAAATCACTGTCATCATTTTTAAAGGTGTATCATCTGTCTCCCTGTCTGTCTGTCTGTCTGCCCACATATCTGTCTGTCTGCCTACATGTCCATCTATCCTACTGCCCTCCCACCACTGTGCCCACCTACCTGTCTCTGTCAGTTTACCTGTCCATCTATCCATCTTTCCATCTACCTAATGTATGTAATCTATTTGCTGGTTTTTCAAGACAAGGTTTCTGTGTGTAGCCATGGCTGTCCTGGAACTCCACTCTGTTGACCAGACTGACCTCACACTCACAAAAATCTGAGTGTGTCTGCCTCTGTGTGCTGGGATTAAAGGTGTGCACCACCACCAGCGGGTGAAGTTGTACTTATTTATATCTGATGACTATTTTGCCTGTGTGCTATATGTCTGAGTACTTTGTGCATGCTCTGCCTGCTTATGCCACATGAGAGCAGAGCACTTGGAACTGGAGTTACAGACGGTTGTGAGCTGACCTAGGGGAGCTGAATACTGAATCTGGCTCCTCTGGAAGTATGCCTAGTGCTCTGAAATACTGAACCCTCTTTCTGGTAACTATTCATATTTTCCAGAGTCCTCACAAAATCTGAATCTCAGCAACATGGCTAGACTGACTGACCAGTAAGCACCATTGACCCTCCTGCTTCTGCCTTTTCAGTGCTGGGATGACAGGCACATTCCCCTTTACTTTGCCTTTTAATACAAGTTCTGGCAACTGGAGCAGGTAACTTTGTACTGACTGAGCAATTTATCTCAAACTTAAATTCATTAATACAGCTGCCTATATATCCAAACACAGATCCATGCAACTAAATGCAGGCCATATCAACAGAAAAGATGACCTTCCAGAAAATGTCCAATGACTGTAAAGCTCATGATAGAATCAATGGGACCACTAAAGGTTCCCAAGTATTGCAGAATAATTTTGAATGTCATCTACCCTGTAAAATAATGGAAGTCTGTGGACATAGCGGCAAAAGGACAGGCCCTGAGGATAGTTAAGTAGAATCGAGCAATCCGAAATTACCCTCCCACACCTCTATCTAGACAATTCAGCAGAGTTGGGTGTGCTCATGTGTGTGGTACATGGTTAAGTGCAGGTTATATGAGTGCTTGCCTGTGGGGGAGAAAGGGGTCAACCTTAGCATTCTTTCCCCCTGACAGACTATCCTTTTACAAGGGGCTTTTTAATTGCTAATTACACTCCTGCATTGGTGCCTGTAAACACTTGTAACTGTAGAGAATATAGGTTTTGGATTTCCTGCAGCTGGAGTTCCCAGTGGTTCCAGAGGTCCAGCTGGGATGTGGTAGCACACACCTATTATGCCAGTACTCAAGAGGCATAGGCAGGTGGATCTCTGTGAGTTCGATGTTATCCTGGTCTACAGTGATAGTTGTAGGACAGCCAGGAGTACACAGAGAAAACTTGTGTTGAAAATCAGAAAGAACACAAAGAGCTCCGGGTTCTAATTCCTTAGGTAACACTACAAACTGTGTGACTTTAAATGCATCCATGTTTACACCCCACCCTGCATGCCAACCTGGGGCCTGTCCATCATCTGGCCCTTGGTCACTCTGGATTGGTTCTCTTTCTTCTTCTGTTTTCTTCATTGAGCCATCTGCAAGAGAGAGAAAGAGTGCGCTGTTAACAAGTCACAGTCCAGCTGTGGGATGTAAAAGTTCCAGCTGGGGATGAGAACACTCCATGTGTATTTACCCAATGGAATTATAGCAAGTCTTGACCCAGTTTATGGCCAGAAGACTCCTCTGAGCCATCAGGAGCACCAAGTGAATTCATTCAAGTGGACTACAGGAGCGTTGCTGGGAGGCATCACAGATTCTTTTCAGAACAGGGTCTTTCTATATAATTCAAGCTGGCCTAAATCTTGCTATGTAGACCATGGTGACCTTCAGACTTGCTGGTCTGTGCTCCCTAATCCAAGCATTCGGGTTCAAGTTGTATACTACCATAACTGGCTCATCAGTAGACTCTTGAATTATTCTTGCTGCTTAAAGATGAATACTGCTACTTGACTCAAAAAAAAATAAAAATGGATTCATGATCTACTTATCTTGCAGGTAGGAAGGATGAGGTATGTGTAGCCTTAAAACAACTACTCATGTGACCTGGAAAAACTTTAGATGCCCCTCAACTGAAGTATGGAGAAAATTAAAGAAGTATTACTCAGTGGTAAAATCCACTATGTGAGGCTGTAGAAATGGATCAGAGGTTAAGAGCACTGACTGTTCTATAGAGGACACGGGTTAAATTGCCAGTATCCATATAGCTGCAAATAACTCTCTATAGCTCCAAGATCTGACACCCTCACATATACATAGGTGTAGGCAAAACACCAATGCACATAAAAGAAAAACAAGTAAATTATTGAAATAAGCAACTAATTAGCATCTGAAATGCATGACACAGCAGTTTTAAGAACAGAGTGCCTTTTCTCTTTGGTTTTCGAAACAGGGTTTCTCTGTCTTTGGAGGTTGTCCTCCATGCTCTGTAGACCAGGCTGGCCTTGACCATACAGAGAACAGCCTGCCTCTCCCTCCTGACTGCTGGGATTAAAGGTGTGTACTGCCAACACCCAGCAGAGTGCATTTTGAAATAGGATTATGACATCCTAAAAAAGATCAAGAATCATTCGTTAAATACTAGATTTGATTACAGTCAGAGACTCATGAACACGGTATCATTAGAGACTGAGCCAGAGCCTAATGCATATCAAGCACTTACAACCACTAGGGATTGAAGCCAGGACCTCATGACTTTACACACACTACCACCGGAAGCCAAGACATCATGCATGCCATGCACCGACTATCAGAGCCTGAAGCCAGGAGGTCTCACATGCTAGGACACAGTAATACAAGAGAATGAATGGGAGCCTGAAGCATGTTTTGTATTCAGAACCAATAGGGATCATCAATGTCTAGGAAATACAGGGAGCAGAAAGAACAGGGAAACATGAGGAAATTTTCAGGCAAAGAGCAGCTGTCAGTTTTGAGTAGGTGTAGTCAATGTGGGAGACTTTATAGGTGACCTGGTACTCTCAGAAATCACCCGTCTGGATTAAAGGTGCACACCACCATCTCTTGGCCATTTTTAAAAAGATAATTCATTATGTAAACACTGTTCTGCATACGTGTATATCTCCATGCCAGAAGAGGGCACCAGATCTCATTCATAGATGGTTTGCAAGCTACCATGTGGTTGCTGGGAATTGAACTCAGGACCCCTGTGAAAGCAATCAATGCTCTTAACCTCTGAGCCCTTTTTCCAGCCTTCACCCAAGCTCTTGTAATCAACTCTGATGAAACCTCCTGGTTGAATACCATATGATGCTCTCACTCAGCCTGCTTATGGGTTGGCGCAAATAAATATTTTCTGTACCTTTTTCACATGTCTCTGCTGCTGCCTCTTGTTCCTCACCTTGCAAGGCTTCTGTAAAAGGAAGAGCAAGACCATCCTACATGATTATGCTTGTTGTTCAAAAGAGATACAATGTATGTCAGTGGGTGCCACCCACCCCTCCTTCCTCCTTACTGTCTGTCAGCATACCTGTCAATCTATCCATCTATCCATCTTTCCACGTACCTATTGTATGTAATCTATTTGGTTTTTCAAGACAAGGTTTCTCTGTGTAGCCATGAGTGTCCTGGAACTCCGCTCTGTAGACCATCCTGGCTTCAGACTCACAAAGATCTGACTGTGTCTGCCTCTGTGTCCTGGGATTAAAGGTGTGCACCACCAACACCTGGTGAAGTTGTAGTTATTCATATCTGATTACTCTTTTCTGTATGCTATATGTCTGTGTCCTTTGCATGCTGTGCCTGCTGAGGTCACTTGAGAGCAGATCACTTGGAAGTGGAATTATACATGGTTTTGAGCTGACATGGGTGTACTGAAAACTGAATCTGGCTCTTCTGGAAGTGCGCCTAGTGCTCTGCAATACTTAACCTTCTTTCTGATACCTAATCATATTTTTGAGAGTCTCTCACAAAATTTGAATCTCAGCAACTTGGCTAGACTGGCTGACCCATAAACACCACAGACCCTCCTGCATCTGTCTTTTTGGTGCTGGGATGACAGGCACATTCCCCTTTACTTGGCTTTTTAATGAGAGTTCTGAGAGATGAAGTCAGGTCCCTGTGCAGCTAACTTAGTCCTGATTGAGCATTTAACATCAAACTCACATTGATTAATACAGTTAAGTATATATATATATATATCCAAACACAGATCTATATAACTAAATGCAGTCCATATCAAGGTAATAGCTGACTTCGCAGAAATTGTCAAAAAGCCTGTATAGCTCATAATAGAATCAATGGGACCACAACAGGACCAAGTTTTGAATCAATGGGACCACAACAAGTCCAAGTTTTGCAGATTACTGAAGAATATCATATACCCTGAAAAAACAGGGTGGACATAGTGGCATAAGGACAGGCACATAGGTTAGTAATGCAGAATTGGCAACCTCAAATTTCCCTCCACACCTCTATCTAGACAATTCAGTAGAATTGTGTGTACACTTGTGTGTGGTACATGGTTAATGCAGGTTATGTGTGCTTGCCTGTTTGGGAGAAAGAGCTCAACCTTAGCTTTCTTTCCCCCTGAAAGACTAACCTTTTAAAAGGGGCTTTTAAATTGCTAATTATACTCCTGCATGGTTGCCTGTTAGCACTTGTAACTGCAGAGAATAGAGGTGTTGGATTTTCTTGGAGGTGGAATTCCCAGTGGTTACGTGTCATCTGATGTGGTGCTGAGAACCAAACTGCAATCCCACATGCACACACATAGGAATTCAGAGTTCCAGCTAGGATGTGGTAGCACACACCTATTATGTCAGTACTCAAGAGGCATAGGCAGGTGGATCTCTGTGAGTTCGATGTTAGCCTGGTCTACAGCGATAGTTGTAGCACAGCCAGGACGACACAGAGAAAACTTGTGTTGAAAATCAGAAAGAACACAAAGAGCTCATGGATCTAATTCCTTAGGTAACACTATAAACCATGTGGCTTTAAGTGGATCCATGTTTACTCTCAACATTGCATGCAAACCTGGGGCTTGTCCCTCCTCTGGCCCTTGGTCACTCTGGATTGGTTCTCTATCCTCTTCTGGGGTACTCATTGATTCATCTGCAACAAAGAGGAAGAGAGACTGCTGTTAATAAACCACAGTCGAAAAGTTCCAGCTGGGGATGAGAACTCTCCATATCCAAACTACCAAGGGAATTAGAGCAAGTCTTCACTCAGTTTATGCCCACAAGAGACCTTTTGGGACACCATGAACACCAAGTGAATTCATTCAATTGGACAACACTAGCATTGCTGGGAGGCATCACAGACTCTTTTGTGAACATGGTCTTACTATATAATTCAAGCTGGCCTAGATCTTGCTATGTGGACCAAGGTGGCCTTGACTCAGAACTGCTGGTCTGTGCTTCCCAATCCAAGCATTGGGGTTCAAGTTGTACACTACTCTGAATGGCTCATCAGGAGTCTCTTGAATGATTCTTGCTACTCAAAGATGACTCCTGTTACTTGCATCAAAAACAATAAAAATGGATTCATGATGTACTTAAGCTTGCAGGTAGGAAGGGTGAGTTTTGGGTAGCCTGAAAACTACTCATGTGACTTGGAAAAAAATCCAGATGCCCCTTAACTGAAGTATGGAGAAAAAAATGTGGTACATTTACACAATGGAGTAGTACTCAGTGGTAAAATCCACTATGTGGGGCTGCAGAGATCAATCCGAGTTTAAGAGCACTGACTGCTCTTTCAGAGGACAGGGGTTCAATTCCCAGTATACATATAGCAGGAAACAACAGTATGTAGCTCCAAGATCTGAAACCCTCACACTGACATACATGTAGGAAAAACACCACTACACAAAATAAAAAACCATGTAAATTATTTAAGAAAGCAACTACTTATCCTCTGAAATGCATGACATAGGAGTTTTAAGATCAACAGAGTGCCTTCTCTTTTGGGTTTGTGAGACAGGGTTTCTTTGTGTCTTTGGAGGCTGTCCTCCTAGCACTCGCTCTGGAGAGCAGGCTGGCCTTGAACTCACAGAGAACAGCCTGCCTCTGCCTCCTGACTGCTGGGATTAAATGTGTGCAGCACCAACAAACTGCAGATTGCCCTTTAAAATAGGATTATGACGTCATAAAAAAGATGAAGAATCGTTTGTTAAGTACTAGACTTGATTGCAGCCAGAGACTCATGAACTCGTTATCATTAGAGATTGAGCCAGAGCCTCATGCATACCAAGCACATACAACCACTAGGGATTGAAGCCAAGTCTCATGTGTGCTGTGCACATACAATCACTAGATATTGAAGTCAGGACCTCATGACTTTACACACTCTACTACTGGAAGCCAAGGCATCATGCCAGACATGCACAGACTAGCAGAGGCTGAAGCAAGGAGGTCTCATACATGCTAGGACACAGTAATACAAGAGAGTGAATGGGAGCCTGAGGCATGTTTTGTATACACAACCAATAGGGATCATCAATGTCTAGGAAATACAGGGAGCAGACAGTACATGGAGAATATGAGGAAATTAGGCAAAGAGCAGCTGTCAGTTTTGAGTACATGTAGTCAATGTGGGAATCTTTATAGGTGACCTGGAACATACAGAGATTCCCTGTCCTCTGTGTCCCTAGTGTAGGGATTAAAAGTGTGCACCACCACCTCTTGGCCATTTTAAAAAAGTTAATTCATTATATAAATACTGTTCTGCCTACATGTGTATCTCCATGCCAGAAGAGGGCACCAGTTCTCATTCCTGGTTGGTTTGCAAGCCTCCATGTGGTTGTTGTGAATTGAACTCAGGACCCCTGTGAGAGCAATCAATGCTCTTAACCTCTGAGCCATCTCTCCAGCCTTTTCTCAGGCTCTTTTAAGCAACCCTGATCAATCCTCCTGTTTGAATGCCATATGATGCTGTCACTCAGCCTGCTTATAGGTTGGCGTAAACAAGTATTTCCTTCACCTTTTTCACATGTCTCTGCTGCTGCCTGTTCCTCAGCTTGCAAGACTTCTGTAAAATAAAGAGAAAAACCATCCTAAATGATTATGTTTGTTGTTCAAAAGAGATACCATCTGTGTCAGCGTCCCCACCCAGGCTTATGACTCTGAGGAAGATGGGTAGAAAGGAAGAGCTGGAGAATGCGGAGCTGAGTTGAGAAATGCTTTGCTCTACACATGTGTGAAACTGCTGTAGTACACATGAAGTCAGTCATGTCTGGTCCTCTGTACAAGACAGGGACAGTATCAAATCCTGTCATATATTGGCTAGGGGCTGGATGTTTTGCGGATAGTTGAGGGAGTGTCAGCATTTGGAGTCACTTTTGTTGGGGGCATGAGGTATGGTTGCTTTTCCATGATGAATGAATGTGTACATGTGTGTTCAGTTCTGTGTATACATTTAAGAACATGTATCAGGTTCCGATATTGACTTTTGGTGTCTTTCTAAATCACTCTCATTCCTTCTTTTAAAAGATGTATCATTTGTGTTTCTGTATACCTGTCCACCCCTCCGTCCCTCCACCCCTCCGTCCCTCCACCCCTCCGTCCCTCCACCCCTCCGTCCCTCCACCCCTCCGTCCCTCCACCCCTCCGTCCCTCCACCCCTCCGTCCCTCCACCCCTCCGTCCCTCCACCCCTCCGTCCCTCCACCCCTCCGTCCCTCCACCCCTCCGTCCCTCCACCCCTCCGTCCCTCCACCCCTCCGTCCCTCCACCCCTCCGTCCCTCCACCCCTCCGTCCCTCCACCCCTCCGTCCCTCCACCCCTCCGTCCCTCCACCCTCCGTCCCTCCACCCCTCCGTCCCTCCATACATCCATACAAACTATCTAATCTACCTAATGTATTGCTGTTTTTTTCAAGTTAGGATTTCTCTGTGTATTCATGGCTGTCCTCACTCTGTAGTCCAGTCTGGCCTCAAACACACAAAGATCTTAGTGTTGTACCCTCCAAGTGGTGAGTTTAAAGGCATGCACCACCACCACAGCTGTTGAAGATGTAGTTTTTATTTTTCATGACTATTTTCCTGTATGTTATGCCTGTGTACTTTGTGCATGGGATGTCTGCTGAGGCCCCATGAGAGCAGATCCCTTGGAACTGGAGTTACAGATGTTTCTAAGCCAACATGGGGGTGCTGAATACTGAATCTGGGTCATATTTAAATGTGCCCAGTCCTCTGAAATGCTGAGTCCTGTCTCTAGTTCCTAATCATGTTTTTGAGATTCTCCCATTAAATCTGAATCTTAGCAATATGGCTAGACTGGCTGGCCAGCAAGCACCATGGACCCTCCTGTGTCTGCCTTTTAAGAACTGGGATTACCATCACATAACCCTTTACTTGGCCTTTAATATGAGTTCTGGGAGCTGAAATCAGGTCCTTGTGCTGCTAACATAGTCTTGACTGAGCATTTAACATCAAACTCAAATTGATTAATACAGCTACCTATATATATCTATATATATAGGTCCATACAACTAAATGCAGTCCATATCAAGAGAACAGCTGACCTCCCAGAAATTGAAAAAAAAGACTGTAAAGCTCATGATAGAATCTATGGGACCACAAAAGGTCCCCAAGTTTTGCAGATTAATGTAGAATATCATATACCCTGCAAAAACAGAGGACATAGCGGCATAAGGACAGGCACATAGGTTAAACAGAATTGAGTAACCCCAAATTACCCTCCCACACCTCTATCTAGACAATTCAGCAGAATTGCATGTGCTCACGTGTGTGGTATATGGTTAAGTGCAGGTTATGTGTGTGCTTGCCTGTGGGGGTGAAAGAGGTCAACCTTAGGTTTCTTTCCCCCTGAAAGACTACCCTTTTAAAAAGGGCTTTTTAATTGCTTACTACATGCCTGCATGTTTGCTGCGAGCACTTGTAAGTGCAGAGAATAGAGGTGTTGGATTTTCTTGGAGCTGGAGTTCCCAGTGGTTATGTGTCATCTGATGTGGTGCTGAGAACCAAACTCCAATCCCACATGCACACACATAGGAATTCAGAGTTCCAGCTAGGATGTGGTAGCACACACCTATTATGTCAGTACTCAAGAGGCATAGGCAGGTGGATCCCTGAGTTCGCTGTTAGACTGGTCGACAGCAATAGTTGCAGGACAGCCAGGACTACACAGAGAAAACTTGTGTTGAAAATCACAAAGAACACAAAGAGCTCAGGGGTCTAACACTATCAACCATGTGGCTTTAAGTGTATCCATGTTTATATGTCACCCTGCATGCCAACCTGGGGCCTGTCCCTCATCTGGCCCTTGGTCACTCTGGATTGGTTCTCTGTCTTCTTCTGGGTAACTCATTGAGTCTTCTGAAAGAGAGAGGAAGAGAGAGCACTGTTAATAAGTCACATTCTAAGTGCTCCAGCTGGGCATGAGAATGCTCTATGTCCAAACTACTGAGGGGAATTATAGCAAGTCTTGACCCAGTTTATGCCTGGAGGAATCTCCTAGGCCATCATGAGCACCAAGTGAATTCATTCATGTGGCTAGCAGGAGGGTTGCTGGGAGGCCTTACAAACTATTTTGAGACAGGATCTTACACTATATAATTCAGCGTGGCCTTGAACTCAGATCTACTGGTGTCAACTTCTGAATCCAAGCATTGGGGTTCAAGTTGTACACTACCATGCCTGGCTCATCACTAGACTCTTGAATGGTTCTTGCTACTCAAAGATGACTCCTGCTTCTTGCCTCAAACACAACAACAAAAATGAATTAATGATCCACTTAAGTTTTTGGCTAACAAGACTGAGGTTTGTGTAGCCTTAAAACAACTACTTAGGTAACCCAGAATCAACCTAGATGCCGTTCGACTGAAGTATGGATAAAGTAAATGTGGTATATTTACACAATGGAATACTACTCAGCGGCAAAAAACAACTACTTAGGGCTGGAGAGATGGATCAGAAGAGCAAGTTAAGACTGCTCTTCCAGAGGTCACAGGTTGAATTCCCAGTATGCATATAGCCACAATCAACTGTCTGTAACTCCAAGATCTGACACCCCACACAGACATAGGTGTAGGCAATACACCAATGTGCATAAAATAAAAACAATTATTTAAATAACCAACTATGTAGTATTTGAAATGCATGACACAGGAGATTCAAGATCAACAGGGTGCCTTTTTTTTGGTTTTTACGAGACAGGGTTTCTCTGTATTGTTTTGGAGGCTATCGGTCTGGCCCGGCCTCGAACTCACAGAGTTCCACCTGCCTCTGCCTCCCGAGTGCTGGGATTAAAGGCGTGCGCCACCACCGCCCGGTGACATGGTGCCTTTTTAAATAGGATTATGTCATCATTTTAAAAAACCAAGAAATATTTGTGAGTATTAGACCTGATTGCAGCCAGACTCATGAACATGGTATCATTAGAGATTGAGCCAGAGCCTCATGCATGATAAGCCCATACAACTAGTAGGGATTGAAGCCAGGAACTCATGACTATACACAACTTCCAGAAGCCAACACATCATACATGCCATGCACACACTACCAGAGACTGATGCCATGGTCTCTTTTGTGCTAAGTACACAGCAATACAACAGACTGATTCAGAGCCTCATGCATTCTTTCTATACACAGCTACTAGGGATCATCAATGTCTAGGAAGCACAGAATGCAGAAAGATCACGGAAAACTTGAGCAAACAGCCAGGCAAACAGCAGTTGTAAGTTTTGAGTAGGGGGCATCATTGTGAGAGTCTTATAGCTGACCTGGAACTCACAAAGATCCACCTGACTCTGTATCCCTAGTCTGGGATTTAAGGCATGCACCACCATAAAATCACAGAAGAATACTTTCCTAAACTGAAGAATGACATGGTTATGAAAGTGCAAGAAGCTTACCAAACATCAAAAAGACTCAACAAAAAAATTGTTCCCTTGACACATTAAAGTCAAAACACCAAACTTACAGAATCAAGAAAGACTATTAAGAGCAGTGAAAGCAAAAGGCCAGGTAACATATGAAGGCAAACCTATCAGAATCACACCTGACTTCTCCATGTTAACTCTGAAAGCCAGGAGGTCCCGAATAGATGTTCTACAAACATAAGAGATCATGTATGCCAGTCCAGACTACTATACCCAGCAAAATTCTCAATCACTATATATGGAGAAAACAAGACATTCCATGACAAAACCAGATTTACACAATACATGTGCATAAATCCAGCCTTGCAGAAAGTTCTGGAAGGAAAATTCCAACCCAAGGAAGTTAACTACACTCTCAGGAACATAGGCAATAGATAGACACACTTTACCAAAAGCAAGAAAAAGGGAAAAAATCACACACAATACAAACACCAAAACCAGATCCAAAACAAACAAGAATCAAAGCTGAATGGTCATTAATATCCCTCAATGGTCTTAACTCACCTATAAAAAGACAAAGGCTAACAGAATGGACACAAAGGCAGAATCCATCCTTCTGCTACATAAAAGAAACAAACCTTACCTTCAGAGACAGATGTAACCTCAGAGTTAAGGGTCAGGAAAAGATTTTCCAAGGAAATGGCCCTAAGAGGCAAGCTGGTGTAGCTATCCTAATATCCAACAAGTTAGACTTCAAACTAAAATTAAAAGAGACGAAGAAGGTCATTACACATTCATCACAGGAAAAATCCATCATGATGAAGTCTCAATTCTGAATACCTATGCACCATGACAAAGGCATCCACATTTGGAAAGAAACATTACTAAAACTTAAATCATACATTAAACCCCACACACTTATAGTGGGAGACTTCAACACCCCCACTCTCACCACTAAACAGGAAAACCAGACAGAAACTAAAGAAACCAAAAGTAACAGAATTTATGACCCAACTGGGTTTAACAGATATCTATAGAACATTACATGCAAACACAAAAGAATATAGATTCTTCTCAGCACCACATGGAACCTTCTCTAAAACTGACCACATACTGAGCAATAGAGCAAACCTCAACAGATAAAAATTGCAATAACGCCTTTATCTTGTTGGGCCACTATGGCTTAAAATTAAAATTCAACGAAAACACAAATTGCAGAAACCCACAAGCTCATGTAAATTGAACAATTCTCAATTGCATCACTAAAGAAATAATCAGAGACTTCCTAGAATTCAGTGAAAATGAAGGTACAACATATCCAAACCTATGGGACACTTTGAAAGCAGTGCTAAGAGGAAAGTTCAAAGCACTAAATGCCCACTTGAAGAAACTGGAGAATAGCCAAACTAGAGAATTAACTGAACACCTGAAAGCTATAGAACTAGAAACTCACCCACGAGAAGTAGGCACCAGGAAATAATCAAATTGAGAGCTGAAATCAATAAAGTAGAAACAACGAAAACAATACAAAGAATCCATGAAAGAAAGTTGGTTCTTTGAAAGAAGCAACAAGATACACAAACCTTTACCCAAACTAACCAAAAGGCAGAGAGAGAGAACATGCAAATTAACCTAATTAGAAATGAAAAGGGGACCATAACAACAGGCACTGGAGAAATCCAGAGAATCATCAGGTCATATTTTGAAAACCTATACTCCCCAACTTGGAAAATTTAAAGGAAATGGACATTTTTCTGTATATATATCACTTACCCAAATTAATCAAGGATAAGCAATTTAAATTGACCTATAACCCCTACGAAATAGAAACAGTCATTAAAAGTCTCCCAACCCCCCCCCAAAAAAAAAACTCAGGGCCAGATGGTTTTAGTACAGAATTCTACCAGAAATTCAAACAAGAGCTAATACCAATACTCCCTAAATTGTTTCACACAATAGAAGCAGAAGATCATTGCCAAACTCTTTTTATGAGGCTACAATTACCTTGGTACCAAAAATACACAAAGACACAACTAAGATTGAGAACTAAAGACCAGTCTCACTCATGAACATTGATGCAAAAATGCTCAATAAAATACTGGCAAATTGGATACAAGAAAGCATCAGAAAAAATCATCTGCCATGATCAAGTAGGCTTCATCCCAGGGATGCAGGGATGGTTCAACATACAAAAATCCATCAATGTAACCCATCACATAAACAATATGAAAAAGAAAAACCACATGATCATATCACTAGATGCTGAAAATGTCTTGGCCAATACAACACCCCTTCATGATAAATGCCTTGGACAGATCAGGGATAACAGGAACATACCTAAACTTAATAAAGGAAATATATAGCAAACCGAAAGCCAACATTAAACTAAATTGAGGGAAAATCAATGCAGTTCCTCTAAAATCAGTAACAGGACAAGGTTGTCCACTCTATCTCTTCAATACTGTACTTAAATTCTTGCTAGAGCAATACAACAAAAGGAGATCAAAAGGAATACAAATTGGAAAGGAAGAAATCAGACTTTCACTATTTGCAGATGATATGATAATTTACATAAGTGACCCAAAGAATTATATCCATGGAACTCCTACAGCTGATAAACACCTTTAGCAATGTTGCAGGATACAAGAGTAACTCAAAAAATTAATAGCCCTAATATATATAGACAATAAAGGCGCTATGAGAGAAATCAGTGAAACATCACCCTTTACAATAGCCACAAACAGCATAAAATATCTTGGGGTAACTCTAACCAAACAGGTGAAAGACCTGTATGACAAGAACTTTGAGTCATTAAAGAAATTAAAGAAGTTTCCAGAAAATGGAAAGATCTCCCCTGCTCTTGGATAGGTAGGATCAATGTAGTAAAAATGGCAATCCTGCCAAAAGCAATCTACAGATTCAATGCAAGACTTATCAAAATCCCAGCACAATTCTTCACAGACCTTCAAAGGACAATACTCAACTTTATATGGAAAAACAAAAGATCCAGGATAGTAAAAACAACCCTGTACAATACAGGAACTTTATGAGGCATCACCATCCCTAAATTCAAGCCCTACTATAGACCTATAGTAATTAAAAAAGCTTGGTATTGGCACAAAACAGAGAGGCAGACAATGGAATTAAATTGAAGACCCTGATATTAACCCACACACCTATGAACACCCAATATTTGACAAAGAAGCTAAAACAATACAATGGAAAAAAAGCATGTTCAATAAATGGTGCCGGCCTAACTGGATGTGGACATGTATATTAAAAACGGATACATATCTATTACCATGCACAAACTGAAGTTCAAATGGAACAAAGATCTCAAAAATCCAGCCACACGAACTTCTTAGAAGTGGGAGGTACTGTTGAATGAATTAGCACAGGAGACCACTTCCTGAACATAACTCCAGTAGCACAGACAGTAAGAACAATTAATAAATAAGACCACCTGAAACTGAGAAGCTTCCATAATGCAAAGGACACAGTCAGCAAGACAAAAAAGGCAGCCCACAGAATGGGAAATATATTCACTAACCCCACATCTGACAGAGAGTTGATCTCCAAAATTTACAAAGAACTCAAGAGGTAAGTCTCCAAAACACCAAAGGATCCAATTAAAAAGTGGGCTGCAGAACTAAATAGAGAATTTTCAATAGAGGAGTCTAAAATGGCTGAGAGGCACTTAAGAAAGTGCTCAACATCCTTAGCCGTTAAAGAAATGCAAATCAAAACAACTCTGAGATACCATCTCACTCCTGTCAGAATGGCTAAAATCAAAAACACCAATGACAGTTTATGCTGGAGAGGATGTGGTGAAAGGGGAACACTCCCCCACTGCTGGTGGGAGTGCCAACTTGTACAGCCACTTTGGAAATCAGTATGGAGATTCTTCAGGAAAATGGGAATCAATCTACCACAAGACCCAGCAATTCCACTCTTAGGCATATATCCAAAAGATGCACATTCATACAACAAGGACTTCTCTTCCACTATATTCATAGCAGCATTATTTGTAATAGCCAGAACCCAGAAACAACCTAGATACCCCTCAACTGAAGAGTGGATAGAGAAAATGTGTTACATTTACACAATGGAGTACTATTCAGCAGAAAAAACAATGGAATCTTGAAATTTGCAGGCAAATGGATGGCACTAGAAGCAACCATGCTGAATGGGGTAACCCAGTTACAGAAAGACAAATATGGCATATACTCACATATATATGGATTTTAGACACAGAACAAAGGACTACTCACCTACAATTCACACCTACAGAGAGAAGCTAGGAATCCAGGAAAACCATAAGAGAGAGATACAAGGTTCTCCCAGTGAAGGGGAAAAAACAAGAGTCCCTGAACAAATTGGGAGCATCGTGGGAGGGAGGTAGGAGAACGAGGAGGGGAGAAAAGAAGCTGGGAGGAGAACATGAGGAGATCAGGAATATTGAGTGGGGAGAGGAACAGAGGAGAGCAAGAATTGAGACAATAGAGGGAGCCACTATAGGTTTAAAGAGAAATCTGGCACTAGGGAATTGTACAGAGACCTACAAGGATAACCCCAACTAGGAACCTAAGAAATAGTGGAGAGGCTACCTTAAATGCCCTTCCCCTATAATGAGATTGATGACTACTTTAAATGCCATTCTAGAACCTTCATTCAGTAGCTGATGGAAGTTGAAGCAGAGATCTGCAGCTAAGCACTGAGCAAACTCCTGGAATCCAGTTTCAGAGAGGGAGGAGTGATGAACAAAGGATCAAGACCAAGCTGGGAAATCCCACACAAACAGTTGACCTGAGCAAGTGGGAACTCACGGACCCCAGACTGATAGCTGAGAAACCAGCATAGGACTAAACCAGGTCCTCTGAATGTGGGTTTCAGCTAGGAGGACTGGCAGTGTATGAGGCCTCTGGCAGATGAACCAGGATATATCCCTATGCACGAATGGACTTCAGGTCTCATTTCCCATGGAGGGATACTCTCTTAGCCTAGATACACAGGGGAAGACCTAGGCCCTGCTCCAAACAACTTGACAGATTTTGATGATCCCTCATGGAAGACCTCACCCTCCTGGGGAGTGGATGGAGAATGAGATGAGGGTGTCGGTGTGGGGCATAGGAGAATGGGTGAGGAAACTGGAATTGATATGTAAAATAAGATTGTTTCCAATAAAATTTATTAAAACCCCAAACAATAAAACCAAACCAAAACCCAAAAATACCTATAAAATAAACCAACCCCTCCAAAATCCCATCAAATAGTGGAAAATAAAACTGACAACACAAAAAAAAACCAGTCCCCCAAAAGAACCAAGCCACGAAACTCAATGACGTGGATTGGTTAACTTGAGACATAGAATGAAGAATACCTTTCACAGTTCTACTAATTCATAATGGCAACCGGCAAGTTCACCTTAGTACAATAAGCAAAAGACTGAGCAACTCAAACAACTGTCTGTGGCTTCCAGTTTCACTTAAAGTCATTATTATTCACAGCATTAAGGATTGTAGTGATGCATTTTTTTTTGACACCAAGCTGAGAGTATCTTCAACGCCATCGTAGGCATGGCTATTGTGGTGCCTGTGAAGAGCAGTCCCTACGTCAGTGGACAGAAACAGGTACCAGTGGTTAGGGGATTGGGCAACACAGCTAACTTTTTTCAAAATAAAAAATCAGAATTTTATCAGACATGCAAAGCACAAGAATCTAAACACAATGAAGTAATGCCCTTAAAATAGTACAAAACACTATTTCCAAGCTAGAATTTTATTTCCAAGCTAGCCACTATGTGCAAGAATAAAATAAACTCACTTGCAATTCATGGGCTTCCCAGACATTCCAGTTGATGAAGTGCAACAAAGCTAACTTCTAAGTGCAAATGACACCCAGCCTTGCTGAGAGTAGCAAAGACCACTTAGGACTTGATCAGTGACACATGGGTTCATTTAGTCCCTGGGAGGCTCTGCACCCTTGGGACACACCCAGCTGTCCATCAGTAGAAGCAAGAGCCTCATGTGTAGGAGGCTAAACAGCTTGTGCAGCTGAGCAGCCTCCCTCTGGGTCATCATGATCAACACCTGCTGAGGGGCGTGGACACAAAGATCAGCCAAGGGCAGGGAGAACTCCTGACATCCTCACGTCAGTTCCTTGCTATGATGCCCACTGAAAGGCAATGCCATCCTAACCATTTTAATAAAAGCTAACAAATGTGCTTGAGGGTGTTTTCTCCATACTCATGGGTGAGGGACAGTCCCCCAAAGCACTGATGACCATCAAACATTGAAGTCTATATGTTTGTTAGTCAGAACTGAATGCTTGGTGAACGTAGTTCACACCTGTAATCTCAGTAATTTAGGGGTTGGCGGGTTGGTTGGTCTCAGTTTCACAAGATCTTGTCTCTAAAAGCCAAAATAAATAGAAGAAATTAAAGAACAGACAAATGAAAACACAAAAAACCCCTAGGTGGCTAGGCATCTCTCCATAGGAAGAATGTTGACTTCAGTGTGATTATTAAATTAAAGAAATATTAGCTGGGTGTGGTGGTGCAAGCCTTTCATGTCAGAATTGGGAGGCAGAGGAAGGTGGATCTCTTGAGTTCCAAGGCCAACCTCGACTATATAGAGTGACCAGTCACAAAAATTTATGAGCATAATTTAATGCTCACAATTTAAATTGTTACATTTTTATTAAAATTAAGATTTTTTTCTAGAGATTTTGAAATATGGAAACCAAAAAAGCTAAACAGGAACAAACAAATCTCTCAACTATTGGGTGAAAATTCAGTCTATGAAGGCTAAACATTGCATTCACACAACTTTAGTTAGATATATACATAGATCTCACCCCTTGGCATTCTCCCTGAATGGCCAAAGAAAAAGGAGTTCCTTGGGTAAATGCTTTAACAGGGTGGAAGGCAAGGACTTACACTTTTTAGAATGGCGTGATAGCAAAGTCTTCTCCCTAAAAGGGACTCTTGCTGGCTTTTTGTTTGTTTGTTTTTTTTTATAGGGGAAGGGTTTTACAGTACCTCATTTAATTTCATATAAGCAAAAAAAACCCACACACAATGTTGTCCTTAATCCAGGGTTCAAAACTTATGTGCTTCGAAGCAATTTATAGCTTTATACCTTGGGTTAAAGTACTTTAGAACATCCCAGAGTTCTTAATGGATCAGAATGGAAGACACCAACCTCCCTCCTCCCCCACCAGAACACACAGTTGAGAAAACAGATTCAGCTGAGACACTTTGGGGGAAAACTGAGGGGGTTGGGCATGAGGAAGCATGGAGGACTGAAAGCTGCCCTGGTTTTCTGCAGAGTGAAATCTTTTAAAAACAAACATAAAACCCCAAACAGTAACAACAACCACAACAAAAAAACATCAGTTTCCTTTACCCTGCATTCCCACTATCATTCCTGCCTTCCCAGACACACCCATTCAGCCCCGAGTGTCTAGATTGATTTGATAGAAGCAAGGAAAGCTGCAGGGCTCAGCGGTAAGGACGCCCACTGCATGCCCGAGGACACAAGTTTGACCCCCAGAACCCACATCGTGGGAGGGGAGAAGCATGTCTTGCATGCTGTCCCATGACCCCCACATGGGTGCATCCAGATACATGGAACATAAAGAGCGCAGGGCTTCAAATCTCTTTCAAATTGGTCAACGTTCCATTCAGATTTTCTCACTTGGCAACCGCAACAAACAATCCTCCAGGTCATATAGCAACTCTCAAACCATAAGTCACAGTGGTTCATGAGCCTCGCAGTTAACCCAGCAACAACCCAGACTCCCATAAAATGTGGCCCTGACATCAGCTCACCCCCAGCCAGCTGCATGTCTCCAGTTAACATCCAGGTCTGGGAGGGGCAAAGGACCTTCCTAAATGCCCCACTGTCCAGGTTGTATGATAAACAAACTTGGGGTGACATGATCTTTTCCCCCCACGCGGTCCTTAGGCCCCTTAGCTCTCTCTGGTTTAAAGATAGCAGGGGTTGGGGGAGTCAGAGCAAGTTAACTGGCCTGAGAGAGGAGGTGACAATCCAGAGAACCAGCTGGAACCGAGGTGGAAGTAACCCAAAAGCTCACCTTCAAGCGCGGAGCCTCCTTTCTGCAAAGGGACAACCACTGCAAGAAGAGAGCCCCTCTGTCTCCACTCCACACCCGGGTGGTGACAGCCTTTGAGGCAGATCAGGCTAGCGAGTGCTTAATGCCCATTGGCTGCAAGTTCTGACTGGCCCTCCCTAGTAGACCCGGAGCAGCTGTGCTGGAGAGCGAACATTGGCATCCTCCCATCCCTCGGCCTGCAGCTGCTCAGGGGAAGGTCATCTACCCCACCCCCATGAGCTTGTACTCTTATTATTCTTAAGATTTAAAACATGCATGTGTGTATGCACGGAGGCCAGAAGAGGGTATGGGATCCCTTGGGGTTGTATGAATTTGGGTGCTGGGGGCCCAGCTAAAGTCCTCTGCTTACACCCACGGCTCAAGGCTCATAACCACGGATCTACTTGTCCAGATGAAGAGTCATTCTTACCAGCGAGCACAGAACCTGGGATATTCACAAACTCCACTGGGTGTTTCTGAGAAGCATGTATTCGGGGTCCTCACCTTTTACAAATGTAGCCTGGAAGTAGTGCTTAGCATTTACAGGTTTTTAAAATTTTACTGCAAGCTGACAATCATAATCCGGTGTGTGTGTGAAGTACAAAATGGCATTAAGTGTTTCGGTGTGAGATGACTAATTAAGCTAAATATCATTTTGGAATACTTATGTCATGGGGGTGAACTTGACATTTATCTTTAGCAAATTTTGAAATCTTCTTTGGGTTGGCAGGGGTTTCAAGACAGGGTTTCTCTGTGTAGCCCTGGTTGTCTTGGAACTCAGTAGACCTGGATAGTCTTAAATTCAGAGATCTCCCTGCCTCCCGAGTCCTGGGATGTATATGTCCGTGTATGTGTGTCTGTGCCTCTGTGTGTGTGTACTCGAATGTGCATGTAGAAGCCAGTGGTCAGCTTTGCCTGTCGTTCCCCAGGTGCTGTTTATTTCTTAAAGAATTTATTTTTGTTTTATGTGTATTAGTGTATTCTGCCTGCATGTATGTTTGTACTGTGTGTGTGCGTGCCTGTGTGTGTGCGTGTATAGTGCCCAGAGCGGTCAGAAGAGGGCATCAAATGCCCTGGAACTGAACTGGATTCATTGGTGGCTGTGACCTGCCACATGGTTGAGGGGAGGAACTGAGCCCAGGTCCTCTGCAAGAACAGTACAGTAAGTGCTCTTAACCACTGAGCCATCTTCCGGTTCCCCATTTTTAATGATAGTATCCCAGACTGGCTTGGGGGCACACAACCCCCTCCTTTTTATTCATGGGTTATGGGGCTTGAACTCCGGTCCTCAGGCTTGCACAGTGAGCACTGTACAGTTTGAGCCATTACCATGGACCCTACACTATATTATTCTTAATTTTAAAAACTTACATTTACTTAGCATGTTCTTGTTTGCGTGCATGTGTCTGTGTGTCACTGTGTGCGTGTGTATATGAGTGTGCACATGCATGCAGGTGAATGTGTGTATGTCTCTCAGGGAACAGTTTGATTCTCTTCTTCTACCATTTGAGACCCAGGGATTGAACTCAGGTCATCGGGTTTGACAGCAAGCACCTTTATCCATTAAGCCATCTTGCCAGTCTGAATTATCCCTAAATATAGTTGCTTCATCTCGTAGCAGACCTCCTACTTACTTGAAACATTACACCTTCTACTTTCAAATCCCTTTCTCCACAGCCTCTGCTAACTACATTCTGCTTCTGAGTTCAACTGTCCTGTTGACGACATGCAGTGTTTGTCTTTCTGTGTCTATTGTACTTCACTGAGTACAATGATATATATATATATATATATATATATACATATATATATGTATAATTTTAAATTTTAAATTATAAACAAGGTTGTTTCACATGTGAATTCCAGGTCCCTCTCCCTTTCCCTCCCCTCCTCCCGTGCCCTCCCACCAACCCCGCAATATTCCCTCATTTTCATTGTCATATGGCAATGGCTAGAACTTCAAGTACAATATTGAAAGTTATGGAGAGAGTGGACAGCCTTGTCTTATTCCTGATTTTAGCGGAATTGCGTTGAGTTTCTGTCCATTTATTTTGATGTTGGCTGTTGGTTTGCTGTATATAGTTTTTATTATGCTTAGGTATGTTCCTGTTATCCCAGATCTCTCCAAGACCTTTATCATGAAGGGGTGTTGGATTTTGTCAAAGGCTTTTTCAGCATCTAATGAGATGATCATGTGATTTTTGTTTCTCAGCTTGTTTATATGGTGGATTACGTTGATGGATTTTCGTATGTTGAACCATCCCTGCATCCCTGGGATGAAACCTACTTGATCGTGGTGAATGATTGTTTTGATGTGTTCTTGGATCCGATTTGCCAGTATTTTATGGAGTATTTTTGCATCAATGTTCATGAGGGATATTGATCTGAAGTTCTCTTTCTTAGTTGTGTCTTTGTGTGGCCTGGGGAATCAAGGTTATTGAAGCCTCATAGAAAGAATTTGGCAAAGACCCTTCTACTTCTACTGCATGGAATACTTTGAGAAGCATATGTATAAGCTGTTCTTTGAATTTCTGGTAGAATTCTGCACTGCGGGCATCTGGACCATCTGGGCATTTTTTGGTTGGGAGACTTTTGATGACTGCTTCTATTTCCATAGAGTTATAGGTCTATTTAAATTGCTTATCTGTTCTTGATTTAGTTTGGCATGTGATAGCTATCCATGAAGTCATCCATTTCCTTTAAATTTTTGAATTTTGTGGAGTACAGTTTTCAAAGTATGACTTTATGGTTCTCCGAATTTCCTCAGAGTCCATTGTTATGTCCCCCTTTTCATTTCTGATTTTGTTAATTTGCATGTTGATGCTCTGCTGTTTGGTAAGTTTGGACAAAGGTTTGTCTATCTTGTTGATTTTCTCAAAGAACCAACTCTTCATTGCATTAGTTCTTTGTCTTGTTTTCCTAGTTTCCACTTTATTGATTTCAGCCCTCAATTTGATTATTTCCTGGCGTCTACTCCTCCTGGGGAATTTGCTGCTTTGTGTTCTAGAGCTTTCAGCTGTGCTGTTAATTCTCTAGTATAACTATCCTCCAGTTTCTCCATGTGGGCACTTAGTGCTATGAACTTCCCCCGTAGCACTGCTTTCAAAGTGTCCCATAGGTTTGGGTATGTTGTGTCTTCATTCTCATTGAATTCTAGGAAGTCTTTAATTTCTTTTTTTTATTTCTTCTTTGACCCAGGTATGGTGCAGTTGTGCATTATTCAATTTCCATGAGTTTGTAGGTTTTCTGCAATTTGTGTTGTTGTTGAATTCTAATTTTAACGCATGGTGGTCTGATAAGATGCATGGAGTTATTCCAATTTTTTGTAGATGCTGAGTTTTGATATGTTGCCAAGGATGTGGTCAATTTTTGAGAAGGTTCCATATGGTGGTGAGAAGAAGGTATATTCTTAAAAAACCCATTCTTTTGGGGGTTGTTTGAGCTCAGAACACACCATGTTTCTTGCACTGGGATATCCACTCTCGGTTTCTTGCTCCAGCTTACACACTGCTTAGGTTGATCAAGTAGGGATTTTTCTCCTCCTCGGCAATCCAGAAGCTCCTGGGTTTCCTCATCAAAGTCAGTAATTCGAAGCCTAGAAAGATATACGAAATTGACAGCTCTGACTAAGTCACTCTGGTAGGCTTTGAAAGTTTTCTTATTTATGTGTGTGCCTGCATGACTGTATGGGCAGCACGCATGTGACGCCACCTGCTGAGGTCAGATGAGGTCTTGGGACCCTCTAGGGTTACAGCAATTGTGAGCTGCCATGTTGGGGGCTGGAAACTGAAGCAGAGTCCTCTGTAAGTGCATCAAATGCTCTCAACTGAAGAGCCAGTTCTCCAGCCCCTCACAATCCTCATTGAGCTTTCCAGCATCTCCTTTTCACTCCATAATTCTCTTTCCCAAGAACAAGTTCAGGAGACCCTGATGACATGTCTCTCTAAATTGGGAGACATACACATGCCATCCAGACTCTTCTATAAAAACTGATTGGGAAATGGAGAGATGGCTCAGTGGTTAAGAGCACTGGCTGCTCTTGCAGAGGACCTGGGCCCAGTTCCACACTTGATGGCTGACCGCCACCTGTGTCTCCATTTCCAGGGGATCTGACACCATCTTCTGGCCTCCAAGGCTACTGCATGCATGGGGTTCACAGAGATACATAAAACAAAACATCATACATATGAAAATAAAAATATGAAGGAAAATTTTTAATTGATTTGTTGCTTGTGATTTTGTTTGCACAACGCACCTGCCAGTGGCAATATCATGTGTCTCCAACTGGTCCCCTCCATATCTTTTTGGAGACAGGGTCTCTCACCAACCTGCCATTCATGACCTGGCTGGCAGTGACATTCAGAGAGCTCCCTGCCTCCACCCTTCTCCCCAGCACTAAGGTTACAGCTATATGAGATCACAGTCAGCTTTTCAATGTGTGTGCAAAAGATTCGAACTCAGGTACTCATACTTCTGCTGCAAGTACTTTACTCGACTGAGCTTCCCTTCAAAGCTCTCACTGTGGCCATTTCTGTGGTACGAACTCAACAACCCAAATGTAGTCTATTACAATATTATGTCAACACCCAGGATACTGGTGGGAAACGCTGATTCCATCTGAGCCTTTGGGTTTGGATTGCTGACTTGTAAAATTTTTAAAGGTTTTTATTTCATTCATGCCCCAAAAGAGCAATTTGTTCCATGTCCTGAGTGTCTGGTCTTAGCCCTTTGGTTAACTGTGTCTCATGCATGTGCATCCTCACACACACAATCATTCATACAGACAACGCGAGCGCGCGCGCGCACGCACACACACACACACACACACACACACAAACCCTGATTGTGTTCTCTGTGTTGCTTCTGTATTAACTACTTTTCTATTATTGTAATAAAACACCATGACAAAGGCAATTTACAACAGGAGGGTCTGTTTGGGCTTACAGTTCCAGAGGGTTAAGTGTCCGTCACCATTGCAGCAGGGAGAGGGGTAGCAGGAGCAAGGAGCCAAGTGCACATCCTGAACCAGGAGCACAAAGCAGAAACACACTGGGAATGGTACTAAGCTTTGCAAGCATAGGGCCTGCCCCAGTGACACATGTCCTCAGGCAAGGCCACACCTTCTAAATCTTCCCAAACAGCACCACCAACTGGGATCAGGCATCCAAATATCTGAGT